CGCGGTACGTATTAAAATACGTACCGCAAAATTAAAATACGTACCACGTAATCCTAGGACCAGCTGGGATCTACCTGTGATCGACTTGTGCTAACTGTAAAATATGTACCGCAAAATACGTACCGCGGTACGTATTAAAATACGTACCGCAAAATTTAAATACGTACCGCGTAATCCTAGGACCAGCTGGGATCTATTTTGAAAAAAATTGTAATCGGCACCCCGAATGTCTAATCGGATAGTAAATCGGTCAAGGGTCTGGCTAATTTAAATTTCGTCGTCATATTTATCCTGGTATGCTACTCTGTAGTACGAGAATTCCAATAGGGATAAATTCGAGGCTGCACATATGTGGTCCACAGAAAAAGTACTTTTAGCCAACCGCCCCTGTTTACAATATTGACCGCAAGGAGGTATGAAATTGTAGCTCAAGATTTCAGCAATCAGAGACAATACCAGTTAACTAAATCCATACATTATTCAGCACATTTAACGCAAGCTACGAAGGTATCTCGACTTCGAGGTTGTGCCAGTTTAGTAGAGATTTTATTAGGGATTTTGCATTGAAATACCAGCTGTTTGCTCCCTTGCGCCTTAAATAATTATATTATCAACCAATCATGGAAGCTATACGCGAAATACTGTATGTTCATTGGTCAATGTGACACTCTACTAAACTGCTAATTCGTTACTAAAGTGGCTACTTGCCTTAAATAATTATAGCTCTGTAGGTGCCGACGTATAAGTCACCAGCTTTGTAGAGTGCAATATGGAAGGTGTCAAAGCATTTAGAGGTGGTGCACTAAATAGTCAACTTGGTCGGAGCCTTACCAGGCATGAACGACTCCAAACTTCGGGCTATATTGGCCCAAAGGCGTCTCGGTAGCTCTTAGCCGCCGTCACTAAATTAGACAGAGTCGAGTCTCGCTAGCTTGTCCAAGCAGGATTACACACTCCTATTTGCTAACCGATTTCGCTTTGTAGCTAGTTTATACCCTTATGTACGGCAATTCAAATCCGATTAAGATATATATGTTAGCTAATAAGGCGTGAACATTTCAACCGCGGTTCACAATAACTCAATACTTAAGTAGCTATTAATACAGGCGCCTAACTTTTGGTCCTTCCATTTGTCCCACAGACTGGGCTAAGTGGGGAAATTTTTGACAAAGCGTACCAAAGGTAACGTATACATAAAAAGATTATTAATTGTAAAAACATTTTTTAAATTGGTCCGCAAATAAATTTTAAAATTAATAACCCTTTTTTAGAACTATACGTTACCTTTGGTACGCTTTGTCAATTTTTTCCACGAAGTATTGGTAACTAGCGTGTGCGTTCTACTCATAATTCCCACGGACGGTTGGTGGCGTTATACGACCAAGACACCAATCCGACCGAAGAGAAAGAAAAAAGAGGCGGGAGAGAAGGAGTTTGAGCCGCGGCAGCTGCTGCAAAGTTGTCTCAAGACACTTATTGGACGCCTTCGTGCCAAGCGTCTTGAGACTGATACTTTGACGCTGGTCTCGCCCGAAGATTGTTCGCTTCACTGGACAAAAAGTCTTTCTCTTTCTCGCTGCGCAGATCATGTTACCGGTATGTTCTTAGTGAAGTGCTAGCTGTTGCAAGGCTCGTCATTGGACGGCCGTTCCGTCCAGCACCTTTTGCCAGTCACACTCGAGGGACAGGTCCATTCCTCAGCACAACGGAAGCAAACGAGTCTGTGAGCCCAAGATGCAGCAAAAGACGGCATTTCTAGTCTTTGCTTACCTTGGTGCACGGTATTGAGGGTAAAGATGAGCGCGATCTGCCGACCAGCTTCCCCTGTACGCTCGTCCAGTACTTCTCCAGCACAAACGCGAGCTGGTAAAAGGTCGAGAGCCCGTACTTGGCACGCACTAGGATGAACGGGAACGCTAGCGTGAACCCTTCAAAGGCGGCGTACACGGCGCAGTTCGTCGCCGCCTGCCAGAAGCTCTCCTCGGACAGTCCGATGAAGTTCAGGTTGTACTTGGCGTACGGCATGTGATACAGCACCAGCGTATAGATCCCATAGAGGACGGTGCACACGAACTCCGCGTATTCAGCGAGGACCAGCACTTCGGACGCGAACACAAGCTGCAGGGCTTGCGAGAGCAGCTTGGCGTGCTGACGGTGGGAGATGTCAACTTCATCGATCGTCGTCGTGTGGAGTCACTTGGCTTCTGGGGGTGCAGCTTGTTCACGAGTGGATTTGGCGGTTAAGTCGGGCTCAATCGTGTCGAGGTCCAGCATGTTCTGCGAGCCGTTGGTCAGACACGCGATCCTGGACATCCTTCTGGAGTTGTTAACGTTGAGTTTCTCGGGCTTGGCGAAAACGTCGGACGGGTTCAGCAGCACGGAGCTCCCTTTGCGGGACACGCCCATAACCGCTTGCTTCGGGTCGAGTTTGGCGAGACCGCGCGCTTTACTGGAGCTGAGAGCCCCCGGGAACAGCGCTCCTTCGATGATTCTGACTGCCGTCTTCGTGGTCTGGCGCCCGTCGACGACGAACTTGTGCGCCACGTACATCTTGACTTCCACCATGGCCTGGACGAAGTCTACGACGATCATGAGGCCACCGATTACCGGTGACCGTGCGCTCTGAAGACACGCGTTCTGGAAGAGCGACCCGAAGATTTCCATGACGCACAGCGTTACGTCCAGGCTGATGTCTTCGAGGCAGCGGGAGAAGCGCCAGATGAAGCGCTTGATCACAGCGCGCAGGACGGGGAACGCGACGGTGATCACAGCTTGCACGTGCGCGGGGACGTGCGCGAAGACCAGAGTCACACCTTCGAAGTTGAAGAGCGTGGATGCCTGGGCGCAGAAGAGCGGGAGGTACTCGACGATCTCGTCTCGATAATACAGCCACTTCCTGCTGATCACCACGCGGTGGAGGAAGAGCAGGCTCATAGCGTACGTCGGAATGCCTAGAAGGCAACGGAACGGGATGGGGAACCTCCACAATGCGCCCAAGACGAGCATCGCCAGCTCGTTTAAGCCCGCAGTGAGGAACGCGACGATAAAGCACTGCTTGTGGGAGTACGCAGAATTGGGCAACATGAGAGAGGCTCGGTTGAAGAACATCAGCGCCAGAGTCACGGTCGTGTAGGCGAGCCACGACTGAACGAAGAAGCCAGGGTTCCCCGTCAGTCCAAGAAGGGGGCTTTGCAGCGGAATAGCTGCCAACAGGATCATGATGAGAAGACCAGGCAGTGGCGTGAGAGCGATGACGGCGAACACGCGTCCTGGACTCGCAACTTGCTGGTATTCTTCGAACGCGAGCATTTTCTCGACGGAGTATCGGCTCAAGTACATGTGCTCGGTCTTCCAGTCGTGGTAGCGGCGTAATATTCGCCTTGCTCCCCGGTGGGAAGGGCTCTTGCGGATGGACGGACGTCGCACTTGACCCCTCGCCATGGACGCAGTGCTGCTTTTCCTCCGACCTGTTGCAGCGTCTGGATTTTGAATGTTCGCAACATCGGTAGTCAACTTGGGCGTCTCCCCCTCCGGCTGGTTCAATTGAGATGCGGTCTCCCCTGGGGTGTTCGAAGCTTGCATCGCCGTGGCTGTGTTTCGCAACAGTGCAGGCGAACCTTGGGTGAGCGAGTGTGGTTGTTGAATGGGGCTGGTCGTGTCAGTGTGGTAGGAATCGCTCAAATGCCCACATAGTGGACAAGAACTTATCAACTAAAAATATGAAACGCGATCGTTCTCGTCTTGTCCGCGGAGGATTGCCTACCAATTGGTGTGTGGGGGAAGCCTCAAAATGCTCTTACAAATCTACATTGGGGATATTCGAGCTTTTGCCCGTCGAACTGCAAGCAATGTTACAAAATACTTCAAATTTTACAGTGCAGAGCAACAAGTCTATTGCATATCACATAGCTGTTCCGTCAAGAACCTTCTGCCAGTCGAAATGTAGCGATAAATCCATGCCTGCAAATTGATGGGAGAGACATGTTGTTAGTCACCAAAATATATCAAACGCAGCTGCTAAGCTAACAAACGTGCCGTGGTGCACAGTGTTGAGGATGAATATGAGCGAAAGACTGCCGATCACCTTCCCTTGGACCCCCATCCAGTATTTCTCCAGCACGAACGCGAGTTGGTAGAAGGTGGAGAAGCCGTACTTGGCTCGGGCGAGAATGAACAGAAACAACAGCGTGAATCCCTCAAAGACCGAGTACACAGCAGAATTCGTCAATGACGCCCAGAAACACCCCTCCGACAGGCCAATGAACGACAAATTGTACTTGGCGTACGGCGTGTGGTACAGCGAGAGCGTGTAAACGCCATAGACGACAGCGCACACGAACTCCGAGTACTCGGCAAACACCAAAACTTCCGAAGCAAACACCAGCTGCAGAGTTTGAGACAGCAACTTGGCGTGCTCACGGTGTGAGATTTCGATATTGTCGATCGAAAGTTTCGGCGTCGAAGCTGGTACCGCACTTGGGACTGAGAACGGGAGCGACTGAATAGAAGCCAGGCTAAGCGCGTCTGTATCTGATGACAGACACGCGATCTTGGAGGACGTCCTGCGGTAGTTTCTAGACCCAACACTTTTGGAGAATCTGGTCCACGCATTGGCCGAGTACATCATGACCGAGCGGCCTCTCAGCATCGAGGCCTCCTCGACCTCGTCACTGCGTCCCAACTTCTCTAAGTTCCGCGCTTCTCTCGGAGTGGAAGTGCAATCGGCTCGACCACTTTCAATAATCTTGGCGGCAGTTAGAGTGGCCTGGCTGTTGCAACATCAAATTTGTGCAAGCATTACTCCGGTGATATGCGGCCAGCGAGAGCGACGGTCGCACACACGCGGGAAAAACATCTACTGCGCATGCTCATTTCAATCCAGCTGAGAGGACAGGCAACGAGTACGACCGTGGCTTCCAGCCAGCTACAACTACTTCACAGCACCACAGAGGAGACCAAGAGGATAGCCCTACATGTAGTCCGAGCTCCTAGCTCTAGTTCCTTCTCATTCTCACTTTTACCTGCTAACCAACAAACAAATTGAGTCTCCTACATCGCCGCGCTCTTCAGTCGACTTCCTAGCCTTCCATCAGGTTATGAGCCCAAGACACGACTCGCACTAAAGAGTGAACAAGTCCTACGACCCGGCTATACTGAAGACTATCGCCCCTGAAAACAAATACCTGTGTTTCCTGATACCCGTGTTACCTGATCCCCGGGATACCTGATACCTGGTTCTTGCGACGTGTGAGAATCTGCGACGTGTGACAACTTCAACCTGTTGCAGTCGTACAAGCGTCCAGGCTACCCATCCGGAGATATGAATCCGGACGATGAGATGAAGCGCCCCATCCAGCGGAACCTTCAGCAAGAGCTGGAGGAGGCTGCCTTTGAAACCCCAGTGTAACCGGAGCCGCCAAGCGACCAAGTGAGTGCTGAGGTCGCGTACCTGCTAGCAGAAGTCGCCAAACTGCGCCAGCAAGCCGCTGCAGCATCTCGTGTGGCCGCCGACTTCGAGAAACTAAGGGCGGACTTTGCTCAGATGATGAGCCGACAAGCGGCTGCGCAGCCGAGGCTCCAGGCGGAGCTAGCTGAGCTCAGGGCCCATGCCAAGGCCACGCCTGAGCTGTATACCGAAATCTCCCAGCTCAAATCCAAGCTGGAAGCGTTCAGAGCCGGTGCGACTGCAGCGCCACCTGGACAGCAGGCACCTACACGCACGACACCCAAAATAAAGGACGTGCTGTGCCGCAAATTTGGCGGGAACGAGGTGTACCCTGGCCTCGGTTCCGGGTTTGAGGATTTTATCCTTGAATACGAGCAAGCGATCTCCACCGAGTCGCTCCTCAACCACTCGATTTGGACCTCACAGATCAAGGCGTCTGTGCTGGTTAACTTCTTGGAGGACAAAGCCGCGCGATTCTTCCACTCAAACGTGACGCAGTGGCGCGTAGAAAAGGCGGACTTCAACTACATCGACTTCAAGGCTAAGCTCTGTGCTGAGTTAGGGTGCAAGTTGAACCAAGTGCAACTGTACAAGCGCTTGACGTCCTCCAAGCGTCCACAAGACTCGTGGACCGATTGAAGTATGTGAACCGTCTCATGACAGGCGATCACAGTCTGTTACTCTTGGAAACGTTCTGTGTATACGCTTGTCCGGAACTATCCAATACCCTAACCGCCCAAATCGACCGCTCCAACCTCAATTACTTGTTGGCAGCTGATCGCATCCTGTCACTCTTAGTGGACCTTCGCGGTGACGGGCGGAAGCGTGGCCAGCCAGCGCGAGCTCAATCCTCCTCCGAGCAGCCGGATAAGAAACGGAATGATGGGCACCACCAACAGAACCAGCCGCGCGGAGCCAGCCACTACAGACAGAACTCGCGTAACAACAATGGCCAAGCTCATGCCGTGTCGGCAAAGCCCGCTGGCAAGCTAGTGTGCTATGTCTGTGACGAGGAAGGCCACCTCGGGCCGGCATGCCCAGAGCTGAAGAAGGTGAAGGCTGCGGTGAAACGCCAAGGTCAAGCTCACAGCGGTACTACCACGAACGCCGACACTGTCTGCAACAATGCTGAAGAAGGCCACTTGTGGCTTGCAGCCTCGACCAGCCCGAATGGCCGGCCGCTCCCAACTGCCGAGTGGATCCTCGACTCTGGTGCAACGCACCACTTGTGCACCGACCGAAACCTGTTATTTGGTGTGGAGCCTGCGAAATTGACTATCAAGGTCGCGAACTCTAAAACAATTGTGGCTTCTCTTAAGGGGAGCTGTCTACTCCAGATTACAGTCGGCGTGATCAAGCGCAGCATTCAACTTACAAATGTGTACTACTGTGAGCAAGTCGGGCGATATCTACTGTCGCTGTCGCAGCTTCGGTCCCGAGGTCTCCGTTTCATGTTTGCAGAGAGCTCAACGTTTCTTGGACGGTTCGATAATTCCTGGTTGAACCCCAACTTGGGGCACAACTTGGGCCGAGCCGCGGTTGTCAGTCCAACTTGGCATTCTGGGTTCCGTGGATTTGCCGACTAGGATTGCTCTGGCATTTAATTGTTGGCCTATCCAGGCTACGCAGTCGGATGCAAATTAAACCCACGACAACGTGTGGCTGTGCTGCTTAACCCCTCCAGACCGGGAGCCGAAAAGAACATGTAAACTGCATATGCAGCGTAATTAGACTTGATGTATGCATACAAAATGGTTAGGGAAGGTAGGATTCACGATGGGGGCCAACAATGCCGTGCTAATACTGAATATAACCTGCATATTGGCTCCAGTGTGGCACACCCATGCTGAATAATGCTACAGACAACGACGGATAAATCCGGCATAACTGAATGACATCCTCCATAGTAAATGTGCCAGAATTCTCTGTCGGGAACGATAGAGATTGTACAAGGCAATGACATAAAATACACTTAACGGAGCATAAAGTACACACAAATGTAGATAAAGTACTTACAACCATATGGAATACAAATGTCAAGTGTAACTCTCGAAGCTGATTAGCTATCTGAATTACTTATTGTAAAAAGTACAACATATGTGTGCTGGGTTTTGCGTTGCCGTATTTATCCGTCGTTGTCTGTACTAACCACGGATAGTGACAGGGTGCCCGCCGAACAGAAACTAGGGCCTAGCGAGTCCCGATTTTCAAAAAATCGGAATTTGAAACTTCCCATACAAAAACTTATATACAAAGTAGGTGTGTCACCTCTAGGTGTTCTGTAAGCTTGTGGCGTCCGGAGGCATTCTATACACTATACAAACATCAAATGAAATAGATATCCAGAAAAATATCCAGGGGGTAATAAGGTGAAACGTAACCGTTGCGTACGTAAGACAATATACCTAAGATGCAAGTTAGGATGTGTCGTTGCAGACAGAAGCATGGCATTCTGTAGTTGAAGCAACAAAGCAACGAGGATTACCACGTTTGATCACTAAGTCAAATTTCACTGACTTCAACACCGAAGTAGTTCGTTGCCCCGACCCTTCCCAACTAACAACACACACTAAAGCGCTACACCTGCATTCATGCATGAGGTGGATGTAGTTTACCACATGGTTTCTCCATGGGTGCAAGAAGTTCTACAGTTGAATACTTCAATTAGCTGCTGCTTAGATTGATCGATGCCAAAGTCATGCCTATGCCAATCCAGTCAACAGGAAAGCAGCGATTACAAGCCGTTTCGCTAATTGGAGCATACAAAGGCAAAGTTGCATCTACAACTATGTGTGTGGGTATCCAAAGCCTCGCTATACTGGGAACCGCATCGACTGCAACTGCATTTATCCAAATCGATTATATTAGTTTGCAAACGATCACGTTACTACCTCTCGCCCTTATCATTAGCAGCGCCAGCCATGCCAGGTTTCGGCTCGTTTGCCCATCGGTCATACAATGAACACCAAAGCGGCATCTCCGGCTTGGCCGGAATTCGTCTCGGCTCGTTCTTTTCGCTACTACCTCATTCGAGTCGTCGCCTTCACTCAGGCTGGCTCGTTTTCGGGCTGATCATGACTGCTTGGTCGCCGTAGTCTCCTTCAACAGCATCAATATTAATCTGGTTAGCTCATAACATGAAGTACATGTATGTTAGATGAGAAATATTTATGAGGTGGTTGTCATTGCAGGTGAGCGCAATAAATCCATGAAGGCTAACTGTTGATGCTTGAATTTGAAAAAAAACTTCAACTTCAGTTCTTGTAGATTTGATCTCCTCACCGATGATCAAACCAGATCCACTTTCCAATTTGCCTCCTAGCGCGCACTCCGCCCAGCAAAGTATGCGGTCATTGAGTTTTCTCGGAGCTGTGGCTGCCGGCTGCGCCCTATTGACCTCGTTGTCGGCGTCGGAGACCACCTCCAGCTCCACCGCCGTTGGCAGCAGCAGCAACTCGACTCTGTGCTTCCCTTCCGACTTCCTCTTCGGCACTGCGTCGTCGGCCTACCAAGTCGAAGGCGGCTGGAACGCCACCAACAAGGAGCGCAGCATCTGGGACAACTTCTGCCGCGACACGTCCAACGGCGTGCCCTGCGCCAATGTGGCCGACGACTTCCTGCACCGCTACGACAGCGACATCGCGCTCATGAAGAAGGACGGCTTCGGCACCTTCCGCTTCTCCATCGCCTGGGCCCGCGCCATGTCCTGGAACGAGACGACCCAGCGCATGCAGGCGAACCCTGAAGGCCTCGCGTTCTACCACTCGCTGGTGGACGAGTTGCTGGCCAACGGCATCAAGCCCATCATGACGCTGTACCATTGGGACCTGCCGGCTACGCTGCAGTCGGCGTTCGATCCGCCCGGTTGGCTCAACGAAGCTATGGTCGACCACTATGTCGACTACGCGACGCTCATCTTCGAGGAGTTCGGCCAGGACGTGGAGTACTGGACGACGTTCAACGAACCGGCGTCGTTCATCCTCACCGGGTTCGCGTACGGCTACGGGCCTCCACAACTGGGCAACTCGACCACCAACGCTTACGACGTGGCTCACGTGGTGCTGCTCGCTCACGCTGCAGCGGTGGAGAAATTCCACGAGCTGAGAGACGCAGGAACCGTCCAAACCTCGGCGCGTATCAGCATCGTCATCAATTCTGACTGGGGCGTGCCGCTGAATGACTCGATCGCGGAGGACGTGGAAGCTGCCGAGCGCAAGAACCAGTTCCACTTGGGCTGGTTCCTGGGTCCGTTGACGACGGGAGACTACCCCGAAGTCATGCGTGAACGTGTCGGCGACCGCCTGTCCAACTTCACGGAGGAGCAAAGCGCGCAGGTCAAGGGCTCGTACGACCTGCTGATGCTAAATTATTACACGAGTTACGCGACTACTGACTGTGACTCGGAGCGCTCGGAGACCAACTGCTCCAGTCTGTCGCTGGGATGGCCGTTAGATCTCGGAGTTGACGACTCGCGCAACCCGGAAGGCACTCGCCACGCTTACGGGAGCATCATGGACCCGGATAGCTGCTCCACTGACTCAGGCTACCCGCCTGGATACCTCGAGGTCATCCAGTTCCTACACAAACACGACACGAGTGCCGACATTCTGCTGACTGAGAATGGCTGGTGCGGCAACGAGACGATCAACAACCTGGACCAGCTCTGGTACCATCGTACGCATCTGGAGCAAGTGCACAAGGCCATCTACGAGGAGAAGATCCCGATCATCGGCTACACGGTGTGGGGGTTCATGGACAACTTCGAGTGGACCAGTTACGCCGGACGTCGCGGACTCTACTTTGTCAACTACACGGATGAAACGGGTGACATTGACGAGTATTCGGCTCTGCCCACGCAGCTCACGCGTATCCAGCGATCGGCGGGTGCTTGGTACTCGAACGTGGCTACTACCGGGTGCTTCGAGCAGGAAGAAGAGGACGAGCAGTATTTGGTCTAGGTAGTTCTTTTTAGCAGAAATTGGCTTGTCGGACCCCCCCCCCCCCAGTTGAGTTCGGTACCAAATAATGCAGTTTGTTTCAACTTATCTCTCCGCCACTAGAAGGCGATTTATTAATACGTGCACGGAAACGAATAGGGATTCATGGACCCTGCCTGCGGTTGACCATGGGCTGAGCCCATTCATTCATTCATTCCCTTCGTCTCCTTTGCGGCAAATGCCTTGTTGCCAACGCTTGCTCATGCGCATCCCAGATGGCTACGCTCTGCGTGTGCCTTGAAGGTCGAGCCAACCGCTTTCAAATCGACAAATGTTGCCCGAGAGCGTGCCGGCCGCGTGCGCGCGAGTCAAATCGAGCCCTGGTTTTTGGCGCCAAACGCACAGAAGAGCCCGCAGCAAATAGGGCGGACCAATCGTCGCTGAGCTCCACAATCCTGTTTCTACCCCCTCTTCAATATTCAAACTCCGCAAACAGTTGTAACTCTCTTCACTGCGCAGCTAAGCTCTCTGCAAATAAGTTTTGGCGCGCCTTTTTCAAAAGCACCCAGTGTGCTACGCTCACATCGCAACGCACCACGCACTGCCTAACCAACCCACCTCTCTTGCCAACCATGAAGCCTGAGTCTAAACTCGTCGTCGTCGCGCTGGAAGGTTGCCATGGTGCGTGTTAACACTAGCGTAAACCGGCAAAACACCTCTTCTCTCCTCCAATCGCGGAGCTCCGTTTGTCTCACTATGCAAATTACTTCCTCCTCCTCTCCAGGCTGTGGCAAAACCGCACTGTGCGAAGAGTTCGAAGCCCAGGGCTACGACATCCTGGACGAGGCCTTCATGGACATGCCGTCCTACGCGCTGCACCCGCAGTCCCTGCTCATGGAGACCTCGTGGGTCTGCTCCTGGTTCGAGCGCGTGCTGCGCCTGGCCGAGCGCGTCAAGCCCGGCCGCAAGCAGGTCTTCATCGCCGACCGCTCGCCCTTCAGCGCCGTGCTCTACTCGGCCAAGGGCCACCTGCTGGAGCCCGTGATCCGCGAGCAGATGAAGGAGGTGCAGGACTTCGCCCGCGTCCAGTTCTACACGGTGCACGTGCAGGTGGAGCGCGAGCTGCTGTGGCGTCGCATCATCGCGCGGCTGGAGCTCGAGCCCGAGCGGCTGCGGCTCAACGAGCACAAGCGCGAGTGGATGGAGGAGACTCTTGCCTTCTACGAAGGCTTTAACTGGGACATGACAGTGGCCAACGACGAGCGCAGCGTGGCAACAATTGCCGGCAACATCAGCCGCCTGCTTAGAGAGAGGGACAACACCTTCGAGGAGGTGTACAAGTGCACCAAGCCGCGCGCCACGTCCCCTCACTCGTCCTCCAACAGCAGCGCACTCAGCACAGACAGCGAGTGCGAGAGCTTGGAGGAGGACCACCACATGCACGAAGAGGTGGAGTGGAACACCAAGTCAGGCCAGCCTCAGAAGAGGAGCATCATCGCGTTCAACAACACCCCACCTCAAGACGCCTTTTAGAGAGGCTTTTGTTATTGTTATATCGGATGAAGAGCGGCTGCAAGTGGAGAGAGAGGGAGAGAGAGACGAGAGCCTTTTGTTGCCTCTTGTCACGGTGGCCCGCAAGTTTTATTACGACGTGTGCGAGTGTTGGGTGTAGCCAACGAGTTCGCCAGTTTAGGATAGTTTAACGCTTACAAGTATCTAAAGAATGCCTGCATGTGAAACCCAGTCGAAGAGCGTATCGTATTATCGCCTCTAGCCGCGGATGGAGCTGTTGCATTTCATAGACGCAAGAAGCGACGCGCGTTGGCTCGGGTGATCTTGGCAACTTCCTGCGGCGACCGACCCAGCGCAGTTGCTACGGCTTGAGCCACAAGGGGCATAGCACTGGGCACATTGGGGTACTGCTTCTTCGGGTCGCTCTTCTCAGCACGACGGCACTTTGGAAAGCCCATGTAGGGCGCATCCGTCTCCAGCATCAGCCTCTCCAATGGCACATGCTTCACCATTTCTTGCAGAGCCGCACCTTGTTTCTTGCAGATGAACCCCGTGACGCCAATGTACCAGTCGTCACCTCGTGCGACGTACGCCTTGAGCTCCTCTTCGTTGCCCGTGAAGCAGTGCACCACCGCCGGAGGGAAATATCCACCAGCCTTAGCAGTGGCTTCGTCGATCAACTGGATAAAGTCCTGATGCGCCAGTCGTTCGTGCAGGAACAGCGGCTTCTTCAGCTCGCAGGCCAGCAAGAGCTGCTCGGCGAACCACTTTTTCTGGAATTCCGGTTCCGGGAAACTTGGCGAGTAGTCCAAGCCGCACTCCCCCACTGCACGAACCTCTGGCAACTCCATGAGACCCTTAAGCGTAGTCAACTCCTGCTGTGTGGGCATTGCCCGTGCATTGTAAGGATGCACCCCCGCCGTGGGGAAGAGTTTGGTCGGATGTTGCCGACAGAGTTCGACGGCTCGCTGGGACTCGTCGATCGTGGCACCAGGCACCAGCATCTCCTTCACCCCAACGGCTTCAGCTTGTTGCATTAGCGCTGCAACATTGTCGCGGAGGTCTTCGTGCGTTAAGTTGCAGTCGAAGTCGAAGAGTTCCAGATCCACGGTCTCAGCAGGTTCCGACGCGGACTTTTGCACCATTTTAGCGGATTTCACCTTCGGCTTGTGGTGCGTTTTCTGGTGGTGCTTCTTCGCGGGGTGGGTGGCGGCGTCTTGCACGTAGTACCAGTGGTTAGTGGACAGCTCGTCGTGCGTAAACGGCATGAGAAGAGAGAGGTGCGAGAAGAGGAACGGATCGCTTTGGTGTAGCGTGATACGAGCTGTGTAAACTTGGTGTACAGGTTTAGAGAGCTCCGTTTAATTCCGATGTGAGCATGAAGAGACGTATACGTTCATGCAGTTAGAGATGTTGCAGGATGAAGACGACACCGACGATGTGCCTGGCTTTATCGGCATGAGGTTAGAGAGCCACTGCTGCTTGTTGCATTTAATGGTGATTGTTGGTGGCCACAGTGTTAACACTATCAATTCTGTTGCATTTCCCCAGGAACTCGTTGAGTCTGGAGGCCATCGAGACCGCAGTGGACAGGCAAGTGGCAAAACTTACGTCATTTCCCGATAATACAAATAATTGGAATGTTGAAGACTACGAAGAGGACGAAGAAGACGCTGCAAATGATTCCGAGGCAACAAGTGAAGGGTTCGTGAGTCACATGCCTCAGTATCGACAGGCTCTGGTGGGCAAAAAGTTGCGGTTGTTGGAGAAGCAGTTGCAACATCGAGACAAAATGGTGCAAAGGCTGCAAATTGCTCATACGCAAGCCCAGGCAACAATTGTCAACTTGCAAAACGAGTTGCAACTCGCTCAACAAGAACTCGCATCCGCCCAGGAGGAGTGGGAGGAGGAGAAAGAGACAATTCTCAGATTTCGAGGAGCTGCAGGTGGTGGCGGAGGCAACAGCGCCATGATGCAACTGAAGCTTGGACTGGGGGCTGCAGGTGCTGGGCGAAATGGCTCGAGGATGACGGAAGCGGAAGCTCAGCGACAGCGTGAAATGCGGCAGCAGATGTTGAATGGAGCGGCGGATGCTCAGGAAATGTTGGAGGCGGATCTGGGGAACGGAACGGATCGGGCGGCTGTAAGAGGAATCCGCCTGAAGTGGAAGAAGTTCCGATTATTTATCCGCCGCAGGTTGTACCCGTTCACGACGGACATTCGTCAGATCGAAGCGCAATTTGGATCGTCGGTGTCGTCTTACTTTCGATTCTTTGGCTGGATCATCATGACGTTCATGGTCATGTCGCTGCCGTGCTTCGTGTTTCTTGTGTTGCACATTTTGTATCTTCTTGATTACCAGGTTGGTAGATTCGTTCTCCTTTTGTTTGCTTTAGATTGCACATGAAGCGTTATAACTTGGCGCTGAAATTTGCAGTCATCAAGCGTGAATTGGATGACGTATTCGGGCGTCATGCCAACCTTCCTCCAGCTCCCAGGGTATTTTCCTGACGAAGCATTTGTATACTCGGTTCGGACTCCTTTTGTGTCCGTGCGATGGAAATGAACCAGAGCTAACAGTGAATCTCTGTCAGGCCATTCTTCTCTGGATGGAAATTCTTCTGCTGCTTTTCACACTCCGGAAGTGGATAGCTGAAGATCGACTGTCCAAGGCTGTTCAAGCTGTTGAAAATGCCAGCGAGAAGGTGAGCTAGAATGCTGGGGTGAAACAAGTAACGTCATCCACGAAATGCTAACACAACCATTCTACAGCCGAAATACAGCAGAATTCTCCTGAATGCTTGGGATTTCTCGCTCACCACGCCAGATGTAGGTAGATTCAGTGTTCGCTCTAACTGTACCTTTGTACTCACCGTTTTGCTTTCTCAGCAAGTCAGCGACCTGAAAAAGACGATTGCTGAGCAAGTGAAAATTGCCATGGAGGAAGAGAAGCGTGCAGAAACAATCAAATCGCGAACCAAGTACGCAAATACGTGTACGCTGCTATGCATTTACCCGAATTCCAACTTACCTGCTCGTTGCTTGTAGGAAACACAGGTACATTTTATACGCCCGACGTTTTGTCGCCTTCATATTTTACTTGGCGATTCAAGCTGCAAGTTGGTACCTCATCATTCTCCTTACTACCCAGTCCTCGCAACTTCAGCTACAGCTTGCTGCAAAGGCTGCCATCTTCGCACCATACGCCAGCAGTATCGTCCCTGCTGTCGTGACGGTAATCAACGCAATTCTCCCCAAACTCATTTCGTTATTGACCACTATCGAGAAATGGGACGACGTGGGCTTTGCCATCAAAGCCATGGTGACACGATTGTATCTGGCCAAGATCTTAAACGTGCTGATTCAACTTTTCTCGTTTGCGCTGCTCCTGGACCCGATGTTGCTGACCTCGACTCAAAACATTCTGGAGCTTTTCACGTTCGACGGGTCGACAGTACGCAAGAATGTAATGCTCGAATTTAAGCCCGAAAGTTTTGACTGCCGGGCGGAGCAAGCGTCAGCTGGTCTGCTAACTCTGGTGGTTACTGATTTCTGCGTTAGCAAGGCCATGGCAATATCATCGCCGTTGGTTGGCGTGGTGATCAATAAATTGAAATCTGTATGGCGGCATCAGCGCGAGCAACGAGCTTTAGCCAGGAAGCAGAAGCTGAGCGCTAAGGTCGTACCCCAAGCCACTGCGCTACCCGAAGAGCAAGGCAATGGTGGAATGGCTGGTGGAGGTGATAATGATCCACTGCCAGATTTGACCTCTGTACTCGCGGAAAAAGAGCCGAAGAACCCAGAATTGACTGTGGCTCCGAAGAAAAGTCTGCTGACAAAGTCCGAGTTTCTCGTCCCGCAGAAAATGGTTGCACTTCTGTACTCGTGCACAATTGCTCTGGTGGCTATACCCCTCGCTCCTACGACCGCACTGTTAGTTCTTCTGCTGCACGTAGTAAACTTCAAGTTCGACAAGTTCATTCTCATGGTACGGTATAGGCTTGATGTGTGGGTATGAAAACCTGGCTACGTATTTTACTCGGCTGTCTGTAGTATTTGCAAAAGAAACCAGCCAACCCGTGGGGTGCTAAGGATGCCGGAAGCTTCTTCATCAAGTTTTACTTCTGCACGGTGCTCATTTTCCTCGGTTTCACGCACTTTTTCCTCCTGAACACACGTCTCCCAAAGCAATGCGACCTCCAGGATACGCTTTCATCTTCCAGCGACGATGCACTTTGCGTTACAAGCAGCTACGATGCGACTAAGAGGTTGTGCACGATCGACCCTACCTGTTCATCGGTACGATTTTGCTTAATCCGAACCTTATAATTTAACCAGGCTAATTTGCTGTGCTGAAATCGTGCTAGAGTTCGTACTTCCTGACGGGATCGGAATGTTCAGTGGGTTATCCATTGTGTATCTGCGAGTACGCCTGTGGGCCGTTCGTTGACGTTGCGATGGGCTATACGCCTCTGCTGAACTACATCACGTCTTCTGGTGTTGCGTCTGCATTTTACTCGCTGATACTTGGTAACAATTTCGTGCCGTGGACGCTCCTGTTCATATTCCTACTGGTCATCTTCTTCCTTCGTAACTCGATCACGGTCTACATCGTACGTCAGTCGCAGCTATTCCACGCTTCTTCTTCAATATCGCTAACTATGCTCTTCATTTCCGTTTTGTAGATGACTGCGCTACAGCGTGAGCAGGATGTGGCACTTACCTTTTCGTCATTAAGAAGGAAGGTCAAGCAGCTTGAAAATCGCTTGCGGCTTCAGAAAATGGGAGGAGGCCGTGGGAAGGATGACGGAGATATTGAACACGCAGCCGATCGACAGCCAGGATCGTAAGGGCATGTAATGCAAAGAATACGCTCGAAGTAAAGCAAACCATTATACATGTAGATAGAGTCCCTTATAGGGTAAAGATGCCCCGCTTGTCGGTAGACAAACCGAAAGCACACAGCCTGTGGATCCAGACTGTACTTGCACCACGAACTAACTTGAGCTGGACGAGTCAGATCCTGATGACGACACCTCGGTCTCGAAGCATGGCATCTTGCGAAGGTTGGCCAAGTCGTCCATGGCAGCCATTCCCTTGAGAAACTCGCTGTTGGCAGTTAGCCAGTCGTCCTCCAAAATGCCCTCCGTGAACGTGCTGTAGGTGTCGGCCGGGTTGTATTGGTAGGCACTTTCGGGGTTCAGGGACCACACAAAGCCACCGGCCCATCCACTCTCGACAATCACCTCGATGCTGAGATCAGTGCAGCGCTTGGTGGTGAGCTCCGGGTGCAGATCCTTCGAGTACAATCCACCGAATTCTCCCAGCAGCAACGCGGACGAGTTGTCATCGGCCAAAAATCCAAACATATCAGCCATTGTGGCCTTGATACGTGTCTTGAGCGCATCGTCATCGATTTCCACGTAGTCAGCGATCGCACCATTCGAATCCTGAGTGCCGCCGTTGTAAAAGTAAGCTTGTGGATATACAGCTTCAATTTTTTTACGCAAGAAGGGGAATAATGTTAGCGTCAACGAAGAATACCCATATACAGCCAAAGTTCTCGTACCTGGTGTGTAGTAATGAGGCGCGTACACCACCTTGTTGTCCGTGCTGAACGTGAGCGGGTAGTCGGCCGCTTTCTGCAGTCCGCCTCCGTACCAGTCGTAGTAGTCGTAGTCAGTGCCATCGATCGTGACCGTGTGGTCGGCGTTCACTCCTTCCACGAAGCCCAGCCAATTCGAGCAGCCGTCCAGCATTCGGTCGGCGATCTTCTTGGCTCCGGCGTGGAAGTCCGTGTCCGCTCCGTCGCCCCACGTGGCCTTGGACGGCTCGTTCTTGACGTCAATGCCCATGATGTTCCAGTACTTCTCACTGCAGAGGTTCTTGGTGAGCGTGTCCACAGCGTCCAGGAAATCGTCTTCCGAGATTTCGTCGCTGTACCAGAGACTGCCACTGTCCGTGGAGGTGAGCGTGTGCATACTCAGCATCACGCCGATGTTGCGGTACGCCAGCACCTTGACGATACTCTTGAGCAGCGATATGTAGCTCGTCACCGAGATGGCTCGGTTCTCGGCCGTGTTGATGAGCGACGTCTCGGGCTCGTGGTCGGTCAAGATCCAGTTGACACAGAGCGGCAGGCGCACGGCGTTGAAGTTGTTGTCCGCCAAGAAGGTGGCGATCTGGAAGGCGGTCGTGCCGTTGTCGGCGTTGTCCCAAAGCCCCAAGGGGATGGCGGTGCCCGTCTCCATGCCGAACCAGTTGATGCCCTTGATGTCCACGGGCACCTCGGTGCCATTGGAGCTCACGGCCACAATGCGGCCGTTCTTGCTCTGGTAGTCCGGCAGCTCGCAGCCCATATCCGGGTACGACTTGGGGTTGTCCACCTCTCCGTCGTCCGAGATGAGGTCGCTGCTGCTGCCGCTGGCCCCGCCCGATATTTTCTCACTGTCAGCTTTACGTTGCGCGTAGTCTGCGTCCCGAGTGCTGGCAGTGTCGCTGGCGTGCAAGGCGGAGAAGGTGATGGCAGTGGCGGCTCCACCCACGATGAGGAGGAGGAGGAGAATGCCCGGCCACATCTGCAACAAACAGCAAAAAACAACAACGTAATCGGTTAGGTTAGTGCTAAAGAGAAGCTGCACACTCGCTTTAGGTGAATGCAATTGCAATCGTACCCGGTAGCGGCCTTTGTACTTTTGCTGCGTCTTCTCGAGGAACCCGGGGGCGGGTTCACTAACCGCCTCGATGTTGCGGTCCATGAGCGAGCCTCGAGTGAACACGCCGGCGTTGGCACCAATTGCCGCGGCGTTGCCAGAGTCGCTCAAGCGCTCGCCGTTAACATCAGCGGTCATGGTGCTGAAGCGGGTGTTGCCGTTGCCGTTGCCGTATCCGGCGTAGGTCTGCTCCTCGCTCGGCTCGCGGAAGACCTCGCGCGCCGGCGGCTGCGGAATGTCCTCGCGGTTGAGCATGGCGCTGTAATTGTAAGTGGGCGAGCCCAGCGACGAGTTCTCTTCCTCTGGTTCACGTCGCATTGGCAACTGCGCTTGGCTTACGGCAAATGCAAAAGTGGATGCAAGTGTTGCATCCGTCGTGCACACCCGATCGTGTCCAGCATACTGGAATCAAGAGGAAATCAACCGAGACCGTGCTTGAGACAGGACCTCCCCGATTTTAGCGACGCTGAGATTTGCCTATTGAAATTGACTGATACTGAGCAAGAGTTGTAGAAGGCACTAATCTAAGGACGTTGTAGACGAAGGAGGTCGCTATCAGCTGCCAAAAGAAGGGCAAGTGTAGCCATTGGTGATTGGGTGCGTAGACGATAGAAGGCGAATAGGGGATTTTTCAGCATCGGCCTGAAAAAATGGGCTCATACAAAAATCAAGTGCTGCACTTCGATTGATGCGCTCTCGCTAGGTTGCAAAAGTGCAGAACCATCTCGCTCGGACAGCGAAGTCCGAGTCAACCATGACAAGGGCAATTGGCAACGGAGGCTGAGGTGGCACGGCACGTTATGATAGCGGTGATATCCGCGTGATATCCTATTGCAGTTCCTGAAGCGGGCGCTTCAGACTTTCAGCCGTGACAGTGTCCAACACCAAACGCAATCGGTTCAGCGCTCATGACCGATCTCAGATGGCGACGGCAATTTGCCACTCGTATGTTACGAGCACAACGTCGATCAACGAGGGTGAGCCAGGATACGAGTCGTTGGTGCAACTAGCTATGCATGCATTTTTGCTGCTCGGTTACATGAGTAGAATAGCCCCACCCAACTATAGGCAACCCGGAGCGTTGCTCCGGGAGGGTACACAGGTCGGCGAATAGTTTCATGGACGATGATAACGGATAACAATTGAGTAAATCCCAAAGTTGTGTTGTTTTTAATCCTTTTAAGGATTTTAAAAGAGCACTACCAGCCGAACTCTCTAGTTGATTCTAATGTGGGCATCTACTGCGCCTGCTTCGCAGCCGCAGCACCTGCCCGGGAATAACACTCTGGTCAGCGTCCAATGGCTGCGTTGACGCCAGCAACGAGAGAGCTATTTCATTCAGTTTGCAGGTAAGGTATACTGTGCTCATTTAGTACTATGTTGTGTGCTAACGATCAGACGAGAGAGCTAGCGGAACGAAGGAGAGATGCATGGTGCGCTGATCTTGACCTTTTAACTTGAGGGTAAATTGCGGAATGAGAAATACGTTACTGTGCCAAGTCCTTGGAAGTGCGTGCTTCAACGCAGGGAAAAAAGTCTTGTTGAAACGAACGATGCTCGTGTCACTGTCGAGTTGAGCTGATTGGTTTGGCGACAGACACGAGGTTGGGCATCTTCGGCTAAGTGATTGAGTATTGAGCAAATTGACATGTAAGAAATGCAGTCTGCAGCCAGACAAGTCATATTGGTCATCTTCAGCTAAGCTTGGTCGATTATGGCGCAAATTGATACGCCTTCAGCGAGGCCATGACGCTCTCATAGTGTACTGGAGCGTCCATAATTGTTTTGAACGCAGGTTTTGGTAAAGAATGAACGATTAGTATCAACCTTTGGTAAATAATGTGCATAAACCTTAGCATTTATCGACGGGTACCCGATTCCGGCAGATATTAGCTTAAACATTTCAATTAAGAAAGAGAGACCCGGTTTGGTACCCGATTTTGGAAAGTTAGAAGTTTTTTGCCGGGGCCAAGCACAGGTCTTCGACCTGTGAACATGTACTAGCAATATGAACCGTGGTTTCGATGACGGAGGTTTGGTGTCCTGCATCATCCCTGATGCCACATTGAGGCCAACACGTACAAGGCCGTTTACTCGGACGGGACAATACGGGAACTCTGAGGAGCAATGGGCGTTGGCGGCTCACGGTGTGATTAGAAGTTGTTAAGAATCCTCCTAATAAAAGTCATTGAAAAACAAACGAAGTTGTTGTAACTTCAGTTTTGGTGAACGAATTAGTAACAGCTAACTCGGGCGACTACTGGATTGACACTTTCAAAGTGTGAGCAAGTGTTACTAGGCACCGTGCGAACGACTTGAGTAGCTGCAACTCTGATGCCTTACTACTTACTACACGTGATGCTTAGACAGCTCATTACCGTAGATAGAGCGGGGACGTCAGCCTGCAGTGGTGATTCGCCCCCCTAAGCAACTCAACGGAGCAACGCGACTGAGATATTCCTCTACCAGTTGTATTACCCCGCTCACGCTCTTGGCTCTACATGTATTCCGTACGTCACGCATTGTAGTTTTGCGACGTACAAGGTTCCGTGTACTAAACAAAAGTTGCGGAGGTGTGTTATTATGCAACGAGTTTAACTTAAGTGGTCCTGAAAACCTTTAGTCTGAACCGGACGAGCCTGAGTCCGAGTCCTCCGTCTCAAAACACGGCATCATGCGCAGATGCTCCAGGTCGTTCATCGCCTCCAGGCCCGCCAAAAATTCGCTGTTGGCCGTCAACCAGTCGTCCTCCAGCACGCCTTCGGTAAAGGTGCCGTACGTGTCGGACGGGTTGTACTGGTACGCACTCTCCGGGTTCAAGGACCACACGAAGCCACCCGCCCAACCGTTCTCCACCATGAGCTCGATCGAGTAATCGGTGCAGCGCTTCGTCGTAAGCTCCGGGTTCAAATCGGTCGCGTACAAACCACCAAACTCGCCCAGTAGCAGAGCAGCCGAGTTGTTATCCGCAATAAAGCCGAACATCTCGTCCATCGTGGCCGAAATTCGCGACTTTAGCGACGAATTCGACAGCTCCACGTAGTCGTCCAGCTCGCCATTATCGCCGCTCGTGCCTCCACCGAATAAGTAAGCTTGTGGATATACAGCTAAAACATTTTACGCAAGAAGAGGAATAATGTTAGCGTCAACGAAGAATACCCATATACAGCCAAAGTTTTCGTACCTGGTGTGTAGTAGTGAGGCGCGTACACCACCTTGTTCTCTGTGGTAAACTCCACCGGATACTCGTTCGCCTTCTGAAGTCCACTGCCGTACCAATCGTAGAAACTGTACTCGGTGTCGTCGACAGCGAGTGTGTGTGAGGCGTAAATGCCCTCCACGAAGCCCATCCAGTTCGAGCAGCCCTTGAGCATGCGGTTTCCAATGGTCTGTGCACCTTCACGCCAGTCAGTGTCCTCACCGTCGCCCCAGGTGCCCTCGTACGGCTCATTCTTGAGGTCGAGGCCGATAACATTCCAGTACTTGTTGCTGCACAGGTCCCCTGTAAGTGTGTCGACGGCGTCCAAGAAGTCACTCTGCGTGATGTTGTCGTTGTACCAAAGACCGCCGCTCACCGACGACGTAAGCGTATGCAAACTGAGCAGCACGCCGAAATTGCGGCACGCCAGTGCCTTGATGAGACTCTTGAGGAGCGACATGTAACTCGTGATGGAGATAGCCCGGTTCTCGGCCGTGTTAATCAGCGTCGACTCGGGCGCCTGGTTTGTGAGGATCCAATTGATGCAGAGCGGCAGTCGCACTGCGTTGAACTTGTTGCTCTCCAAGAAGTACGCGATCTGGTACGCCGTGGTGCCGTTCTCAGAGTTGTCCCAGAGTCCAAGCGGGATGGCTGTGCCAGTTTCCATGCCGAACCAATTGATGCCCTTGATGTCCACGGCCACCTCCGTGCCGTTCGAAGCGACAGCGTAAATGTGTCCGTCCTTGCTCTGATAGTCCGGGAGCTCGCATCCCATGTCCGGGTACGACTTAGGGTTGCCCACTTCACCGTCGTCCGAAACCAGGTCACTGCCGCTACCACTGGCACCACCAGTGATCGCAGAGGCGCCGGCCTTTCGCTTCTGATAAGCCTCTTGACGAGCCGTGCTGGATGAGTGCGTGTGCACGGCTGCAAAGGTGATAGCGAACACACCTCCAATGACGATCGCCAGGATCAACACCACACCCGGCCACCTCTGTATCATAAAGCAAGCACAACTCGATTGTTAGACTTGAACTCATCAACAACAACAAAAACCATCACATTGAGACGCACCCGATAGCGGCCACTGTAGTGCTTCGTCTTGGCAGCGAACCCCGCACTTGTCGGTTCGCTCACTGCCTCGATATTCCGCTCCATCATTGACGGACGAGCCAGCGCCACGGGGGCAGCGCCAGCCAGTCCGACCCCGCTGCCGCTGCTGCTGCTGCTGTTGTTGTTGTTTCCACTGGAATACGAGAACGTGACCCGACCTGGCGAATTGGCGTCCGTCTCAGTGGGGCGGATGCTGTACGAGTAGCCGCCTCTGTCGCTGATGGTCTGGGCCTCCGAGGGCGCTCGGAAAATCTCGCGCGCTGCTGGGGCCTGCGTATCTGCGATATCGTGCGAGTCTCCGCGCATCGCGTTGTAGTTGTGGGAGGGCGAGTCCAGCAGTTCACTCGCGCTGACGGGCGAGTCGGCGCCTGTGTCCCGTTGTGCCGGCATTGCTGTGAGCTAAGCTGCTTGCATTGTCCTCCGACCAGCGCGTGCTCTTGCGGAGGAATGTTCGAGAGTGAGCGAGTATTGTCGCCTCCATTGACCCCCGTCCATCGGACGGTCCAAGCTTTGTGCCGGGGACCAGAGTCATGAGTGTCTTACGCACGGCTTGTCACGGCCGGGCGACTTACAAAAACTAGCATAATTTCGCACTCTCGGATCGGCAGGAATTGCACAGTGTGCTCACAGCGATAGCTTCGGATAAGACAAGAGCGGCGCCCTCGCCCGAACATCCAGCACGGCTGGGGAATCAACTCGGTCGTCGAGCAAGCGGCAAAGCCCTCGGCGTGAGCACTGCGGGACCGAGTCGCACGGCGACAAGGCACTAACCTGGATTCTCGGAGCTGCTCCGGCGGTGGTGCCGGAAGCTGGCAACGACTCAGCCAGCATTGTTGGCCCAGGTAGCCGTTACTTCTGTCATCGAAGCGTAAGCGAAGCTATCACTGGATCCGATCCAGCAGCGGCTTCGAGAGTCTCCGCAACGGAATGAGGCGCTGGATTGCACTGTACGGTGCAGGCAGGCATGTAAGGCATGTAAGGCATGTATTATTCAACGCGGCAGCCATCTGCACTGCCGCTGCTCACGCGCGCGAACTTCGCGGCGAAGGGTTCTTATCACCGATGCGGCACCTTCGTGGCGGGCGCTCGGAGTCCGAGGGGCCGTGCAGCTCACCGAGGCACCACGGGCGGCAGGCGCCGGCGGACCAGACTCAGCAACGTGTGACGGAGCGCCCTCTGAGTCTTCCAGGCCTGAGTCTTCCAGGCCTGAGTCTTCCAGGCCTGAGTCTTCCAGGCCTGAGTCTTCCAGGCCTGAGTCTTCCAGAGGGTACCGCACGCCCCGCCCATGTTCGCGAGCAATGCGATGGCGCTGCGCTTTGCCATTTTTGGCGTCTGCGAGCGTCGTCCATCGCGTTTTGAGGCGCCCACCCACACTCGCGCTCCGTGGAAACAGATCTCCTATCTGGTGGGCGGCGCCATGCCGTCTCTTTACGCTGCATGAAGCCACTGGCTTGGCCCGTGTGTTTCAAAGCGGGTGGTCGAGCCTCGAAGTTGCAGGCAAAGTTGCAGGCTTTGCTCGGTGCCGTGGGGGCTTTGCTCGTGCTACAAATTTTGGGACCAAGAGACTGTGTGCGAGACACCAAATATAGGCCTCGCAGAGGTCATTTCCGATAGTAACGTTGAAACGCTTGGATCGTGTTTGGAAGGGCTATATGGGACTCAGGATCCCACTTTTTCTGGAAGAAGAGTGGGACGCCCCGCGCGGCCCTTTTTGAAGTCCGCGCCATCGCCATCCAACCCATTTTCGATTTAGCGCGCGAGCCGCAACCTCGAAGTTGCCCCAGCTGCTGGTGCAAGATCTCCAGCCAGCCAGCTGCAACGAACAATTCGCTCGCTCGTAGATCGCCACTTCCGATCTGGCCGCCATGGGCGTCGTTTGCCAGCCCATTGACCACCCCGAGGCCGGTCCGCACGAATCCTCGCCCGAGCTGGCGCCCGCCGCCTCAATGCAGTCCTGGAGCTGCAAGCTGCAGTCACCCGCTTCAACGTGCGTGCAGGCACCTTCCTCCACAGAGAGCAAGCGTGCAACTGGCCTTAAAGTTTATCGCCCTCCGTCCTCTCACCTCTCTTGCATCTACACAGATTCGCGCTGGCGGCAACGTGCCCGGTGCTGGCACTTCAAGACAGCGTCGATTCGGGCTCGGACATGTGCTGGCTGCCACCAAGCAGCAAGCCGCGACAGCCCCAAGCCTCCGTCGTGCACCACCAGCAACAGACCCTCAAGCGGTGGGCCAGCGTGGTCATCGCGCCTCGACGCGGCGTCAAGCGCCAACGGGTTGCAGCCGTGGACTCCAGCTACCAATCAACCAGCTGGGGGAACGAGCGATCCGCTGGCGCCTCCGTGGGCTCGCCAAGGTCGCTGCAGTTCGCGCTGCCTGGCCTGACGAGCCGCGACACCCTCCGAGTGCTGCACGCAATGCACGCCGTGCCCAGCGAGCTGCGCCACCTCAACGGTAGCGCCAGCCGCAGCCACCTGCGACGCCGCAGTAGGGTGCGGCAGGTATTTGGCTGGCGCCATCTGCTGTGCCAGGAGGAGGAGGACGAAAATGCATCCAGCCGTATCGTGTGGAAGAGCGCCAAGGCGCTCGAGAGCATGAGGATGCGGCCGCTGGCTCGCCAGATCTGGCGAGCGAGCACCGAAGCCACCGGCGATCTCGACAGCGGAGAAGTGCTGTACACAGTCAACAGCATCGCGCGGGTGGTTCACTCCACGAAGCCGATGTACGGCTCGCGTCGTCGCGCCCGCGACCAGGTCTGGCTGGAGTGCTACCTCGACGACGGGCTGCAGGTGTGCGTGGCGCGCAAGGAGCTGCGCCAGTTCAGCGAGTACTGCGCGCCGGAGACGTCGGCCACCGAGTGCCAGGGCTTCCTGGTGCGCCCCGTGTACACGAGGGCGATCAAGTCGCAGCTAGCAGGCTGCTCGGTGCAGTGCCTCCGGGCGGTCGACGCGCGCGATTGCGGGGCGCGATCCGCCCCAGCTCTCAAGCAGCAGCTGATCGACGACCTCCCGCGACTCACCTTGCAGTGGGAAGAAGACTACCTCTACGACCTGGTGCAGGCGCCGCAAGTTCTCCTGGACAGCATCTTCGCCTGAAGACGCGGAGGTGGATGCGTAACTTAACGACAAACCATGTTTACCTGACGCAAGTTGCACTTCTGGATGTCATCTTGTCATCCTGCCGAATACATGTACAGAATTCTGCCCGAATAAGGAACGGGTGTACAACTAATAGCCTCACATATTTAATATTATTTTCCAGGCGATGTGGCGATAGGGGGATGTGCAAGGTACTGCAAGGTACTGAGGTGAAAAATCCAGTGCCAATCATCCACCCTCGTTTGAAAAATGGCGCGCATTTAGCGATCTTACTAGACTTCAAACTACATGTATCGTAGTGGTAGACTCGCACTTTTTCTTTTGCACCTCGCCCCACAAGCCCACCTCCTCCCCCACTCCACCCATGAAGTCCACACCGTCCAAGCGTCTCCGCCTCACTTGGTCTGAGAAAGTGGGCATCCTCGACAAGGTGAAGGGCTAGATAATCCCTACGAGGTCGACCAGTTGACAGCGCTGTTGTGGTGCGAGGATGCCTGGTCAAAGGTTAGTGCTTCGACCATACGCCACTGTTGGAATCATTCCGGACTCGTAGGTAAAGCTGCTCTTCAGTTCATTTTAAAATTACTAAATCAGTACATTGGAAAAGTATACTCAACTTAACATCAATTTATATATTCTGCGTCTTTATATATATCAGGCGTTCCTTACTCGGGCAGATTACTGTATGCGTTCTGATTACCCTGTGAAACCTCATAGATATAAATATCCGTTCAAAGAGGTAGTTGCCGTTGCGACCATCATTCAGCCACTCATCAATGCGGCGCTTCATCGTGCTGGCTGCGATGGCGTCGCTCTCTGCTGCTGCGGAGGAGTCCAAGCTGTCGCCGGAACTGCTGCGCACGATCCGCGACGACGCAGAGGCGCGCGTGGACGTCATGGTGCAGCTCACGTCGCCATCTCAGGCGGTGCAGGCCAGCCGCAACCATGCTGACGCGGCGGATCTGAGCCGCACCCAGCGCGTCTCGTGCGTGGCCGAGTCGCTCCAGGATTTCGCCGCGCACACGCAGCAGCCGGTAAAGGATCTGCTCGCACGGCACAGCGAGCTGTTCCGCGGCTCCACGTTCCTGTGGATCAGCAACTCCGTCGCCGTGCAGGGCGCGCAGCGAGAGCTGCTGCTGGCTCTGACGCGGCTGGATGCAGTGGAGAAGATCGATCTGGAACAGGTCTTCCAGATTCGAACAGAAAATCAGTAGACAGGAAGCTGCTGGATGCATTAAGAGTTAACGCGCGCATCGCTTGCTTAACCTCAGCTGCTTGCTAACAGAGCTTGCTTTGCAACTTCAACACTAAAGATTGGTGATATGATGAAACACAACCTGACATCGCCTCAAACTTACCCATTACGAGAGGATATATTGCCCTACGCACGCACTCGTTCTTCCAGATTTCTCTAATTTGCTGCGGCTTTCTTGCGTTTGTAGATCGCGTAGTCCGCGTATTTGACGTACTGCGGCGTGAGCATCGGGATGTAGAACGATCGGTAGGGCGACTTGGACCGCTCAGCATCGAGGAACGGCTCGGAGTGCACGAGCTCCCAAGTGGCAGGCTCCTCCCAGAACTTGGTCTCCTGCTGGCCGGGCAGATTCAGGTCCACGACGTAGTCACAGCTCTCAATGGGCACGTAGCGACTGGGCTCCTCGCGGTTCTGGTCGTTCATGGCGCCGGGGATGATTGAAGTGCCGTTCTCGTGCTCCTCGAAAGGCTTCGGCAGCAGTCCGGAGAACGACGACTTCACAAACTGGACCTTGGTGCTGTTAGACGGGATGAAAAAGCTCGTCGGAAAGCGGTACCATTCCTTCACAAGGCACAGATTCACCGTTGGGGTGGCAGCGTTCGGGGCGTCAAGCAGCATTGCAGCGTGAGGGTTCGGTAGCACGTTGGCATACAGATGCTGGTACACACGAAGAGGGGCACTGAAGTTGACAACGTTGCTCACGACGCGAGACGCCGACAGCAGGGAGTAGACCCCAAGAATGCCAACCACAATAAGCTGCGTAAGTCCATTGCCCACGGCACGAGCATGGCTGAAGAAACGTCCAATACGATAAACCACAGCACTCAGCGTGATCGCAGCAGCCAGACAAAATAGTGGGTAGACCGGTGACAGGAACCGCTCTTCCTTGTGCGCTTGGGTGAACATGATCGCCACCCACACGTACATAGGCAGTAAGTACGCCACCAACTGCAGCTTTCCAGTCTCGTAATGGCTGGGCAACGCGAATACGAACAGCACCGCCGGAGCTGCCAATAGAGCCACTACGTTGAAGTTCAGAGCCAAATTCAGCAGATAGTAGCTCAGCGGCTCCGTCCCGTACAGCGTCGAGTCCGTCTCGTTGCTCAGCACATTGTACACCGCAATGTTCCACGCCGGTAGTACCCATCGCTGGTAGTAATGAAAGTTGACAATCAGTTCCACCGCCAGCACAGCGCCGCCGATACCTGCGCCAACCAGGATACTCTTGATCAGTCCCCGAGTGTAAAGCGTCTCGACTGCGAACGGGATGAAAAGAACACCGACGTAGGGCCAGCCGCAGAGTACCGCCACAACGCCCCAGAACAGAGCAAGGTAGTGATTCTTGTCCATCCAGGCGCTGGCGAACAGCATGACCAGCACCATAGTGAAGGTGCTGGGCAAGAAGGCTGTGCTGGCATGGAAGACGCCAGCGTTGAACAGCAGAATCCACAGCAGGTAGCGAGCAGTTCGTCGTCCGAAGCGCTTGCTGGTCGATTGGTAGAACAGAGCCTCCGCGTAGGCCGAAAGCAGCGCCAACGCCGCGCGCAGACCGTAGAACAGCAGCAGCTTCTGGTCGGCCAGCAGACCGAGCGTGGAGCCGAACGCCGTGAGCTGGACCACGACGTAGTGCAGCAGCAGGTAGAAGTAGGAGCGCAGGGCGTAGACGGGGGAATACTCCCACGTCTGGAAGCCGAAGCGGTAGAGCAGGTAGTGCAGCGGCTCCCAGTAGTTGAACGTCTCGTCACAGTCCGCGATGGGGCTCAGCAACGCCGACACGGCGCGAGGCAGGACCAGCAGCGACAGCGCCGTCTCCAGCGAGGGCAGCCACAGCTGACGCTCATCCAGCTGCTCGTTGCGCACCTGCGCGGCGGCGGCGGCCGACGCCTTCGCCTCTGACTTGGTGACGCGTCGAGTCGGCATTGACTTGGACGGGATACCTTCGGATGTTGCAAGGAAATGTGTGCAAACATTATGTGGTGTACAACACACAAACTGAGGTTGAAGTGCTGGCAAAGTTGAATTGGAATTGAAAAGCTTAAAGTTCATGTCGAAGCTGAGATGTCGACTATCAAGTGCAGGTCCACATCTGTAGCTTGAGCAACAGTGCAGACTAAAAGGTAAACAGCGACGGGGATCGTGGTGGTCGCTTACTCCTTTACGACGTAGTGCGTGCCCACAGAGAGCGGGCTGTTGAGAGCAGCCAAAGCGATCTCCTTGGCCGCGCGCACAGCGTTACGCAGACCAGCGGTCTCGCGCGTGACACGGCACTCCTGGTGCAGCTTGTCGGCCTTGACTTCCAGCAGCGCGAGCTTGTCTACGGCGCTGTCCATGCCGGCAGCCGTGCGGATCGGGCCAACGGACTCCCACATGATGCGCTGGGTCGCCAGCATCACCTCCTCAATCTCGTTCGGGTACGGGTCGCGGAAGCCGTTCAGGTTGGCGAACGGATCGTCCTCCTTCTTTGAGCTCTCCGAGTTGAGCTTCTCACTGCGCTCCATAAAGTCGTCAGCCGAGCTGCAGCCCCACACGAGTCCCTCAAGTAGCGAGGTCGAGGCTAAGCGGTTGGCTCCGTGGAGACCGGTGCAGCTCACCTCGCCCGCGGCGTACAGACCAGGAACGGTAGTGCGACCCTGGAGGTCAACCTCGACACCACCACAGTGATAGTGAGCGGCGGGAACCACAGGCATCGGCTCCTTGGTCATGTCGATGCCACGGTCGAGGCAGTGCTTGTAGATAGTCGGGAAGCGGTTCTTGATCCAGTCCGCGTCCTCGTGCGAGATGTCCAGGTACATGCAGGGCTCGTCCTGCTTCTCCATCTCGGCCAGGATGAGGCGGGCCACGACGTCGCGCGGGGCGAGCTCACCGTCGGGGTGGTAGTCCTTGGCGAAAGCGCGCCCACTCTTGTTGCGCAGGATGGCACCTTCACCACGCAGTGCCTCAGTCAGCAGGAAGCGGCGCTCGTCGGGGATGTACAGCGTGGTCGGGTGGAACTGCACGTACTGCATGCTCTTGAGCTTGGCGCCGGCACGGGCAGCAAGGGCGATGCCCTCGCCGCGAGCACCCTCGGGGTTCGAGGTGTTCTTGTACACATCACCCACACCGCCAGTCGCCAGCAGCGTGAACAGAGCACGGTAGTGCTCAACCTTGCCCTTGGTGGACACGGTGAGGGCGCCAACGCATTCACCGGCGTCGTTGGTCACCAGCTCGAAGGCGCTACGACCGGTCAGCAACACAATGTTGGGGTGGTCCTGAACCGCTTGAACCATGCTGGTTGAGATGGCGCGGCCCGTGTGGTCCGCCTTGTACAGGATGCGCGCACGGTTGTGCGACGCCTCCAGCGTGAGCGCGAGCTCGCCATCGTCCTTGCGAGTGAATGGCACCTTGGCGACGTCCAGTAGCAGCTCCTCAACGCGTCCGGGGCCTTCGACTGCAAGCTTTTGGACAGCGATATCATCGCAGACGCCCGCGCCTGCACGGTGGACGTCGGAGGACAGAAGGGCGGGGGTGTCGTCCTCGCTCTTGTAGATGATGCCGCCCTGGGCGTAATACGTCGCGCAGTTGTTGGGGTCTTCGGCAGCGGCCAGCATCGTCACTTTGACGCCCTGGTTGGCCAGGCGCAGCGCAGCAGCATTGCCGGCCACGCCGCAGCCGAGGATCAGTGCCTGGCACTCGATCGTGTCGTAGGTGGCGGTGGCCGACGACGCGCGGCGCAGCAGGGAGCTGCTGGCATTGAGGTGACGGCGAGGAACAGAGCCGTTGGCCTTGGCACAGGACTCGGGGGCGCTGAAGGGGGCCGAGGCGCGGGCGAGCAACTCAAGTTGAGTCATGGTCGGTAGTAGCAGTGGTACAGTGGTTGGTTGTCTTGTGTGTTCCGGGGGGGGGGCCTAGTGGCTGGCGGTGTACACGGGGTACTTTTTGTTGAAAGTCCACGAGCTCTTCACGGACATCCAAAGCGGGCGATGGATGAGCGGAAGGGTGGGGCTGGACACTTGACGGCGGTCTCGGTGTTCGAGCGGGGCCACGAGTGTCTTGTCTTGGGAGCTTTTCGGTGCTTGACGTGCGCGCTTGGGGGCAATTTCCGTAATGAACTGATCGCGATACCCGACGAGCGGGCCATTCGTGGGGTAACGACATCAGGGGGCGACGGTCGCGACTTGGAGTTTGTATGTGATATCAGGCTGTAGCACAAGCGGGTGGCTTCTGTTACCGTCTGTGATATAGTACAAGCAGCAACCGATAGTTACTCGGTTTCAGTATTGGTGGGGAGAGTGGTGCAAGGAGCCAGTGTGGTCTGATGGCTTGCTTGTGCAAGGCGCTTTTTGCGAAGCGCTCGCAATCGCTCAATCATGCACTGCCTCGACCTGGAACTGATGCACAGTAGAAACCGCCTCGCAGTCAAAGAAATGCGCGCGTTTCTGAGGAGCTGCAGCCGATTACGCCCTGTGAATCACAGAGTGATGGATGCCTTTGAAAGGCGCTCGATCTGCAGCCAGCAAGTGGCGGTGCGCAACCTGTTTTAAGCATCCTGCAGTGTGTACGTGTAGCATGGTCGGTATGCCCGCTTTCGCCGCATTCCCCTCGGCCTCTGCCACCTGCTTGCTTGCGCCTGCAGCAAGGTTCGCTTTGACTCTTGCGATGTGCTGGCCCAGCGCAATCAGACCGGGGTCACACCGGATTCACACAGGATTGGAAGGAGCGCTATCGATTCTTCAAAAAGTGCTTTCATTTTTGTCCAATCAAAAACGATTTGACAGGCGTTTTCGGTGCTTGCAGCCCACGCACACGCCGTCTCGATGCCGGGACCAACAGGAACGAGTGTTGCGCCAGCTGTGGGTGGTAACTCGCAGCTACGCGACTTCAAGCTTGTAAGGCGAACTCGTATAAACTCGCCGTTTGCCTTCACTGTAGCCGCCGCAGCGCGCAGCTCGACAGCTCTGCTCACCCGGCAAGATGGCGTCGCCCATAAAGAAGAAGCCCCAGAAGCCCCACCAGCCTTCGTCTCTCGTGACGCCCGGCGCGCTGTCGCCGACTCTCTGGTGATGCCCCCGCGCGCCGTTCTCAAGAGCGTGGCCAAACCTCTGTGGCCTCGTAGCATCAAGCGACCTAAGCCCAAGCCGCGTTAGCGCAAGCCTCGCAAGCGACAGCCTCGGGAGGAGCCTCGAGGAAAGGCAGAGGGGGCTGCAAGGGTGAAGCGCCCCTGCGTGATCGCCAAACACAAGCTCGTGGCGCCGCTCCTCACCTGCATGGCGGAGGTGACGAACTCCGCCGCCCCTGAGTGGAAGACCCCAGCGCTGCTCGAGGAGGTGAAGAGGAGGACGGAGCTACTGCAACAGCAGCAGCAACAGCGACCACCTGAAGCTGCGTCGCAGTCCAAGGCAGACTCGACGGAGACCGTGGAGGTGAGCAGTTCGGAGGCGGTCAGCAGCACCTTCAAGGTTTGGCTACGCCCCACCAAGGAGCTGAAGTCCATGATGGATCTGATGTTCTCGGCCCACAGAGCGGCGTACAACCGGTTTGTCTTCCTCTCGCGCAAGGACATTGCCAAGTGCACGCCGATGAAGGAGCTGCGGAAAACATACCGTCCCATTTTCTAGGAAGGTACGATGGCGACCTATCTCAGCAGGAACAAACGGCTGAAGAAATACCTGGAGATGAACAATCAAGTGTTCGACTCGGTATTCCAAGACGCCATGACGGCAGTGCTTGCCGCGCCTGGCGAAGCTGAACAACACCGCCAAGGCGGCGGCCAAGAAGTATCAGTCTGCCATGCTGCACACCGAGCAGAAAGTGGCCAATGCTAAGACGGTCAAGGCCCCTAAGTCGCGCGAGGATCGCCTACGCAGAGGGAGATAAGGCTGACAAACACCAAGATCGCCAGCTGGATCGCTGCTAACTTCAAGAAGTTCCTGCTGCCGTCGTTTCAGACGTCGCTAATGGTGCGCAAGTACGAAGCGGAGATGGCAGCGGGCGGCACGCCGGAGTCGCTCACCCAGTTCGAGGCCCGCCGCGGCAGGAAGCGCCGTATCTGCAGCCCTACGGCGCGTGGAATGCTGGACCTCCGCCACTACAGCTTCTCGCAGATACTGACGCACAAGAAGGGGAGGGCTGGCGGGCGGCTGATCTCCTACGAGGAGGAATACACCCCCAAGAGCTGCTCAAGCTGCGGCAAGATCAAGGAGAAGCTCGGCGGGAAGGAGGTGTACAAGTGCGACTTCTGAGGCGCCTGAACGGGGCCAGCAACATCTTCGTCAAGAACATCGAAATGCTACTCTAGGGTTGCAACACACACAGCGGTGATGGCTTCATCGCGGGGTCCTGCCGTTCAACACGGCGCTAAAGGCCCACCAGCCGGCTAGCTATGCAGGGGGACGATTCTTAGGTCAAAGGACGCAATTCAGAATTGCCTTGGATACGATTGACACTCATTAATCCCTACAACTTCGACAGGCTCAGCTCGAGCTTGGCGATCGTGCGCATGTGCACCTCGTCCGGTCCGTCGGCGATACGAAGCGTCCGCAGTGCTGCGTACAAGTACGACAAGATGAAGTCCTGCCCCACGCCAGCCGCGCCGTGCAGCTGGATGGCGCGATCGCACACGGCCAGCGCCATGTTGGGGGCCACGATCTTGATCATCGCGATGGCTTGCTGAGCGACCTTGTTGCCCCTCATGTCCATCTGATGCGCGGCCTGCAGAGTGAGCAGACGCGCGCTGTCCAGCTCGCAGCGCGACTTGGCGATCTGGGAGCACACGAGCGGATTCTCGGCCAGAAGCTGCTTGAACGCCGTGCGCGTCTTGGCGCGCTGCACCATCAGCTCCATACAGCGCTCGGCCGCGCCGATCGCACGCATGCAGTGGTGGATCCGACCCGGTCCGAGACGCGCCTGCGCGATCTCGAAACCGCGGCCCTCGCCCAGCAAGATGTTGCTGAACGGCACGCGGACGTCCTTGAACAGCATCTCCATGTGGCCGTGCGGAGCGTCGTCGTATCCGAGCACGTGCATGGGCTTCACGATCTCCACGCCCGGGGTGTCCATGGGCACCAGGATCATCGACTGCTGCTTGAACGCACTGTCCTTAGCCCTCTCCGGGTGCTTGCCCATGAGCACGATGATCTTGCAGCGCGGATCGCCCGCACCGGAGATGTAGAACTTGTGGCCGTTGATCACGTACTCCTGGCGCTCCTCATCACGGACGATGCTCGTTTCAATGTTGGTAGCATCGGATGACGCCACGCGCTTCTCCGTCATGGCAAAACACGAGCGGATCTCACCCTTCAGTAGCGGCACCAGCCACTGGTGCTTCTGCTCAACGGTGCAGAAGCGCGTGAGGATTTCCATGTTGCCCGTGTCCGGAGCTGAACAGTTGAAGACTTCCGGAGCCAGCACAATGGACCGGCCCATCACTTCGCACATGAGCCCGTACTCGAGGTTGGTCAGGTCACCTCCGTAGTTCACGTCCGGCCCCTTGCCATCGAGCGCCGGCACCACGCACTCCGGCAGGAAAAGGTTCCACAGCCCCAGAGCCTTGGCCTCCGCCTTGAGCTCCTCGATAATGGGAGGCACAACGTCCCAGACACGGCCCTCTTCGCGAGCCTTGGCAATCTGCTCGAGGTGCACGTGCTCAGCGGGGTAAACTCGAGTCTGGCAGAACTTGAGCAACTTCTTGTAGATCTGTAGGGCGTGCGGACGGATTGGGAACGGCAAAATATGTTCCAGCTCAGGCTCCGGGTAAATGTCCGCGGAGGCGTCCATGATGTCGTCACTCATGGCCAGCAGTCGGTCCATCGTAGTCTTGGCGCACGCAGCGTTGGCCGAGGACGCATTACCCTGCAGTGCGCGAGCGTACACACCGTGGCAAATGGCTGCGAATCGGTAAGTGACGATTCCCACAAAGAAATTCCACGCCTGCGTAGTGAGCGGGAAGCGGTTAGCTCGGCGGCAGTAGCCCAACAGCAGCTCACTCTCCGACGGAATGCCGAGTTGCTTCAGCGGGGCGCCCGAGAGCCCCGGGGTCATGATCGTGTTCGAGTTGTCGATGGGCAGTCGGTAGGCCGAAGCCAGCGTGGCCACATCCGAGAACGGGTTACCAATAGTGCACAGCTCCCAGTCCAGAATGGCCAAGACGCGAGGCTCGGTGGGGTGGAAGATCATGTTGTCGATGCGGAAGTCTCCGTGGACAATGCTGGCGCCGCCGCTACTCGTGGCCTTCTCAGCATCATCTGCGTTCTGCTCCAGCCAGTGCTGTAGCTGCGTCATCTTGGGGTTCTCCTTCACACCAGCCTCCGCAAACACCTTCTGCCCTCCCTGCACCTGGCGACTCCAGCGAGCCACCACTCGGTGGCAGTACTTCTCCGGTCGGCCGAAGTCCGCCAGCCCGATCTTCTTGTAGTCCAGCGCGTGCAGCTTCACCAGCGCGTCCACCGCCGAGCTGTACATAGCGTAGCGGTACATGGGCTTGACGCCAGGCAGCGACGGGTCCTGGAAGATGCGGCCGTGCACGTACTCCATGAGGTAGAAGGCCGTGCCGATGACCTTGGGGTCCTCGCACAGCAGCACAGCGCGCGGCACGGGCACCTCCGTGTGCTCCAGCGCCTCCAGCACACGGAACTCGCGCTCCACGGCGTGCGCGGACGGCAGGATCTGGCCGTGCGGCTTCTTGCGCAGCACCCACTTGGCGCCCGAGCCGGCCATCGTCACGAGGTACGTGGGGTTCGACTGGCCGTGCTGGAACTGGCGGATGGACGCGATGGCGCCGTGGGACGCACCCAGGCGCGAGTGGATATAGGCCGTCAGCGCGGGGGCGTCCAGCGCCTGGCGAACGTCTTGCACCGTCATGATGATGAGAGCGGAATGCGCGCGCTTGAGCAACACCGGGACGATCTCGGAATGAAGTTGTGAAACATGGGCTCGACTGCTGAGGATACACCTGCGAAAACTTATCGCTGTGCATCAAGATTTTCTTATTCTAGCCGGTTATCATAGTACATGCACATACCTAGCCTAGAAACCATCTGTGCATTATATACTATTCTTGACGGATATCGTGATAAAAAGGTATAAAAGGTGGTGTTGAGTAAACGGCCAACTTCAACGTGAAGTGCTTGAGCTGGAGCTTGCTTACGTCGAATGGCACGGGGGGAAAGGAGACGACGTGAGCTCGTAGGTCAGGCACGGAATGGGTTCTGGTTGAGTTTACTTGAATTTGATGCATACTTGCTAGCTACAGCTACCCAATTAGTTGGTCGCATTGAACTCCTTGTTGAGCGCGCCACCGATGACCAGGTGCATGATCTCGGACGTGCCCTCGTAGATCTCCGTGATGCGCGCGTCGCGGTAGTGGCGCTCCGCCGGCATCTCCGACACGTAGCCCATGCCGCCGAGCACCTGGATGGCCTGGTGCGAGCACATCGTCGCCGCCTCCGAGGCCTTGAGCTTCGCCATCGCTGCCAGCTTGGTAAACGGTCGGCCGGCGTCCTTCTCCACGGCAGCCTTCCACGTCAACAGACGCGCGGCCTCGATCTCCGTAGCCATGGTGGACAGCTTGGTCTGGATGATGGGGTTCTTGGCCAGAGGCACGCCGAACGTCTTACGGGTCTGCGCGTACGCGATAGCGCAGTCGTATGACGCCTGAGCAATGCCCAGCGCCTGCGACGCGATGCCGATACGCCCCGAGTCCAGCGTGATCATCGCGATCTTGAATCCGTCGCCCTCCTTGCCGATCAGGTTCTCCTTCGGGATCTCGACGTCCTCGAAGATGAGGTTGCCCGTGCTAGAGCCGCGGATGCCGAGCTTGTCCTCCTTCTTGCCCAGAGAGAAGCCCGGAGCATCGGTCGGCACCAGGAAGGCGCTGATGCCCTTGTGCTTGAGGGACTTGTCCGTCGTAGCAAACACGATCGCCTGATCGGCGTCGTGGGCGTTGGTGATCCATGCCTTGGTGCCGTTCAGCACGTAGCCCTTGTCCGTGACGCGAGCTGTGGTCGAGGCGGCGCCAGCATCACTGCCGTTGCCGGGCTCACTGAGTCCGAAGCATCCCAGCTTCTCTCCGCTGGCGAAGGGCGTCAGGTGCTTCTCCTTCTGCTCCGGCGACCCGAACTTCTCCAGCGGCGCGCAGTACAGCGACTGCAACACAAACAATGGCACGAGATCCGTCAGCCTCTCTCTCCTCGTTATGACAAAACTAAACAGGTAAGCTAAGACGACGCACGTTGTTAACGGACATGATGACGCCCGCAGTCGCGCAGCCGCGACTGATCTCCTCCATGGCGATGGCGTAGGCCAGATAGTCCAGGCCCGCACCGCCGTACTCTTCGTCAATGGCGACGCCCATGAGCCCCATCTCGCCCAGCTCCTTCACCTGCTGGGCCGGGAACCTGTGCTCCTTGTCGATGTCTCCGGCGATGGGCTTGAGGTTCTTGGCCGCGTACTGCACGCACATGTCGCGCAGCATGCTGTGCTCCTCCGGCAGCGAGGACAGGAAGCCGATGGAGCGCGTTTGCGTGCGTCTGCAGGGCCGCAGCACGAAAGACGCGTTAGCTCGGGCAATTGCAGGTCGTTTAACGCCGGAAAAGCCGGGAAAGGCAGGTCAAAGACAGGAGAAACGTACGCATGCTTGAGCACGGAGAAAGAGGACGCGACGGCGCGCTGCAGAGACTTGGAGAACATGATGCGGTGGCGATGTGTGCGGTCGGCGTCGAAAGGTGCGGAATGATGTTGCATCAACGTCAGCAGTCGCTCAGGCACAGCTACTGAAGTTCGACAATCTAACGCTTTATTGCAGGTAATCGCTGTATGAAGATAGGAGACGGGAAGTTTGACTTGATTTTGTATGAAGTCAAAATTCCCGTCTCTCTAACTCTGCAATGTTAAGTTAGAATACAACTATACAGAGTCAATTGTAAATGAAAGGGATATGCCAGCACCACGTCGGATCCCAAGAAAAATACTGACGTGTTATGGTACCACTTTGATGGTACCATTCTGACGAGGGTAAGGCGTTGAAGGTGTTGAAAGGCTAAAACCATTTGCTGCAGTGCTGTTCTTTTTTCTAGTTGTACAAAGACCCCCGTGCGCTCCCATACTACTCGTGCTAAGAAAATGTGGCTTCGAGGTTCGTCGAAGCTTATAAAATTGAGCAGCACGAGTTGTTGTTGGCCCCGATCGTGCAGGGCCCGTGCTTGACCTCCCACACGAGGTACTCGACTGCTTCTCGCTGGAACGTCTCCGGGCAAACGTAGTCCCAGCCGCTGTACGCGGCCTGCTCCTGCTCCGACAGCTTAATCCCCTTCACGATCGAAATGTCGAAGGACCCGATGTCCGCCTGCGACGCCGCATTGATCTCGTTGTCGGGCACGAACGGCGGTGGGACCTGCATCTGCTCCATCTGCACCCAGTCGATAGAGGAGAAGAACCGCATGCACTTGACTTCCTCTGCTCCCTTCGCTCCTAGACGCTTTTTTGGGTCCCGGTTTAGCAATTCTGCACATAGGTAGGAATATCGACACGCAAGAGTGTGAGCCACTTATCAAGCAACTGCGGAATGATACACCGCGGAAGACTTACGCTGGATGAGCTCTGCTGCTTCTGGAGAGAAATACTTGGGGTCGTACGCTGGCGTGAGCTCCAGCGTGGCCTTATCATACGCTTGCTGCTTGTCCTCATGCAGAGCTTTCGCCTTTGATGTCCGAAACGGACACTTCCCGTACAAGAGCTCATACACCAAGCACCCATAGCTCCACCAATCGACTGTTTGGTCGTATACCAACCGATTTCCGCTCTCGTCCCGCAGGAGCATCTCGGGTGCCCAATATCCTCGCGTTCCGCATCGGCCTGTCAAGGTCGGCGTCACCTCAACAGCTAGTCCAAGGTCGGAAATACTGCAGTTGCCCTTCTCGTCCAGCAAAATATTCTCGGGCTTGAGGTCCCGGTATACAATGTTTTTGTCGTGCAAGTGCTGAATGCCCAGTAGAATTTGTGCAGCCCAGAACCGCACTTGTGTCTCTGAAAACCTCGCCCGATTGAGGTGAAAGGAAAGATCTCCACCCGTCCGCAGGTCGAGAACGAGAAAGAGTTCCTCGGGCGTCTGGAAGGCGTACTTCAAGCACACGACGAATGGCGACGAAATCATCGCTAGTATTTTCCGCTCGGCTAGGCAGAGCTTCTCGGCGTGCTTCTTCTTGATCATCTTCTTGTTCATCACCTTCATCGCGTATAGAGAAGCCGACGTCCGCTTGATGCACCCGTTCACCATACCAAACCCACCGCGACCAAGTACGCGGAGTACCGTAAAATCATCTTCACTCACGCGTCGCTTTTGCAGGAACAGGAAGGCAATCAACCGCTTGTGAAATGCAGAGGAGCGGAAGTCTTTCAAGTGGTATTGCTCCAGACTGCATAGCACGCACGCCTCCAGCTCGTCAAACAGTGTCAGTGCACATGCTTTAGCATCCAGGCTCAAGCGCTTCTCGTTCCGCTGGCCGATCGTCTTCGACACTGAGCTGTCTGATCGGCTTTCCATCCCCAGGTCGTTGAGTTCGCTGGTAGACACAGTGCTAGCTGTGGGGCTTCCGACGTTGGTTGGACTTCCGTCTCGCAAACAGTTCGTTGAGTCCCCACGTTCGGATTCTGTTGTCAACGGAGCTGCTTTCCGCTTGAAAATTGCGGTCAGCCGCTGAACCACCTCGCCGCCGACTCCAAGGGGGCTTGCCTCCGTGGATACACTACTGAAAATGCCGCGTACATCTGCTCTGGTCACCGAGGATTCATTCTTGCGCCAGAACACGATCCCATTCGTGGTCATGGATGCCACATTCAGTTCCTCAAGACATCCGAGCGACATCCGTGTTGGACTGGTCCGCCCCACCGGCGGATTAATAACATTTCCGTGGGTGTTGTTCCCAGGAGAAGTCCCTGTCGAGCTTGCCATCCCAATCGAAGAGCAATACTCTGTTCCAGGGGAAGACGACGGGGCCGTCGCAGGGGAGAGTGGCGTTGTTTGATGCAGGCGCGCTTCGCCTCGCATTCCAGGCGACCAAACCGTGACGCCGCTTTCTCGAGTCGCCGCGTTGGAGTCCCCGCCTGGAGTCGCGTTCCCGAAGAAAAGGTCCCAGATCTCCCTGGCCTTGATGGTGCGCTGCTCCGGGGTCTGCAGCGTGCGGTACTTGGTCACCTCGACCAAGAAGTCCAATTTCCTGCTCCCGTGCTGCTCCGCCTCGCAGAACCGCCGGAAGAAATAGAAGCCCAGCGGCATATCCAGCAGGTTCTCGAGGCCGAGCCAGTCAGTGCCCAGCGCGCGCTCCTGGCGGTCCACGAACTGCGTGAGCTCGTTGGCCGACGGGTTGTAGAACGCGGCGCTTGGGCCGCGCTGCGAGTTGGTCACGGCGCCGATGTACTGCGCGTCCTGGATGGCATCGTGCAGCTCGTCCATGGTCCTCGACGCGGCGTGCTGCGAAGTGGCTTCAGGTGATTACTGCCGACGTTTAAGTCGCGGGGGGATCACCGGCAGCTGCGCGCGTTGCCGCTCAAGCTCAATGCGTTCGTGTTCCGTCTGCCTCCTTCTTGACTCGCAAGGCACTACTCAGACTGGATGGCAGACGCTGGATGCCGATGCCAGCGCGCCACCAAAAATACCCTGTCCTGCCTGCTCCTGCTTCTGCTGCTGCGCTGCGCTCCACTTGGTTTCTTCACTCAAGACAAAGGGCCTCGTTATATTTGGGGGAGACCTAGCCTTGGCCTCTCCTCCCTCACTCACCCGCCCTGCGCTGGCACGAACACACCAACTGGACTTGGGGCTGGAAATAGCGAGTCAAGAGCGAGGACGCGGGACAATCGCTCTCCAGTAAAGATAACGGGGCGGGGTCAAGGGGAAATGCCCTCGTGCCCTGAGTCCGCTCGGTTCGAAAAGTGATGTCTGTTGGCTGCGGGCGGTGCTGATACCTGTGACCTTCAAGTCGTCGTTTGACTGGCGAAAATTTGGGTCGTTCTTTGCGCTTCAGTTGAATTGCGCGTCGTCACTAGTCGTCAAGGTCGGGCGGTCTCAATCTATGTACAGAACTCTGCCTGAATACCGAACGCCTGTTATATATAAGGGCTCTAGGTTTATAAAGTGATCTCAGCGTTACCAGAGAAAAGGCTGTACTTAATTAGTTTATCTTAGACGGGATTTGACGCTTGCTTAGTTAATCAAACCCGAGTAAAGCAGACCTTGCTGTGGTGTTCCAAGTGAAGCGCAGTGCTGAGTTGTTTCAGCGCTGACCTTCGACCAAGCGTGTTCGCACCACATCAGTGCGGTTAGTAGCTCAACTTTGTACTACTCGTAGAGGGCTTAGCGGGTAGTGCGCAAATGTGAAAGTGGAATCGTAAATACAGAGAAGATCGCACTGACAATCAAAAGGGCGCCAATTTTCAAACTGCACAGCTTAGTACTTTTAGCGAAACAAAGGTATCCTGGGTTTTTACATCAGTACCTTTGCCCATCTCCGTCCGTCCTGTTGTTGGACTTTGAAGTATTATTTATATGAGGTTATGTATTGTATACCCGTTCAGTATTGAGGCAGATATCTGTAACGCTGGTACAGTAGAAGACGAGTACATTATTTGTGTAGTTAAGTACATTCGACGTGCAGCATTTCACGACACTGATAGCTAGGAACGAGCATCCTCGGAGACGCGCGCTCAGGCCGCGGGGCTGATGGCCTTGGCGGCGTCCGAGGAGGCGCGCGAGAACTTGCGCGACTTGTAGCGCGCGTCCATCAACTGGCTGGCCGAGCACGGGATGAGGAAGCTCGGGATACGCACGTCGGCGGCCATGGAGCTGCGGCCCGTGCGGCGCCACGACGGCTCGTAGACGGGCACGGGCTCCGCTGCCGCTGGTGCGGGCGCTTCGACGCTGGCAGCTGAGTCGTCCATCCTGACGGTTGAGTAGCTGCTGCCGTTGCTGCTGCTGTTGGGCGTGTTGTACTTGCGGGCGTGGGCGCGCACACCACTCGACACTGCGCGGGCAGGCTGGCGGGAGTGGTGCATACTTTAGAGGAGGCTTGCGCTGGAGGCTTCGGAACGAGGAATGAGGGCGCGGCTTCAAGCTGCTGCATGACTTTCCACAATCAAGGACCCTTCGCTGACGCACGTCCGGATTGCCGCAGATTTGTGTGGGGCTGGTGTGGACCTCTGTAAATGAATCAAACGGCTATAACGTATGTATCCGGATAACGCTGATCTTGTTTTGGGTATAGTGGAGGTCTTAAAATTTAGTCTATTCGCAGAAGCCATTGGAAAAGTTTCCATGCCGCACCCCGGTATTTTACAACTTGTGGCCAGCTGGACCATGTGGCCTCGCGCCGGCATGGCCAGGAGCGCTCATGGGGACCCGGCTCTGCGGGTGAATTCCTGGTAACGCCTCAGCTCATGGCGGGTGGTGATGGCACGGAGGCCGATCAAGCGTGCGCCTCACATGCCGAGGAAAGTGGCCACGGGTTCCGCCGCTGGCTGCATGCAACATGAAGCTCATCGAGCAAATCCGAGTGGCGCCACGTCGGACCAAGCATCGCCATTTCACACCAAGTGCTTTCTATTATCGTACTTGCTGTAGAGCAGCTCTCAATACAACTTGTACGCCCATGCCTTCACAGCGGCTTCTCCATCGTTCGAGCCGATACCGGTACCCCACGCGAACAGCGAACAGTAGGGGCGTCGTCAATGAAGAGGCGCCCTGGCAATCACGGGCTGCTGGGGACTCTATGGCAGACCCATGCATAAGGACCTCATGGTGCCGTTGTAGCTTGACCAACTTCGACCACAACGTTTGAGCGACGTCGCTGTCTGATAGCACTGCAGACATGTACTTCATGTAGTACAGTAGGCTCAATCCTAAATTTCAACTTTAACTCTAACTTTCAAGTTTGACATCTTGGAGCCGGAATCGGTGTCGCCGTTACGTCGCGGCATTCCGAGACCGGTTCGGACGTCATGACGAGCGCCGCGGTGGCGTTCACGGTCGACCAACTGGCGGCACGCGACGGCGGCCTCGATCTCCGCCTCCGCCTCGAGAGCAAGCGCGCAGCAGGTTCGACGTCTACGCGCTCCGAATCCCGCAACATTCCCGTTAAATAACTTTTTTTACCTGTAAGTAGCCGATTCTTCCTCCGGCAACTGGCAGCGCGTGCGCGAGGGGCCTCTCAAGCTGCAGGACGTCAACATCGTCTCGCAGCTCAACCGAGCGCAGTATGGTAAGCTGACCTGTCAGTGTTCAGGTCCCAGGGACGCTAGGAACTTACAAGACCTCTGTGGTTCTACATCTAGCCTACCGGCTCTCATTGAGACCATCAGCGCCGGATGCCACGCAGACTGCAGCTTTCCCCGTGTACCTGGAGGTTCCAGCGCTGCCTTCCAGTCCGCGTGAAGACGCAGACGCAGCGGAGATGTGTCCGCCTCAGATTGGCGCGTTCGCAGTCATGGAGCCATTCCAGTGCCAGTCGCCAGAGCAGGACGCCGCAGAGCCCACAAGTGTTGGCCAGGCTGCTGCGATGCTGGGCGGGACCTTGGCTGCGGCCTTGCTGGTGTACTCCCTGCTGCCCTATGTGAGGTCGAGAAACAGGAAGAGGCGGCGCAGTCGCTCGCACTCCCACTCGCAGGCGACGAGCAAGGACAGATTGAGCTGGCGCAGTGATCAGCACGAGGTGCCAAGCACGCCAACGACGCCGAACGGTGCGAGTCGATGCATGTGGGGCAGCCTAGACGACGATGGCATTGAACCCGCTCGGGCGTATCGTGATGGAGTGCGAGAGAGAAAGAGTCGACTACCGGAAGCCAATGGAAGCGCGGGGTCGGACGCTGGATCGGAGCTCCTGTTGGCTAAGCTGCCCGACTTTAATGGTGAGGGCAGCTTTGTGACTAGAGTAGAGATTGTATGGGGTATTGATCTGACGATGTGCGTATTTTGTAGATGAACGCGGGTGGCGCGACTTCTTCGACTCGCAGATTTACCACAGCGACCCGCAAGAGGAGCAGCGGGCAGCGACTAAGACGTTCTCGAGCATCAAAGCACGAGGAGACCCAGAGTTGAACGCAGTTACTGCTGCAAAGCGTCTAAATCTACGGCAAACCAGGACTACCACCGCATCAGCATCGCCAAGAAGTGACAGATACAACTCGATCCGAGACAAGATCGACCGAGCTGCGATGGAGGCTGCTGTCGACGAAGCCCAGTCATTCTACGAGTTCTGGCAGATGTGAGCGGGGATGCACGTATTTGTAGATACATGACAAGCTTTATGGTCTCGATTCGAGGACGTTGGTGCGAATGAAGCATCGATATGGATATTTTCAATCAAGCTCAAGTTTCACCGCGTGAGTGTCGTGAAAGTCGGCACGTGCGGTACAGTTTTATTCTCTTGCTAATATAATACTGTGCAAAACGGTTGGGGCCCTTACTGCTCGCTGTTGCTTGTGTGTCTTCAGTTTTTGTTTGTCCCTAAAATACGTGTGTCTAACGTGTGCACCCCATAGCTGCTAGCGTTTCCAGGTCTATGGCAGGTTCCCCGCTCATTCTGATGCCTGCATTCCAGTGACATGGGTTCCAAGGCGCCAAGAATAGAGCTTCGTCCTCGAGATGGCACGCACAAAGCTCCTACCAGCAGCAACTGCAACAATGCCGATGCTTGTGGCTGACAGATATAACGCTTCTGGCCGCCCCGTGGCTAGTGCGATTGAAGAGGCCCTCGCCGCAGTTAACAAGGTCCATGGTCCGGGCGCTGTCATGGCTGGCAGCAGCGGTTATCATGGCCATTGGGTTGTCTGCAGAGGCGCCGATGGCGGCGACGACTACTACTACAGCCGTTAGGAATGGTATGGATCTCGGCCAGTCGACCAAGTCTCGGACGCAGCAGCGAATGCACAAACGGGCGAACGTGATGGTCACGATGAAGTCTACTGGCAACGACATTCTAGCCAAGATCAAGGGGCAAAAGTTCACGTCGCGCGGCCACCGCGTGGCTGCTCTGAAGGACGGCCTCGAAGGGTTTGCAAAAGAGTCGCAGCGCGGGATTCACGAGCTCCTGGGGAAAGTGAGCGACTCGTTCGCGCGCTCGAAGAGTTTTTGGATCACGAACCAGATCTACGTGCAGCAGGCGACGCCGGACCTTGTGAAGCAGCTCGAGAAAGTACCCGGGGTGCTGTCGGTAGAGTACGAAATGGTCTTCCCAGCCTCGATGCCTGTGCTGTCGACGCAGTCCATGTCAAGTTCAACTTCAGCGGCTCAGTGGGGTGTGAGTAAGATCAACGCGCCAGACGTGTGGGCTACAGGCAACACCGGTCAGGGAGTTGTCATCGGTTCAATCGACACCGGCGTACGTGGTACCCACGAGGCACTAGCGAGCAATTACCGCCAAACTTACGGCTGGTATGACCCAGAAACGAAATCGAGCGCCCCTTATGATTCAACGGGCCATGGGACCCACGTCATGGGAATTATGGCAGGACAATTTGGCTTCGGAGTTGCTCCGGGCGCTACATGGATCGCGTGCAAAGGGTGCCGGGCGCAGGGGTGCTACGGCTCGGATTTACTGGCGTGTTTCCAATTCATGTTGTGTCCGACGACTCCCAGCGGAGGGTCTAAGGACTGCTCAAAGGCTCCTAACATCGTGAACAACAGTTGGGGAGGTGGCCAGGGTCTTACCATGTTCGATGGGGTTATCAACGCTTGGCGAGCTGCCGGGATCATACCTGTCGTGGCAGCTGGAAACACGGGCCCCAACTGCGGCACTATCGCGTCACCGGGTGACTCTGCTAGCGTTATCACAGTTGGTGCGACGGACATCAACGATGTCCTCGCGTCCTTCAGCAGCAAAGGCCCCACGGTGCGAGGACTTCGGAAGCCCGACGTGGCTGCTCCAGGTGCGTTGATCTTGTCGTCTTGCTGGACGGACGACTCGTCCTACTGCTTCAAGTCGGGCTCTAGCATGGCCTCCCCTCATGTAGCAGGCGCCATTGCGCTCTACTTGAGCGCGAACCCGGGGACATCCTACGAGAAAATCAAAGATTTGCTGCAGTCGAGATCCGTGACCACCACACTCACGACCCCGACGGGCTTCACCTGCGGAAACACGCAAGACCGAAATTTCCCCAACAACCAGTACGGCTACGGCCGCATTGACATTTTCAACACCCTCAGTTAATAGGGGCACCCTTTTATTTACTCGCTAACCCAGCCTACCCTCCTACTCAAGTTGAAATGATCGACAGTACAATGCGAAGTAATCTACGTTCATACAAAGATCGAATTTCCTCGTCGTTTATCTCCCAACATCTATCTGCGCACCCACACTTCCAAGTTTGTCTGCCTATTTATATAGTGATAGACTGCCCCACATTCATATTTTGCTTTGGAAATGACACCAAGGCCCGTGACAACACCCGTAGCAACACGTGCTGGGGTACCGAGCCTCAATGTCCGCCCTGTTTCAAGGGCAGCGACTGCAAGTGCAAGCTTCCGCAGCTCCGGTCGACCCTTTTCAGCGTCCAATTTGCCAGCGTCCATCGCGAACGCACGCTTCAAGAGTTTCCAGCTGCAGTACGACATTTTGTGCCATAATCCTATCCTAGCTGCTATCTCACAAGAAATCCCCTGGAAGAACCTCTTTGACCTCTTCCTCCTCAAGTTCTTTGCTGTCGGGGACGAGCTCTGGTCACAGGGAGAGCAACCACACGAACTAGCATTCGTTTTGTGCGGTGGCTTCCTCGCTCGAACGACTGAGGAAATCACACAGACAACGACGGACATATTTGAGAACGAAAAACCGAAAATTAAAGTTCTGGCCGAGAAAATGATTAAACCTGGTGGGAGCCTAGGAGCCTTCTTGGTGCTAAAGGGAACCCCACTCCCCTACGCTGTCGTGACGGCGCGGTTCAAGTCCATTTTGCTATCTCTACCGAGCCAGCGACTCAAATCCGTGATGCGACAACTAAAACCCGAGACGCAGGAGCTGGTTGAGCAATTGATCTATGAGACCGAGAAACAACTCATGGAGGCGCTGAATTTACCATTTCGAGTGCAACGAGATCTTCGCGTCAGCACGGCTCCTGCGAGCACCAAGCAGCAAGTGGGTCAGTTCGGAGGCCGACCCAAGAAGAAAATTCCCCCGTCGCTAGTCGATCGCATCATGGGCTCCTCGGAGAAGCGTGAGAAGGCGACAGCAATGACGCGCAGTGCATCTACTTCGGCTGTTGGGGACGGTGCGCCATCGTGGGCATCGCTTCAAGTGGTCAGGCCCATGGAATACGAAGTGAATTCTTCGCTTCTCATTCTGCACCAGTCCAGCTCGACGGGAAATCTGCATTTGCCCTTGTCTACCACCTCGAAGAATGCGCTGTTGCGGACATCAAACCTCAGTACAGTGGCTAGCCAGATTGCCAAGAAGCACACTCAAAGACGTTTGGATAGCATCAAACTGCCAGCACCAGCCGAGGCCTTTCCACCGAGGCGATTAACCGACCAACGAGAACTATTGAAGAAGGATGGAGGAGGGCAGTGTATGGAGATGGTGGAACAGCTTCTAGGGAAACAACTATCGAAACGAATGGCTGCTGATGTTGTGCCCAAAGAACGAGTGGGTCGACTGTTAAAACCGTTGAAGAAGCCAGCAATGATGCAGAGATCGACAGCCAACAACGCGAGTAGCAGCAGCAGCAGCGATAGCGGAGAAGCTCAGGGCGTTTCTGCAGCACCCAAGCGTGGCCGACGGGTGCTGGTCGCGAATCGGAACGAGCATTTTCGCGACGCCTCCCATGATACATTCAAAGATTAACGGAGACGTCCGCGTGGAGTTACTCTCACAAGAGTGAAGCGGGGATCTCCAAACGATTGCTACCGCGGTCACCCCAGCACTGCACGCCACCGTCCTCGAAGCGAATACCGCAGCCATGATTCCAGCCCAGGGTCAGCTCGTCGAATTGCACATTAGTTGGCGCCGCCGTCACACCGGAGCGCATTCCCCAGCACGTCACTGTCTTGTCCATCTGCAGCACCACCATTGGACCATACAAGCTCCGGTTACTACTGCTACTTCTTAGCAAGACTCGCGACCCAAGAACGCACCTTCACCCCGCACGCAGCAAGTCGACTAGTGCTCACCAGAATGAATTTTTCATCCATGGGTGGGCTTGCCTGGTTGCGGTGATTGTCTCCCCAGCACGAGAGCGTGTTGTCGTTCGTCACCCCGCAGGCAAAGTCCCCCGGCGACGCAGATATCTGTCGGAAGCGAGTGGTAGGGTCCACATCAAGCTGGCCCTGCACACGTCTAGTTCGTGAGTGTTATCCTGCAATTAAACACAGCAGAGAGGGGGTATATCCGTCGCTTACATGTCCATTCTCGCCCCAGCACCTCACGGTGCCGTCCGTCGCAATGGCGCACGAGAAGTCCTTGCCGCAGCTCACCTGCACGAACTTGCCACTTGGTGCACTCGATATGCCGCCCGCCGCGGTGCCTACAACACAACAGTTAATACCAGCTACGATTTCCCCGTTAAGCAGAACGTTGGCGCACCCCAGCACTGAATGGTCTGGTCCTTCATGATGCCGCACGAGTGGAAGTCACCGCTGCTGACCTGCTCGAACAGCCCCTCGGGCTTCGTCACGGGCGCGCCGACGCCCCAGCACTCGAGCGTCTCGTCGATGCGGATCCCGCACGAGTGCAGGCGGCCGGTGCTCACCTGGATGAAGTCGCCGGGCGGGGGCGAACTCTGGCCGCCATTGTTGACGCCCCAGCAGACCACGCGGCCGCCGACGTCCTCATAGGACTGCGTCCGGATCGCGCACGAGTGGTCAATGCCAGCGGCGATGCTGGTCTCGTCGATATCCAGCGGCACGACTACATCCGGAACAACGGAGTCGGTGGCTGTAGTAGCAGTAGCGACTGCTACAGGACACCCGAGGAGAGACGCAAGGAGTAAGCGGAGCAGCATATCCTGTCCTGTGGTCGAGGAAATGATACGCGTTGCCAAGATCGCGTCCTTTCGTGACAACACGCGGTAATTGGGTGAAACCCCACGGAAATTTTGGCGAATCGAATGCGACTGCAAAGTTGTTGTGAGACTCTCACAGTGAGAGTAGGTCTTCCTACGGCGATGCAATTCTTGAGACTCACCAGGCAGCTATTAACTAAGGTTCAATAGACTACCTTCTCTCTCTAAATTCTTGAGACTCCTCGTGTCACACCTACTATCCTTTTCACAGCTTAGCATAATCCTGTGTACAGGATCTATTATAACGCGAGGAGTGCGAAAACTTGGTACACATTGTGTGCATGCATCTTTAACTCTTGACATTTCGAGAGAAGATCTGAAGTGGTCTCGCGCCGTTGGCAGAAAATGGACAGTGTGATGGCGCCTGCAAAGTATCATCGCCAAGCCTCTTCACTCGTTCGGTAGCCTTGCGTGCTGCCTACTGGGCCAGTGTTGGGCCAGCACGGCTGCTGCATGTACCGCTGGCGATGGGCTCGTAGTCTCGCGATAGCCAATATTTCCTCATTAGCACCTTCTGCATCGAGCCCAACCCATAAAGCAACAGCCAAGGGAGACAGCGTCGCCGGCACCAGTGATGCTGCCACAAAGCAATCCGTCCTGCCGACGGTGCGGGAAACACTGGCGCAGCGACCTGCACTCGAGGCGATGTGCACCTCCTTGCAGAGCCCGGCGCGAAGAAAAAAGAATCTCACTTGATTTTCGTATGCTTCATACTTCGTTTAAGTGTGTTTTCTTTTTTCTGAAGACTTCACGTGATTGGTCCGTGGGAACGTACGTTTCTGGACCTGTCCCACATGCCCATCACCACCGGCAAATATTATAGCATATTATTTATCACAGTTCATACCAAATAAACAGACATTTAACAGTATATTGTTGTCTACTTACTAAAATATCCATTATTGAGCACATCAGTTGTGATACCATAAGGGTTCGCAGGGTTGAAGGCCGCCCGTGTCGCCGCCACCGCTGACATGGCCTCACTTCCCAATCTGCCGCCTTCGTCTCAAGTGGCTCCTCCGCCCCAGCCCATCGCTCCGCCATTCCACCACCACGATGCCGTCCCGATCTCCGCTCGCCGCCGCCTCCTGCGTGAGCGCGACGCCCTCCCCGCTGGCCATCGACGAGCTCGACGGCCCGGCCCGCCGCCTGCTCAAGGCGCGCCACCACGACATGGACAAGCTGCAGATCGAGACCGACACGCTCACGGCCATGCTGCACTCCGAAGCCATCAAGTTCACGGTCTACAAGCTGCAGATCCGCAGCACCGCGCGCTTCGTCGACGCCGGCGAGTGGATGCTCATCAAGCGCTACTCCGAGTTCTTCTACTTCCGCCAGACGCTGCTGAAGGTCCTCCAGAGGTGGGACCTCCACTTCAGCGACGATGCTAAGAGGGTGCAGTGCAAGGAGTTCGCGCTCGCGACGGCGCTGCTACTGCCGGCGATGGAGATCCCCACGTTCCCGCGCAAGCACATGCGCTGTGACACCGCCGCCATTGTCAGCGAGCGTCGCACCAAGCTGCAGAGCTTCGTGCGCAAGATGCTAGACGCGTACACGGACATCTCCGTGTTCCTGCACGATACCCAGTCGAGGAGCACACGGGCGTTCACGAACCTCAGTGAGATCCTTCAACTGCTTGAGGAGTTCCTGGACATCCCTCAGCAGCAGAAGGAGATCAACCGCCGCCAAACGGCTGCTGTGCTGGCGCTGGAGGACGTTGAAGTCGAACCCAGCTCTACGTCGGACTGCAAGGACCGCACGTGCTGCATCTGTTTGAATGACTACGACTCGGAGGATGAAGAAGCGGAAGTTGTCGATGACCGGATGGTGCAGCTGCCGTGTTCGCACCAGTTCCACGAGGACTGCGTTATTGACTGGTTTAACACAAGCACTACGTGTCCACTCTGCAGGAAGCCGGCATACACCGACAAGCAGTGGTCTTTCGATGTCTCAATCCATTAAGTATATAACGCAGCAGTGCGCTGCCAGTCAATGTTTATTACTACCCAAATACCAATTGTGCTTGTCATTACATCGAAACTCGCCAAAACTTCCCATTCACTTATCTAAGCCTTATCTTAATTGTTTAGCATATTCTGCAGAACGCGCCGACTCTGGGATGACACAGTCTGCGGCTTGAAAGTGCACTCCTCGCGCTCCTTGGCTCGCATTTCCTCGCGGACCTTCAGTCGCCGTCGAATGGAGTCTTTGCTGCTTTCAGACAACTTGAATGGTTTTGGCACTGTGTAACTACGCGGCTCATACGACTTGTTCGGCGCGAATACTTTCTGTTCACGCTGCTTTTGCTCTGCTTGCTGCTTTCGGGCTAGTTCTCGGAGCTCAAGGAAGCGCCCGAGTCCACGAACAATTACAGGCTTCTGTTATCGGGCAACAACGAACACACACAAATTAGACACAAACGAGAGGCATGAAGGTGAATGTCCATACGTACATCTTGAGTATCGGAGTCCCGTGGCGGGGAGGGAGAGCCTTTCGCGTCTGAATTGCCTCGTCGCCTTGGCTTCTGGATATTGGGGCGGAACGTGCACTCTTCCAGCTCCTTTAATTCTTGAGCATTCCGCTTTGCTTCAATCTCATCTTCCTTTTTCTGACGTTCCGCCTCAATAAGATGAAGCAAATTCTCGGATTGCCACTCTAGTTTCGTTCTCGATCGCGGCTCCCTATTATAAAGTTTGTTGGTGCTAGCACTGCTCTTGCGATTCTTGGAGGCTATCAGTGTGGGCTGAAAAGTGCATTCAGCTTTGCTTGCTTCCTCCATTTCAAGTGCCACACGGGAGCGAAAGCGTTTGTTAGCGAAATATTGTCGTAGTGCAACCCTCGACGCGGACGAATCGCCAGCACTTCTTCGGTCTTGTGGCGGAGAGCGCTTAGAGGCTGGGAGATCTTGTTGAATATCACGCACAGGGTGAGAAAGCTCGTCAAGCGTGGACGGCTTACCTAGTGCCTTGGATACTGGATTGATTTCGGGTTTGAATGTGTACTGTGCGTACTGCTCCTCTCTCAAGCGCTGCTTCTTCAATTCGGCTTCGCGTTGATCATTATACGTGAGGCGATAGAGCTTCTGCTGGCTGCTTTCATTGCACCTGTCGGGTCTCAATTGCTTTAGCACGCCTTCTGCATTGCCGATGTCAGGCTTGAATGTTAGTCGCTCCCCTCGCGCATAGTCTTCATCACAAAATCCTTCAAGCGCCTCCATCTTCTCCTGGTCGCGTGACTGGAAGTATTGCTGTCGCGCGACAAAGTCCATCTTAAACTCTGGTTTTTGCTCCACGATTCGCTTTGATGTCTCGCTGATCTTTGGTGCGAATGGTTGCTCATTCCACATGTCGAAGTATTCCTGGGTGGCTAGTCTTCTCTCCGCTACAGCATCAGCATCCTCAGCCAGGCGATCGGTCACTTGCTGGGATCTTGGCTTACCAGGCCTAGCATGGATGAACGCGTCCGCTTCTCTTTCTGCCAACTTGTTGGTAGCGATCTCCCTGCTTTTGGGGTTAATCATAGGAGTGAACGATAGAGGGCCATATTCTTCCAGGTCAAGCTGCTCGCGGATGCGCTCAATGTACTCAGCCTTAAGTGCAGACAAACGCAGTTAGTAAACTTGCAAAGCCTCAGAACCAGACCAGTAGACTAGCCTACCTTAGCTCGTTGAAGATCCGAGACGCGGTGGTGTAGTGGCTTGTGATCCACCATACTGAACATTGATTTTGACGTCGGGTTAATCTTCGGCTTGAAGGTACATTCCTCCATTTCCTGAGCTTCAAGAGCCGCCCGTGCGCGCTCTCGAGAGTCATAGCGTGCTGTTCCGTCTAGATGCAGTCTTTGGATCACATTTTGATCCACGTCACACGCTTCATTCGAACTTGAGTTTTCATCCCTCCTAAATATTTTCTGGCGTGGGCTGAGCGTTAGCCACTGGAACTCGGTTATGCCGGGGCGGCCGGTCGAACTCAGCGCTTTCTCTTTAGGTAGTGACCGAGGAGGCTTCAGCACATTAGGATGGAATGTGCACTCGCGGAGCTGCTCCATCTCTAGTAAAAGCCGCTGTTTTTCGCGTTCCGCGAAAGTATGGTTACGAGGCTGAGCCAGGTAATCTAGTCGGCTTGACGGTCTCTTCATTGTAGGCTGGCCCTGGTCGAAACTCGTAGTGTTTACTTGTAGGCTCTCTGCTTCCCTGTCTTTCCCCGTGGAAGACCTAGATTCGTGTTTGTGCCCGTCACCGCTAGCAACCTGCTCTGCTGCTTCCATCGCAGTGGGAAAAGAGGGACTGCGGTCTGGTATTGGCTCCATTTCCTCACCTTCGTAAACGAAATCGAGTTTGGACCTAGGCTGTATATCCACAGCAGTCGCGTTGTCAAGTATATCGGACGCATAGTAAATTTCGTCGTTGTCATCTGACTCCGCACTTAGTCCGTCACTATAAGCACTTGACTCCGGTTGCCATCCACCACGACGTGGTTCTTCGTCTTGAACAACGTCCATAGGGCGAACGGGGGACACTTCAAAATGCATGCCCTGCCCTTCAGCAGGCTCCGGGGTAATATCCACAGTTCTATCGCCGAGCAGCCTCTGAATGAGTTCATGACGCTCCTCTGGAGTCCTGTACTTCCTCTCATCAGGAACAGGCGCAAACCAATCCTTCTGTTGCGAAGATTCGTCAACTGTCGTCCTATCCGTATCAACTTCACCGGCATGACGAGCACGCAAAGCCGCCTGACGCTCAGACGACAGCTTCGCCAATATCTCACGTCGTCGCTCTTCCTGTAGTAACGACCACGGTATCCGACCTAAGTTCACGCCCCCAGTACACGAAATCCGTACCCTACGTACCGATAGAACAGGCCGCGTCTTCATTTTCCGACGGAAGTTCGAATCCTCTGCAAGCAGTACACACACACAGAGTCAGCCTCGTGCGATCAGATAGTCCGTCCCTGGATTGCACTAACCATGTTCTAGTCCCGGTTCGTTTCGTTGTGTCCACTCCCTCCCGTCAGCCTTATCCTCCAAGACCCCATAGGCAGCAGCAGCTGCAAGAGGACGCGCTGGGGCCGCACACGCCGTGAGGTAGGCTTCCGCGCTACGAAGCTCCTCCTCCACCTGCGCCAAGCTCAACGATTCGTGCGTCTCCCCCGCTGTAGCCATTTCTATTCTGTCAACGGTCGGTTAAGCCAAAGTGACCTCTGAACCACATGTTGAAGTGGTGACTATCACTCTTGCCTCTGAAGTTGAAGTTGACTTCCGCATTCCGCATTTTGCGGCCGAAGCAGCAAGAGCGACGGAGGAAGCGGCGAGTAATGAGCAGAAAACGCGACGCTCCTTCGCGTTGGCCAGCGGAGGTCTACGACTATGAGAGGAGAGTCATCACCGACCCAGCTGTGGGTGGGCTCGATCTCCGCAAAGGCTCCTGGATCCACTGCAAATGGTAGGCACTCACACGTGCGCTCGGTTGTGCAGTACATTGACGGGTCTGTTATTTAGGTGCAACACGACGCTGGCGCTGAAGGTGGTGAACAGCTATTCACTCGCCTCCTGGAACACTCATCAAAAGGGGAAAAAGCACTGCGGCCATGAGCAAGAGTTCCTGGGCGGGGGCTCGCAGCCTCAACTTGTCAGCTGCTCGTCGCAGTCGTCGGTGCGCAGCTCGGCAGTAAGCTCTCAAGACTTGTGCAAGTCTCCGGCGGGAAGCCAGTCGCCACAGCATCACCTGCAGTTGATGCGCGTCCGTCGAGAGCTTCAGCAGAGCAAGCAGTACCAGGCTCGACACGAACGCGACGTGGCCAATGTGATCAACGCGATGACCAATCTAATCAGTGATCAGCAGGGTGACTTGAATTCGTTGCAGCACAGAGTGAGCGACATGATGCACGAAATTGAAGCGCTGAAGAAGGAGTTGGAGCGAATCCAGCAAAAGGATCAGCAGCGACGAGTACAAGCACCGCAGAAGAAGGACTTGGAGCGACTCCAGCAAAAGGATCACCAGCGACGAGTACAAGCACCACAGAAGAAGGTTGTGGAGAAAGCATCGTATAACCCCACAGCAAAACGGGGAAGCCGTGCAATTTTTGCTGGAGATCAAGGCAGCCGCAATACCTGGAAAATCAAGCCCAAGACACAAAACAAGAGCTACAACAAGAGAAACAGCGTGACGGATATGGATATATTCGAGAAGCGCTTCCGACTCGCGTAGCGCGGAAATACAGACTCACTCATTCACGGGGCTCAAGAAGTCAAAATGGGAGACTCTAGAAGAAAAGCTTTCGAGTTTCACTTTCCGCTTGCTCGACGGGGCACGTGGGGCACTTGAATCGTCTGTAGCGTTTTATTGGGTAGCAGTCATAAACACAGAAGTAGCGTCAGATTCGTATTAGCACGTCTCCCTTCAATTACAAAGCCAACAAACCGAGTCATGTTGTAGGAAAAGCGCTTGACGCATGAGCGGCAAATGACATGGCCGCACTTCAGCAAAATCGGTGGATTATCTGGCGTGCTTTCTTCCTTGGACACCGGGCAGGAGAAGACGTTGTGGAAGCGAAGCTCTTTCGCAATCGGGATCTCCACCTGCGAACCAAATCGATGCAAATCAGCCCGAAGGCGGAAACTACGGGTCGGATGGAACCATAAATGCACTTACAGGGAGCTCCTCCATGCTGCCCCAGTCAGTCAGCTTGCTATCAATGACAGACACAAGCTTGCGCATGGCTGGCAGTGCAGATACACCTGCTGACAGACTACAATGAAGTGTTAGGATACGTAGAATTGCTTACGTGTTGGCGTAAAATACAGTACCATGTTTCGAGATAGGACCGGTAAGGAACACGACGAAGACGGCAGCATGCCCGGATGACAGCGTCGTGGATTTCGTCCCACCGATCGGCGTTGAAGAGTTTCTTGTATGGAGACTCTTCCAGCTTCCCCTTATACAGCACGCAACTCATCAGGACACCCACCTCTGCTCAATGGTAACATTCGGACAAATGAGCACTACCAACACAAGCGAAAGTATCATGAACTGCGGGCTCACCTTCGGCGTGTGTCTGGTGGAAGTACGGAAGTTCCTTGTTGGCGAAGTTGACTGCATCCATCATGTCCGGCGAAGATTCGAGGATGTCCACATACTTGAGCCGGACGAGCTCAAACTCGATGTCAATATCGAGACTTCCCAGCTCTTTGCGGTGCTTCTGCGCCCAACTGGAGCAGCATCAGCACATGCAGAAAATAAGTTTGGGCAAGGTACCAACAGAATTTGACCCAACTTACTCAAGTGCGGGTTGCATGTCATGCTCTTTTATTGCTTTCAAAATCTTGTGTAGCTCGATGAAGCACTCGCGATACGTCGACGGCAGCTCCAGTCCTGCTTCCTGTTGCACGAACAAAACTATTGTAAGCGACAATCGCAAAACAACTAAACCTCAATGTATCTACACCACACACTGACCTTGCACATGACATCCGCCGCCTCAATTTGCCCGTCCTGGTAGAGATACTCAGCTACCAGGCGACACACCAGCTTATGATCCAATTCGTTCGAGTGGCACACCTTGGCGATGTCTGTGCATAGGTTCTTCGCTCACAATAGCACGGCACTTCCGTCAATTCCCAAGCCAAACCCCGGAGCGTAGTTCTTCCCACACAGCGTCCCACCTTGTCTATCTGCTTGGAATACTTGGACAGCAGCACGTGGATCGCCTTGAGCTCCGCCGCGACGTTCTTCTCGACGTTCAGCTGCCGCACGCGTCGAATAAAGTCTCTGACGATGTACTCGGTCTCGTTGTCCTGATCCTCCACCGCCAGGTCGTCCTGCTTGGCCTCCGTGTTCTCCGCATTGGCCGGCGTCCCCGACGCAGCAGCGTTGTCCCTGTCGTCGTCAGTCGCAGAAGCCGCAGTAGCTGGGGCGTTGTTGCTGCCGCCCTCCTCCCCTTCCCCAGCCGAGCTGGTCGGAGCCTCCTCCAAGTGGCGGTTCTTCTTGCGGCAGAGCTTCTGCTGCCGCTCCTCGAGCCGCTGCTTGGTGGTCTCCACGTGCGTCAGCAGCTCCTCGAGCTGGCGGTCGATCTGCGCCGCACACAGCCGCTGCTTCTTCAACACGCGCTTGCTCTCCTCCTCGAACGCCTGCATCGATGTGCGTGCAGTGCAGTGCAATGTAGCTCCACCCCACTGCTAGCAGGCTTCTATCCAAGTGTGTAGCTGCCCGGAGGAACAGTCGGCGGAAGGGCTTACTGAGCTTTCTGCAGAGAACACCGCATGTACTCAGATGCACATTGGCGTCACCGAACACTGCAACTTGAACTGTGACTACCGTCACCGGTGAAGAATCCGTACTGTTTTGATTCGGGTATGTACGATGTAGGTCGCTGCGGCTTTTGCCGAAGGTCGACCGATTGACTGCAACGTGGCCCTGATATTCTGCTGACTGCACTGGTGTCGCAGTCGCAGACTGCGACTCGCAGTGCAGCAATGCGACCTCGTGCCTGTAGACGCGACTGCCTTTGCTGGCAGCAAGCAACTTGCAAAGAGCGCGAGGTCAAGCGATCAAAATGATCGCAGCCGACGGGCGATGGAGGCTTTTTGTCCGCTCCGCCGCGGATATTTGCATCCTCCGAAGCGCTCAAGGGCGAGGACGCCGACAAAGGCGAGAGCGCGTGCCAATCCACTCGATTGCCACTCGCCTAGAAGCTGAAGCACCAGCTGCTTGCCTGCTCTCGTTTTCTCGCCATGGCAAAAAATAGCACGCTTAATCAGACTCTTCCACCCCTATATAAGCGTTCAGGTCCCTGTCCCTGATTTGCACTCCCGTCAATCCGCACGGGACCACCAAGTCGCTGTCTCACCAGGTGCTCATTATAGAAACGGCAGCGGCGCCACCAACCCACTCGCCTGCCTCCGCTACCTAGCAGGCCATGTTCCTGCTCAAGCCGCCGTCCGCGAGTCCGAGCGCCGCGCCCGACGCGTCCAGCCGCCGCCTGTGCGTGGGGCTCGTGGCCTCCGAGTGGAAGTACGTGGCCGAGGGCGGCGCCAACGTGCTGTTCCGGCACCGGCCGGCGCCCGAGGCCGCGTCCAGCGCCGTCGCGCGCGAGTTCAAGGGCAAGCTGCTGCGCGTTAAGAAGTGCGACGTGGTGGACGACAAGAAGCAGCAGACGCAGAAGAAGAAGACCAAGCGCCGCCCGTCGGGCGAGAAGCCCTACGTGCCGCACTACCCGCACCCGAGACAGGTGCTGGACTACGCCACGCACGAGATCATGCCCTACCTGGAGCAGCAGCTGCACGGCGTCGGCGTTCACAGCCGACGGGAGAACACGTACCTGCAGGTGGCGGAGCTCGTGGACGTCGAGCGCGGCTTTTTGCAGGCGCTCAACGCGCAGCTGCTGGCGCTCGAGACGCGACCGGCCCATAGACGACACAGTCAGATCGACGTCTCGCTGCAGTGTGTGATGGTGCTGCCGGACGTGACGCTGCCGCCGCCGGCCGATGACTGCCTTCCCACGTTCTTCCAGTCGACACGGAGTCTCCTGGAGGCAGAAGATGACGCTGCCGACAAAGACGAGGAAGAGGACGAAGAGGAGGAGGAGGTGCCCAGGTTAAAACGGCGAGAGTCGCTGTCAGATCAGACGGACGAGGATGACGCGGACTGTGAGCAGGACGAGGAGGAGACGGACGGGACGGAGGCTGACGGCAAGCCGTACATTGTCTGCAGCAGCACCAGTGTCAGCAGTGCATCGGACAAGGAAGACGACGACGACGATGAAGAGGAGGAGGCGACAGTGCTAAAGGAGACGTTGACGGCTACACTGGGTCGGTCTGCGAGTCTGCAGCGAGCTAGCGTGCCCCGCACACTCAAGAGTGTACACAGCAGCTCGTTCCGAGCCGGAAACGTGTTTGACTGCTGCTTCCGCAATATTTGCGTGGAGCTGAAGCCCAAGATCGGCTTCAAGCCCAAGGGTCCACTGGTCAGCCCTACCAAGGCGCGCGTGTGTCGATTCTGCATGCACCAGCACTACAAGAAGCGCACTGGCAAGGTGGAGGAGATCAGCCAGTACTGCCCATTGGATTTGTTCTCCCGCGACCCCGCACGGAAGCGGCGAGCACTTCGAGCCTTGCAGCGAACCCCGCAAAACAACTTCAAGGTGTTCGTGCGGTCAGCGGAAGACGAAGTCGTGAACGTCATCACTGGTATGAACGCGGACGCTCTACCCAAGGGCGCGTCTCAGTCACGCTATTCCTACTGTCGGCGCAAACGAATGGGGTTCCGTCATTCGTGTCAGTCCATCGGCGCAGAACGCGAGCTACCGTTCAACGAGGAGGCAGCGGAGCACGAGCGAGACCACGCCCAGTTGATGCCCGAGGTAGTGGAGCTCATTACCCAAGTTTTGCAGAAACTAGACATTTTGGAGGACCTCAAGCAGATGCAGTTGCTGGACCACATTTCAGTCGATGGAGTGAGGCATCTCCAGCTGCTGCTGCAGCGGCTCGATGAAGAAAATAAGCGCGAGCAAGCCTCATCGTCGGTAGAGGATCCCACGGTAGGTCAGTTAATAGCAGCAATCCGAGCGCGCAGCGATTCTCCGATGGATGAAGACGTGGACCAGGAGGGCAGTCTCGCTCGCGGCTTGGCTTTCTTGCGCATCGCCATCAACCATCTCCCGGATCTGGACGTGCTGCAGGAAGTCGAGTCTTTGGAATCCATGCAACTGCAGCAGTTCCACGACTTGTACAAGGAGCTGGAGAAGAGGTTCCAGGTGGCCACGACACTCAAGGACTGCTCGCTGCTGCTGTGCCTGCGCCGCTCGCCTGGCGACGACGCCAACCGAAGCGGCGGCCAGCGAGACGAGAAGCCGCGGACCCGCTTCCAGCACCTCGTGGAGTTCGAGCACCACGTGCGCTTCCGCGACCTGGCGTTCGACTGCGTCGTGGCGATCGTGGATCTGGATGTCAAGTCGCACAAGTCGGTGGAGGACTACTACCGGCTGGACGAGAAGATAGCGACGAACTTCCACCGCGAGTTCGGCGACCGCGGCGTGGCGCAGGTGCTCTGCCACGAGGACTGAGCTGCTGGGCGTTTCTCCGGCATCAGGCCAGAGCTCGCAAGTGACTTGACTCACCTGCGGCGTCACAAATGCCCTGCATATGGCGTTGTGCGTCGTTGTTAGTGTATACGAATAGAGTGCTCGAGTGCCGCTTGGCCTGCGAATATCCTGACGAACTGGCACGCGCATGGGTTGTGTAAGATATCTTGGTGGTGTTCACGGCGTTACCTTCGCCACGCTACGCGGCCTTCTCCACCTTCACCTGCACTTTGGTGGTCCCCGCCTGGAGTTGCTGCTGCTGTTGGCGGCGCACGCGGGCCGTTTCTCGACGTAGCACCTCCACTCTAGCCGGGTCTGCACAGAGAGCGACGTACATGTAGTACGAGTCAGACACACTGAGCAGCGATGCATCGAGCTGGTAATAAATCATCGTGCGCCAGCTCAAAAGTACAGAAGGAAACACCAGAAAAACGGTGGTACGACGTACCGTTCGCTTCGGCGAGCGCGCGCTGCTGGTGGCGCCGCGCCATGAGCTTGCGTAAGCGGCCGCGCGCCGCGTAGAACAGCAGCGCTCCGCCCAGCAGCTTCCAGCCGTGGGTCTCCAGCGTCCACTGCACGTACAGCCAGAGCGCCGCGGGCAGCGACACCAGCGCCATGGTTTTGCGAATTTTGCTCCGGGAGTCGGCGCTTTTCTGAAAAGTACAGTGGAGGCAAGTCTACGCCTTTTCGCAAAAGATACTTTCTCCGACACGATAGGCACATCGGAGCTCGAAACGTCGCGGCCAGGAGCTCCAAGTCGCCGGAGCGCTCTTCCATCGGAATTCCAGAGAAGGTATGGGCCCCGCATCGTTGCCATCGTCACCGCCGGTCGTGCCGTTGCTGCTGCTGCTTGGCGCGGTCTGCCTCGTGCTGTTGGGCATTTCCCGATCCGCCGACAAGCAGCGCCCGGCACCAACCTTTGGCGCTACGAGCACACGCGCGCGTTCACCTACGACCGCTCGCCAGCAAAACCGCAGGCAACGCCGGAAACGGCTGTGACACTTGGCCCAGTCGCCACCAGCAGATCCCCCCCCCCCGCCCCATGGCGACAGCGAGCCGCCCCGCCACGTCCGCTGAGGCCATTCTGCAATTTGTGCTCGACGCGCTGCACCAGTTGATGGGCCTGCCGCTGCTCATGGTGAACCAGCCAGACCACAACTTGCCGTGCCTGACCCGAGCCAGCGCGATCGAGACCCAGATGCGAGCCGACCAGAAGAACGCCGAGCTGCTGGACGGACCCCGCGTGGACAAGGGCGACCTCCCCACTGCCTCCTGGAGCGACGACGAAGCACCCGAGGAGGAGATCAGCGACCTGTCCGAGGACGAGAAGGAGCAGCAGAATGAGAAACAGGACAGTGACGTGGAGAACGGAGCGGAGATCAAACCCGTCGCCAGCACAGCCCAGAGCCAGCTCTTCGACGGACTGCAGTTCTACCTGGCCGTGAGTCAGGTACGCGAGCGAACAGTGCGATCGGTGCTGGCGCTCGGCATGGCCAAGACCTTGACGACGTTGAGGGAACGGAAGCAGAACGAGTCCATCGCAGTGATCGAGCAGCGATATCCCGACTTCACGTGCCTGCCTGTGAGGAATACGGCCGTACAACAGCTCCCCGGAACGGAGCAGCAGCCGCCGATGGACTTGCTGACAGCGTTGCGACTCCCATCGGCAGCGACCGTCGCACAGAGACAATCGCCTGTTAAGGGACCCGTAAGACCCCACCTTGCAGCCGACGAAGACGTCCGCGTACGTCGACCATCACTACCCTCTCACGGCCCCACCATCTCTCGCGTAGCCTAGGCCTCCATGTAGCTGCTGTATAAACTATCACCCAAACGCAGGAAGATATTAACCATTTTATTATGCAATAGAAAACCTTAGAAACGGCCTCTGGCCTCAAAAACCACCCTCCGACTCACGCACGTGCGCCCAGCACTTGACTTTCACCCGCCTGGGTGGTCTCTTTTGTCGAGCTGCCTGAGGCTGCAACTTGCAAGGCCTTCCCTTCCTGTGTACCGTTGGGTGCACAGCAGTCGTTTCCATTCGAGCACCCAGAGATCTCTTGGCCGTATCGGTCGCAACTCAGACAGCTTGGACTTGTGAGTCAGTGAGCTCTTGCCACTATGCAGACCAGACACGTTCATGGCCAGCGTATTGTGCATTGGGGTGAGCTCAGTCTGCGCTCTATCTTGTCCTGCGTTTGGCACAGCCAACGCCATCGACAGGGCGAGCACGAAGTTAAACGGGGCGAAGCAACTGCATTTTGGCAGCAGCTCGGCCCGACGACTGGCCAAGATACTGCAACACCATTTTCTGGCTCTGCTATGACATGTGCCATGGTCAAAGAACCCCCAGTGTGGTGTCCGCGTGGCCTAATGGATAAGGCATCGCCCTCCGAAGGCGGGGATTGGGGGTTCGAGTCCCCTCGAGGACGCTTTTTGCGCGTCGGCGCCACCGCGCGCAGCTTCATCAGTCTGTAGCGAACGTTTTCTCCATTATCTCCTTGTATCGTCAATGCGAGGAATCGCGAAAAAACATACGTGTTTGGATAACTCCCGGGTCTTCATTGGCTGATTACAACTCCCATCACCAGCTAGCCTTAGGTAGCCCGATGGCGTCGCCGGTCTCCGACGCCGCCCTGGAGGCCTCGAACGCGTCTTCTACTGACCCAGAGACTCGTCACTCGAACGCAGCCGAAGCGACTCTACCTACAGCCCCGGAACTGGAGACAGACGCGCGTCAGCCGCAAGTGGAGACGGCAAACACTACTGCAAATGACGGAGAAGAAGAATCCAAGGAGAAGAACAACGAGCAGGAAGAGGAGAAGGAGATGCAGCATACGCGACATAGCTCAGCTCGATCGCGGGACTTGGACATGCTGGCGGACACTGTGCGCTCGATTGTCACGGACGTCGTAGGAACGGTAGGCGCGCCGGTGGACAAGGCACAAAGTGAGGACAAGACTGCGGTGGTGGAGACCGTGGACGGCTCTACTGACGTGGGCATTGACATGGCTACAACCCCTGAAAGTGAAGAAGCTGTAACAGTGAGAACCGAAGCACCAAGTGTACTTCGTGACAGTGACAAGGAGACCACCGACGCTTCGGAGGTGGGGGAGCAACACGATGAGGAGTCTGTAGAGATGGGTACCCAAGACTCTCCTGGTGAAGACGCTACTGCCGCTCTGAGCACCCTGGATGATACCGCTGGAAGCTCGCCGAAGCGCCCGCCAACGGCCTCGGAGGAGACCGATCGAGCTCCCAAAAAGAAGAAGCGTTCCGAGTACTCGGACGAGATCCGTGCCTTATGCGTCCACAGACATCAGACTGAAGGGGCTTCCTACGCGACGATCTCGAAAGAGCTCGAAATCCCCCATGACACAGTGCGGGCGATTGTGCGGAAGGCGAGGCGCACTGGTAGCGTGAGCTCGGCACCACGCAGCGGACGCCCGAGGAAAACGAGCGGGATTGTGGACAAATTGATACTTGAAGCTGTGAGGGCCAACAAACAATGCAGTGCGAAGGCCATTCAACAGGAACTGCTACGAGTGTTTGGCGTCAAGATTTCGCCCGAGACCGTGCGGCGGCGGGTGCTGGAACATACCAAGCAGCGGATACAGTCCGTCTCGGGTGGGGGTTCTAGTGGTGTGTCTGCAGTGGCAGAAGACAACAGTGAGTCTGGGACTGCCATTGCGCTCGAAGTGGCAACACCTTCCGATGGCAGGGCACGCGTAGCCAATTCCTCTTTATCCGACTCGGTGTCATTCCAGCAGTTGCTCAACGAAGAAGCGCAGCCTGCGTCAGAGTCGGTTAACATTCTCAGCTTAGCAGCAGCCACTACTAAGGGCAATCGGGATACGCAGCCTGCAGACTCCTCTCCTCCCCATACTGTCAGCGGTGCGAACAGCGATGCACCTCAGGCGCAACCTGCCGAGCCATCTCAGTCGGAGGATGAGCCAGCACCCCAGAAGCGGCGACGCAGTGAGTATAGCATTGAGACGCGTGAGCAGTGTGTGGCACTCCGAGCACAAGGTCAAGGGTATCGACAAATTGGTAAGGTCTTGGATATGCCTCACACCACTGTGCGAGCAATTGTCGAAAAGGCTCAGCGTACGGGCACAGTTCTTCCTGCAAAGCGCAGCGGCCGCCCACGAAAAACAGACGACATCGTGGACAAGGTCATCTTGCAGGCAGTCAAGTCGAATGAGAAGAGCTCCGCGCGCGTGATCAAGGAGCAGTTGCTCGCGGCGTACGGCGTGCGCATTTCGTGTGAAACAATTCGTCGCCGCGTTAAGGATCACAGTCGCCAGTGCATGTTGGCGGCATCGTCCGGGGGGATTCTGGAGACGCTGCCAAATGATGGCTCTGCATTCAGACAGAACGCATCGCAGGATCAGGGGCTGCTAGCTGTGGCAATGACAGATTCCTCGTCAATGCCACCAGCAAACATCGTCGCGTTCGACGAGAATGGGGTGCATCTATAGTCGGTGATGGTGATGATTTAGTAGTATAAACGTTTACTTCCTGAAGCTCGTACCTGTACTGACTTCGTGTGGATATTTGATTGTGTTAGACATTTTAAGCATGGCTGCTGCATGTACTGTAGTACACTGAATGAAAGTGTCGAAAGAGGCATGAAGATGCACTCCCGTGTCTTGGTCTGAGCTTCGATCGCCCAGATAGCTTGTTCTCGACGCCTCGTTGGCTCGCTAGGTGCCAACGCTTTCTCCGTGGTGGCAATTTGACTTCTCAGCGCGTTCAACCCGCCGAAACTCGAGCGCAGCGTCAATCTCACGACCGCCTCCACTGTATCAGGTGTCTTGGCAGATTCCTCCGTCACGCGCACTTTGAACTCACTGCTACTGGAACGGAACAAATCTTCCATCGACTCGCTGTTCTCGTAGTGGTGGGTCCTGCCAAACAGTTTGGCCTCCATCTCCATGCTGCCGCTGTCGTCGTCAACTGGAGTCGTCCTTGAGGCGTAGTTGTGGTCGTAGACTCGAGCTGCTCGTATCAAGTCGATCATGGCCTCCGCGGTTTGGTTCATGCACATTCGAGCAGCGTTGACCTCTGATCCCGATGATTGCTTGGTCCGGCGAATCCGCGTAGCGAGGTAGCGCAGGTCCGAAGCGTTCTTCTTTACTTCTTGGATCTCATCCTTGATGAAGCGCTTGGACGTTGAGGAAGAACTGACCGCGACTGCGATCGTACTTGCTGAGGCCGCTCTTCAGGACTTTGAGGAACTTGAGTGTGGCGTTCGCCGTCTGGACCAGCTCGAGCTCGAGCTTCGAGAACTCTCGCTTCGCTGCAATACTTCGCTCGTCCGACTTACTCATAGTTGTCGGTGACAACTTGTCGGGCCCTTGGCCCTTGCCGGAATGGTGTGAGCTCTACACCTCGAACGACAAACGAAACTGATCTATGGAGTTGTGCGACAAGCGCGACGCATGCGCACGTGTAGACGATTCATCAACGCCCAGTACCTGTACAACTTGAATTCGCCTATCAAAAGGTTTACGGTGGAAGTCCATGTAGGTAGGTTAAGTACAGGCGTCCCCGGGCTAGTCCCGGCTGTATATTTTAATGTACCTCGCACAGGAAGTACAACAAGCTCTCAAGATTTGCGCGCTACTTCTGCAAGAATATTGATTTAGATGAGTGTACAGCGAGACCTACTGCGACAAGTGGCACGTTGCGGGAATACCTCCAGTATTCTTGAGCTAAGCTTTTAGTAAATCAGTACATACTCATTTATGTTCAGACCGCGTGAATCTTGTTGATTCGCAAACATCATAAGTACCGAATAGGCCGGGGACGCCTGTAACAGTATTCGTGACTGATCCGCACATCGTGTGCATGCGCGCATGCCCCGAGGGAGCGAAATGATCTCCAGCACATGAAACAATTGGCGGGAACCCGGGTACCCATCGGGACCCCGGTTCCCCCAAAACTACCGGTACACATGTATGAGCAAATGTATTGAAGTGTTGGTCTATGACCTACATAGAACGCAGCTAAAGCTCAGTAGGGGAACGGAAGGTTAATTCACCTTCGCCCTCGTCCTGTGTCTCTCCACGAAAATCCAGACGTTTGCCTTGTGCAGCGGTACAGTGCTTCCCGGTCTCATCGCTATCCTCCTGCTCATGAAAGATAAACTTGGACATGGTAAGGTATGTTATTTGGGTCTATTCAGTACCGGTGGCATATTTTGAGGGTAGTCCTTCATCGACAGCACTTAGAGCATCTCCAGCGGTGGGTCTTATCCTAAGACGTAACAGGGTCTTTGAGACCACAATTTTACAGTTGAGACCCGCGCAGACCGACTTACTTCCAGCGGTGAGTTCTAAAGCGAGTCTTATAAGTCCATTCCCGCATGTGAGAATTGCATTCAGTCTTGGTGCAATCTTTTAAATACGGCGACTCTTCAGTTTTTATGGGTGGCATTAAGATTGTGGTCCTATTTTAAGACTCGAAAGCCAATCGGTAGGTCCCGGTGAAGTTAAAACCTGCAATAGGACCTTCTGGTGGAAGCCTACAGCGTTACTTTTAGGATAAAACCGTGTTTGAGACCAACCGCTGGAGATGCTCTTAGGTATGAGGGTTTAACTTGCCCCGAGGGTACCAATATGGAGACCAAAAATAAAATAAATAATTCGCGATTTGGTCGGTATCATTTGCGGGAACCCGGGTTCCCGCCAATTGTTTCACATGTTCCCTTCTCAGGGCGAGTGCCGGTCGAGTTGGCCCAGCTCAAAGCTGGTGATCGAAAGGTACAGTCAATGCTTAGAAGAGCACGAGATGATCTTGCAATGCAAGTACCGAAGTGTACCGCTCAGTCTAATAACCACCCGCTTAGCAACTATGTACTCCGGAGTAGCTCGGAAACAATTCCGCTCTCAGTTCACAAACTACTTCCAGCAATTTCAAGCTGATATTGATCAGGACCACAAAATCCAGGCAGAGACTTTCATGACTTTAGTCTGCATCGTTGGAATGGAAACAAGAAGGACCAAACAAGTAAGATCTTTTGACCACGCAGTACTCTCTTACTGCAGCTAACAAATATTAACCCGAAACTGTTAGCCCTTGCCAACACAAGGAAGAAAAAAAATCTGGATGATCGGCTCATAGATTGAGTTTTGTTAGTGTTGAAACTCATGAACTGTCCTTATCATACGCAAAATGACTCTCGGTTCCAAGTCCCAGTTCACAAGCTCGCGCTCTTCTTGTTTTCCCGTGTTGGGCTGGAGCTCGAGTCTCCTACGAGTTTGTTCGCCACACCTGCCACTGCCTCCTTGGCCCGTTCTGCCAGTGAAGGCGACAACGCCTTCTCTGTCGCCGAGATTTGGTTCTCGAGGGCGTTGAATCCGCTGAAGCTGTCACGCAAAGTCACCCGCACCACGGCCTCCACCGTGTCAGCAGACTTGAGGATGCCTCCACTGGAACGGGGCTCCATCTTTTTGCCGCCAGAGCCAAACAACCCTCCCTTGGACTTGTCGGGGTCCTTGACCTTGTCGTTGTTGCTGAAGAGCCCACCTTTGTTCCCCTTCTCTTTGTCGTCCTTGTCACCGAGCACGTTGCCCAGGATACCCGAAGTTCCTCCCGACAGTCCGTTGTTCTGGTCGTAGACGCGCCCAGCCTTTTTCAGGTCGTTCATGGCCTCCGCAGTCTCGTTCATACTGATGCGCGCAGCGTTGACCTCCGATTCGGTTGGGCGCTTGCTCTTGCGGATCCGCGTCGCCACGTGCCGCAAGTCCGAGGCCAAGTCCTTCGCGACTCGAATGTCGCTCCTCATGAAAGACCGTGAAGTGTTGCGGAAGCGGAGTCCGTGGCGCTTGTCGTACTCGGCGAGATTCCTCTTCAGGACCTTGAGGCACTTGGTCGCGTCGTTTGCCGTCTGGTGCAACAGCAGCTCCAGCTTGGAGAACTCTTGCTCAGCGGCGATGCTGCGCTCGATGGACTTGCCCATGTCTTCTTGGGGGTTGATGTGTACTTAAGGTCGCCTTGAGGTGCTGGGCACTTGTGGTCACCTTTCGAAATGAGCAGCACCGCTATGGTAGACGTGACTTAGCCGTTGCCGTTCCGTTGGCACGCTTCTTAGACGGAAAGCATTGGCTGAAAGCGACAACTAAGCGACACCCAGAAAGATGTGGGCGGGCAGTTCTCACTCAAGGACAAAGGACCTGTGGTGCTATGAGGATAGCTAGCTGACAAGGCTTCACAAGAATCTATGAATTCATTCAATGTTTTGCGAAGGTATATCTGAGAAGTTGAAAGTGTCTTCAACATGAGAAGTTTTGAACGCAGCCATTATCAGTTCTCGTTCGGCGTTTTCTCAGCCAGCACCACGCCGTTCAGTTAGCGCTTCCGCGCTTCCAGAGCTCAAGCCTCGGCTCATTTCAAAACGTGACCTCAAACGCGCAAGTCGCCACTCAAACACCAACACCAACAGCCTCAATACCCCAATCAGCATCCATGGGCAAGCACGCCGATCACCACGCCGCCATTGAGAAGGAGTTCGCGTCGCTGCAGCAAGTGCTGATCCAGACTGCCGGCGACGTCTCCGCCTGCCTCCGACTGCTGAAGAAGAACCTCTCCGAGTACGACAGCCGCCATGGCAACCACTTCACCAACACGGCCAAGTCGTTCATGCGGAGCGACATCCGCAACGCCAAGGACGTCTCGGGCGACCTGAAGCACGTGGCCCACCAGATCAACAAGAGCCACAAACCGTCCAAGGCCGAGGTGAACTCTGCTCGCAACATGATGAACGCCACGTCGAGGGCCATGGACGTCCTCAAGACCACGGCCCGCAACTACGACGAGAAGAACGGGCGCGCGACGGGCGTCAAGGGCGCGATCAAGAACGCCATGGGCAAGAACGACAACAACTCGGTCGACAACCTGGGCGGGGGCATCCTCGGCAGCCCCGACACGGTCGAAGCGCTGGTCAAGACGACCATCAAGGAAAACTTCAACATGAACGTGCTGAGCTACCAGATCACGGCAGCGGAGAAGTCGCTGTCATCTCCGTCCATTGTCGACCGAGCCAAGGAAAAAGTGCACGAGGTGAAGGACAAGCTGAAGGGGGGCAAGGCGAGTCCGACTCACGGAGACCACCAAGTCAAGCACACCATGACTCCATGAGCGGATCAACATGATAGCGAACCTGGCAGGGCTGCACTGCACGTCTTAGCTGGAAGCCAATGCATATCGATAATGAAACAATGGCCACCATCCGTTGTTCATCACAACCACTCTAAGTTACACATAGCCAACAAACATACTGCCGCAGACATCCGCGGCCTTGCCGGTGCCGTCCCATTACTCGTGTTCAAGGGTTTCACGCAAAAGCGCTCGGACGCTTGGTTCTCGCGTCATGTTGTGAGCGTCAACCAAAGCGTTGACCGACTGTCGTTGGACGTTCAGCAGACACTTCACAATAGGGAACTGCCCCAATGTAGCAGCGGTGATCAACACTTGCGGCGACGCGCGTTTCTTGCTCGTGAGGGTTCTCAACAGGCTGATGCGTCCGGACGATACTGCATTCGACACAGCCTTGTCGAAGGCGTCGGTCGGGACTCGACCCGTAGTCAGTAGGAACTCGGCGGTGTCAGTGTAATAGCAACGCGCTGCATCTACGAAAGCTTCACCAACCAGCGACGTCGAGGGGTGAATGGTATCATACAAATACTCCACGGCGTCTTTGCGGGCATCGCGAGCCATTCGAACAAACAAGTTCTGGCCGTCTGCGTACACTGGATACGCCTCGTACAGCATCTTGACGATCACTTTGTCGTCGTTCTCCATCGCTTTCTCAAGCGCAGCATCCAGCTTCCAGCCAAACAAGTTCTGGCCTAGGAGGTAGCGCACCACATCCGCATGACCGCCGCACACCGCACAGTACAGGGCGTCTGACCCGCACGGCGACAACGCCACATACTTCGACTCGAGGGCGTGCGCCACGCCCAGCTTGACCACGTCCAGGTGGCCCTCCGCCGCCGCTTCATCCATGACAACCCACGTCGCGTCATCGACACGATAATACGCATTCCGCTCGTCCACGGGCTCCTGGAAACTGTGCTCGAACTCGCCCAGCAGGTAGTTGGCGGCGTTGAGCCTCCCGTTCTTGGCGGCGGCCGCAGCTGCAGTGGCCAGCACTTCCAGCTCGTCGCGATACTCGATTTCATCTCGCAGCAGACGCATGGCCACTTGGTTCCCGAAGCCAGCGGCCACCACGAACGTGTCCGACGATTCGCACCGGAACCGCTGTAGAACGTGGTGCAAATCGCACGCCTGGTTTCTCATGACCGCTTCAACGAGAGCTTCTTGGGGGGTCATGGCCAATCTGTTGATCGTCTCCATGGCATGAGGCAGCGCTATAATTTCAGGAGGGAGAAGGACGAACTGAAGCGACTTGCACGGATGGACGTAATCTATCTCGGTGAGCTGCGTGCGAGCCCGCTTGGTCGTCTGGGAATTCCCCACGTAGGTGAGAGCTAGCTTCTTCTCCATTTCTCTCCGCTTGTCGAGACAAATTGTTCTGATGGGACTGACCACTACATGTAGTTTTTTTTTCCTTTCCAGTCTTTCAACAATCAGGTAGGTAAAGTAACGTTAGATAAAGACACTATGCTCATTGATTCACATTACGATAGGCGCCTCGCTTGGCTGCTCAGCTGAGGGGGAGGTTGCTGTTGCTGTTGCTGTTGCTGTTGCTGTTGCTGTCCGCCTCACCAGCCTTCCCATCCTAACTTACACGTATCCGGCGATTAGTTTTGACTTACACCGGGTTGCTGGCCGTGGACGTGCCAGACGCAGCCGCTGAGGACTTGTCCGCCAGAGGCGGCAGGTCGCGCATCATGGTCACCGCCTCCTCCACGGAAATGGTGGGGTCGTTGGCCAGGATGCGCTTGAGCAGGTTCGTGGCCGCCAACATGTCGTACAGTCGGCTCTTGGCGTTGGCGATGGCGAAGCGCACCTTGCGCACCGCCAGCTTCTCCTGCGTGTCGGACCTCGCTTCTTCTCCATTTTCCGCTGCAGCTATTGTGTGTTCTTTTCCAAATTACCGCGGGCCGAGCCAAATCTCCGGGGCCACTAGGATTGGTTATAGGCGCCCGTTTAAGTACGAATCGGGCTTGACATGCGGGCACTTGGACCATATGGTTTGGGCCCGGAGATCGAGCAAATGACTTGAGTTTTGTATTTGGCGATTGGAGCGGACCGCCGCGACTTGGAAAATTTGGCCGGAATTCACAATAATTCTTTTCTTATAAGCTTGTGATGGGACTGACCACTTCTTTTATTCCTTTGCTTTTCCCATTATCATCTACAAGTACAGTTCCTCTTTTCAAAGCTGAAGCTTTGGAGGAGCTCACAGCAGTGACGAGCTGCAATATCTTTTGCTGTGAGCTCCCTGACTCGCAAACGCGCAGTGCATCCAGCACCTCACACTACAGTACCTAAGCTTAGTTCAGATCAGAGGATGTCGCTCCATGGCTTTCATCGTTGGGTAGTCTTTCTCGGCATGCACAGTGTATCGTCAGCTACCACCTCGCTTGCAGCCGCGGTACACGTGCACATGATAGTATCATTGATACTGTACCGCTCGTAGAGACGGCCGAGTGCCCTGTACATGTATCACCATCGCAGCCAGCCCCAAACGTTCCTGGTTCCTGGTGAGCACGCCCATCGCCGGCTCTGGCCCCAATATCCACGCTTGGCCAGGTGCCCGAGCTCCATGGCAGCGTCCATCTCAAAAAGCAGCCAAGCTGGCGCACACGTGCTGACCAGCCTCGGGCTGCAACTCGGGCTGCAAAATGCACGCTCGCGACTAACGCATCTCCGCTCCGATTAACGCCGCGAAAGGTTGCAGGAATCCTTGACGGCTCGGCTTTCGGCGCGCGCACTGGTTCACAATCCCGTCCCGCTATCCCCAATCACGCGGGCGGAGACGGCCCACGCAGGGCAGCGCCAGCCACCTGGTGCAAGTCCGCGCCGCGCACTGGCCCAGGTGGCGTCCCACTTCAGTTTGCCAGTTCAGCAGCGGATACCGAAGTGACTAAAGGTCCCCGTCGTTAATCAACACCGAGACAGAGCGCACCCTCGTCCCGTCCTGGCATCGCACCACTTAAGAGCTCACTTCGCCTTCTGCTTTGAGCCCCGCAAGCGCCTCCGTCCTCAAAGCTCAAGCTCAAGCGCCAATCGAAGCATGTCGTGGCTCAGCGCGCTGACCGGGATGCAGCCGCGCCGCGTGAGCGACCGCTACGCGCTGCCCAAGCCCACGTGGCGCCAAAAGGTGCAGCACTACGCGCCGATCTTCCGCTGGCTGCCCAACTACAGCGTGCAGCGCGACCTCAAGTTCGACATCGTGGCCGGCGTCACCGTCGCCATGATGCTGATCCCGCAGGAGGTGTCGCTCTCCACCATCATGCACGTGCCGGCCCACCACGGGCTCTACACGGCCGCCACGGCGCCGCTCATCTACGCCATCTTCGGCTCCAGCACGGTGCTGTCCGTGGCCAGCGGCTCCGAGGTGTCGCTGCTGGTCGGCAGCACGCTCGAGGACATCGAGGACCAGGACGAGCGCGTGGCCACGGGCATCCTCATGGCCTTCCTCAGCGGCTGCATCCTGCTGCTGGTGCGCATCCTCAACCTGAGCCAGATCGCCGACTTCTTCTCGCGCCCCGTCATGGGCGGCTTCATCTCGGCCGGCGGCCTGCTCATCATGCTCTCGCAGGTCTCCAACGCGCTGGGCATCAAGTTCAAGTCGCAGGACTACCCGCCCGCCACGGTCTACCAGATCTTCAACCACATTGGCGACACCAACCTGAACGCCTTCGCGGTGGCTGCCGTGTCCATTGTGTACTTGTTCTCAGTCAAGATCATCAAGAAGCGCTTCTTCCCGTCGCCCGTGCTCATGCAGCTGTTCGAGAGCGACACCCCCGTCACCAAGGAGCAGGGCAAGCCTGAGGAGGAGGAGCGGTTCCACCAGCCCCAGAAGAACTCGGGCCACGGCTTCTCGCTCACGGACCAGCAGTACAACGCCTACCACGCGCAGACCACGCCGCAGGAGGAGCGCGAGTCCCTGACGGACGCTGGCAAGAACGGACTGACCTTGGAGCAGCCCAAGTCCCAGGGCGCGTTGGTGACCATCTTCCTCATGCGCACGCTGTGTGATCTGGGTCCCCTGGTCGTCTGCATCTTCGGAGGCATCGTCGGCTACGCGCTGGGCCCGTCGCACCTGAAGCTGACGGGAGACATCCCTGGCGGCTTCCCGGAGCCCAAGGTGCCCTGGTACGGCTTCACCTCGCACCTGATCGACGGCGACCGCTTCGGCACGATCCTGTACCACGCGCTCACGGTGTCGGTGGTCGTCTTCCTGTCGAGTATCGCCATGGCCAAGCGTCTGGCCATCCAGCGCGGCGAGGACATCAACACAGAGCAGGAGCTGACGGGCATCGGCATTGCCAGCGTCGTGTGCGGCTTCTTCCAGGCCATGCCCCCCACGGGCGGTATGTCTCGCACGGCCGTCAACCTGCAGAACGCGCACACTCAGTTGGCGTCGATCATCACCTGTCTGATCGTGGTGCTGGCGCTGTACACGCTCACGGGCACGCTCTACTACCTGCCGAGCGCCACGCTGGCGTCGATCATCATCGTGGCGGGCTGGTCCCTGGTCGAGTTCCGCGAGGCCAAGTGGCTGTTCCGCGTCAAGCGCGACGAGTTCTTCGTGTGGTCGGCGTCCTTCGTGCTCACGCTGGGGCTGGGCGTGCTCAACGGCCTCATCGCCTCCATTATCTGCTCCATCCTGGCGCTCATGTGGAAGTCCAAGGTGCAGCCCGTGGCCATCCTCGGCGAGCTGGACAACGGCCGCTTCGTCGACCGCGAGAACTTCCCCGAGGCCAACCACCTGGGCGACATCATCGCCATCCGCGTCGAGAGCTCGCTCTACTTCGCCAACTGCGAGCGCGTGGCCCAGTTCGTCGAGCGCGAGATGGTGCGCCTGCAGACGCTGGGCATCACCACGCGCGGCGTCGTGCTGGACACGTTCCACATGAACGACATGGATGCCACCACCATCCAGGTGCTGTCCGACACGCAGGAGAAGCTGGCGGTGCGCAAGGTGCGCTTCGCCATCGCCAACGCCAAGAGCCGACTGTACGACATGTTGGCGGCCACGAACCTGCTCAAGCGCATCCTGGCCAACGACCCCACCATTTCCGTGGAGGAGGCGGTGACCATGATGCGCGACCTGCCGCCTCTGGCGGACAAGTCCTCAGCGGCTGCGTCTGGCACGTCCACGGCCAGCAACCCGGTGTAAGTCAAAACTAATCGCCGGATACGTGTAAGTTAGGATGGGAAGGCTGGTGAGGCGGACAGCAACAGCAACAGCAACAGCAACAGCAACCTCCCCCTCAGCTGAGCAGCCAAGCGAGGCGCCTATCGTAATGTGAATCAATGAGCATAGTGTCTTTATCTAACGTTACTTTACCTACCTGATTGTTGAAAGACTGGAAAGGAAAAAAAAACTACATGTAGTGGTCAGTCCCATCAGAACAATTTGTCTCGACAAGCGGAGAGAAATGGAGAAGAAGCTAGCTCTCACCTACGTGGGGAATTCCCAGACGACCAAGCGGGCTCGCACGCAGCTCACCGAGATAGATTACGTCCATCCGTGCAAGTCGCTTCAGTTCGTCCTTCTCCCTCCTGAAATTATAGCGCTGCCTCATGCCATGGAGACGATCAACAGATTGGCCATGACCCCCCAAGAAGCTCTCGTTGAAGCGGTCATGAGAAACCAGGCGTGCGATTTGCACCACGTTCTACAGCGGTTCCGGTGCGAATCGTCGGACACGTTCGTGGTGGCCGCTGGCTTCGGGAACCAAGTGGCCATGCGTCTGCTGCGAGATGAAATCGAGTATCGCGACGAGCTGGAAGTGCTGGCCACTGCAGCTGCGGCCGCCGCCAAGAACGGGAGGCTCAACGCCGCCAACTACCTGCTGGGCGAGTTCGAGCACAGTTTCCAGGAGCCCGTGGACGAGCGGAATGCGTATTATCGTGTCGATGACGCGACGTGGGTTGTCATGGATGAAGCGGCGGCGGAGGGCCACCTGGACGTGGTCAAGCTGGGCGTGGCGCACGCCCTCGAGTCGAAGTATGTGGCGTTGTCGCCGTGCGGGTCAGACGCCCTGTACTGTGCGGTGTGCGGCGGTCATGCGGATGTGGTGCGCTACCTCCTAGGCCAGAACTTGTTTGGCTGGAAGCTGGATGCTGCGCTTGAGAAAGCGATGGAGAACGACGACAAAGTGATCGTCAAGATGCTGTACGAGGCGTATCCAGTGTACGCAGACGGCCAGAACTTGTTTGTTCGAATGGCTCGCGATGCCCGCAAAGACGCCGTGGAGTATTTGTATGATACCATTCACCCCTCGACGTCGCTGGTTGGTGAAGCTTTCGTAGATGCAGCGCGTTGCTATTACACTGACACCGCCGAGTTCCTACTGACTACGGGTCGAGTCCCGACCGACGCCTTCGACAAGGCTGTGTCGAATGCAGTATCGTCCGGACGCATCAGCCTGTTGAGAACCCTCACGAGCAAGAAACGCGCGTCGCCGCAAGTGTTGATCACCGCTGCTACATTGGGGCAGTTCCCTATTGTGAAGTGTCTGCTGAACGTCCAACGACAGTCGGTCAACGCTTTGGTTGACGCTCACAACATGACGCGAGAACCAAGCGTCCGAGCGCTTTTGCGTGAAACCCTTGAACACGAGTAATGGGACGGCACCGGCAAGGCCGCGGATGTCTGCGGCAGTATGTTTGTTGGCTATGTGTAACTTAGAGTGGTTGTGATGAACAACGGATGGTGGCCATTGTTTCAATATCGATATGCATTGGCTTCCAGCTAAGACGTGCAGTGCAGCCCTGCCAGGTTCGCTATCATGTTGATCCGCTCATGGAGTCATGGTGTGCTTGACTTGGTGGTCTCCGTGAGTCGGACTCGCCTTGCCCCCCTTCAGCTTGTCCTTCACCTCGTGCACTTTTTCCTTGGCTCGGTCGACAATGGACGGAGATGACAGCGACTTCTCCGCTGCCGTGATCTGGTAGCTCAGCACGTTCATGTTGAAGTTTTCCTTGATGGTCGTCTTGACCAGCGCTTCGACCGTGTCGGGGCTGCCGAGGATGCCCCCGCCCAGGTTGTCGACCGAGTTGTTGTCGTTCTTGCCCATGGCGTTCTTGATCGCGCCCTTGACGCCCGTCGCGCGCCCGTTCTTCTCGTCGTAGTTGCGGGCCGTGGTCTTGAGGACGTCCATGGCCCTCGACGTGGCGTTCATCATGTTGCGAGCAGAGTTCACCTCGGCCTTGGACGGTTTGTGGCTCTTGTTGATCTGGTGGGCCACGTGCTTCAGGTCGCCCGAGACGTCCTTGGCGTTGCGGATGTCGCTCCGCATGAACGACTTGGCCGTGTTGGTGAAGTGGTTGCCATGGCGGCTGTCGTACTCGGAGAGGTTCTTCTTCAGCAGTCGGAGGCAGGCGGAGACGTCGCCGGCAGTCTGGATCAGCACTTGCTGCAGCGACGCGAACTCCTTCTCAATGGCGGCGTGGTGATCGGCGTGCTTGCCCATGGATGCTGATTGGGGTATTGAGGCTGTTGGTGTTGGTGTTTGAGTGGCGACTTGCGCGTTTGAGGTCACGTTTTGAAATGAGCCGAGGCTTGAGCTCTGGAAGCGCGGAAGCGCTAACTGAACGGCGTGGTGCTGGCTGAGAAAACGCCGAACGAGAACTGATAATGGCTGCGTTCAAAACTTCTCATGTTGAAGACACTTTCAACTTCTCAGATATACCTTCGCAAAACATTGAATGAATTCATAGATTCTTGTGAAGCCTTGTCAGCTAGCTATCCTCATAGCACCACAGGTCCTTTGTCCTTGAGTGAGAACTGCCCGCCCACATCTTTCTGGGTGTCGCTTAGTTGTCGCTTTCAGCCAATGCTTTCCGTCTAAGAAGCGTGCCAACGGAACGGCAACGGCTAAGTCACGTCTACCATAGCGGTGCTGCTCATTTCGAAAGGTGACCACAAGTGCCCAGCACCTCAAGGCGACCTTAAGTACACATCAACCCCCAAGAAGACATGGGCAAGTCCATCGAGCGCAGCATCGCCGCTGAGCAAGAGTTCTCCAAGCTGGAGCTGCTGTTGCACCAGACGGCAAACGACGCGACCAAGTGCCTCAAGGTCCTGAAGAGGAATCTCGCCGAGTACGACAAGCGCCACGGACTCCGCTTCCGCAACACTTCACGGTCTTTCATGAGGAGCGACATTCGAGTCGCGAAGGACTTGGCCTCGGACTTGCGGCACGTGGCGACGCGGATCCGCAAGAGCAAGCGCCCAACCGAATCGGAGGTCAACGCTGCGCGCATCAGTATGAACGAGACTGCGGAGGCCATGAACGACCTGAAAAAGGCTGGGCGCGTCTACGACCAGAACAACGGACTGTCGGGAGGAACTTCGGGTATCCTGGGCAACGTGCTCGGTGACAAGGACGACAAAGAGAAGGGGAACAAAGGTGGGCTCTTCAGCAACAACGACAAGGTCAAGGACCCCGACAAGTCCAAGGGAGGGTTGTTTGGCTCTGGCGGCAAAAAGATGGAGCCCCGTTCCAGTGGAGGCATCCTCAAGTCTGCTGACACGGTGGAGGCCGTGGTGCGGGTGACTTTGCGTGACAGCTTCAGCGGATTCAACGCCCTCGAGAACCAAATCTCGGCGACAGAGAAGGCGTTGTCGCCTTCACTGGCAGAACGGGCCAAGGAGGCAGTGGCAGGTGTGGCGAACAAACTCGTAGGAGACTCGAGCTCCAGCCCAACACGGGAAAACAAGAAGAGCGTGAGCTTGTGAGCTTGGATCACGAACTGATCGACTCGATCTCTCCCGTTAAGTTCGGAACACTTCACCATTTCTGTTTCCGTGCATAAGGACACTTCATGATTCAACACGAAGAATAGCTCACTTGACAAAATCGAAAGCCATGAGCCGGTACAATAGCTCACACTTTCTCCTCAGCAGTGCGCGTCTCCGGGAGTAGATAGCCGACTAAACTGCAACAAATTCAAATTCAAAAGCTCACACTTTCTTCTTCTCGTCTCGACAAGATCTAAACTTTTCATGTTGCTGTACTATGTTCGGCAGCAGTACAGGTCGTCAGGAGGTCCTTCTCATTTCCATTTAAAGTAAACAGCGCGGCTGACTGGAGATGTTGCGTCCTTGGCTGGTTGCTCACTTGTCCATTCAAAAACAAAAATGATCTACCCAGCCACAACCGACATCCCCGAGGAGATTCTAGCTGCGTCCGTGGTGGCGCAGAAGAACGCCGATGATGATCAATCTGACCTCTGGCTTTTGTTCAAGAGACTTTCACGGCTTTGGCCAGCTGTGCACGTGAGCTACCGCGGCGGCCAATACTCTGTCGAGCGAATTCTTGCCTTGGACGCGTATACTCGAGATACGTCTCTGCTTCGTGTTGTGCTCGTTTGTCTGGGGGCACTGATACCGGCGCAACTTTTTATTACTTATTAAGTATTGCCCAGGAAGTGGTACCCCTGGAAGACTCTGCATTCGGATGGTAAGCCAACTGCGTGTTCTGGGTCCGCGCTGCGATCGTGATCGGCGCTTGCACCTCTTTAATCCTTGCCCAGGCCAAATACCTTGTGAAGTACGTCGTGATACCTCGCCGTCATTTTCTCCTCGTCATGACGAGCGTGGTCTCCCTACAGATAGTCATAGCGATCGCCGTTGCGGCGTGCGTGTGCTTCCCAATTGCATTCACCATTCTGGCGATGGCTCCAGCTTTTAATGCGTTGATGGCTTTCTCGCTGTACGCTGTGTTTAGGCCGCACTTTATCCGCCAAATTCTGCAGCACAAGGACGAACTCTTTCGGTTTATGACCTTCTTCGCCTCGCAACAATTGGTTGCGATAGTATACCCTGCCTACCAAGTTCTCTTTGAGGCGGCAAGTGACACCAAGTACGAGCTTCTGGTGGTTTTATTACTCCCCATGATCAAGTTGGCGCTGAAAAATATTATTTTGCTGTGCTTGACACACATGGAGGACATGCTGTCCGAGGCTGTCATCTTTACAGTCGACTTCTTCAACTCGTTGTATCTGTCCACGAGTATGGAGAGCTGAACATCAACCCAAACGGTGGTGATCATCGTTGCTATTGACGTCGTGCAGTCTGCTTCCGTTTTATTCAAACTACACCGACGAACATCTGGTCTGTTGGCTACTTTGGATGAGACGCTGAATGGTCAAGCAGATGGGGATACCGATTTTGGTGAGTAGAGCTTGCCGTCTTTATCGCACTGACGTGTCCAAGAGTCAGAGCCGCAAAGAATTCGAGCCCATTCCTGCCTTCCACACTCGGTGTGGGTACACGACCAAACGTTCCTCAATCAGCACGGAAACACGCGTCTCCACGGATCGATGGATATGCTACGGCTGCAAAGCTCTTCTGCCCCAAGCAGCATCATGCTAGTCAACACCGCGCAATTTCAACATCGACACAAACCGCGGAAAGTATCGACGTGGGCCGGACGGAGAGAGCCGTTTTCCAAGAAGTATTCACGACTGAGGGCATCGTGCTCACTTCGTACCTTGACGCGGCTGTGCCTATTTTCTTCGGCACATTTCTACTCGTGATGGTCCGCCTCCCAAATGCAAAATACCACACAGACCAAGCCGGTGTCGCTACCGACAACATCGGCGAAGTGGTGGGCTCGGTTTTCATTTTCGCGGCCGTAGAGCTGTTGTCGTTTGGTCTGCTAGCGATTGCGGTCTACCGGACCTTGAGACTAAACGTGCTTTATCACCCGGCGTTTGTGCTGGAGACTCAAGCGGAACTGGTTCAGAGCAAGTTATTGACGTGGGTCATCTTGACGATGGCGTACCGAGTCGTGCACTTCGGGACGTTGCGCTTTGGAGCTAGCTCGTCAGCTCTGTCTCACCCATTGTATATATGCTTTGTGTGCCTAGGTATGAATTTTACTTTTAAGTTTGACTGAATCGCCAGCTCAAGTTGAGTCTTCATACTTTAAAAAATGTGTGAAATCACTGACAAAGATCCATAGGTGTAAACTTTTTACGATTGCCAATACGATGGCTACAGTACATTGGCTGTACATTAGGAATACGTTTTCACAAGTTTTCAGGAACCTGTGAGTATTTATACGTTTTTGCTTTTCAGCGCAAACCAAATGGCCGGGGAGGACGGCCAGCAACGCGCGTCCGAGTGGTCCTTCCGTGAGCCGCTGTCGCTGGACGATGTGGAGCTGCGCCAGCGGCAGGTGCTGGAGGACGGCGAGGTGTGCGACGTGAGCTACGCGCACTCGATCCAGGGGCGCGAGACGGCCAAAATCACGTACAAGGAGCTGCGCAAGGTCTGCTCGAACCTCGGGGTGCGCTACTACAAGAACAAGCCCAAGGACCTCATGATGGAGCTCATCGCGCAGAAGAAGCTCAAGGGCCAAGTACCGGAAAGCTACCGGTTTCTCAAGATCACGAGAGAGCGGAAAACCGACAACAGAGAGCGCGTCGTTCTCCACAACGACGTGGAGAACCGCGACCCCATGGAGAACCGAAGCCTCTTTGACAACCAGGTCCAGGACGAAGAGGACCAAGAGGACCACGAGATGTCGGAGGCCCACCAACTGTTCATCAGTCCCAAGCGCCAACGTACAGCAACAGACCCCATCACCATCACCTCAAGCAGCGCCACCAACACATTCCTGCAGCCAGTGAGCCCCGCAGCGTCCGAGTCGGAACATCGGTCCTCCTCATCGCCCGGCTACGGGTCGGGGTCTGGGTCGGGCATTCCGTCGACCTCCGCGTCCGTCACGGATCGAAATCCAGGCGAGATGTCGCTGAAAGACCGCAGCGACACCTTCACGCTGCTGCGGCACGTGCGGCAGCAGATCCTCGACGTCGAGGAGGAGATCGCCGCGCACACGGAAAGCGGCATCGTGCAGCTGTCCAATATCAAGACCCAGCGTCTGGCAGAGGACCTGGAATTTTATCTCTCCGAGCGACACGCACTCATGCAGAAGCTCGCGAGCTCCAGATTCAAGTGAAGTCACCATCTTATCGTTCTCCTACTTACCTCCCCCTCTCCTTCAACGGTATTTCTCTCCACGGCAGCCATAGTTCGTCCACATTATAACGTTTCACAGGTCCCCGACCCGCAAGAACGAATACTTTTTTCCCGCTGTTTTAGCTCTCAGCAGTCAAAAGTCTTCCGCCCTTGAAGCCTCGAAATGGCGGGAACGCTGAGCCGCTTCTTCGAGTCGGCGTCGGCGGCGACTGGCGCCTGCGCGCGCATCCGCGCGGACGCGGCGCTGCTGGAGAAGGCCCAGGGCCTCTACGACCAGATCCTGCCGGCCGCGCCGATGGCAGGCGCGGCCGAGAGCAACGCGCGCAGCGGCGACAGCGAGCCGGACAAGATCTGGGCGCTGGTGGCCGTCGTGGCCACGGGGATGGCGCAGGAGATCAAGCAGGAGCAGGCGGAGGAGGACAAGCGCCCGGCACATAGTGACAAGGCGCTGGGGTGGGACCTGGTGCAGCTGCTGGCCGAGGCGGGTGTGGGGCTGCAGGAGTTCCTGCTCTACTTCACGAGCCTCTTCAACCGGCTGCTGCTGGAGCCCGAGCTGCTGGCGGCCACGACGCTGCTCAAGGAGGAGTTCACGATCGCCACGCTGCTCTTCGAGAAGTACCGCGTGCTGTGGGAGGCGCTCGCGCCCAAGAGCAGAGCGAGGGGCGTCGTCCACACCGATCCAGAGCCCGAGCGGAGTCTGCTACTGGAGGAGGAGGGCCAAGAGCATACGGAGACTAAGACGAGGGCGCGCCACCGGAAGCTGTTCGAGGGAGGCTGGCTGCTGTTCCTCTTGGCGAAAAGGAGGCTGGGCGCGCATTATTCGGGGCTGGGACAACTGTACAACTTGCTGCTGGCGACGCTGCACCTGGTGGTGACCAATGCGCAGGCGTCGCAGGCCTCGGTGGAGGCCGAAGTGGCGGCGGCGCTCAGTGCCATGGGCGCACTTGGAGATGGCAAGGCGTCGCCGGTCAAGCCTGCAGCGGGGGTGAAGACGAGCGCGCAGATTCTCGAGGCGCTGTGCGCGGCGCCGAAAGTGGATCCGGCGGACGTTTCGCGCGCGTCTGAACACCTGGGGCTTGTACTGCAGCAGCTGAAAGATGAAGACGTGCTGCAGAGGGAGGAGGGGGAGAATGGCGTGCTGAGTATGACGCTGTTCGCTGATGCGGTGCTGGAAGCGAATGTGGAGAGACTTTCGGACAGATACAAGGAGGATTACCTGGATGGCTGCGGGAAGCTGGATGAGCGGTTCTTCTTGGATGCTCGCATTCGTCGTGCGATTATGGGAGCGAAACCCGCGGATACTGGTAATGGAGGAGCGGGCACAACAACGACTACGGGCTCAAGTGGCAGGTTGAGTACCAGTCGAAGCGCGGCGCATGCGATGCTGTCTCCAGTTCGTCGCAATATGATGGCACGGAGACGAGAGACCGGTGCCAGTACCCCGTCTTCGCGTGGAGCCATGACCCCTCCTCGCCACCACCAGCAACCATTCCACGGTCGTGGAATCAATTCCCCTCTGATGCATTCATGGCAGTGGCAAGGCTCACCAGGAGGCGCTCGATTCCTTCCTCCTGGCATCAGTCCCCGGCCATCGCCGAGCTCCATGCGCACTCCTGTTAGTGCGGCTGTGGAGACGAGCAACTGGGTACGTGAGACCTTGTCAAGTACGATGCTGACTCCCGTGACTCCGCGACTTCGTGGGCTCTTTTCGGATTGTGCAGTGGACCCAACAGAGCGTATCATTCGTGTATTGGGGGAACATTCAGATCTGCTGCTTGCAGCTCGGACAGCAACCCGCGTAAGCTCGAGAAGAGTGCGCTCGACGGTTATGATGATGGATGATGGCCCAGATGACAACGCAGACGAAAATGGTAGCGGACGGAACGCATCGTATTCTTCGGGCGTAGATGATAGCCTCAAGCGCACGAAAAACCTGAGCATCGTGCTGTTCTACCGCGTCCTCGAGCCGTTGCTGGTTTCGGAACGCGAACGACTACGCAACAACGACTTTTCCAAGCTGCTCAACAACGAGGTGTTTCTAGCGGCATTGTTCGCGTGCAGCGCTGAGGTCGTGCTCAAAGCTCACTCGCTCATCACGATTTCGTACCCGTTCCTGCTCGACCACCTGCGCGTGAATGCCTTTCACTTCGTTACGACCAGCGAGAGCTTTGTCAAGTACGCACCAAAACTCCCTGCAGCGTTGAAGAAGCACATGGGAGACGTGAAGAACCGCATTCTGGACTCTCTCGTGTGGCGATCCGACTCGGCGCTTTATCAGCTCCTTGCGGGTGTTCGCCGCCCGCCCACGTCTGTTCCAGGAACCCCGCTCTCAGCTGCATCGCCTAGTACCCCGAATTTGACTGACCGGCTGAATGGAAACGGCGTCGGAACTCCGAGTGGGGCAGCAGGACATGCCCCCGTACTGCGTCTCTTTTTCCGTATGGTGCTTTCGCGTGCGGCTTCCAGGATTTACCAGCTTTGCAACCTTCTCGGCTTGGACTCTACGGACCAAAACCAGATCTGGACTGCAGTGAAGGAGTGCATCACATCCCACCACTACCTTCTGAGGGACCGCCACTTGGATTTGATCGTGTTGTGTAATATTTATGCCGTGTGCAAGGTTTCGCGTGGCCCGAATGTATCCCAAGCTGCGTCAACGATGTCATTCAAGCGTTTGCTGGCATCCTACAAGCAGCTCAACAGACAAGGACCTACTGGCACCAATGCAACGGGTGGGAGCCCGTTGGTTTCTTCGCGTAATGGAGAAGGAGTGACGCACGGTATCAAGCTTGACAGCGAGCATTCGCGTGGAGATATCATTAAGTTCTACAACCGCTGCTACATTACGCCGATGAAGGCCTTCATTCTCCAGTTTCAGTGCCAGGAGTCGCAAATGGCTGCCGCAGACGCGGTTGTGGCTGAAGCTTCAGGGGTGCCTCAAGCGGTTGCCCCAGGCTTTACTCCTCGACGAGAAGGCAGCAACGGTGCTATGGGGCTAGCCACATCCACGTCCGACGCGGAAAGTATCGCTCAAGCCGCGTCGGAAGCTGTTCAGAAGCTGCTCAAAGCTCAAAGCAGTTCGTCAACCGGCGCCAACGACAGAAGCAGCGTGCTTCCTAGCACGCCACCCCGTCCCAATCGCCGTGGCGTGCGATCGTCGCCTTTTGTTTCGTCGCCGGCTGTGTCAGCGCTACAGATGTTCACCTCGGCGGAAGTGGAAACGCTGCCGGTATCGATGCACCAGTCGTCGCCCAAGCGCGTTAAATCCTCGAACGTGTACATGTCGCCGCTGCAACAAGTGCGCTTGGATCGGCGTTCGCAGCTGACGCCGCGCTCCCATGCCCTTTACGCCATTGGCGAGAGTCCGGCTCGGGTAAGTTACTGAGTTACGTGTTTTTCATCGATCTCGTCGGTTCCAAGATCTGACGTGTTGCTGTTTGCAGGACTTGGCCTTGATTAACCGTGCTGTCAACGAGCCCATGCGCCACGGCCGTGGCCCCCCTCCACTCGTTGTGGATAGTGACACTGAGCAAGACGGCGTGAGCCCCAGTGTTACCCCTGCCCGCAAGAAACAGAGAACTGTAGCTTGAAGTGGACGCACAAAAGTTGTAGCAGCAAGTAGCTTTGTAGATTATGCGTAATATGTGACCCATTTTCGCTACATTTGTGAGTTCGTGTCTGATGAACGCCGTGTTAATGAGGGGAAACGTAGGTCGCCGCTCTGCTCAGGAGTTGTGAAACAAAATATTTTTCGTTATCTAATGTGCTGCGGCTCTGACCCGTGCCGACTTCCGCGGTGCATACATGTGTCGGGCTATTCGTTTTGTTCACTCAATTCTGCTTCAAAACACAATCTTCATCTCCTCGGAGCGCCTGCGCTCCACTTAGATGCTGGTGACTTCGACCTCCGGCTCATCGCTTTCGCTGCTGTCTTGGCCGTTCAGAATCGGGTGCGGGGTCTCGTCCTCGCTGCCCAACTCGTCCGTCACGGGGTCGTTGTCACTGGCGTTCAACCGGCCACGCATTGCCGCGCCTTCCTTCAGCTGCCGCACCAGCCAGCCTTCGTCGGCCATCGACAGGTCATCGAACGTATCGCGAGTCGTGTCGTACGCAAAACTAAACTCATCAAAGTGCGACTCATCGCTGGCGTTTGCGACAGTCGATGCCTTCTTTCCGTTGACAGCCTTGGGGTTCTCACCAATGGTTTCGTCCACGTTCATGTTACGGAAGTGCTCGTGCACGTTCTGCATCAACTCTTCAGTAGGCGGGATGAAAGGCGGCTCCACCTCCTTCTGCTCAAGCTTCTCCCAGTTGATGGTAGCGAAGAACGGGTGTGCACGCACACCGTCAATGTCAATGCGCTCCGCAGGATCACGAACCAACAACTTCTGCATCAGATCGATAGCATCCTCGTCGATCGGAGGGTACCGCTCGTACTTGACATCCGCAGTCTGAATCTTCTTATACATCTGCGAGATGTTCGGGTCAAAGAACGGAGTGCTTCCGGTCAGCATTTCGTACAGCAACACGCCGTAGCTCCACCAGTCCGCTTCCATGCCATACTGCGGCTTCTGCGTCAGCAACTGCTCCGGGGCAATGTATGCAGGGGAACCAGCGAGCGTTCCGGCCTGCGAGTAGTTGTGGCTACCCGGTTCTCCTTCAAGACGAAGCTGCTTCGAAATACCAAAGTCCACAAGGCGGATGTTGCCAGTCTTGTCCAGCATGATGTTGTCCGGCTTGAGATCACGGTAGATGATACCGTGCGCGTGCAAGTATGAAAGTGCAATAGCGAGTTCTGCCGCGTAGAAGCGAGCGCGCTCGACCGTGAAACGCCGGCCACTGCTCGTCGACACGTTCGGGTCCATCTTCGAGGAATGCATATGCAAATACAGGTTGCCACCCTTGTAGTAGTCCATACCGAGATAAAGCTTGGTCTGCGTCTGGAAAGCGAAACGCAAGCACGTCAGGAACGGGTGGCGGACGCCAGACAAGATGCGGCGCTCCTTGAGCGCACTCTCAGCTCCTGACTGCTTGTCAATAATTTTGATAGCGAAGTACTCGTCCGGGTTCAGGTGGCGCTGCACCAGCACCACGGTACCGAAACCACCCTGGCCCAGCACTCCCACAACGTCGAAGTCAGAGAACGACAACGCCAGCGAACGCTTTGTGAGGCAGTACTGGTGGAAGCACGCCGGGTGCTCCGCAATCACCATCGGGTTGGACGTAACACGGCGTGTCTTCGTTGCCGATGCACTGCGCTGACGGAACGACAACACAACACGAGAGATACGCCGCGCCGGGGTGAACGTGATCTGCAGTCCAAACTTGCCTTCAGTCGTCGAGCCCGACACGGTGTTAATCAGACGGTGTCCCGAATAGCCGAAGGCGTGGTGGTCATCATCGTCGGCCTTGTGGGCGACCTCCTCGTTCACATCCGTGGCCAGCAGGTACTTGCTCGCGTACAGCGCGGCGAAGTGCACGAAACCTTCGCGTCCGTGGTAGATGCCCTTGAACACGCAGGACGGCTGCGTGGTCTCGCACGTCTCCAGGTCGAAGAGCAGCTCCACGTCCTTGCTCAGCTGGCGCAGGAAGGACGGTAGGCGCTCGATGACGTTGTCCGGCGACGTGGCTGTAAGCAGGTGCGCTAGGTCGTTGAGGAACTTCTCTGCCAAGTGCGTGGTGATGGACGACTCGATGGACACGACCTCCTCCGCCGAGCGCGCCGCCGTGGGCGTGGGCGTGGCCGGTCCGTCGCGCGGCCGTCCCTGGTGGAGCAGCGAGGCCTCCCTGGCCGTGGTGTTGTGCAGGCTGAGCTGCATCATGTGCATCCACATGGCCTTCTCGACGCCCGAGGCGGCGATGAAGTGGATGAGGTTGCCGTTCGTGGCCAGGAAGCTGAAGCCCAGCTCCTCGGGCTTGAGCTTGGAGCCGCCGAAGCCCGCGGAGGGCAGCGAGCTCAGGATCTGCTTGATGACCCAGCGGCCGCGGTGCTGCTCCTTGGCCAGCGCGTGGTTCTTGGACTTGTAGACCGAGACGGTGCGGTTCTGCAGCGTGATGTAGCGCGGCGTCCAGCTCTTGACGATCTTGCGCTGCTTGTAGAGGTAGCCCTCCCACTCCACCTCCTCGGCCGTGATGGTCTTGAGGTCGATGAGGTTGGGCGTGGCCATGGCGCTGCTCTTGGGGCGCGTCTTGCGCGGCGTGGCCGCGGCCGAGCCGAAGTTGGCGGCCGCCGCCGCCAGGTTGGACGACGCGCTGCCGCCCGCGGCGCGCGAGATGGACGGCCGCCGGCTGCGCGGCGTGCTGGAGACCGTGCTGCCGCCCGAGGACGGCCCGCTGATGGACGACTTGCGCCTGCTGCCGCCGCGCACCGCCGCCGTCATGCTCGAGGACGACGGCTTGCGCGACATCATGCGCGCCTCCAACATGTGCGCCATGGTTCAATCACTGCACTGTGTGAGTCGGAGAGTGCGGAAAGCAAGAGTGATGGTCCTCCGGCACCCCTCAAAAAAAGTGTCGGTTGGTGCCTTTTTGGCAAGTCGAGTCGCCTGCCTGCCTGCCAACAGCCAGAGTCGAAAGCTCAAGCCAACAGCCACAGCCTCCACCTTGTTGCCCTCTGGTCGCTCGCTCTTTTTGCTTTCTGGACGCGCCCAACAACACGGCTCCAGCCCCCCTTTCTCGGGCCGAATCTCGGCACAAACAGCAAGCGCAGCGTCTTTGCCACGGTTTCCGTGAAAGTCGAGATCGAGTTGAAGAGGGAACGCGTTGCCATTGGCGGAAAAGAGGGGTTACCGAAACCGAAACCGGTTCCGCGGGTCGGCAGGCCGTTCGGTGGTACAATCAGTGCCGCACATCGTCCGGTGCCCGTAGTCGCTGCTTCGTTGACGAAAGTGCTCGACGCTCGCCATGTGCCTGCTGTTGCGCTGTCTCCGCTGCCTGGACCTGGCGGAGGACAGGGCTGGATGGACGGGCTGGCTGGCTGCTGAAGCCAGCTTCTCGCAGCCGCAGCTCGGTTCGCCGCGCTCGGGATGATGGCGAGCTCGTCACCAGAGGACCGACTTGACCTTGTATCAGATACGAGGGAGATGGAGCGCTACGGTACGGTATCCGAAGTGCGTGGCAGCTTTGATGCGCATCGAGCGGTTCGCATCGAGGCTGGTCGCTGCCTAGCTAATAAAGGCCACGCGGGCATTGATAATATTGTCCCGGGCTGCCAGACCAGGCTTGGCCACGCACCCGGGCGGCAGTTTCCTCCCCCGCCGGCCGAGGGCTCGCGGCCGCAGTGGTCCACGCTGCACTCGCAGGCAGCTTCAAGCTGTCACTGAAGCTGCGCGCGAGTGCTGCAAATCGCAGGCTCCATCCAGCCAAGACAAATCCCACGTGGCGGCACGGAAACGTGCACTCGGGCCTTTTCAGATGGCTTCAGCGCTGCATCCAGGCTAGGCAAAGCGAGCATACTGTACCGGTGTCTTGGGGGTGGCCATGCAGCGAGGAGAGCCGGAGGTTGCATTCGCTTTGCGCGTTGGGACACCGGTGGTGATATTTCGCGGCACGTGACGCGGCGCTCGTTCGACGGCAGCAAGATTCGCTCGCGCCAAGTTGCTCATGGTGTTGGGCCTTGTAGCTCAGCAGCAACGCTGCCGATTTCGTCTTTCGCTCGCCCTCGTGGGCTCAAATAGTTTTCAAGTTGCTCGGTGCTTAGAACGATCTCCTTCAGGCGTTGCACCACCTCGCGTCGCCGCTGCTTGGCCGATTAATCCGTTGTTGAAGCCCCATTAATCGATTCGAAGAGACGGATCGTTGCTGTTGAAGCTGTTGATCAGCAAGCTGAACGGCAAGTTGAATCTACCCCGTGCCACGTCATTCGTAGCGGCACCAATTGCAGCAGATCGGCTCAAGCCACAGCGTCAGGTGTTGCAGCTATCGGCGCCGACAACTTCTGCGTGCGTCGTATTGCTTCGAAAGCTTCGCGGCCGACCTGGGCGATCGGACGCACAGCCAGCGGCGCAAACCCGCTCGACAACCTTTTCGTTTGCGCCGGTAGAAGGCAGCACAAGAGCGAGCTCTTTGTTGACTCGCATTGCAAGCGCGAGGTGAGAGCGGGGAACCTCACGTTCGACTTGTCGTCTTTACTGCTCGGTGGTGCGGTTGCCATCGACGTGGAGCGACGAGAGCTCACTTTGTCGCTCTGTCGATATGTGGAAGCGGCACCTGCATTCGATCTGTTGTGTTTCACGAACTCAACGCCGGGCGGAGTCAGCTCGAGCCCCAGATTTGGCGACGTCTCCCAAACCACTGCAGACACCAAGCGATCCCAACGCGGCTTCGACCGCCGTGTAGGAGACTTGGCCACGCGCTGATTTTCATCGGGCTTGTGACTTGCGACGAGTCTCCGGGTTTCAACAGCGACGCCTTGGTTAGACGTTGATAACGGAGAATCGTCATCGAAGGTATCATCTTGAGCGTCGCGCAGTACTCGACCACGTTGGTGATCTTTACGCAATCGTCCGGGCATCGCGTAGACGCTCGTTTGTGATCGTAGCTTGACTGGGCTAGAACTCTCGTGGTTGGTTTGATTCGAAACACTCGCAGTTGTCGTCGACGCGATTCTCAGACAGATTATCCGTGGACCCTTGCGCTCGAGGAGCGTCCGCAACCTCTTTCGCACCAGACTTCCGCGCACGAATGACTGTACTTTCACGGCACTGGCAGTCTCTTGGGACAGCTTTGCGGGGGTCGGAATACGAGGCGGTGGCTGCGTTCGCCGTCTCTCTTGGTGCTGGCGGACAACCCTTTGAATTGTTATTGCGCTCGTTTTTCTTCTCTGAGTTCGAGTTGGCTCCGTCGGTGGCCGTGGCTGAAGTAGCACCGGTTGCTGCGTAGGCCGGCGTGGAGTACTTGGCGTCGGAGGTTTGCTTGTGCTTGGGGGTCGAGGAGGCTTCTCAGGGCGCATTCGTTCACGTGATGAATCCTCCTTCACACGGGTGACAAGGTACTTCGCTTTATGTTTGGGCTCGTCTGGAGATCGAGCGACACGTTGCATCACTATCATCGTTCGCATCAGCTCGCGTTGTTTCCTGAATTTCTCCAGCTCTTCGGTAAACTTGTCATGTCGTCGCTGGCGACGCCCTCGAAACATCGCCTGCAAGCGCATGATGACGACCAGTGCACTCAGCATATCCGTGAAGACTTCTTTTTGAGAAGGCAACCTGGCGAGGGTAGCACGGCGAATGTAGACGCTGCGTCCCGTGTGCTCCTCCATGTTTGCTGGCATGACCAGCTCTGTGCTGTTAACTCGGGTGACGATGTTGCCGTTCAGAGCGTTGAGCAGGTCAAGCGCCTTCCTCGCCTTGACTTCACGGATTATCGCGTGGTTTCGGCCGTTTGCGAGCTTCTTCGTGTTGATTTCGATAGTTTGCTGCGAAAACAAGTTCATTCGCAACCAAGAGGTTAGTAGTAGCTTATACGAATGGCTGGCTGGACTCAAGTAAGCTCACCGCGACATGCGTGGTAAAATGTAGCAGCTTCTGCTCGTCCTTGGTTGAGAAGCCCGTCTTCACGATCACTTTGATTGTCTTGTGCCGCCGCAGCCTGACCTCACTGCTCGATTCATTGTGGGAATCTTGCGGGGCTGCAGAGCGTTCCGCTTCTTCAAATGCCCGCTCTCCTGTTGTGTCCAAACGATTCAATAACTGCGCCACACAATACCTACGTTAGATTCCAGTGTTAAAACACTGCGGTGAAAGCCGCACAGTACAGCACCTGGATGACTGCGGTGGCGCGGTGGTACAGAATGATGGGGGCGCAGAGGATTGAGTCCACCTGCATGTCTTTCGGCGCATCATACTCCCGATGAAAAGTGCGGTGCTGCAACACAATACAAAGCTCAGATGTTAGGATATCAGAGATGATAGCTCATACGTGTTTGGTCGTACCGGGTTGGGCTCTTGCATCCGCAAACAGCGTCTCTGGAGGAAACACGAGCTGACCATGCCCACCACCGGCGGGAAGCTGACAAGTGGGCACTTATCTGCATCGTCGCTCTCGCTCCCATCCTCGCTATTGCTAGTACTGCTCTCGGTCTTCATCTCCGCTGTGTCTTCGCTAATAGCGGGGATAGCCTCCGTGGGCTTGTCTTCTTTTGCTTCTCCGTCGTCAGAGTCTTTGTCGTCGCAGTCCACGACCACCTGCGGTCTCAGCAGGTGCGCAGCTTTGTCGTAAATGTACACTATACATCGCTGCGCTGGGATGGAGGCTAGAATGTCCGTGGCTGCTTGAGTGAGCACGTCCAGCAGCGAGTGATCGGCCAAGTCAATGTCAGCGATGGTGCTCAGGGAGGAGGACGACCGGCGCTTCAGTAGCGGATCCACGGACAACCGGCGGACTCCCGACTCGCCGCTGCTCTTCATTGCGGAGTCGGCAGTACTCGACTGCGTTGCATCTTCCTCTTTAGCAGCCGCCACCTCCGTGCCTTCAGACATGCTCAACGTTTGACAAACTGCAACATGCGTAGCCAAATCGGGACATGGCTACACAATATAAAATATGACGGATTCGAAACCACAACTTTCATATTTTATAGTTACTGGTTGACATGGAGCCGCTGCGCCGAGTGCACGGTACGTCCTCCTGCCGTCTCTTCTGTGCTGCATTCTCCGCTTAAACACCCGGTGTATGCGCAGTGGAGGTGTGCGTGAAGCAAGAGAGCGTCGCTGACTATGAGCAAGTGAGATCCGCCGTCGCAGAGCACTTGGGCGCGACGTGCGCACTCTTCACCAAAGGTACGCGCCACCATGCAGTACCAAGTAGCTCTACACTTGAATACCTAGCACCAATATTTTTATTAATCTATCGCAGGCCCTGTCATACTGGGCGAGAATTCCCCATTAGCGGTACACGTGGAGCGCGTCGACATCACGGAATTCGACGGGGACGAGAGTGAAGAGGCCAATGGCGCGGGGGTGCCACGCTCCGAGGCGCAAATGTTCGTGCACGTCTTCAAGCTGAGTCATGTGAGTGCATTTACTGCTGTAAGACATCTTGAGATAGATAAATATTTTATTGATGATGCTTTGGTGCTGCTATGTGGTAGGAAGCGCCGGCGGAGGAGACTGCAGACGATGACGAGAATGTGACGACGTGTCAGCAGACGATTCTTCCTGCGTGCAGCTTCGACGGACTCTGGGACTCGCTGATCTTCGACACGGCCGTGAAGAAGAACGTGCTGGACTACGCCATGACGGCCATGCTCTTCTCGGATTCCAAGGTGAACCCGCACATCATCTCGTGGAACCGAGTGGTGTTGCTGCATGGCCCACCCGGAACAGGGAAGACGAGTCTGTGCAAGGCGCTTGCCCACAAACTCAGCGTTCGACTCTCGTCCAGGTTGGTGCAGCGGTGGGATTTGGTGGGTCTGTGTATCGTTGTGTTGAGTGTTAAGCGTCATTGTGTGGTGTGCAGATACCGGAACGCGGTTCTCCTGGAGATTAATGCGCACAGCTTGTTCAGCAAGGTACAACGTGGCTTTTGAATGTGACTGTGATAGATAGACTGACGTATAACGGTTGCTTGTACGTGTATGTGGTACGTGTAATTGTAGTGGTTTTCAGAGAGCGGAAAGCTGGTGATGAAGCTCTTCAGGCAGATCCAGGAGCTGGTGGAGGACGAGGAATCGCTCATCTGCGTGCTGATAGGTGCGTTTGCGTCGCATGTCAACAACTAACTAATTCAGCGGGTGCTAACGATTTGGGTTTGAAAATGTAGACGAGGTAGAATCGCTGACGGCAGCTCGAAAATCCGCTGTGAGCGGATCGGAGCCATCGGACGCTATTCGTGTCGTCAACGCTCTACTGACGCAGCTGGACTCGCTGAAGCGCCACTCAAACGTGCTGATCCTCACTACGTCAAATATTACTGAGGCTATCGATGTGGCATTCGTTGACCGAGCTGATATCAAGCAGTACGTAGTGCTGTAAACTGTTTAAAGTACTATCGTGAACTAACATTCATGTTAACTCTGACAGGTATATTGGGTTGCCATCCTGCCACGCCCGCTATGAGATTCTGCGGAGCTGTGTCGAGGAACTGCGACGTGTGGGAATTATTCCAACTAGCACGCAGGTTTTGTGCATGTATCAAGAGCTAGTGAGGAAGACAGCGTCGAGGAAACGAGCGGCGGGCCAGATGGCAGGTCCACCAGGCAGCGAAGATTTGGAGCTGTCGACGGAGCTGCTCCAAGCTGCAGAGATGGCGGAAGGATTCAGCGGACGTGCACTGCGTAAGCTTCCGTTTCAAGCTCACGCCTTCTTTGTCCAGGTATTGCATCGCAATGAAAACAAATATCTTCTTGTTGTCAGAGCTCCTAACGCTCGTGTTTACGTGTTAGACGCGGACTCCAAGCGTCTCGGACTTCATCCACTACTTGATGCAGACGATTCAGCGCGAGATTGAGCACAAGCAGCAACTCACGTCTGGTTAGGTTCACAAACGTCTTATCAACTAAAGGCAACTACAGTACTGTGGAGACTCCGATGCAATTGCTTTTGCGTAGTATTAATGTGCAGGATCTACATTCACCTCATCGATGCACATGCGCGCTACCAACAGCTTTCATAAGGTAAATATTACGTTATCTCGCCGCTCCCGCCGTGTTTGGCTCCTCGTAGCACTCGACGACAATTCCCCACTAACCAGGCTCCTTCTTCTACGTTAATCTACTCGTGCGATACACTTGGCCGTTAGCAGGTCGATCTGAACTGCCCTCTTTCCTTCTACTTCGGGCGCGAGTTGCTGGACGCGCGACGCTGGAAACTGCGGCTGTTAGTGTTGCTCTGGCTTGCCTTGCTTGCACTTCCTCCCTCCAACTGCATCCTCCCCGCATCCGCGAGCCGACTGCCAGTCGACGACGTGGAGTTCACCAACTTGCCATTGCGGTACTCCTCCGTAACGGTCTCCGTACGACCGTCAGCTCCCGTGGTGGTGGTCGTCTTCCGCGTGACCACATGCCCATTGCGATCCGTAAACGTCGACGACGACGAGCTCGTACTCGTCGAGAAGAAACCACTCCCTGCTGCTCCCTCCATCCCGCCGAAACCTTCGCTAAAGAACGAGTCCATCATGGACACGCCTCCCAAACTGCCAAAGCCACGCCCCATTCCCATCCCCATCCCCATTCCGCCAAAGCCCATGGCCTCAAAGGGGTCGTCTCCAAACCTCCCGCGTCTCTGACTCGACCCGCGACGCTGTCGTCCGCCCCCTAAGAACGCTTCAAATGGGTCCTGGCCGCCAAAAAATGCGTCGAAAATGTCGCGCGCGTGCTGCGTCGAGAAGCCGCCACCAAACGCGAAGTGGTCCTCCCCGTCCCTCGAGTGAGGGGTAGCAGAACCCCCGCCACCATTCAGCCCGTCCTTCCCGTACTTCTCGTAGAGCTTCCTCTTCTCCGGGTCGCTCAAAACTTCGTACGCCTCGCTGATCTTCTTGAAGAACTCCTCGGCCTGCGGGCTCGAGCGGTTCTTGTCCGGGTGCCACTGCACCGCCAGCCTCCTGTAGGCGCGCTTGACGTCCGCCTCCGACGCCGAGCTCGGCAGGTTCAGCACCTCAAAGTAGTCGTCAGACTGGAGGTGCGCGGGGAAGTCCATGGCCGGCGGATTATCACTACTGGGGGTGTCAACTTCAACTTGGCGGCGGTTCTCCTTGTCTTGCTCCTGGTCTTCGGCCGTGAGGTCGATCACTACTGGGGGGGTTCTTCTCCACCTCCTTATTGTTGTTGGATGCTTTGGGCTTGTCGGTCGGCGCTGCGACCTTCTTGGGCTTCTTGACACGTCGACGCTTGCTGCTCTCGCGGTCGGTTCGACTCTGGGCTTGGAACGGTTGGCACACATTTTTGATACTGACGCTGTGGCTGGAAGCCGATTGGCCACCGAAAGGACGTTCGCGTTCGCGTTCTAGAAGTTTCCGATTTGGATAATTCGGGATTCCTGTAGGAGAAATCTTGTTTCGGGCTCGTAATTTTGAAATAACTCTGCTTATATTACACAAAGTGTTAAATTGGATACAATGGGTTGGATGGCCATCCGGACTAGTTTTGCTGGCAATTCGCAGTTACAAGAACTGCCATTAGGCCATCGAACGATATTTCTCGCAACAGTCGCGCGACATTGTTACCGGCCTGCATTCTGGCTTTTAAGCCCTTAAAAGAGCTATTTCAAAATTACGGCCCCGAAACAGGATATCCTATCATTTGTGATATCCATTTCTTTTAGTTGAAGGGGGAGGGATCGGAGATATCCATGAGGTTGGCGCTGTTAGCGTTCGCCTTGCTGCTGCTGTGCTTGTGCGCGGGCGAGATCTTCGAGTTTAATGGGGACTCGCACTTCGAGTTCGGGAGGCAAATGGGGGAGCGCTTCCGGACCAAAATCCAGGATCGCATGCGGCTCAATTCCAAGCTGCAGACGCTGTTGCTGCCGTTCGCACAGACGCCAGCGGGGCGCGACCTGCTGGATCGATACCTCGCAGTGCATCGAGCTACGTTCCCCGTGGGTGTCGACACATTTTACTCATTTGTCGAAATTATCCAGAATATTGAGAATAATATGGTGACGCGATGTTGCAGGAATACGTGGAGGAGCTGGAAGGTGTGGCGGAGGGCAGCGGCGTGTCATTCGAGACCGTTTTCATTGAGAATATTGTGGAGGAATTCTCCAATTCGATCCCTCCCAGTTTCCAGAGCGAGGCTTTCCCTACTGAAGAGCGCCACCCAGAATTGAGGTGCTCGGATGTTGTGCTGACCGGCGGGGGAATGCATGTGGTGGCGCACAATGAAGATAGCGGGGAGGTCGACGGGAATCGCACGGCTATCGTCATTGCGAAAATTGCGGACGAACCGAAGTTTGTGGCCTACACGTACTTGGGTGACCTCCCATCCGGCGCCTTCGGATTCAACGAGAACGGCGTCGCGTTCACGCTAAATTGTAAGCGTTGCGAGTTTATATTACGGACGAAAGTGAGGGATTGACGCTAACGTTTTATTCATTCATTTTTTCAGTTGTCCAGCCGGCCGAAATCTTTGTCGGGGGTCTTGGAAGAGGCTTCGTTTCACGTGACCTGCTGACAGCTCAAGACGCAGAGGATGCGGTTGCAATCATCACGCGTAGGGGTCAAGCTGCTGGTCACAGTTTCCAGCTGATGGACGTGCGTACTCCGCGTGTGTGGAACATCGAGGTGGCGTCATTTGACCGTCACGTGATCTACGAATACGCCGGCGATGGGGGAAATGTCTCGGCTTTCTTCCACGCGAACCAGTACCAACGTCTCCACGTGGCCCAGCCGCCGTACCAGAGCAGTCTTCATCGCCTGCATCGATACAGTCAGTTGAGCCCTCCCACGACAGTTGATGAAGCGCTCAATGTGCTCGGTGATCAAGAAGATAAATCCTGGACCGTGTTCCACGACACTTTGTCACACGAACGTGGCGACTTATCGGGCTGGACGCTGACAACGGTTGTCTTTGACTTAGACAAGGGAGAGGCTGTGTCATATCTCGGGAACCCCGCTCTTCGCCGCAAGAACCTAGTTTGGGATCTGCATAAACTGACCGTCCAAGAGCCTTGATACAGTTCGGGATCAGCTTGATAGTTCCTGTTAATCATCCGGCAATTGTTTAGCCTCCGCACCAGCCGCATTCTAGCCTCACCGTTCATTGTGCAATTATCTCTCAAGCCCCCAAGCGATATAAAAAACACCCCGAAAGCATCATGCGTCTAACCTACTTCGTTGTAGTGACGTGCGGAGTTGTGGCTTCGACTGTCGATAGCTTTACCGATGCCACAGCGATCAAGATGCCAACCGTTGCAGGCCAGAAACAAACTACATCGTTTGTTGTCAAGGAAGGTAATCTCGTAGCGAATGTTACGGTTGAGATCAGGCAAGCAAGCAACCCTCAAGACGCGGACGATGACAAGCAAACCAAGCAAGAATCCGCCAGGTTTTCTGACGAGGAGGAAAGAGCGCTGATAAGCCCCGGTATGAAACTTGCGCTGAAAAACTTCGTCAAACACCCCGTACAGTTTCTGAAGCAACTCGCGCTGTATTGGAAGAAGTTCAGCTACTAACTCCATGCACGTTAGTTAGCTTTACGCACCCACCCGGAAAAATAAAAAATTGCAGAAAACTGGCTCTGCACCTACGTTTTACCGGAACTTATTAACGTTAGCTATTTTTTCGTCACGAAACATAACGCAATATATCATAGGATTCCTTAGGTTAGAGTATGCCGTGGGAGGAGTTTTGACTGGGTTGCAAGTTGCTACTTACGCAGTGCTAGGATTTACAAGCTACACGTACTTTGCAACTGCCAAAGTTTGTGGTTACCGACCGCTGAGAGAAGCGTGCATGTACAGCGCGCCTTAGTTCTCTAACTGGTTTCTAAATAGTGGTATGGCGTGGGATGCGTGTACAAAATGCGCCAGAGAGCTAGTCGTAGCTGGAAGTTTACATCCTAGCTGGAAGAACTGGTTTACGTCCACATGACTACTTAGCTGTACTGTATACTGGGTTGACGTCCCCATCATTAATGTCACATAATCAAAAGAACTTGTTTGTTAAATAAATATCCAAACTCATATCGCAATTGCCCCTCAAGCCCTCAAGTAATCGACAGATCTGGATCGTGTCGAGCATCATGCGCCACAGCTACTTTTTTCTGGCGGCTTGCGGTGTTTTGGCTACAACTATCGACAGTCTCGCTGATGCAACCAAGAGCAAGAGCCCATCTGTTGTCGGTGAAGAGCACACGGCATCCGTCCTCATCAAGAAAGGCAACCTTGTAGCAAACGTCACGATTGATGTCGAGCAAAGTACTAACGAGGCTGAGGACCCGGAAAGTAGTGACTCGAACGACAACGACTTCACCAAACAAGCGACCGGCACGGAGGAGAGAGCGTTGACCCCACCAGGGAAGCATTACGCGCTGAAAAGCGTCCTCAAACACCCTATCGCCTTTTTGAGGTTCCTGCTGGGATACGGCAAGATTCATATCACTGGAGTCTTCTAGCCACTGAAGATTTGTATCCAACGTGGGCAGTTGACCCCGAGCAAAAAGACCAAGTTTGCTCGAACAGTAATGCAAAGAGGTACTATTTTGACAGGACCGAGAGCACGAAGCTGCTTCGGCTGACGTGACACGCCAAATGGCTACTTGACTGCTCAAACAGTACTGATGTTGACGTTTTCGTCGCTGATAGCCAATGTTGCCGCGTTGGCGGTCAGCTGCTGGTACTAGTGCCAGTAGTGGTGCGGAATGCAGCGCTTTTATTAATTCACAGGTCGAAGACCTGTGCTTGGCCGCGGCAAAAAACTTGTAACTTTCCAAAAAGTCTGTTAGTTGTGGATTGGTATAATGAAATCTGTGTTTCTAAAGTGTCCAAAGCGTTAACGATTGAAGTCCCGAGCTAGGGACCGTCACGATTGCTCCCGAAATCAATCAGCAGACAGCGCCAAATACAAAAAAAGCTGAATGGACCAGCATTACCTAAGAAAAAAACTACATATTAATAAGCGAAACAGAAATAAACAACTATTATCGCACTCTATCGCACGAACACCAAGTGAATAAGCGATCCCCCAACCTGTTGCGCTTGATTAAATAGCCCATCTCTGATATTCGAGCACAGATAGTGGTGGCCTAAGCATACCACTGCCAAGCAATTCGCAGTTCGAAGAACTGTATTAGGCGGCCCAGGCGAGTTTGTCATCGAACGACATTCTAGCAGCTATCGCACCACATTATTAAAAACACCGCATCTACTGCAGAATACAACAGCATTCACGATATAGTAGCTGCGAAATCTACTAACTGAATTACCCAACGAGCTCGTTTCGTCTCTCAAGCAATTGAGGCTCTGGTGGACGTATAAATGAAGTTGTCCGACTTCCGAGGCGCAACAGATGCGACCATAGATGCAGTCGTGGACGTTGCGGAAAACTCATTGCCAAGGAGTTGAAAGACTTGCTGTTCAGTACGTAGTTGTCAGCCAATGTCGATGGCACAGGCGCAAGTTCAGGCACCGACACGCTGCAGGTCAGCTTTTCATTTTTTTAGTTTAATAAAAACTTTCACTGCTATTTATTACTTGGAAACGCAATACTTTATGTACCGGGCAGATGCTGCGGCTGCTTCGCAGCCGCAGGAGATGGCCGCGGATAGTTAAACGATAATGTCAAAAATATACTTAGTATAAATACTTTTAAAAAATCCTCTGATTCTAGCCCCGTGTCAAGTTGCTTTTTAAACAAAATAGGATAGTCCAATTTAAAAACCGGACGTATAGTTTTAGCGAGTGTCATACAGGCATCCTATCGCTCCTGGGAACTGCGCGCCCCCCGGACCACCAGTCCGGGCACCCCGAATGGTCGCTGCGTACTGCCTCTAGCTTTGTCAACCAAAAATGCTGCCGGATGCCGTTCCATTGTCTGAGGAAAATTATGCGCAATGCTCTCTCTTCCGTGCCTTTCAAGCTGCCAGCTTCGTGTTTGGCGAAGGTTTCAACATCGCAGCCACCACTGGTCGAGGCTTCAGCGGTTGCTGCTTGGTTAACCTCACCTGTGACAATCTTAATAAGAAAAAAATGTAATTTAAAAAGCGATACACATAAAATCATCATTTTGGCCTTATCGTAAAATACTTTCTAAAATGTCGTAAAAAGCACTATGCTTAGCTGAAAAGTCGTGGATAGCAACGTGCTACTATTAATAGCAACCATTGGTAGCCATCTGGTGTGCCAGTCAGCCGGAGTAGCTTCGTGCTCTCATTACCGCAAAAACCGGATAAATGCAGCACCATTTTACTATAAGACAATGCATGGTGCTGCATTTTTCCAATAGGTGCAGTAAATTCAAGTAGAACCTGATGTGATCAAAACACGGTACCAAGTTTAGATTACGGATCACTTTACGGTTGAACTTGAGAGCCGGCGATGCTCGACAGCCGTCACTGCTGGACGCGTGGCATTTCAGAATCAACCAACTCTCGAAGCCACTTCACCCCACGCGACCTCTACAATGCCCAGGGGACGAATTCCTCTGTCCTACACCAACGCTTTCAAGCTGCAAATCGTGCTCGAGTACATCGCCGCCGCCGAGGACGGCATGACCAGAAAAGCGTTTTACACGCTACGCGATGTCAAACGCTCAACGCTGCAAACATGGCAGCGGAAGCTCAATAAGCTGATCGCTGTGTCGGAGCGCCGAGGAACAGCCCACCCGTCTCGCGCAAACAGGCTGACACTTGGAGACAGCGGCCGAGTCTCACCGTCCGCGCCTGTCGAAGACGCCGTTGTGACCTTCATCAAGGACGCGAGGCGGGAGGAACAAGTGGTGACGCGCGACATGATAATCGCAAAGGCAGCGGAGCTGGCGCCGGCGTTCATGGAGGGCACAAGCGTCGACGCGCAGCTGCAGTGGTGCGCGCGCTTCATGCGTCGCAAAGGCCTAACGATTCGCCGCATCACCTACTCTGGACGAAAGACAAGAAGCGATCTAGAAGAAGCAAGGCTCTCGTTTGTCTCGGAGGTGCTGAAAGTCGCCCAGGAGCACTGTTTCGACCCCCGCCTGGGCCGCGCGCCTAAACGAACCATTTTCAATATTGACCAAACGTCCATTTACAGTACGATGGCCTCACGAACTACGGTGGAGGTGGTTGGGGCTACGCGCGTGCCAATGCTGACGGAAGGAAGCGACAGCTACCGCTGCACCATTGCCGTGACTGTTGTGGCCGATGGGCGCAAGTTCGCATTTTGTGTTCCAAGGACAGCCTGGTGGTGACGTCGAGAGGGAGGTCAGAAGTTACTGCGAGGAGGAAGACGCCACGTTTTCGGTCTAGGAAAAGGCGTGGTTCGATCTTCGAGTCATGCTCGACTGGATCGAAAACGCGTGGAAGCCTATCGTGACGGAGCCATCGCTACTGATATTAGATAGTTTGAAGGTTCACAAGATGGCGGAAGTGCTCGATGCACTGGCGTGCACTGGGACGGCCGTGCAGTTCGTGCCCGGCGGCTGCACGGGGGTGGCCCAGCCGCTGGATGTTGGCGTCATGGCGCCGTTGAAACAGCCCATTCGCAAGTGCTACTCGAACCGTCCAGCTGTAAGACCCCGCAAGATAACACCGGGTGAGCGTCGATACGGCATGTACTGCCGCGCGATATCGGGCTGGGAGAGGATCACCGAAGACACAGTGCGCAACGCGTTTCACAAGGCGGGGCCATTCGTTCAGTACGGCCCTCCACTTCACGGTTGAGATCTCGTGCAAACGTACTTAATCAAACTAGTACGGTAACTCTTTGATTACAAATTTCAAGTCTATCAACTTTTGACGATTCGTTCAAAACGAGATGAGGTGATGGGACAGGTAACTCTCCGTTAACGCTGATTGGCTACTGTTTTCTATACAACCGATACGGAGGCTGCATTTTTGCGAGTGCTGCATCTATCCGGTTTTTGCGGTATATATCTTAGTATACGTACGATGACCCTTTCAAAAAAGCACCTCTCCCGCATTACCACTTGAGTATTTTCGTTTGTAGTCTTCGAATGAATATCGTCCGATATCCAAGCAGGTGCTTCAAGAAGGCGATGGAATGTTTGAGGACGCTTTCAGCGTGTAATGCTTCCCTGGTGGGACCAGCGCTCTCTCCTCCGTGCCGGTGGAGGTGCAAGTCGCATGTTGCGTGATGTCGTTGTCGTTTGAGTCCCGCTCTTACGGGTACTGGGCCGCGTTGGCGCTTTGCTTGACATCAATTGTGACATTTGCTACAAAGTTGCCTTCCTTAACAGTAAAGGAGGCCGTTTCTGAACTGACGGCGGTTGAAATCTTGCTCGCGGTTCCATCAGCGAAGCTGTCGCCGTTTGTAGCCAAAACCGCACAGCCCACCACTACAAAGTAGCTCAGGCGCATGGTGATTCGTGCCGATCCAGTTGTCTCTTGAGGTCTTCAGAGCCGATTGCAAAATGAACAGTGAAAAAGAAATACATGCGTGGTGTTGCTTGAGATGGCGTGGGAAGTAGAACGAGCTTTGCAGGGGTTGTTGGGCAATCTATGATCACGGCCGATCTTGAACTGCATCATAGAATTCAATAAACAACCGGCGACAAGTAATACTGTGCCACCACTACTCACTAGGTCTTAGCTTGGTTAACTATTTTGGTACAGTGACACCTCCCTAAATGAACCCCTCTAACTGACTATGTGTTCCCTATCTGGTTAGGATTCCTCGACTGCAAACGGGATTATATGGATTTCACTATATAACTGATCAAAAACCTCTTTATTCTCTAAATGGTCGCCATTGTTGGCGCCTCAACCCTCTAAATGGACGCCGTACTAATAGATCCAAACTCATATATTTTTCTCAATCCCTTCCCTGCCTCCTCCCACGTATGACATTGCTACCACTACTCCGGCCACAACAAATCGAGCGAAGAGAGAAATTGTATTTGGGATGCTAAGTTGGAACATAGAGTTTGCAGTAACTGCAAGCTTGTAAATACTGATAAATAAGCTAGCCACAGTATTTTACAATCAGCGCAGCGTACATATATATTTTACAAAAAACTAAAATATTATGGTGTCGAGACAACTAGGGACTATACAGTAGATACCAAGCAAAATGTAAAACTGCAGGCATGGTGGCAGGATATCGGGACAACAAATATTCCCATAACCTCACTGTATTGAAAATCACGTACAACCTGAGGGGATGCGATTCTGCAAATACCAATGAGAAGAAGGAGTAGGAACAGACAATACCGCGCCTACCGTTATTGGTTAAGTTCTGTCTGTGTGAAGACGAAACAAAACAAGAGTACGAAAATGCTGGAGGGGTACCAGGTAAAGAAAGCCCTTGTACTGTGCACCTAACGTATGAAAATGTAGCCATTAGAGATGTAGCCATTTCTTCATCTGATCAAGTTTTTAACTGAAACAGCGTATTAGACCGAGCGAACTGGGTGTCATTTATAGAGGTGCACCTGGGTAGCGGCTCCAGTTGGCAGGACGCTGAATTTTCGTTATTGTTGCAGTCATGAGCGTAATATTACAGCTGTAGAACTTGCTACATTTCTATCCTTACTGATAATTTGCCCTTGTTGGATACGTCCTACGACATGGTCCATAGCGATTTCTAGGTCAGTGTGGGCGTAGTATAAATGTTGGTTACAGAACATAACGTCTGTACAACTATAATCGATTCAGATTATCCATACTTGCTCCAAATGAATCCACCGTTTTCGAACCTGCCCATAAAACTACAAAAACTCTATTATATTCGCTCAGCAGTTATCCCGAAAAGTACGTTGCAAAGCAACTCAAGAGGCTGCCAGTATAATATACACAATCAGTAGTAAATCGCAGAATAAAAACATTTACTAAAGCAGTATAATAATTATCGAGCCGTTACTACAAACTCAAATCACCCCTACCCTCTATCATACAAAGACCAAGTCAACAACAAGAAATCCCCCCTTCGTGGTAGCATTTTGCCCGCGAAGCTCAAGAGAAGAGAAGAAGACCCCAGAGTACTACCGCTAACTACTGCTAATGATGCGCGGCCACGACACGGTTTTCGTCGAGACGGAGGCGCCCGACCCGCTCGCAGGGCAGCCCACCGACCAGTACGGCATCCCGCTCTCGGTCGCGCACGCCCCGCAGACCGACCTGCCCGTGTGGCAGTACATCCACCAACTGTCGACGCCTCTGGCCAACTCCAAGAGCGCCGACCGCCCGCACACGCACATCTGCATCCTGTGCGCGGCGTCCCCTCCGCTGCGCCCCACGGGCAAGAAGGCCTTCACGTGGCGCAATGCGCTCATGCGGCAGCGCATGTCCACGAACGCCGTGTCGCACCTGCAGCGCGTGCACCCCGAAGAGTTCGTGGCCATCGCCGACTACAAGCAACGCAAGCGCCAGGCGCTGGAGGAGAAGGCGGCGGCCAAGGCCAGTGAGCCCAAGATGAAGCGCGCCAAGAGAACGCCCGGACCCAAGCGCAAAGCGGCCAGAACGTCTCAGGCTGAGGAGACCCACGGGACCGTCGAGGGGGAACTGACGGATGCCACGCCCATTGCTCTCGTGGCCAAGGCTCAAAGCTCCGGGGTGCAGACCAGACCCCCGAGTGCTGGAGTGTTGGCGCGGAAGCGTGCGGTGGGGAAGACGGCGGATCTGCTGAAGACGTGGCTCATTTCCTCGGGGCTGCCCGTGTCCATGCTGCGAGACGAGACGTTCCAGCAGGTGATGAAGCTGTCAACGTCGGCCATGTTGGCGATGCCCTCGGCGTCCAACTTGAACGCGCAAGTGCAGGACAAGTTTGCCAAGTTTGGCGGCTTCCTGAGGTCGTACCTTGCGGCGGAGTCGCAGGCTGCATTGGGGCTGCCGTTCCTGACGCTGCGCCACGAGTTCCGGCCGATCTCTGCTTGTGAGGATGCAGCGAGAGGGGTCGTGACGTCGAACGAGGAGAGGGCGTTCCTCAGTGTCGAGGTGGGCTTCATTGACTCGCAGTGGCGCAGAGTGGATCTCGTGCTGGCGGCGAAAGAGGTCCCGCGCGGATGGGACCAGCAAGTCACTCAGCTGGTGACTCGCACGGTGTCGGAGACTTATAACGTCGACGCGATCTCGAACTACGCCCGGTTCCATGTGAATACCGACGAAGACACGCCGTCGACGCTGGCGGCTGGTGGCGATTACGAGCCGTCTACTGACGAGCAAGAGGACCTGCTTACGCGTACTCTTCGTGGCTGTGTGACGGAGGCCTTGGGTCTCGGCTCCAACACTGCCTTTGGCGGTGAGACTGATGTTCGTCGCATTTTGCGCTTGCTGCAAACGCTCCTGAAGTACTTCGAGGCCCCCGATCGAGCGGCTGCTCTGGCGGAGATTAGTGCCGCGCACAACGTGCAGGCGCCTCTGTGCTCGACGTCGTCGATTGACGAGCTGGCGCAGTCCAATCTCACGTCGATTGGAGCGCTCGCTGAGCTCTTGCGGGTCAGTTGCACGCGCTACCGCGCGTACTGCTTGTACTTCCAGTCGCCTATGCGGCAGACAGCGGCTGATCCCGAGTTGGAGACGGCTTGGATGCAGCTTGGCCTCGACGACTGGCGCACTGCCACGGAGATCGAAGCGACGTTGAACCAGCTCGCGCAGTTCCGTCTGGAGGAGCGCCTTGCTCCGCGCGCTGGAGCGGTCGCTCCATCCTACGCTTTGCTGTTCCGGCGTCTACTTGGAGTCACGGCTCACGCCACCAGTCTGAAGTGCCTCTCGCTGGATGACGACAACTCGTCCACTGCCAACCGTGCTGCTCGCCGCAAGTCCAAACGCGCCGACGCGTTTACGTCTACCGGTCAGCACTGTATCGTGCGTCTGCGCCAGTTGATCGCCAAGCGATTCCCTGCTCCTTCGACCTCAGCAGCTGTGGACGATGAGATCAAGGCGATGCTGCTGGACCCGCGCATCAGCTCCAAGGCGGCCAACCTCGTGACCGACACGCGCGCGTTCCGCCATGCTCAAGAAGCTCTGCGTCAGGAGCACCGCGTCGTGTTCGAGCTGATTGCAGGTCGATCGGCCGATGCGAACGCGAACGTTAACGCCGAGGAGGAGGAGGAAGAAGATGAAGACGAGGACGACGACGACGACGAGATCAGCGCGCTGTTGATGGTTGATGGGCCGAAGAACCAGCCGCCTGCTGCCCCCTCCACCACTAGCAACGGTAAGCGCTCTAGTAGCGCCGTCGCTGAGGACGAGGAACGTGCGTGGCGCGAGTGGCAGCAAGTGTACGTCGCCTGGGATACGCTTGCGACTGAGGGCGCCGATCTATTCGACAAGGGTCAGTACAACTTGCTCAAGCTGTACCACCACGTGAATATCCTCAAGTGGTTCCGCGAAGTTGGCCAGCAGGCGCACCCGGCAGCGTCGTTGCTGGCGCGTATGTACCTTGGCCGGGAGTCGGGTCCGTCGCGCGCTCTCGGAGCGTCGCTTCTCCGCTTTACGAAGCAGGAGGATGCCGACTGGGTGTCAGGAGCTCTCCAGCGAGCGGAGAAGCGCTGCATTCTGCACCACAACTGGCAGCAGTTCCAGCAGCTGAGCGTCAATGCGGCGCCTTTCGCTAGCAGCGATGAAAACGTCAACATCAGTACGGTTTGAGCAGCCAAGCGGTCATCTGGTGTGCCAGTCCGTCAGAGCAGCTTCGTGTTCACTTGTATTTCTTGGTATACCACGGCTCTTTCAACATAGTTCTCCTTTCTACTTTGAATCGAGCAAACTTGGTCTTTTCTGCTTGTAGTCTGCTTGCCACTTCGAATGAATATCGTCCGATATCCAAGCAGGTGCTTCAAGAAGGCGATGACATGTTTGAGGACGCTTTCTGCGCGTAATGCTTCCCTGGTGGGACCAGCGCTCTCTCCTCCGTGCTGGTCGAGCTGCTACTTTCTTCTTTTGCGTCGTTCGAGTCGTCACTCTAAGGATCATGTGGGTTGTTTAGTTCCTGCTTAACTTCGATCGTGGCATTTGCCTCAACATTGCCGTTCTTGATGGTAAAGAATGTCGTTTGTTTTTCACCGACAGCGGATGGGATCTTGCTTCCGGTTGCATCGATGAAACTATCGGAAGTCGAAGCCAAAACTCCACACGCCACTAGTGTAAGGCAGCTTTGGCGCGTGTTGTTTGATGAGACCAGTTGCACAAATTACGTTCTGTAGTGCTGATGTCGCTTGAGGGCTTGAGAGGCGATTGTTTAATGAGTACATGTATTATCACTCTTTTCTCATAACGATTTTATCTGGATAGGCTACTGCTAATTGATTTTGAAATGTGAGAGTACGGGTTCTGGTGTACGATCACGACGGCCCGTGGCTCGTGACTTCAATAGCTAACGCTTTGAGCACTTTAGAAACACAGTTTTCACTTTATTAACCCGAAGCTAACACTGTTTAAAGTGGGCTAAAGCTGCTACAGCAATAGGAAAGTGGTAGCTGCGACCTCCAGTCAACTACGCGCAGTCCATGAGATTGATATCAAGGTACATGTATTCGACGTTCTTCAAGTACATACACACATCACCATCTATTGGATGAGTTTATGCCGCATAAATGTACGTCAACTACGGTTTCGTTATTTCCGCTCAATGGACCTCTCCTTTGCCTATAGTGTTCATTGTGCAATCCGCTCTCAACTCCTCAAGCCCACCAGCAGTGCCGAGTCTCATCCAGCACCATGCGCTCCTTTGCCCTAGTGGCGTGCGGGGTCTTGGCGTCAACCGCCAATAGTTTCGCTGATGCAACCTCGAGCAAGACCCCTACTGCTGTCAACCAAGACGCTGCATCCTTTATCGTCAAGGAAGGCAACTTTGTAGCAAATGTCACGATCGACATCAAGCAAGAAGAGAATTCCCAAGACCCTGAAAGCGGCAACTCGAACGATGACAACTTCACCCAACAAGAAACTAACGGCTCGACCGACGCAGAGGAGAGAGCGCTGGTGAGTCCGGCGATGAAAGATGCCCTCAAACCTTCTTGAAGAGTCCCGTACTTTTCATAATAGCCTTGCTGAAATTTCGAGGGCAGTGGCAGCATATATACCGTGAGTAGCAACCATTGGTAGCGAGCGATATGGTTACACTGATCAATACACCACTCCGTTGCAGTTTGGCGATTGTAGCTTGCTGATGTATTAAACCCTTGCAATAGGGGCTGGGGGCTGGTGTAGGCTCCGTCATTCGAAACGTAGATTCATAATTTGCCAGAACCGACACAATTGTTTATGGGCACTTCAACCGAACAAAAGCCACAGCTTATTTTGCTTGGTCACGTGAGCAACCAGGTTTCGCCAGGCTTCAAAAGATTTAGTAGTATTTGGTGTTAGACCGTGTCATTCAATCGGGTCGATAACTCCACGAAACTTTCAATTTCAATGATCCACCAGCAGCCGCTTACCGTTTACCTGAAGCCCAATCCATTCCTTCCACGTACATTAATCCCAAACAGTACATGTATGTCAGTCTCCTGTTCCAAAACACGAAATAGTAGGCTACGATGTGTCCTGCGTACCTTGGTGCACCGAAGTCGAGAAGATCAGCGCGATGAAGCAGCTCACCAATTTCGTCTGGAAATTCGCGTACTGCTGCTCGAGGAGAAACGCCAAAAGATGCACTGGCGAAATCCCGTACTTCTTGAAGACAGTGACACAAACCATCACCAGCGCTGGCAGCTCGAACAGCGAGAAACAAAGACACCACACCATCCTCTCCACGGTCTCCTCGCTAGAAATGTCACGAAGGAGCATACTGTAGCGAGCACTTGGCAAAGTCCAAAGTGTGGCCAGCAGCAAACCTGTGAAAGCATTTATTAGCATAAGAAAAAAGTAGGAATGCTGCTTGAGATAATATAGTATGCGTACCCAGCATGAGAGGAACAAGAACCTTGATGAACTCGGTCACGACTAGCACTTCGCATGAGAACAGCAGCTGCAGCGTCTGCTCCAAGATGCGTGCTTGGTCTTTCCGCACAACCAGCATCCCGTCAATGTTCACTTGGGTGGGTCTTCGAGCATCAGTCGGACTATTCTTCGTAGCAACCTCTTCTCCAGCAGCGTACGCAAGTGCTCGATTGCTGCGGCCCAAATCAAGCAGACGCTTGGATCCAGACTTCATCAGTGTCCGAGGCGTTAAGAACACTGAGGTGGAGCGCCTCAATGGTGGGGGCCGACCAAACCCCTCCGCAGATTGCAAGTCGCCTAGAGGAGGAAGGTTGGATGAATTGCGTCGATCTTGGGAAGGTTTCTTCTGTTTTGGAGAGGGTGGGGATGGAGCAACCTCTGGTCGGATATCCGTGAAGCAGTACACTTTGGAAGGACCTCGGGACCAATTCTGCAAGCGCACTTTTGCTCGGCTCGAATCGTTTGCACCTCGGCCTGTACTGGCGTCTCTACAAGCAGGTTTACGTGTAGGCTGCTCTCGTTCAGTCTTACTTTCTGGGATTGTATCGGATGCTGTGGGTCGAATCAGATAAATGGACTCTGGAGACAACGATGGCTCTGGAGGCTCTAAACTCCTAGCCGAACCCATTGCTGCGTCCGTCATGCATCGATGGAGCCGCTGTTGCCTTCCAGAGCCAGGATCCTTCGCTGTACCAGACGACGAAGTACGCCGAAATCTTTGAGCAGATTTCAGACCATCACAAAATTCCGCTCGGTAAGGAATGGAGTTACTCTCGGTGGAATGTCGATGCAGGCGCTGAGCTCTCACGCTGGTAGTTTCTTTTGCTGTACCGGATGAAGCAGCACGACGTAGCCTCTGATACGGTTTCAGGCTTTCAAGACCAAATGGGACAGCGTTGCTCTCAGTGGAATGTCTGCGTGGGCGCTCTCGGGGATATGACTTGAGTTTCCCAGTCGCCGGATCAGATACTGCGCGACGAACCTTGTGTATTGTGGGGAAGCATTTAGACATTTGTGGGTCATTTTCACTGATACCTGCACCTAGTGGGCGAGTCAGTCGCTTTGGACTGGTGGTGAACGTATCCGATGATGCCCGTCGTAATCTGTGAGTAGTAGTGCTAGGGGTTTCAATGGTTTGAACGTCTGTACTGGCGGTGATCTCCTCCACGGGCGTTGGGTGTGATACAAAAGCTTCGTCCGCCTCCAAGTTCTCCTCCCTCTGCGTCTCGTCCTCCTCTATCACTAGCGTCGGCGATAGACTCCCTTCAACGATCTTTATGGCAGTCTGGAGTGTTCGGTTGCCGTCGACAATGAAGGTATGAGTCGAATACATGCGTGCTACGGCGACTCCAAGAAGGAAATCTCCGATTATGATCAGCGCGGAGATCTCTGGATTCCGAGCGTATTGAACGCACAACGCCTGATACATTGATGCACTCATGTCGACGAAGTTAAGGGTGACATCCGAGCTCAAGTCACTGAGCTTGCGAGCGTAAACCCACGACTGTCGCTTCAACAGAGACCGTAGCAGCGGATGTATCAGTATTAGCACAAGTTGTATACCCCACGGGGCCACGGAGAACGCCAACGCCAGCAGTAAGAAAAATACGACGATTAAGAGGTGCTCGGCCATCACAATAGTCAGTATGCGCGTTCGATGTCGATTCATTGCTCGAGCCTCCTTCGTCTGGCAGCAACGCGTTAGGTAGAATATGCAACCCAGCGTGACAACCATCTTGGCGATCCCACCTCCAGGTGCAGGATATCGCCAAAGCAACGAGACCATTAGCCAGAACCCCTCGGGTACCAAGCCTCCCATTAAGACTGAAACCACAAAAGTCCGAAGCGATCGACAATCCTTCGCGGCCCCAATAGACAGCAACATGTAGAATACCCACGTTACCGTAAGGACTGCGAAAGCAATCGCAGATCGCGCAAGTGCACCGATATTACGAGAAATGCCGAGGTCCGGAGAAGCCAGAGGAATCGCATGAAGTCCAACTAGAAGCGTAAAACTCGGTAGTATTGACAGCAACCAGATGACAGCCAGGCATCGTGACAGGCTCGCGTGGCTCTGGTATCGGTCGAACTGTTGAAGTTTATCCACCGAGTAGCGTCCGAGGAATTGGTGCTCGGTTTTCCAGTCGTAGAAGCGCCTCCAGGCCGCTGCAATTCGCTCCTTCATATTCACTTGGCTACTGCGACGGTGGCTCATACACTTCAGGCCTTGATCTACCTTTGTCGTCTGCCTCCGAGGCTGGAAACATCAACGCAGCCATGCATTCGCTATTTTTGTCAATTGTGGTTGTGGACGACCAGCAAGACGTCAGCTCCTACCTTTGCCTAATTCTGACCTTCACATGCTCTAAGCTGGATAGAAAACGTTGCTTGACGCTTGTCCAAGTTTGCTCTCTGCGATGAGGCAGATAGATACTGCTGCTCAAGCTTTTCCTCGACAGCTTTTTCAACTACGTACGTGTACTCTAATGATTCATGTTTGGTACTCAAAACCAATCTAGGCGCAGAGGCACTGGAGTAACTCGCAGATCTCGCCGCGGCAATCCTCAGGATTGGTCTCCAACGCGCCTTCTACCTCTCGAAGAGCAGCAGCGGCAGCCTTTTGCTTGTTTATCTTGCTATTACGTTGGTGCCCCACTCTTTCGCGCTTGGTTCGTGTTGATACGACTCCTCGAGCAAGTCTTAGGTCCTCGAGGTCGTCAACCGAAAAGTCTGTCCACCGTTTGATGTCAAAAAGCTTGTCGTTGGCGTCGGGGGTATTACCGGTCATGGGGCTGTCGAGTGTGGAGGGAGTTGGTGAACTTGACGAAGATGAGGTCCGACAGAACACGAAAGCCTCGAATGAATCGTAGACGGAAGCGCGCAGACCATCGAGCTGCTCTTGCTTGACTTCGAGTTGGCCCTCTAGCTTCGTTTGAAGAGCCGAAGTAAACTCGAGTTCTTGTTGCTGTCGCTGCCGTTGTCCTTGCTGCAGCTCACGATTGGTACGAGCTAGCTTCACCATCGTCTCCCTCTGACGCTCCAACTGCGCTTCATACTCTGCGACCTTCGACTTGTAGCTAACGATCACGTCTTGCTTCTGGAGCACGCGCCGTTTAAGTGCGCGAGCTTCTTCAGTAAGAGAAGCGATAGAGACAGCGTTGGCTTCCCCTTGGTTTGCACGGTGGGAATTCCCCCTTCCACCTCCGTCGATATCGCCTTGTAGTGTTGCGTTATTCTTGAGGTCAGTGCGTTGCGCTCGCAGTTGCGCGTTCTCCGCGCGCGCAGCCTTCAGTCGAGCTACTACGCCAGCATGACGTTCTTTCAGCTTTTCAAGATGAAATGACAGCTGAACGTTGTCATCGCGACAGCTCTCGTAGCTTTGACGAGCGTGCAGCAACTGCTGCGTGTGCTCCTTCGCCTTCTGCTGGAGCAGAGCCGCCTGCTTTTCAACAGCCCCAAGCCTCTCAACTTTCTTGGCAGCTTGCTCCAGCTCCTGCTGAAGCGACGCCACCTTGGATTTTTGCTGCGTTAAGAGCTCCGCCTTTCGCTGAACAGCCATGCGAGCTCGCTGTGTTTCATCTCCTCGGTTTGTAGCTTCACCTTGACGCTTCTCTAGCTCAGCATTTGCCACCTGATACTTCTCCGCTAGAGAAGCAGCTTGCTCCTTCGTGGTTGCTAACTCGGACTTAAGAGCTCCCAGCTTTGCCACCAATTGTGCCTCACGAGCGAGCCTTGACGTCAGCTCCTCTTTCACTCTGCTCAAGCCTAACTCGAGCTGTCGAATCGTGTCTTCAAACGTGTCGTTCTGCAACATTGCAGAGCGCACATAAGCCTCCATCTTTGATGCACGGAGTTTCCACAGCATTGCCTCGCTCATCTTGGTTTCAGCTTGATTCCTCCCTTCCTCACTCCACGAAGTATCCCGTAAGGTAGTGACAGGTTGCTGGTCTTTATTTCCCGTCTTCTGTCGTCGAGTCTGGAGTAACTTTCGCGTTGATTGTCTTTTGTCTTGAGAAGACGATACAACGCTTTTGCTTGCGCCACGAGGTGGATCTCTTGCAAGATCCATCACCAGGTCGTACAGCTCATCCACCGAAACCTTCTGTTCGGCATTGCCTTGCGGGTCGGCGAGACGGACGATCTCTTCAATGCATGTTGATAAAAAGTCGATACGTCTATCACTTTCCTCTTGGGCCGCTCGCTCCACCGCCTGATACTCCGCGAACTCGAGCTGAAGCTTGTTGCGCCATCCCTTTAAGGCCTCGCAACGCACTTCGTACTCTTGCTTAGCCTTGACAGCCTCCATCTTTACTGCACTCTCCTGCTGTACCTCATGCTGATTTTCAAGCTGCTGCTTCTGCTCCACCATTTCCGTCAACTTCCTCTCGCGAGCTAGTTGCAGCTCCAAATCAACCACGCGCGCCTTCAGGGTTTCCTTTTCGTGAGTGGAAGCAGACGACTCCAATGCATCGTCATCAGTACTGGTCCCTTTAGAACTCCGTTGCGCTCGCTCCAGCTCCTGTCGTGTGATTTCTTCTTCAAATTGTTGTAATTTCGAGCGAAGTTTGACATTTTCATCTTCCAGTCGACGTTTGTCACTTTCAATGCGTGACAAAGTCTCGTTGACGGTACTCATATAGCTTTCCATGGCTTCAGCATGGTCGGCAGCCTTTACACGAAGCTCCTTCTGATGAGTCGCTTCCATCTGCGCGCACTTCTCTTTGATCTTACATAGTGACTGAAGAAGCGTAAGGTTTTCTTGCTCTCTGGATGCCAGTTGCTCTCGTAGCTCATCGTATTCCTGCTGGCTAGTGGCTTGAGTGGGCGAGGTGATATCTTCGTCAACAATTTCTGCAACAGCGCTGATATTTCCCTCGTGAGCGCTTAATTGCAAGCTAGTTTCCATGTTTCCTCCAGCAGATGACGGATCCAGCAAGGAGCTTGGCTTGGAAACTTGGTTTTGGTACTGCTTCAACGTGCGCTCCAGCTCGGCGTTTGCATCTGTTCTCACACTGAGTTGCTTTTGCAGCTCCTGTGTCTCCTTCAGATATTTTTTGTTGGCGTCCTTTTCTTCACGCAGTCGTCGAGCAAGTTTAGTGTTCTTTGAGGTCAACTCAGCGCACTTTGTTAGGCACTTTTCGAGCTCTTTCGCTGTAAAATCATTGAGCTGTACAAATTCAGGCGTAAGGTTAGAACCACCACAGTTGTTTGCACATAGTGTGGTACAGTACGCAAAGCGTACCTTTTGGCTTTCCATTAGTTGTGTACTCTCCTCAGTTGCTGGGGGTTGCGCGAGTGCTATGTCGTTGTCGGGCCCGTTACTTGACATCGTGGTGATTTGAAGTGGTGGCTCTTGGGGTTTCATCGACGCCAAAAATGGGCGTTCAATCGGGAATGCATTACTGCCGCAGTTCCTTGCATCAAATGGTACCGTGTCCGCCAAGTACTTAACTCTTATATCGTTGCTGAAATCGGATTTTTTAGGTTTGGCATCGCAATCCTCTGTAGTTTGCCCGCATTTAGTAGAGAGCCCACATAATCGCTCCTCTTGGGTCATCAACTTTTCCTGCAGCAACATTATTTTTTCGTCTCGTTTGGAGTGCTCGAACTCTAGCATTTCTTGACTCCGTTGCTGTTTGCCAACAATTGAGGCAGGAATGGCATTAATCCGGTCACCAAGTTCGGACACTACGGGGCTACGGTTAGCGTGGAAGACGTTCGACCCTTTCTCAGTCTTCGGTAGCTTTGAGTCCTGTTCAAAATAGGAATACAAAGAGTAAAACGCGATCCACAAATCTTCATAATGGGTCAGCAAAACAGCCCATTCGTCGCTCGAGTCATCCACGCCTCCCTCTGCTCCATTTGCTGAATCTTGCTCGTTTGCGCGCTTGCTTTGTTTCTCATGCAATGCTTTGAAGTCACTAACGCACTTTCGGTGGTGGTCAGCGATCATATCGAAAACAGTAGATTTCGGTCTCCATTCTCTCAGAGTTTTCTCCGACCCAGTGTCTGGCAGCTGTTGCCTCATCATTAAAGCTGTTTGCTGTTGCGCTTGCCGAAGGCGGTCACGAAGATTTTTGTTGTCGTCTTCAACCAGTCGGAGTCGCCTAACAATGAAAAATACGCAACGCAGCATGTCATCGTCATCTGTATCCATGGAGAAGCTCTGGTCGAATGCTGTTGGTTTACTTGTGATATTCGCCAGCACAGCCTCCGACTCCAGCTTCTCCACCTTCATCAAAAGTTCATCCCGCTCCTGTTCACAAACTTGTTGCGCTGCTTGTAACATGGCGATATGCTTCTGCTCAGCGTCTAGCCGTGACTTCAATTGGAGACACGCCTTTTCCATTCCAAAGTACTGACCAAGATTCACCAAATCCTTTTCTCGTTTTCGGAAGAATTCAAGCTTCTGCTGTAATGAGCGCTGGGCTTCAACCGCTATGGAGTCCGAATCATTCGCACTATAGAACACTGCGGCTCGGTTAGCACTGCTTGGCGCTGGGGTACACGACGTGAGAGCTCTGATGGTTCCGTTTGCCGCCCTCAACTGTTCATCCTTTACTAGTAGATTCTGCTCGGCTGTAGCGAGCCTCAACATCAGCTGCGGATACTTCAGGGGTCTTTCACAGTTGTCTGCTCCACAACTCTCTCTTTCACAGCTATCCACAGGCATGGATGTTAGTAGGCCTCTGGAACCATGGACCTTCATATCTTTCCGAAGCGCGTTCAGCGCCGCTTGCAGGTCAAGTTCCCGCTGCTCCAACTGATCAATGCGCTTTAGAAGCACCACTCGGCTACTAGCAGCCACCGCTCGCTCTTCTGCTGCACCTTGACGCAGAGCTCGCACCTCATCGAGGTGACGAGCTTCCCACCCAGCCCACTTCTGGACCATCTTAGCAGCAGATTTTACTCCATTCTTTCCTTGAGCCAGAACTTGTGCCAAGTCTTTCAAGACCCGTTGTTCATCGTCATACCGTCTACCACTGCGTCTGTTGTAGTCCTCACGTATCTGCCTTAAAGCGCCACGAAGAGCTACAGAGCAATCGATCACACCATCTTCTCCCTCTGCACAACGAACTGCTACAGGCTGCGATACTGACGGAACAACTGATCTCGACACCTCATCACCCACATTTTGACGCTTCATCAACTGTACAGCTGCGTCACGCCACAGATACAAGCACTCTTGTAAATGCTCCAGCCGCACCGCTTGTGCTTCAAGCCGGTGTTCCAGATTCACACACTTCGACAAGCCCCCAAAAGTTCCCTCTTGCGGTATACCAACGAAAAATGCCAGCGGAGTATCCACACAGCTGCACGACAGGTCCATGGCCTCCACGCCTTTCTGCAGCGTCTCCAAGCATGCCTCCATCTGCTCATCTTCGTCTGACTTAACCTCCTCCTCCTCAGTCACCCTCGCTCTCCGCTGCAGTTCCCTCTGCAGCGCCACATTCCTCTGCTCCACGGCCTCGAGCTCCTTCTCCAGCTTCTGCAGCAGCGGGAGGACCCTTTTCTCCTCGTCCTGCCCCTCCGTCTGCATCTCAACGTCCACAAATGTCCTCTCAAGTGTCTCCGTCTGCACTATAGCGTCCTCCACGTCCCGGCGGTCGTCCACCTGCACCTGTTTGTCCTCCTTCGTCTCTCTCCGCTCCAGTTCGTCCAGCACGACGTCCAGCTGCTCCCTCTGCTCGCTCACGAGCCTCTGCAGCTCCGAGATCCGCGCGTCCTTGAGCCTCAGCGTCGCCAGAACCTGCGCGCTTTGCCGCTCCTGCTGCTGACGCGAATCTCGCTCCAGTTGGCGCAGCGCGCGCACAAATTGAGGGTGTTCCTGGGCCAATTCGCGCGCGAGAAGCGAGTCGTAGCATTGCAAGAAACTTGCCCAGCTGTCCGTGGCGGCGGCATCACGCGACTCGGCCTGGGGGCGGCTGGAGACAGCGGCGGATCCAGCTAGCAGATGCCCCCGCTCCATTATTGATACCCTCGCCAACTTCAAAATGAAGGAAGAGCGGTGATTGGTGGAACAAGGGCGAAGAAAGGTGATCATTGGTTGGTGGAAAATAGGAGTCTATGTACTGAGATTGAGTACACGGATTCAGTATACTAGGGGGAAACTCAATCAATACCAGCATGTTATCGTCCATCCCACACATACCAACACCAGCACCTTGGAGTGTACGCGGTCTCTCGTGTCTGCTCTATCCTTGTCGACGGTGCACACTCACTCGACCGCGTTCGTCGTCGCTCGCTTGGTCACTTACCCACACTCAAATCACGAGGCCTTGGCGGCTTCCGGCTCAGCGTCCGTCGGGTTGCTGCCGGTCTTGGTCAGCTCCGGCGCGGAAGAGTCCGTGCCGGCGTTGCTCGAGGGCGACACCGGCTGAGTGGTGGGGCTCGACGGCGCCTTCTTCTTGTCCGTGTCCGAGGTCTTCTTGTCCTTCACGGCCAGCAGATCGTCCTCCTGCTCGACGGGCTCCGCAGCCTCGTCGTCGGTGCCTTCCGAGCTCAGCGACGAGCACGCCGAGTTGCCAAAGTCCGTCGCCTGGTTCGGGCGCAGCAGCGTGAGGTCGAAGTGCGAGCCGGTCGTGGAGAGGAACGTGTCCAGCATCTTGTCTTCTTTGACGGTCAGCGGCCGGGGCTTGGACGATCGCTCGGTGCTGCCACTGGCCGACATCGGCGACAACGGACTCGCACCGTCGCCCTCCTCGTCCGGCTCGGGGATGTCGCGCTGCTCCTCCTCGGGGCCGTCCATGTAGTTGAACGCAAAGTCGTTGAACAGCTCGTCGTTCGAGCTCTTGACCGAAGCGGGCGTGTCGATCGGCACCTCCACAGTGTTCATGTAGGTCTCGAAGATGTCTTCGGTACGGTACTCCTTGGCGTGCTTCTCCATGAGAGCATACTGGCCTTCAAACAGGGCATCCTTACGCTCCACGCTGTCCCAGTCGAGCCCCTTGAACCACGGGTGGTTCTTGATGTGCTCGAAGCCGTGATCGCCCGAGCCCAATCGGTTATCCTCGTTCTTTGTCAAAAGTTTAGACACGAAATCCTTCGCGTCCTCCGTAAATCGGGGCGAGAACTTGAGGTCCACGTTCACGATACGCTCCTTGATGAGACGGTTGGTCTTGGCGTTGAACGGCGTGCGGCCGTCGATCATTTCATACACCATAACACCCAGTGCCCACCAATCCACGGCACGCGAGTACGACTTGCCGCTGAACACCTCGGGCGCCATCATCTGGTACGTGCCGACGAACGTGGTGGTGCGGCCTTCGTCCGGCATGTTCTCCTTAGACATGCCAAAGTCCGTCAGAGCCACGTGACCGTCCGAGTCCACCAGCACGTTTTCCAGCTTGAGGTCGCGATAAATAATATCATTCTGGTGCAGGTGGCGGATAGCAAGCGCCACTTCGGCAGTGTACAATCGAGTGCGATCCTCAGAAAATCTCCGTGCGAGACGCATCTGGTCCAGCAAGTTGCCACCAGGGTAGTACTTCGACAGCAGATACAGCTTCGCCTCCGTCTGGAAGGCGTAGCACAGCGTCGCCACGTACGGGTGCTTGATCCGGTCGAGAATACGCCGCTCAGCATTGGTAGCTTCCACTAGGCCGCGCTGGATTACGAGTTTCTTGCGGATGGCCTTCATAGCGTAGAACACGCCCTCGTCGTAGCCGTGCTTCTTACGCACGAGCTTCACGCGGCCACAGGCGCCACGACCCACCAGCTTGACAATCTCGAAGTCTCCGAGACACACCGGGTCGTCATCGTCCGCCGTAGGACGGATGAAGACACTGCACCGCTCTTGAGCAGCGGCCGTCGGACTCGTATGACCCTTGGCGCTGCGGTTCTTACGGCGTGGGTCGATCAAGCAGGGCAGCGACTGGCACAGAGAGCACACCCTCCAGCTGCCGAACGCCGGCACGAACTTGTCCTCGCAGCACCGACTGCAGTACTTGACTTCACACCACGAGCACGGGATACGGCGGTTCAGCATCGTCAGCTTGCGGTGGCAAATGCCGCACGCGCTGATCTTGCTGGCGTTCACCGTGATACCAGCAGCCTCGCCACATCGCGCGGCGAAGGATCCGAACACGGAGCTCTTGACCATCTCGAGCGCGTACGCGCCGCTGCTGCCCAGCACATTGGACGGCACCGTACCGGCCGAGACACAGACGCAGCCATGACGCGTGTGTCCCTGCGGGATCTTGCAGCCGACGTCGATCTCCGAGTTGAGGATCCAGGACACCGCGCGCCGCGCGAGCATGCGGCGCGCGAAGTACGTGTCGCTGTCGCTCACGTAGTGGGAAGGCTCCACGAGCGCGAGCGCCTTGACGCGGTCCTGCATAACGCCGAGGCCGTTGTCGTAGTTGAGCAGGTGCAGCACCATCTGCGCGCCGCGCGAGAACGCGACGATGAAGACCTCGCTCAGCAGCGGCGCGATGAGCTGGTCCCACGCGCTCTCGACGTGCGAGCGTGGGTGGCAGCTCTGCGCCGCCGGGTTCATGATGACCACGCCGTAGTTCTCGCTCAGCGCCTTCTTGAGGTACGACATCATGGAGCCGCTGTCGCTGTCGCTGTCGAACTGGTTCATGCAGATGCTGCGGCTCCAGATGCCGGCCTCTCGGTACGGCACGATGACCAGCAGGCGCTGCTTGTTCTCGTAGCCGTCCGACACGTACACGGTGCCCTTGGCGCACTCGCTGCAGAGCGACGCGTCGCTGCCCTTGCGGTCCACGTCCTTGCCGTAGAGCAGCTGGCGCTTGCTGGCGGCCGTGGCCTCCCACGGCTGCGGGTCCTGGCTGGGCGACTCGCTGTCGTTCAGGATGGAGCCGGCCAGCAGCGTACGCGCGCGGCCCGAGTCTGTGTCGGAGGCCACGGCCTCCTCGCCCGTGGCCACCACCACCTCGCGGAAGCCCAGCTCGGAGCGCAGGCGCTGCTGCACGCCGCGGATGAGGTTGTCCACGAACAGGCACGAGTCCTCGGCGCTGGCGCCGCTGGCGAGCCCCAGGCTGCCGCGGCGGCCCAAGGCCGTGCGCGGGATCACCTGCGGACTGCTCTGCATGTCCTTCTTCTTGCTGCGGCCGGCCAGCTGCAGGTTGCCGAAGCTGCCGAAGGAGCCGCTGAAGCCGCCGAGACTGGCGGAGCGCGGCTTCTTGGTGCCGCTGGAGCTCGAGGGGATGGCGAGCGGCTCGCTGCGGTCGCCTGCTGCTGCGCCGTCGGCGGGCGAGTCGGGCGTGTGCGTGATGGCTGCTGAGGGGAGTCGCCCCGCTGGTCGGTCAAGGGTTCTGCTAGTTCACTTACTACTGCGATTGCGACTGCGCGCGCGGGTGGAGGCGGCGGAGCAGGACGGAGCGGAGCGGAGCCTCGGGGCGGAGTGTGCGTCAAGGAGCGAGACTTGGTCTGGCGGGCAAACTTGAGCAGGAGAGAGAGAAGGGAAAGGGGTCAGGGAGAGAATTCGGCCTATCGCAGCGCAGGATTTTCAGGCGAATTCGTGTATTGCAGTACCCGCGTAGTGTGATATTTAATGGAGAAAGGATGTTTATTGTTTTGATGTAAACCCCCAATCTGACGACCTCATTTCTGATTTTGCCTGCGATACTCTAGTATGTAGAGAAAAGGTGAGAATCTGGCAGATCCGTAATCAGGCGCAAAAGAGCCAGCTTTGCTGCACAGCGAGCTCATTGGGGGATGGGGGCAAGCATAGAATGTTGCCAACAACGTTTTGCCTTGATGCTTGTTCCTGCCTGCCTGCATCGGCGGGGAGCAGCGGATCGTGAGGCTGCTTCATCCTTTGCTGTCTGTCTCTGGCGGCCGCTGCAAGCTCAGAGCTTTGCTGCGAGCTGATCCTGCGAAAATTGCCGCTTTTGAGGCAATTCAAGCCCTGGCTTGCCAGGCCGGAAGAAGGCCGTGTTGGCTCGTCAAGGGCGGAAGGATCATCCATCTGCAGCGTAGAGCAGCCTCGAGGATCGTCTTCCGCATCCGGCATGACGAGCGCCGCCGCGCAAAGCTTGACTGAAGCCTGTCTGGGCCGGATCACCTGACGGCGCGCCGCCACCTGGCGCCACACGAACAGCGAGATGTTCGTAGCGACGGCATTCCGTCGCGAATGGCAAATTGCCATTGGCAACACAAGAGCGCTGCTGCTGCCAATATCGCAATGCACATTGAAGGCCATTCAACGAAGTGCATACGGTATGTATGCTGGGTGTGGGCCCTGGCACAGCCTTGGATCCGCTTGCGAATCAGGCAGATGGGCCAGGGCGGACTCGCTCGTCGTGGCCGGCGACAATTTTAGCGCAGCTTCATGTCGTCCGCGCCCGCCCTGCATCGAGCGCGAGGAGGTGATCTCCTCGCCCAAGGCAGCGCGACGAGGCAATACAATGCAGGAAGCACCTTGACCGCTGTACGTCTTGCGTCGAAGCGGACCGAATATCGATTCGATATTATCGAACAGGCATTCGGACCGATGCTCATCCGAGTGGGACGATCTCCGATCTCCGTTTCAGAAGATCGCCTCGGCGCTTTGAAACGCAAGCGAGGCGCGCTCCCCTCCACTCGTCTTGCCGCCGCCCAGGTGGCATCGTTGCCGGGCGCGAAGCAGCCTTCCAGTATGTACGCTGTGGTTTGCTACGTAGGTAGCTCCATTGTCGCGAGCGTCCTGCAATACTGTACTCTTCAGCTTCAACGAATACCTCCCAAATCCGTTAGAAACCCAAATTAGTGGGATTAATTTGGGCGTTGCTCTTTAACTGTATGTGCTTCATAAGAGTACGACTTCTCTTCAACTGTATAGATTCACACTCTTCAACTGTACTGAACCCATGACCACCGACTACCACAACGTTCATGTGGTGGTGACGGGCATCTCGCTGCCTGCGTGCTGCCGCCCACCGCCTCCTCCATCAGACACCCATTGCCCCACGTTCTCTACACAATCGCGTCTACTATCCGCCCAAGTTTTGTGCGTGAATTCGCGCGCCGGGCTGAGTTACGTCGCCTGGGAGTGCACGTCCTCTGCTCCCCGCCCCAGCGCTTCTAACGCCGCTCAGCAGTCCAGAAAGCTCCATTCGCAGTGGATTCCGCAGCGTCACGTAGCTCTAGTCCGCTCTGTATCTCCCGATGCCAACGCAGCGTTGGGTCGCGGCCCCCACGAATCGAAATTCGAGGTTGACAACCCTCGCGTGGCGCTCTGGACCTCGAAAAGCGGCCCCATGGGGCGATTCACCGTCGCTAAGCAGAAGATTCAGCCAGGAGAGCGGGCCTTCCAAGCTGCTGCATTCGCTGTAGTTGTCCGCCAGAGTTTGGCGCTTCGTCGGTGTCACTGGTGCTTTGCAGTGTTGCGGAAGAAAGCGCTTCAGTGCGGAGACTGCGAGTTTGCGAGGTACTGCTCACGCGATTGTCTGAGTGCAGACGCGGCGTTGCATGACTTCCAGTGCTCGGCACTGCGGGAGTTAAAGCGACAAGGGGGGAGTGGTTGTGTGGGAGATGTCGAGACCGTAAGGTTGGCGCTGGTGGTGCTGAGTATGGAGCTGTTCGTGCGGAATCCACGGGCGCTGGAGTTGCTAGCTGTACACCGCAGTCGAGATATTGCGGAGGAGGCGGCAATGAGGAAGACAGTGAGTTTTATTGTCAAGACGACGGGTCGAGTTGTGGACCCGAAGCACGTGCAGCTCACGCTGGAGCGTGTTCGCTGCAACGCGCACCCGTTGTACCTGGATGGAGTCACGTGTGTAGGCTCGGGGGTGTTTCCCGAGGCAGCTATGGCGTTGAACCACTCATGTCTGCCAAATGTTGCGCCCAGTTTCGATCCGCGGACGAGAACGCTGGCCTTCCACGCTATTACTGAAATTCCGCGTGGACATGCTGTGGAGTGCGCTTATGTTGACCTCCTGCAGACGAGAAAGCGGCGGCAGTCACTGCTTGCAGCTGGGTTTGGATTCGATTGTATTTGTGGACGCTGTACGAGTGAAGGAGCCCTGTCCAAGAGCGAACGGACTCCTGAAGGGGAAGATGGGGACGCTGAGGAAGCTCTGGTGATGGAGCAACTAATGCGAGTGGTAAATACGAAGGACCGAGGCGCGAAGCAGCGCGTCGCTCGTCTCAAGAAGGAGCATGAAAATGTCTTCAACCGGAGCGACGAAGCTCAATTCGCCCTTTACACCGCTGAGATGCAGCTTGCGCGCACTCAAGGCGACTGGGTCCATGTTGTCGAGGCTGCGGAAAGGTTGTTGAAGATATGGGCACGATCGGAACTACCTGCCAACTATCACACCACCGAGACGTTGCATCTACAGCTTTGTCTGGCTGCCAAGCAAGCTGGAATGATGACTGAGAAGGCTCGAGCTTCAGCCCAGCAAGTAGCAACAATTCGCCGGATATGTGGATATCCACACCCTGAAACCCCCATCGGTTAAAGTGGTGGATGTCTGTTGATCCCGAGTTATTTTCTGCTGCACGCTGCAGCCTGGAGTGAAACAATGATGAGCTCAGGCAGCAACGATGACAGCTCTGGGCTGCGCCGCGTCAATACGTCGCCCGACCGCGATCTTGTATCCAAGTTGGGAGCTAGTCGACCTCCTGATGCCACCGACCGCGAATACAACGACGGAAGTGCTCCAGAAGTGAAAGCACTGTCTCCAACATGGAAGCAGAGCTCTGTGCCACGCCCAACAGGACGGCAGATTCTAACCGCGCTGTATCACTGGACCACTTGCCTCTTCATCTCGGTGTTGATACTCTCGCAGTTCCTGGGTCTCTTCTGGAACAGCGTCACTTCCAAGGGCGGTGCAATGTATGGAAATCATCCGGTGGCGGGAGGAATGAGCGAGATCACAGGTACCAACGACAAGCCGATCACCGATCGAGTGCTGACTTGCATTCTCGAGGGACGGTACTACAAGCCTGTGCTACTCAATGATGTGCTGGGTACGTCGGGTGCCACAGCTATTCCAGCGTCAACACAGGAACAGGGATACCGAGTTGTTCGTCATGAGGGAACAACGCTCAGCGACGATGCATATGCCACTTATATGGACTCGTGCGCTCTCATTTCCACAACATTGGACACGATACTGGACATTTGCGATAATGAATTGGGCTACCAGGTCACGAGGGATGCATTGCGGATCGTAGTGGACGGTGAGAAGACCAAAGACAGCACCAGCGAAGCTGTGTACTTGATTGACGATTCTTTGCCGGTGCTGATAATGCCGTTCTGGGACAACGCACCATTTGCTCGCTACGCTGTGCCCGGTTCAGACGGATCGGCTTGTATGTTTCGTCTCAGTGGGAAATACATCGACTCGGCTTTGACGGATGGATTTCCCGCGATGCTGGCAGTTAACCGATCGGTACGGGAGGCTATAACCAAGGAATGGCTCGAGGCACCAAACGGCGAGTGGCGGCACGGTTGGTTTCACGTCGGGAATGGAGAGGAATCCGAGACCGCGTACTTTTCGGACGTCATCAGTTCGGATCCCAAGTCGATCTATGGCTTGACCCAACGCGAGTTCAATACGGTTGCGAAGGAGGAACTGGACTGTGTTAATAGCCCGGAAGCGTGTTTGTCTTCGTCGGTCTCGCAGACGTGGGGCGAGAAGTTTTCGACTGAGGAGCAAGAGCTCACCATGACCTCCATCACTGTAGTTTCACCGCAGCATATCGGCTTCTTCCTCTACACCAACACCTACCAGCGCACCGTGCGGGTGATCTACGACTGGGAAACCTTGATTGCGAATGTCTCTTTGGGAATGCTGATGGTGCGCTGGATCGTGGCAATGGCGTCACTACATCGCGGCTTCATCCAAGGACACAGTGAATGGTTCATCGGCGGATTGGGCTGCGTCGCTGGATCACGCAGCCTGAACATGCTCCCGATCGTGTTACTTCCTCACCTGAAAGTCACCATTGCATCCTTCTGGACTGCGGGTTGCTACTTTGAGGGCGAGCAGAATGCGCTGTCCGAGTCCTGGTTCACGATTTACCCCGGGTTGGTGGAGTTCTGCCTCGTGTACTACAGTTTGCTCAACATCGCGGCCAAGATAACTCGTCGTCGCATGACGGACATGTTTTTCACGCCGACGCTAGCGTTGTTTTGCTTGTTGCACCGCATTCGCGTAGATCTCGCGCGTTCGGGTGCACTGCCGGGCGTTGACGGTCGTGTGACTACGCAAGTTCACTCTACGGAGATGCAGGACCTGCGTTTGATCGACTTTTTCATCTCAAATGTTGGGCCTCGCATGAACGCGAACCTGGCGCTGCTCATGTCGATCAAACTCGTGCTGATCGGACTCAATCTTCTACCGCTGGTGCTCGCTCCCTATATTCCGCCAGTCAAGCAGCCAGACACGGGTCTCAAAGGTGTCGAGCGAGCTCTTGCCATTCGTGCCAGCAACGTCGGAGGATTGGGCTGTTCACCCGTCTACATTTACGGGGACGAGCGCAAGGGCGAACGCACGAAGGTGGCATTGAACAGCTACGAGCTGGTGAGGCTGGGGTACGTTGTATTTGGTGGGCAGTTCCTGCTGACGTTTGATGCGTGGGACGTCATCATGAACACGGCGGCGCTGCATCGGGTGCACCACTTGTGGAACTACAGAGTAGTGCTCTTCCCCCTTCGCGAAAGGGAGGGATACGCCGCTGTTGGCGATAAACCCATTGTCTGTCGCCTCGATGACGCTCGTCTGGACCCGATTCCGTTCTGGGACATCGCTGCCCAGCCTGTCAAGTGCTAGGCAAGACTGGAAGACGTTCAAGGGAGAAATTGGGGTAATATCTAATATGTAGTGTACTCGGGATCATTACTTCTTACAGAGATTCATAGGTTCTACTCACGTGATCAACGCAACCACAAAATAAACTATTCACTAGGGCGTGAACAAGGTATTCAGTGTTGTTGTGCCAGGTCCAGGTGTGCTGCGAAGAGAGGAAACGTTGGACGGGAGCGAAGCCAGAGACGACTCGCAGATACTGGTGCCGTTGATGAGCTTCCGTAGCGTGTGCTGCACTTCAATTGCCGGCGGGCGTTGGCTTGGCGAGAAGCTTAGACAGCGCATCGCGAGCTCCTGGATCTGCACGGGGCAGTCCATTGACATTGCCGGACGGATGGAACCAGAGCTCACCAGCAACGCAAGTTGACTCTGCTCGTCCACTCCGTCGTCCATGTCCACGCCCGATGCGAACGGCAGCTCACACGTGTCGAGCTCCGTCAGTAGAACACCGAGAGCGTACACGTCCGATTGTTCGCTTCGCGGCTCACCGCGTAGTAGCTCAGGCGCCAACCAAGCAATCGAAAAGTTGCTTGGCTGGTGAGTGCCCACAGCGCGTCGTACACCAAACGCACAGAGCTTGGCCTCACAAGACTCAGACAGCAATACACACTGAGCTTTGAGCTGCGGAGGATGCAGTGCTGAGCCTACGCCTGCTGGTCGGGAGTGCAGATACACCAACGCATCCACCACGTCCAGCGCGAGGTGAGCCTTTGTCTTCGGTACCGACAGCGAATGGAACCACCCGAAGTCGTGAGCGTTGCGAGGCCGCAGCGTCAATAGCGTGCGTAGGTTTCCGTTGGCCATGTACTCCGTCACCGCGGACGGCTGCGATGCCTGCCTTACCATGTGAGAGGACGAGGTGGGCGAGTCGATGTCGTGGACCCACTGGGACGGGTCGAAGAAGCCAATGAACGCCACGATTCGCGGGTGAAGGAGCGAGGCGCTGAGCGAAATGTCGGCCATGAACGCCTGGCGATAGGACTGCTGCTCGGACAGCTCCGGTAACAGTCTTCTCACAACCACTTGGCGACTGGCTTGGCCCTCGATCCTCAGCGTGGCTCGGAACGTCAATGTGAAGCTGCCTTCGTGGAGCAACTCGCCGTCGACGACGCATTGCGGGGGCAGCCGATTCTGTTCCAGTGTCAGCGCGTTGCACGCCAGCTCGTCACCGTAGTCGCACTTCTCCAGCCAGCGATACTGCGAGCCGCTGGCCACGGGCGTCGATCCCGTGGCGGTCATCGTCGTCGCAGCACTGTTTGAATGCCGAATCGGGGTCAGAGCACCACCACCGCCGGTGCTGAGGTGGTCGAATATCTCCATCGACGGCACGCTCGAAATGCGCGGCAGGTGCTGGAACCACCGACCGCCGAAGCCCCCGGCGCTGGAAGTTCGTCGACTGCCGTCCGCGACGATGGCCATGAGGTCGGGCGTCAGCACGCAGTCCACGTACTCGGTGCTCTGGCTGTGGCTGTGGCTGTCTCGAGGTCCGTTCAGGCGCTTGAGTCTTCGGCGACGCAGCATCCACCAACCCCCGAGCGCGAGCAGCAGCGCCGCTGCCACAGAGAGGGCGATGATTAACGACATCGAGTCCGATGACGAACTGCCATTGTCTGCGATTGACGACGACCCCGAAGAGCTCATTTAGCGGTATGTAGGTGTCCACGAGGGGGATCGGAACGTGGGGTGGGGAGGGAGCGAGCGAAGTTGTTCGTACTGCCACGCAGTCAGTTATGGGGGATAATGAATACGGCGAGCGACTCCGTCCTTCCTGGAGTGAACACGCGAATGAGACGTCCGCTCGCTGGGTCTCCGCTAAAGGCGCTCCCAGCAGCGAGGGCAAGGGCGGAATATGGCCCACTGGCTTTCGCCTGCCGTCTCTGCCAGGGATAGTGACTCGATTTGTATGGGCATTCGACCCCAAAACGCCGATAGCGCGCATGTGGCCAGCTGGCCCAGCCTGACGCCTGCATTTACGGTTTCCCTCTGGTCGAGGGGCGGTAAACCTGCCGTGTTGACTCATGGACGCCAAGTTGATAGCCCGGTACATGTAAGGCTGGCTAATGCAAGTGTACGGAGCTCCTGGACGCCATGTTGGCGCTCCATTTGGCGAGATGCACACCGATCCGAACCTCCCATCCAAGTGCGCTTGCGTATGCGTGAGGGACGGGGCCTGGACAGGCATACGTACCATTTCAATGTGGCCCACCGAGTACTGCGGCGAGCTGCGGATGCCCAAGCGCGCAGCTCAAACGAAGGACTCAAAACTTTGCCCGACTGACCATCGGCGAAGCGCCGGAACTTGGTAATCGCCGCTGCAGGTGCAACTGTGGGTACCGTCACATGGCTATCGCTTGCCTTGTTGGTTCATTTGCATTTGGCGTGGACACCTATGGATACGTCCTCCTTCGTCGCGGAAGCGAATGCGCGCCGGTGGCCACAGCAGCAAAATGAAACCATTTGGAGAAGTCGCGGCGAAACCGACGGCCGCATCTCACGATGAGAACACGCCGAACCACGAACACGGCGATCGGCTCGCTGTCGACGAAGAAGTCGCGAGTCGCCTCGTGACGGTAACCAACACTTTCCGCTCTGTAGCAAGACGTCGTACGAACTCCTGAGCTGCAGGCGGACAAGTGCAGAGCTATAGGCAACACAGGCACTCGCCACATGGAGACGAAAGCTCTTCTCCGCCCAGCCGCGTGGCGTCAACCGTCAATCACCACCACCTGCGATGCCGCGTGGGCATGCACCGACCGGATTCACGGTTGATCCTTGCCGCCACAAGTGAACTGGGCAGGAAGCAGGTCGCTTCGTTGAAGAGACTCGATTCAAGGGAGTGTCTCCCTTCCGTCTACAAGGACAGCGTCACAGCGCACGCTGCCGACGCGGACGGATGAGTGCATGCGCCGGACGGGCATCGCCGAGACGGCGGGCGACGCGTTCCCTCCCATCCAGTTGATAGACGTACGGCGTGGCGCGCGGGGCGACCAGCGGAGGCTGCGCTGCAGCGGCATCTCGGCGGTGCGACATCCTCAGGAGCTCTGCGCGCAACATGGCCACCGCGCCAGCAGCGAGATGCCCCTCCGCCACCTAACGGGCCGGCCGAGCTGAGCGCGGCGCGCCTCGGCGCTGCAGGCGATGCCGCGGCGTGAATGCGAACGCGCGCTGACCTATCCGTGGCGCGCATTCAGCCTGATGGGATGCCCCTTTTGCGAGTCGTGGTTCCGATTGACGAGCCTGCGGCTCTATGGATGAATATAGTGGTCTTTCCGACTGATAAGCGAGCAGGATTGTTTCAGGCTTGTCTTCACCTGAATTACAGCCTATCATATCGCCTGGTGTGGATATTTTAGCCAATCGTCTGCTTTAGGGTTAGGTGAACGCGTTCCGACACTTTCCGACAAATATGGAAGACTGGCCTAAATATGTATATGCGTATACAAAAATCAAGTACAGAAAATACTTTTTTAATAGTTTTGCCGTTCTAACAACTAGGATTATATCCAAGAATAGGACGGAGTGAAGTTTTGATTGGTGTTCATTTCAAGATGGCGATCAAGTCCGCCCCCACATGCATCGGTGGCTACGCAGTCGCGGCGAAGGGCAAGGCAAGATGACCATGACGGCGAGCGCGTTGAGCGTTCCACCGCCACAACGCTAGCTCTACACGCATGAAGCATCCGTCGACGTGGCGTCACACGCAGCCGTCGGAGGACGGGTGAGCTTGCTGCAGTACGCCGAGGTTGGCTGAGGTGGTGCTGCGCGGGGGCAGCTACGCGAGTGCGGAGGAGACGGTGAGCGAGATGATCAAGGCAGGAAGGAGCTGCAGAAGGCTTTCGCGGCTGGCGACGTGGCGAAGCTCATGGGCGCGCGCCGCCGCATGGAGGCTCACGAACGCGGTCACACCCGCGGAGGACCGCGAGGCTCCTTGCCAAGGGCACGCACGGAGCTACAGCGCATCGCCGCTGTCCGCCCATGATCTGTACCTTGGAGCTGGACACGCCGGCGCTGCAGCTGTCTGTGCTCGTTCGAGCAGGGGGATGTTGAGGGCATGCTCCGCGTCATGGACGACCACCCAGACGCTGGACCCGCTGTCGCACAAGTTCCTGCCGCACGAGGCTAACGATCTGGACGAGAAGCTGTCGAAGGAGGTGAAGGTGATGAAGGCGACGGTGACGTCGTGCCCGGCCGGCTAGGCTGCAGGAGGTGAACCCTATCTGCACGGCTGCCGTGTGGGCACTGTACATCACGGAGGTGGCCAAGGAGGACAGCTCGGTCACCTGTACATCATGACCCCGCTACTCGAATCGTTCAAGGTGCTGCACCAGTAGGTCAAGCTGGTGAAGTCTCTGCCACGCAGGATCGGATTGCCAACAATGGCAGACTACAAGGCGGAAGTGGCGATCGCGGTGCTGCGTGCCTCAAAGCTGGCACAATAGCTGAGGAGGCGGTGATCGTAGATTGGTGATCAAGGTGATCAATAACATATGTAGCTACCCTTGCACTTTATCATCACCTAACTTTTATTGCATGTAGCTGCAAGTACCCTGCCATTTTCTTCTTCAGTTACCTTTTTTTACTTACGGTAACTTTAGTTTGGTCAATAAATCCTAGATGTCGGAATATGTAGGGAAGTCGGAACCGTCGCCACCACTCGATCCAGCGTGTCGCGGCACCTGTCAGACTGTATACCCACGAATTAATCTCATATACGTTTTCGCATGTACAAAACAAGTCAGAGGTGTTTGAAACAGCTATAGTATTCAGACGTCTGTTATAATTACCACGGCGTTATAAGCACACGCAGGAAGACCGCACCAACAGACGCCGGCGAGACTGGCGAAATGGCCGCTCACCTCCAAACGATGTCGGGCCAACGGCAACCAAGGAATCTGGCGCACGATGTGTTGCGGGCCGAGCTCTGCAATGGCGCGCTGCGAGATTGCTCGGAATTGCACATGGGGCGGGAGCCGCGCGTGGCGACCACCTGGCCAGGACGCCACACCGCATATCGGCGTTGACACTTGCTTTTTGTATACGTAACAGACCTGGTCTCGCGGACTAAACTCGCCCGGGATCGACTGCCCGTCTTACTAAATTCCAGAGGATCCGCGCGCGCAGTGCACCCCGGATCTGCGAGGGAAACACGGTGATTTTTTCATTCAGCCCCAAGCCCTGGCGCAGCGTTTCATTACGCGAGTTGCCGGCTAGGAGTCAAGTGAAAGCTAAAAAGCCATGGAGCACCTGATGCACTGCTCGAGCGACGAGGAGGGCGCCGCGCGCGCGCCAGAGTTCCAGCTGATCCGCCGCAAGCGGCCGCGCACGCACGAGAGCGGCGGCGGCGACTCGCCCTTCGGCTACCCGGTGCGCGGCTCGCCCGAGAAGGCGCCGCGCCTGACAGTGCTGCCCGGCCTGGCCGAGCTGCTGGCCGCGCAGAAGCAGCGCAACGAGGGCGTCGCTGCCGACGCGCTGCTGGACGTGCTGTCGCGCGCGTCTTCGGCCGAGCAGCAGCAGCAACAGCAGCAGCAGCAGAGCCCACAGCAGCCGCAGCCGCAGCAGGAGGAGGACATTGAGGTGGAGGACAAGACGCCGTGGCCCTCGGCCAAGCAGTACTTCGGCATCTTCTCGGCGCCCAAGAGCGAGCTCAAGATCCCGGTCTACGACCTCGGTGTGGACCCGCGCGGCGTGCCGCTGCACCCGGAGTTCATCTACAGCCAGCCCGTGTCCTGCATGTACTTCCTCAAGTGCTCGCGGCTGCTGGGCAAGGGCTCGTTCGGCTTCCCGCGCAAGAAAAAGTCGGCGGGCGAGACCACGCCGACCACGACCCCCACGGGCAAGAAGCCCGCGGCCAAGGCGGGCAAGAAGGAGTCGAGCAAGGACTTTGAGTGGCGCAAGATGAGCTTCGTCACAGGCCTGCCCAAGAAGCAGCCCATCGTGCGCTACATCACGGCCACGTGCTACAGCCGCGCGACCGACGTCACCGCTAAGAAGAAAGTCTTCCGCATGCACGCCGTCATGCTCGCAGACGAGGCGGGCACCGGGGAGCAGGGCGAGTATGTTCTCGTGCACATCCGTGCTGGAGGCAGCAAGCGGGTCGGACTGCGTGCCAGTTTGGCTGATGCCGAGGCGCAGCAGGCCCCCGCGTCGCCTGGTGCGCACGGAACTACGACCGCAAAGCAGAACGCCGACCTGCTGTGCATGCGCCGCCCTGTGTCGCCCACCAGTGTCGCCGTGTCCTCGTACTCGAGCTCGACCTCTCCGCGCCACAAGAAACTCCTTCACGCCGAGTTTTCGTCCAGCCAGGGTGAACGCTCGGACCACTTGGCGAGGGTGCTGAGTGCGTCGCCGGGCTTTCCTATGGGGTTGAACTCGACGCCTCCCTCCGTGACGCGCCACCCCCTCTTCACCTCCGCGGAGGACCCAAAGGTGGACTCGGCGCGCCAGGCGCTGCGCAACATGATCCTCAAGTCGTGCACGTCGCGCGACGAGATGGCAAAGTACGTCATGGGCCTCCAGGAAGAGCTCGCGGCGCTGCAAAACCAGTAAGCTTTAGGACGCAAGCGACGAACTTGCGCTGCAGATTAGGAATTTTTAGTTGTAATAGCTGTCTATCCCCATAACTCTGGGAGCAATATCATAGCAATGCACAATAACCCTCCTCTCGACCATCGTTTAATGCACTCGCCCTCACTCCCAAGGAATGAGTCAGGGCTCGATCAGACCTTGAAAGCGCAACTGTTTCAACGTGCAGATGTCGATTCAAACTTGACAAGCTGAGTTGCCTATTTTTACGGTCCATGTGAGGGCTGCCAGGTCGGCAGTGCCACGAAGGCCTCGGAAGCATGAGCGGTGCTGACATCGTGAGCGCATTTTCTGTGGGTCAATGCGTTGCTAAGCGCACTCGGCAGCTCGATCGTTTGCTGTACATGGTGGAATCCACAGCAACAAAGTTTCAGCAGGTCAAGACTCCATTTACTGGTTCCGATTCTGCTGTTATGTCTTCACCTCTGCGAGCTCAAGTCCAAAGGCGATACGGTCAATTGCTCCTCGACTTTCTCGAAAAGCAGAGGGGGCTGAAAATTCCTGAGCTACTGGAACACGCAATGCATCTCGAGGTACATGCACATGTACTGTATATATGAACAATGGCAAACCACGTTGCGCTATGACTTGAGAGGTAACGTTGCTGCTGTGTTGAAGAGCTATGACGAGGAACTCCAGCAGCTGCTCGTGCTAGTTGAAGACGAGGAGCTGCTGCGCCAGCGCGTCGGCGCAACGTGGGAATTTCTAGCTGCCACCAGCATTGACCAGGATGTTGTGGAGCTAGTTTGTGCCTGCGAGTGCGTGTGGAACGACTTACTCCCCAGACGTCAAGTGCATTGCCCTTGATCAGCAGCATTCGAGGTAAGTTGAAATTCTTGGCCACAGGTAGCTAGCCATCTTGATCACAGTTTTCGCTGTAATGCGTACGCAGGCGACCCAGATCTTCCCGTTTGGCTCAGAAACACGGAAGCAACTTGTTGTGCGATTCACCCATGGCCCTCAACACTACAAGCAGCTAATAGATAAATGAAAGAAAGCGATTGCTATTGTAATGTTATGATATATCCCTACTATGCATCTCGCAACTTCAGTCTTCTGGATTGCCATACAATGCGGGATCTCCGTAGCCCATCTTTGCTTCCTCGCTAATACTGCTTCGTGTATTGCTAAACTGGTTGCTGTACGACTTGAGCTGTCCGTGGATCCATTCCTGCTGAATTTGTTGCTTCTCTTTCTCCAGTCGAGCTAGATCGTGCCGGTACTCGTTCACTTGCATCTTATACATTTGGAGCTCGTCTTCCATTTGCTTCATCTGGTTTTGTTTCCCCTTGAGAGTTTCTTTGTAGACGACCAACTGCTCTGCGACCTCAGCTCCAGGTTGACGCGCTAGAATTGTCTTCAGCTCGACATACAGTTTCTCCTTCTCCAAAATAAGAAGATCCTTTATGGTAGTCTCCTCGTACTTGCGGATCAATTTCTTCTGCATCGCCTGAAGCTTCCGAATCATCTCCAACCGCTTCGGATCACTACCCTCCAGTTTGCGCCACCGGTGAACGTTCAGCGGGTGGTCAAGCTCTTCCGAAAGTGCCCGAATCTTGGTCTTTTCCTGTAACAGCTCCTTTTCCAAGCGGAAGAGCTCTTGCTTGAGCGAGCCCTCGTGCGACAATTGGTTGTTGCTCGAGTCCCTTTCGGTCGTGAGAGCCTGAATCCGTGCCTTCAGGTTGTTGACCTCCTTTTGTTTCTCCTGGAATTGGAAGTACCCCTTGGCTAGTGTGGACTTCTGGATCTTGATCTTCTCATACAGCACACTCAGCTCTTCATTGCGCTGGATGAGCTGTTGCCGCAGAGTATCACGGTCATGGACAACACATCCATATTCCTTCACCTGTCGCTGTTTTTCTTCGTCTGCCTCCTGTATGATCTTTGCCAGCTTGGTGATCTCCAGCTCTTGGTTAAGGATTATCTGTTCCGATGACTGAATCTGCTTCTTGATGCGCAGAAGTTCGTTCTTGAGGATTTCCTTTTCCTTGTCCACTTTGTGATGATCGAAGTGCTCCTTCACCAGTGCATGATCCTTCGATGTGATCTCTTCCTTCAGCTGCTCGATCTGGTGGTTCATGATCTTGAACTTGCGCTTCATATCGCCGATCTCCTCCTGGCTCTCGATTAGCTGCTTGCTATACAGATTCCGGTCAGTGCGAACAGCCTCGTAGAGGTTCTGCTGCTGCTTCAGTCGACTCTCACTTTCGACAATTTTCTGCTGCAGAGATACGACCTGTAAGTCTTGCAGTTTTGCCTCCTCCAACGATGTCATAAACTTCTGCGTCGCATTCGCCGCCTCCTTCTCGTACTTCTCGCGCTCTCCAACGAGCTGCTGAATTTGCGCACGCTGCTTCTTCACGTGGGACTTGAGACCGTTGATCTCGTTCTGAAGATTCTTCATTGTGTTTTCCTTGATCTTCATCAAGTCGAACGTAGCTTGGGTTCGATCGTTTGCCTTCACCAGCATCTTGTTCAGCACCTCACGCTCTCGCAACATCTCTTCCAGCTTCTTCGTGAGCACTTCACTCTGCTTCTTTTCCGCTTCAAGGGATATGTTGATCAAGTTTTCGAGCTCCAACCTAGCCTTATCCTTTTCGATCTCACAGTCTGAGCGCTTTGCCTCAACGTCTTGCAGTTGTTCTCTTGCAATCTCCATGAGCTTCTCGAGTTTCAGCGCATCCCGCGTTATGGCCTGGATTTGCTGTTCCTTCACGTCCAGTTCGTGCTCCACCTGCACGTTTTCCTTGTGCAGCTCAACATTCTTCTGCCATTGCAGTTGCATTGCTTCAGTCAGTGAGTGCGTCGTCCGGAATAGTCCGTCGTACTGTTTCAAGTACTTCTCCATCTTCTGTTTGGACTCGCGCATGGCCAGCTCCTTCTTTCGCAAATTGTCTTCGTTCTCCTTTTTGAGCGTCTCCATTGCCGCGTTCTCGAGCTGAAGACGCTCGTGCGCTGACTTGAGTACCTTTAAATCCTTCTCCAGCCTCGTCTTGCGCCGCACTTCGTTCTCTGTCAAGCTCTGTTTCTCTTGTATATGCATCACGATGTTCGCTTGCACCTCTTCCAGTCGCGCGTTCTTGGCCTCTTCTTCTTGAACCAGAGCGAACAAGTTTGTAGTCTCCTGTCGAAGATCCTGCAGCGATATCGTCTTGGCCTCGACATCTCGCGCGCACTCTGCGCGCTTATTCTTCAGCGTGGCAATCTGCAGCTCCTGCTCCTCGTTCAGAATGATGTCGCCGCCGTTCCCAGAGGGCATGGTCATCTTGGACACTTCGTCCTGGAGCAGCTCCAGCTTCCCGCGCAGATCGTTGACCTTCTCCTGCTTCTCAAGCTCCGCCTGTCGAGTCGTGGCGATCTGCTGCAGCACCGCGTCCAGCTCGATCTTGGCCTTCTTCTTCTGCGCGAGCGCCTCGCTCTCCTCCTCCTGGTCGCGCAGCATGGCCTCGTGGCTCGAGTGGATCTCAGCCAGGATCTCCTTGGTGCGGTGAAGCAGCCGCTGCTCGCTCTCCTGGGACTTGACGAAGGCCAGCAGCAGCTTCTCCAGCTCCGACTTGTACAGCGACACGGCGTCGGGCGTCTGTGCCAGCACAGCCTCCATCTCGGCCACGACGGCAGTCCCCGCGCCCGCCGCCGCCGTCTCCGCCTCCGTGAACCATCCGCCCTCCGTGCCTGCCGACTGCGGCGTCAGCCCGCGCTCCATAGCAGCAGCGTCCGCCATCACTGCACTGTGTGCGTTGCTTTGGATAATTATAGGGGTTCAACTAAAACTATAGTTGAAGTTGCGATGCGGAGTGATGGTCATAAGGTTGCTGATACCTTGAGCGACACCCGTGTCGCTGGCACGAAGGCTATAAAACCTTCCCAAGGCGTGCGCTGCTATTGATACACCTACATCAACACGTACACCAAAAGTTAGACGGGGAAGCGCCACCCTCCACGAGGGTGTGAACTGGTAACACGCTGTGCTGCAGATCCCGCCGTCGCGAAACAAGTCAAGCTTACAGTACCGAGCCAAACATCCTGCAGCTTCGCCAGCTGCGTCCATATCGGCTGCAACAATACGCGTTGCGCTTGATGTCTTAGTCCGGTGGCAGCTTCTCCCAGCTGCCTCGCGTTGAAGTTGTGCAGAGTGTTGGTCGGTGGGGTTGTGGGGTTGTGTTTGATGTGGCGCACACATTAAGGGGTAGGTTTGGTTCAAATCCTACTTTTTGACTTGAAAAATGTATAAGCACAAGGTTTTTTACTTAGCTGTCGAGGTTTTACCCTCGAGGGCGCGTGGCTAGCGGGCATACAAAATCCAAGTCAAAGCGGGGAGAGTGCTCTTCGGCTTTGGCTCTGCATTCTTCCGGAGCCCTCCAGTCGCAAGAAGACGGGCGCAGGCAGACAGCGGGAAGACAGTGAGCAAGAGAGAAGGAGGACCGGCCGATCGGAGCGGTAGCCACAGGTAGCAAGCAGCGCCAGAGACTGCTGGCAGATTCAGGACAGGACAGGACAGGGAAGGCAGGGGCAGGATGAGTCGCGAGGAGCGGAAGATGGCGCAGATCATCGCCAGCATCGAGCGCATGGAGCAGGAGACGCGCGCGTCCGGGGACGACGCGGGCAGGACGCAGGAGCCGCACGACTCGGCCAGGCAGGGCCGCGGCAAGAAGGGGAAGAAGGGGAAGTCCTCGGGCGTCAAGGCCAAGGCCGGCAAGAGGCTCAAGGTGACGGCCGTCGCCGTGGGGCCCAAGGCGCCGTTCGAGCGCAAGCTGACGCCCAAGAAGCGTTGGATCCAGCTCTGGAGCGCCCAGCTGGACACCGTCAAGGACAAGGACTCGAGCAGCTCGTCGGAGGGGACGGAGAGGGAAAGCGTGGACATGCAGACGCCCCAGGAGCCGGCGGTCGCCACGTCGCCCGTGTCAGAGGTCAAAGTGGCCCCTGCCGCGCCTCCTGCGGTGACGGTTGTCGTGGAGCTGAAGGAGGAGCCAAAGATCGCGGAGGAGCCGGCGGCCGAGCCCGAGGCGCCAGCCACCCCTACGGGGAAAGCTGAGAAGACGAATCCCGTCCCAGCGACCGAGAACAAACCGCAGATGCAGACCTCAGAGAAACAGACTACAGAGACTCGCAAGGCGGTGACAAGTGCACACAAGGCAGTGACGACTTCGCCCAAGGCAGCGACGACTTCGCCCAAGGCAGCGACGACTTCGCCCAAGGCATCGGCGGCGGCCTCTCCGAAGGCGGTGGCGAGTACGCCGAAGGCGGTGACGACATCCAAGACACCTAGTGCCGCTTCATCGTCGACGGAGCTGCGTGTCAAGACTCCGCTGAACAACGAGTCGTCGCACTTGTCTCCCCCGCTGGAGCGCAACAGCCCCACCACAACAGCATCGATTAGCCCGTCGTCGAAGGTCAAGGACAGCGACACACCAAACACCAACACAGCAGCAGCAGCCGCGGCAGCAGCGAAGTTCTCCCCCGCTGCGACTGAGCAGGATAAGCCCGCCGTCATTGAAAAGAAGGAGCTTCCTAGCAAGGAATCCTTTGCCCCCAAGTTGGAGAGGAAGAGCAGCACCTGCAGCAGCATGGGCAAGGGGGAGGACAGCTGCAGGAGGGAGACGTCAGATCGTCATCACGACCGCAGCAGGAAACGCAGCTTGGAGCGCACCGATCTGCCCATGTCAGAGGAGGCAAAGCGGCGAGCGGAGCGAAGGAGGAAGCGAAAGTCAAACTGGGATGTGGGCGACCCGCGCAGGGGAGGTAGCCCTATCACAGATCCTCCAGTCAGCGCCGCCGCTGCGGCGGCTAACCAGCAATCGTTTGTCAAGTATCCGCCCAACCGGCCGTCTTGGCGGCATAGTCAAAGCATGATGGACATGAAGCCGCACTTCCAGGGCAAACATCGTTCCTCAAGCTTTTACAGCAGCGGATCCAGCTCCGGGGGGAGGCGAGGCTTCTACCATTCGAATTCGTTGCCTCAAGATCGCGCCGGACGCTCGTCATCGGCGCGCTACAGCTACGGCACAACGACCAGCAGTGGTGGTGGCGGCGGCAGCACCAGCACCAGCAGCAGCAACTACCGGTGATCGACGGCGAGAGACGTTTGAGAACAAGCCGGCCATCTATCTATCTATAAGACGCGACCATATTGTGTAGAAAGCGAAGCTTTGGCGAGCCAGCCAGGAGCAGCACATGGGCAAGTGCAAGTTGTCTTCAAGCACTCGCTCATATCTATGTATCGTTATTGACCTCAATAGAGGGACCCATACAAAAATCAAGTTTGATGTTGAACCGGACCTTTGTTTGTGCAGTAGGTATCCACTCGGAAATGGCTGGAAGTCGGAGGGTGCTGGCGCTGATGTGCGGTGCGCTGTACGTGGCAGCGGACGCAGTGGCTGCCCAAGTAATTACGGGAGATGTCGACGACTCGCTGCTGCTGGTTGTTGGGGACGTGACGTCCTCGTCGGCGCGCGTCCTGTATGACCAAGTGCCTTCATCCGCCTCGAAGCTGCAAGTGCGAGTGCACCAGACCATGGCTCGGACGCAGGAAGACCTAGCAGGCTCTGCAATAGGCCAGACGCTGGACTTTACACTTTCCGGGTCAACAGAGCAGCCTCGGGTTGTGGGGCTGGAGAATCTGGAGCCCGGACGGAGATATGTCGTGCAGTTCGAAGTGGACGAGCCGAGAGAGACGGCGACCGTCATGTTCCACACGGCGCGAGAGGAGCAGGGAGATAAATGCACGGACCGGGTACTTGTTGTGTCCTGCGACCGCTATGTGGACGACCACGACGATGTACTGATGCAGAGGCTGGCGAGTGACGTTGAAGCCCACGACTATGCTTTGGACTCGCCGTCGGTGCACTTCGGAATGGCTCATTTAGGTGACCAGATATATGCGGACGCTGGAGAGTTGAGTATTAAGGTGGTTGCGCTCCCTTTGAAGGAAATGGAGGACAAGAAGTTTCGCCGGGCGAGATTTGAGGAAATTTTGAATGAGTTTCGAGGGCTTTACAGGGAAACCTTCGGGAGGAAGGCGGCGCAACGCGTGCTGCGTATTGGAGCGCATTGGATGATCCCCGACGACCATGAAATCATCAACAACTTCAACTTCGAGCTTGTTCAAAAAGCCTTCCAAGGTGCTAAAAATTCTCTATTGAGTGAAGAGGAGCGTGAGCGGTTTGTGGCACTCCAGCTGCATTGCCGAGCTGGCCTGCAAGCCTATTACGAGTTCCAGTATCAGTTGTACCGTGAATTTCCTTGGGGCAGCGTGGATTTCCTCGAAGATGCGCTTGGTGAGATCCTTCGGGCTTACCCTGTGTACTTTGCAGTGGAAATGCAGCAAGTTAAACTACTTTTCCTGGATGTGCGCTTCGAGCGCAGCTTCTTCGAGGAGGAAGAGGACTTACCCAAGCTTGTGAGTGACGAACAAAGGGAGTTTCTCGATGGGAAGTTGCAAACGTGGAGTCAAGACGATCGAAGTGCAGCGGTTGTGTTTGCCAGCATGCCGCTGTTTTTCCAGTCGGTGTTTTCTGCAGCGATCGCTCACGTTGTCGAGCACGAGACGTATCCTGGCATGGCAGAGCAGAGAACTGGGCTAGAAGATCTCTTTCGCATTTTCCAAGGATACAACCAACGACGACTTGATTCAAATGAAGAGGTGTCGCCGCTGGTTAGGCTTCTGGTTGGAGGAGACCTGCACATGATGGCCCACTCGCGTGTGTGCGGGACTGAGCCTACAAACTCTGGTTGTCTGGACCACTTGATCACAAGTGGAATCACGAATGGTTCGACGTCGATCCAGGATACGAAGTTGATCCCGTACTACTACTTGATCACGCAGCTTACGCCAGTATTCGAGACTGCGTACTCATGGGCTCGGTATATTCCTCTGCTCTCCTCGCTTCTTCCTCGGAGTTCACCTTGGTGTATTGAGTATGAGCGTGTGTTCCTCGGACGAAATTACGGGTAAGTCACTTGCGTACATTTCACCAAACATGAACCCACAAACTAATAACGTCTGTGGTCACAGAGTTCTTGAGTTTAGCTCCGACGGCAATTTCTCCTGGGATCAAACAGTCACTCAACCTTACGATGAAGCCCATCAGCGTCGTGTTCAGGTAAATTTTTGTGTTGGGCTTTGCCTTACCGTGACGATTATCACGCCAAACTGACGATCTTTTCTGCTTCAGTCCGTCATTGACGCGTCCACGCCTCAAGCTCTTGGCTTTGTCGTGCTGTTGATCACCCTGTTCAACGCCAACCTTGCCTACCAAGCCGTGTCAAGGTGTCGAGCCCAAAGACGACCGGTGAAGACAACTAAGACGCAGTAGGGGATGACACTGCAACCAATGACGCGAATTGAACAACACTGCTTTTTTGCTTTTTGTTAAATTACTGCGAGCTGAGAGAAGTATACGCCTCAGGAGGAGGAAAGCTGCGGCACATGCTGCATCGGCTGTCGAAGCACGTGTTTGTGTAGGTACATTGCGTGCACCTCCAGGAGCTCCGCCGCCGACCCTGACGCGTCAGCATCTTTGAAGGTTCCAACTCCGCGTCAACTAAGCTTGCGCGCTTCAAATCCCTGCTCCTGGTGTGCAACGCGATCGGCGAGATGGTCGTCTCCAGCGTGAGCTGAAGGAGGTGCTTGCGTCCTTTGATGGGCTGCTGTCTTCGTTCTTTGGTCGGCGTGGGGCTGTGGGAGGCGCTGCGCAGGAAGTATTTCCTGTGCGGCTCGTCAATCTTCAAGGGCGTGGGAGCGCGCGCACGCGGCGACGAGAGCCCAACATTAGTCGAGTGAGCTCTCCGTAAGTTCTGCCCTGAGTGTCCTGAATGACTGGAAGTCGCCCGCGAGGCGCCGAAGAAGCGGTCCAGCTTGGGCTGCTTCTCGTCCGCAGCGCCAGACGCAGAGCGAGTGACCGGTCGGTGCGTGGAGCTCCTTGTCGTCATGGGTGCTGTAGTCACTTTTCTCTTCTTCTTGGCGCCCAATTGAGTTCTGCTGGGCAGCCTGCCCCCAGTCGAAGACGAGGAGGAGGATGTCGACGATGCCGGCGACGACGAGGCCGCCAGGGAGGCCGTGAACTCCGGGTCGTTCTGCAAGAACTCGATGGTCTGCTCCAGTGCGCGCTGCTCCGCCTCGTGCACCTGGGACTGGTGCTGGCGCAGCTGCCGCTCGTAGAACTCCTTGAGCTCTCCGCCCGAGCTCTCGTGGCCCTCGGTGGGGTGGTCCTCGCCGCCGTTGTGCAGCGGCGGCGCGTCCTCATCGAAGAACTCGACGAGCGGCTCCTTGTCGTCCGCAATGTCCCCCAGGAATGGACACTCCGTCTTTATGGCCGTCCACATCGCCTCGTCCACCTTGTACTGCTTGGTGCGCGCGAAGCCGACGACGCGGCGGCGACAGAAGCCGCAGTTGACGCTGGTGAGCTCCAGCCCGCGCTCGAAGCACTCCATGCTGTGCCAAAACAGGGTGCAACATACATGGTGAGCAGCGCAATAATACAAGCAAGGGAGGAGGGAGGAGCAACGTAGTATAATACCAGAGGTAGCGGTGGCAACACGGCAGTTGGATGGGGCGGCGCAGCACGTCCAGGCACAGCGGACACTGGAAGCGGATGGGGATGGATACGGAGCCTGCGTGCGGGGTGGGCGGGGCCAGCGCGGGCGGCGCCAGGGGCGTCGGCGCCGCCGCCGCAGTGGTCGACGCTCGCGACCGAGTGAGCGCCATAGTTGCTTTGGTTGTCCGGAAGTGAGCGACCAAATTGAATTTTAAATTGGCCACATACAAACTACAAGTTAACGGCCAAATTGGACAAAACAAGGTCGCGACTTGTACCCGGTTCTGTTGTGTCGTCGGCCACATCAGACAAAAGTTCCAAAATAGGGTCGTGCATTGTACCCGCTTCTGTCGTGTCGCCAGCCACCTCAGCTTCGCGATCCCCTCGTTTGACACTCCATCGTCTGGCTGGGAACGGATGCACCGCTCGCTGCACCTGCGCCGCCTGTCCGCGGCCGCGGCGCGGCCCGTATGGCGCGCATCTCGCTCGTCTTCCTCTTCTGCGTCCCGCGCGGCGCTGACTGTGCTGACGTGTTCTTCCTCGCTGCAGAATTCGCGGCGTAGCGGAGTGCCCCCCGTGGCTCGCTCCTTCGCTTCCATCAGCTCCAGCGACGCCCCCAGCGATCTTCCAGCAGCCGCGGAGGTCTCCACAGCTGCGCCTCTGACCGAAGAACAGCGCGAGAGCGTCGTGGCGCTGCTGAAGACGCGCTGTAATGCGCTATACGACGATAACGAGGCGTACGTGGCATCGGACGAGGCGCTGTCGCTCTGGTTCCGCAACGTGCAGACGCTACTGAGCCAATACGAGCCCGCGCAGCTTCGCGACGAGGTGCGGCGCGCGTACGAGAGCGGTGTGGCCATCACCTCCAAGCAGCGGCAGTTCGAGCTGGCCACGGCACTGACGCAGCAGATGCAGGCGCAGGGCTTCCTCCCCACGGAGCGCACGCGCCAGATCCTCATCCGCAACGTGGCGCTGCAGCTGAGGAGCGGGCCCAGGCAGACGCCGGTGGACGACCTGCGCGCGCTGCTGAGCGACGTGTCCGACGACCAGTGGGAGCGCGAGATCATGCGCATCGTGGAGCGCGAGGAGCGGCCGCTGCAGCTCAAGACGGAGAAGGAGTTCGCGCTGTTCCACAAGAGACTCATCGCAGGTATCGAGGCGCAGCTGGATGACTACGAGCGCGCGCTGGGACTGCCCAAGGGCAGCAAGGAGCTCAAGATGAAGAGGTCCACGGTGCCGTACAACGAGGCGCTGCGCGTGTACGCCGACAACGGCGTCACGTTCTCGCGCATGCTGCAGCTGATGGTGGCGCGCGACCTGGTGGTGGACGTGGAGACGTACGAGGCGCTGCTGCTCGGCGCGCGCTGGAACGAGATCCCGGCCACGCTTGGTCAGCTGCTGGAGTCGAAGTTTGTGAACGAGTTGGCGTCCACGTCCTCCGAGGAGGCCAGCGAACACGTCCGCGCGATCTGGATTAACACGATGAAGGCGGTGGTGCACTCGAGCACGGAGCGCTTCAGCTCGCTGTCCGCGAGCGTGTACAAGCGAGACGTGGACCAGCTGCGGAAGGTCTTCCTGTTCGTCGACAAGAAGCTTTCGAGTGCCTTCCCCAAGTTCAGCTTCGCTACGACGGAGCAGTACGACGAGGTCTACACGATGCGTGTGAAGGCAGCGGCGTCGTGCGGACTCATTGCCCCCGTGAAAAGAATTCTGGACGAGTATGTCGAGTCTGCTCTTTCCGCTGGTGAGGGCGAGAAGCCTGCGCTATCCAAGGAGCCGTTCCTGGCGGCGCTGGAGATTTTCCCGTGGTCTTTGGTGGATGTGTTGACGATCTCGCGCGAGGGTGCTTTGGCGCGCGCGGAGGAACGCGATGTAGCGACGTCTCCGCGCGTGATTGAGATGCGAACGATGTATGAGCGCGTTATGCGCAGACTGACCAAGGCCGAGAAGTCCATTGAGGAGATCAAGCGCAAGGTCAACTCGGAGGATGCTAAGCTGGATGAGGAGGAACTGCGGGAGCTGCTGAACCAGCAGAATTTGGCAAACAGCATGGTGGAGCAGGAGTCCAGGAGAACCACGTCTTTCGAGCGACGACTCAATAACGCGCGTGTTCTCAAGGCTAACCAGGTGCTGATGAAGGAGTACTTGCAGCGTGGAGACCGGACGGTGGATTACGTGTTGAGCAAACTCGTGGACGCCGGTTACGATGTGGAGCACGACCTGGACGTGAGCACCAAGCTCATGGAGCAGTACATGGTATCGGCTCGGCGTCTGGACAAGCGTCTCACACAGCGACAGAAGCACGCAAGTCTCCACATGATGTCTCGCGTGTTTAAGCAGGTGAACTTGGTTTCTAGTGCTGTGCGGTCTGGTACTCTGGATCCGCAGGACCCGAAGACTCGCGAAAAGCTGGTCCAGTTCTTTGACCACGCCGTGTGCGCCGCCGTTCGATTCTGGTGCGAAGAAGAAACAGACGCTCTCGTGCGCCAACAGCAACGCCTGCTGGGCACCCAACAGCTCGCCCAGCGCGAGTACGACCAGCTCATCTTCCAGCGCGTGACCAGCCTGGACGTTCGCGGTGCTCACTCGCTGTTGCAAGAGATGCACAATGCTGGTATGAAGCCGTCACAGGAAGCCATTCATCGCATTGCGCTTGGACTGCTGCATCAGGCGGATGGTCAATCTTACGTGGTAGACGACGTAAAGGAAGATACTTCAGAGGAAGTGGGCGAAGCGACTACAGAAACCGCGGAGGAAGCGCTCGACTCCGAGGTTTTCTCGCTGCTGAATGCTTCCGACCGCGAAGCTATCGAGAAGGAGCTCGAACTCAGTGGCGCGCTGAAGCTCGAGGGTGATGACGACAAGCTCAGCGCTGAAAGTGCAGCGGCAGCCCGCACTTTGCTGCTGGGTTCCGACGCTCCGGTGACTATCGAGGACCTCATTGGCTTCCTGCAGGACTGGTACAACCTGTACGGCGTCGAGCCGCTCGGCAAGACTGTTGTACCTGTGTTGGCACGGTTGCTGGATGCGAACAACTTCCCAGAGTTCCGCCGTCTACTGCAGATCCTGGAGTCCATGCAGGGCGGCCTGACCCCCGCAACGCAGATCTGGCTCGAGAAGCGACTCGACCAGCTCGGCGGCAAGACGCTCGATGACTTCCGTCTGAATTAGGAGGGAGGCTGTGGCGTGCAGCTTCTAGTTTTGTTCGGTAGATAGATCACGTCCTACCTGTTAGACTTTGAGTGGAAGTGAGCTCCATTCCATGCAGACATCACCACTAAGCATACCTAGCAACCAGTTATCGCACAAAATGCAGTTCTCACGTTTGTCCTCATATCAGTTGGCTGAAAACCGGAAGGGAATTCTTGTCGATTCACAGTTCGATCTGGTCCAGCGACGCCGTCAAGTACGTGCCCAGTGCTTCAACCTGCGCGCAGTAGACCCACAGCATCAGCATCTCCACAGCAGCAACAGCATCAGCGACAAAGTCGTTCATCACCTTGGCCTTGAGCAGTCCCGCGGGTGCGTCAGCGCCCGAGTACGCGCACAGCAGGAAGTTCTTGCCCGCCACCGTCATCGCCAGTCGCCCACGCTGCGGCAAACAACGCAACATTACTCCCATAAGTAAAAGTCCCTGTAGGAATAGCGAGCTAGGCCTCAGTTGCTTGCCTCAAGCTCGACGAGCATCGTGCGCAGGTCGCCCGTGGGGTTGGCCTCTTTGCCGGCGTGCAGGTACTCGCCCCACGTGTGGGAGGCGATGGCGCCCACCACCTTGTGGTCCACAGCTTCTCCGTCGCCCACAGAGCCCACGAGCGCGCCCTCCAGCGTCACCAGCCTGCGCAATACCATGCAATAGGGAGCGTGTCAGAGGGACCGGAGGAGGCGTCTTTGACCACGTGTAGATTTTGATGCAGGTGGAGAATAAAGCTGGAAGTTGCAGCATTGGAATTGCCAGATGATGGCGGACATGGGGGTATACTACGCACATGCAGGCAGTCACGCCGTCGCCCACGATCTGGCCCAGAACCTCCGGCAGCACCTTCGCACGCAGCATTTTCAGATCGATTCACTTTCGAGTCTAGTTTCTAGATTTGAAATTACTTTTATTTTAAAGACTTCTAAATCCATGTATTTTAATACATGGATTTAGAAGTCTTTTTTCTAGGCTGGATCCTAATTTCACGATAAGTTTTCGAGGCATGCAGAGTCCGAAATAAATGATGTGAGCATTGGAGTGATGAACCTTCGCGACTCGTTAACTTTGAGCTGTCGCTCTCCTGACGATCAAGTCATTCTCGATTCTCTAGGGCATCCAGGAATAAATGCCGGAAATGTCGCCAAGAGCATCGAAACAATCTCCTGCCTCCCAGTATGTTGACCTGTCACCCTGGGCGTTCGCCTTGTGGTGGATGGTTTTGTTCGTGGTACACGTGATCACGGGCGGCTACAATGCGGCGTACGCGATGTTCTATTGGGAGCTTCAAAACACGTACCTCTACTTGTGCCTCGACTACTCAGGAATCGGTATGCCTGCGGATGCTCACTCTACTATCGCGATAGTTAACGCTGTTCTGGCTGGACTGCATGGCGTCTGCCTGCTCTCCATGGTTGGAGCTTCACTGTGGCGACGGGAGTTGGCGTTCTCGCCGTGGCCTGAACCAAGTAGTAAGCGGGGACTGTTCAATAAAGCAGTGGTACCGACGGCCGATGACAGATTTTCGTCGCGGATCACCTCCGCACGAACCCAGACAGTCTACTTGTACTCGCTGGTTTGGGGTCGACAGGGCGTGTTGGGGGTAAACGGGAACAAGTTCCACGTGATTCTTGTCGTCCGTGAACTCATAGAGACGGCGCTTCAAACCGTCCAAGCCTATCGGATGAGTCGACTATTACCTCGAGTGCTTCTTAACCGCTTCTACGTGTGCTTACTCGTACTGAACTGCTGGTCGTCCGTCCTCATATATTCTCTGCTACGGCATCGGATCGAGGCCCAAAGACGCTTCACTTGTCTTCTGTGCGACTGTATTCTGGACCTGGTATCGTGCGTCGGAGTACCGCTCATAATACTATTCAGCTATCTAGGCGACTACGATGCTGGCCTAACTGGTTTTGACATGGAAAAATGGTACGACGACGTATGGTCCGCTCATGCCTTGAATGAATTTCAGATGATCGTAGTGGTATCGTGGTCTGACTTGGCGAGTCGAGCTTTCTTCTCCTTGGGACTGATTTTCACGACTACCAATCTGAAAGAACTCTTACGCAAATATCGACGACGCATTGCTTCTACGGCGAACAGCATCAGAATTCCGGACAAAATGCCAAGTCTCAAATCCATTGGTCCAGTAGCATCAGAAATCGAGCTGGCGCGCGGACCACAGCCCGTGAAAGTTGGAGGTTGTTGTAGAGGAGGAGCACTACGAGCTCGAGGCAGACAAGTTCTGCTGCACTTAGTCCACTTCTTGTTTGCAGTCTGGGGTGTAGTGGTGCTCAGTCTTCACATTCAAGCCTCGGTGCGGCCAAAAGCGGCTCAATGCGTCTTGCAGGTTTTCCCATGGGCTGAATCGAATCCATCCTGCTACCTGGCTGTTCTCGACTGCTATCGTCTGGGCATAACCGGAAAATTGGCAGAAGTTGAAGACCACTGGAGCGAGTTTGATCGGTCTACTGTTGTGACGTTGGTTATGCGTCACTGTCCAAATCTTGAGATTCCAGATATGCTGGCCGATTTTCACTTGACTACCGGTATCAAAGTGTACAACTCGACAATTCAGAGCTGGGAAGCATCGGCAGCTATCACCAATACGAACCATCCCGAGCTGATCTGGTTCTACTTGGTCCGTGTCAACTTGACGGACGGGGTTTTACCTCAAGGGGCCCAGTCGTTGGATTTCCCTGCAAAACTGTACGATATCGAGTTTTGCTACACGAACCTCCGCGAGCTTCCTGATGATTTGGACTCGAAGTGGCTCATCGGAACTGCAATCTACATGGAATACTGCCAGCTCACGACTGTGCCTCTAGTTCTCACTCGGTTGGACCCGTACTACTTGGCGCTTACGGGCAACCCAATCACTGAACTCCCGCCCGAACTGTTCGAAGTACCGGACATGTTTCACTTAGGGCTCGGCAACACCAGCATTGCTCAACTGCCTCGCAATGTCACGAATCTCTCGCCACTGCTGTCATTTATCCACTTCACCAACACAGACGTGTCGTTCTTCTGGGCTTGGATAGATCCACTGATCCAGCGAGCGCTAGGCGGAGGAGAAGCTCCACTCAAAATGGGTGGGTCCACGTACTGCTTCGACGTCGAAAATGTCATACATGGAAACACGGATACTTTCAGCGTGCTGCCGTCGGGAGAATACTCACCGATGCTGATGGATGCATCCGAGGCCAACCGAGACGTGATACTGCAGGCAGTTGACTGCGATCTCATGCATTCAAGAACATTTTACCCGATTGCGTTCGAGGACAGCATCAGTTCACTCTAGCTCCTCATTTGGTACCGTACAAATCGGCGGCAAAAAGTAAAAAACAAAAAAACATTTTCAGAGGCTCCATGATGCCGCAGTTGCAATGGACCCCAAAGCGGAAACGGAGAACGGATGAGGAACTGGCGCAGATGGCGGCGCACGATGCCGCTGAGAAGCGTGCTTGGGACGCCAGTCAGAGACCGCAAGTGATGCCACCGGTGGCAAGGACGAAGTATGCCGAAGAAGCAGAAGACGAAGGCGGCACCATTTAACGATAAGTTGAAGGGACTGTACCATTTTGTGTCTGCCACCGAGAAAGTTGTTGAATTGCTGGAAAGCAGATCGTGTAAACCGGTGCACAAAGCCTCAGCGGCAGCGTTCCGGGGCGGTGGACTCGTGACAAACAAGGTGCTGGAGCTGGTTCAAAGCGGTGGGAGTATCGACGAGTCCACCGCTTGTCTGTATCGAGACACCTCCGCTCGGTTGGGGACACTCCTGTCGGACGGGCGAGCGGTTAGCAAGTTGCAGTTGAAGGCCGTGATGAAGCTGATGGACGGGCTTGGCAAGGTGGCCCAGGTATCCAGCGCTAGGACGGATCTCCCGCTAACTCTGTCGGACACAGTGTTAATGTCTACTTGGCTGGACTTTAAAACCTACGTCGATGGACACGGCGACGACAGGTTACTCATGATGCAACAGTATGTGAAGACTTTCCAGAGCCAGCAGAGACGAGGCCCGTTGAAGACCCTTCTGGAGGACTATGAAGAGGAAATGCGGTCGTTTCGGGGGCGACGCGCGTGGAGCTTCCCCTCGTTCTGACGAGATTTGCCGAGGTTGGAGAAGTGCTTGCAGACTGGATCGGGAGCTCAACCTCACTGAGCGCGAGCGAGTCCAAGAGAATGAAATCGATGTTCCGAGAACTCAAGAAGTTCGACGCTCAATACCCTGATTGCGTCCCGCCATTTCTGTATCAGTACGTGCTTGATGTCATGTGTAGATTGTGTGTGAATCCTATTCCTAACAAACGGCCAATGCTGTGCGTCTTTGTGGTAGGAATGCAAGACTGCAAGACAGTTTGTGCCGATCCCAGCGGAAGTACGAGAAGGAAATGCGACTACTGGACAAAGTTCAGCACTGGTAGCTACGCGATCGAAGAATTCCGTTTAGTACCGACGTCATTCTTCAATTTAACACACACTTCACTACTGCTTCATAGCTACACTTGAATCGTGTAGCCATATTGTAACATCCTCGTCACGTCTAATGCGCTGCAGGGAAGACTCTCGACACCAATCGTTGAATCGATAGTCCCACGTGGGGACTTGTAAGCTGCAGCCGACGAACCTGTCCGGATAATTAGTAAATAGCCACTGGCTGAGTTCCCGACTGGTGCGGTTGAACATGGTGTTTGCCTCAAACACGGGGACCTCGACTCCTTTCGAGTGCAAGAACTTCACAGCATCAAATCGGCCGTGCTGGATGGCCTTCATTATGGCGAGGTGGGGGTCGACTTCACTTCGATTCTCGTACAGCCAAATGACTGCTTCCAGGTTACCAGAGACCGCCACCTTCGACAGAGTAGCTGGGTCGCACCCTTCGTCTCGATTTGCGTGTAGCCACTTCACCACGTCCATGTGACCCCTGGCTGCAGCAGCAGTCATGGCTTCAGCCGTGCAAACTTCGGTTCGATTCGCATCCAGCCACTGCACAACGTCTAAATGGCCGTGAGTGGCAGCAAAATCCATAGCCCACGCGGTGCACCCTTCCTGTCTGTTCGCATCGAGCCATTTCACGACGTCCAGATGGCCAGCCCTCGCTGCAGCATCCATCGCGATCGTTGTGCAGCCTTCTACGCGATGAGAGTGTAGCCATTTCACAATTTCCAAGTGACCTTCACGAGCAGCGCCATCCATGGCCTTGGACGTGCACCCTTCACTGCGCTGATCGTGGAGCCACTGAACGACTTCGAGGTGTCCGTTTTCAGCAGCCATGTCCATCGCCAGCTCTGTGCACCCTTCACTTCGATGCTCGTGGAGCCACTGCACGACGTCGAGATGACCGTGGCCAGCAGCCCAAGACATGGCCTTGGAGCTGCAGCCCTCGTCGCGGTTAGCATGAAGCCACTTCACCACATCGAGATGACCGTTCTTAGCGGCACTGTCCATCGTCCAGACGTCACCTCGCTCGCAGTTCAAGTCGTGGAGCCACTTCACAGTGTCTAGATGTCCGTTTTCGGCTGCTCGTCTCATAGCCCCCAGTGTCAAAGGAAGATGCACCTCATCGTGAAGCCACTTCACAACATCCAAGTGCCCATTTGCAGCTGCAGCCACGAGTGTTGACGGTCGCGGCTCTCCTAGACCCTGGGAGTACGCGTACTTCAAGAAGGACAGCGCGCCATTGGCAGCAGCTCCGTCCCACTTGATGTGACGCACTGCGAGCTCGCAATTCACAAGGATCCACCACGCAGTCTCCCAATGCCCCTCCTTCTGGGCGAGCACCAGCGCGTCCTCCGCTCGTGCATGGCATTCATTAACCAACCAACGCACGGCCGATAGATTCCCCGTCTTGGCCGCGGACTGCATCACCAGCTTCAGACACTCCGGACGAGGCGGCGAGTGCTTCTGCAGCCACTTGACCACCTCCGCATGTCCGTAGTCCAGCGCCCCGCACATCTCGATGCAGTTCCAGTAGATCCGCTCGCGATGGAACGTGTGCAGCCACTGGAGGATCTCCACGTGCCCATTCGCCGCCGCTGCGTACACCGCCGCACTCAGCCGGTCGTCAGGGAGGCAGCTCTCCACCAACCACCGAAGTGCCGGTAGATCCCCTCTACCAGCAACGAACCACGACGTAGCATTGAGCATCCAGCGGCGGTAGAACGGGTCGATCGTCTCGGCCGGTTGCCGCGCAGCGATGTACCGCATCAGCCTCAGACTGCCCGTGCGCTTGTAGCTGCGTGCCAGCGTCCATTTCGACGAGAAAGGGTCCAAAAAGGCGTCCAAAAGTCTCGCAACATGGGGAAGATCGTCGTCACCCAAGCAGAACCGAGCAACGAGTCGTGCAGCGGTGAGCAGCGGGAGGGAGGAATTACCATGATCCAGTGGAAAAGTACTGGATCGTCCCCCAGGCCGACAGCCATTTTCTTCATACAGTAAAAAAATCCTAAGTACGCCCGGCACGCCACTTGCGAACCTATCAACCATTTATGGGCTAACTTCGAGCTCTCGGTTTATTAGCGGGACACCTGAAATAGATACGTGCTAGTGCTAAATAAAAACCAAGTAGACTTGAATAATAAATAATTCTCTAAAGGGTGATTCACAGCTATATTCTGCTGCATTGTGCAAATGTCCAAGTCAAGAGCAAGAAACCCCCCAAACTACGGCCTGCTCGCTTTTCACTCGACGTGTCTGATCTCGAAGCTGCCAAGGAGTTGGGACTACTCAGGGACGATGTTGCAGTCGAGTCGACGAACCCGACAAGCTCAACGTATGGCTTGGCCTACCAGCTCCGAGAGAATATTGCCAATTCAGTCTTTTCTTCACAAAAAGCAGTCCACAGCAAGCGCAAAGATTTGGCTGTGAGGTGCGGCTTTCAGATTTTTGTGAAGCAGACCAGTGTGAAGGCCGACAACTCCGGTAATGCGAAATTTGCGTGCAAGGCGCTCAATGGAACGCAATATTTCGACCGGACTACACCAGCTGCCCAACTCACGTGTCCGTTTTTCGTGAATGTTCACGGGAAATCGGGGAAGTGGAAGATATCCCAGGCAAATTTTGCGCACAATCACCTCAAGTTCGTTGGTAGTGCCAAGGCCCCTTGTGTTGAAGGGTCCATCCTGTTGCCGTCCAAGCCCATGCGGAATACCACGCAGCAGATAAGCAAGCTGACCGCGATTGTCGAGACCGAGATGCTTCATGCCAACGATGGATCTACGGCTTCTATGTCAGGCGCCGCTATCAGGAATTTTCTGAAATCGAAAGGAGCGGACGTAAGCGCTACATCGGTGTCCAGAATGAAGCAGAAAATTGACGACAAAATTCACGGCGACTTGGTAGAAAGTTACCAAAAACTGCGGGCGTACTTCGAGTTGATGGCGCACAAGAACCCCGGATCGGTTTGGAGAGTGGAAACTGCCGCGGACGGATCGTCGTTTGGTCGAGCGTGCTTCATCCCTTACGCTGGTATTCACATTGCCCAGAACTGCAAAAAGATGGTCGGCTTTGACGGGGTCCACCTTAAAGAGGAAATGCACGAACAGGGCATTTATCTGGTAGCTACCGTGAAAGACTACAACAACCACATCGTTCCAGTTGGACTCGCGCTGGTTTCACAAGAGGACAAGGCCAATTGGATTTGGTTCCTGGGAGCATTCAAGGAGGCAGTTGACTGGGAAAAGTTCACGATATTGTCGGATAGACAAAAAGGTCTGCTTCCAGCTGTCGCGACAATTTTCCCAAACGCTGGCCATCGATACTGCCTGCGGCATATCATGGACAACATTAACAGGAAATGCTCCAGGTTGTCCCAGGAAGACCGTGCGTGGGTATGCCGAATGGCACGCAGCGACTGTGAAAATGACTATAAGCTGTATCGAAGTGAACTCGCCGTGAACAACCCTGCCGCTGCGAATTTTCTGGACGGAATCGAACGTGCTCACTGGGTGAAGTACAGTTTCCAAGAAAAGTTTAATCTCCCGACTTTCGACGAAATAACCTCAAATTTGTCAGAGCAAGCGAACAACTGGATGGGTAAAGAGCTTCGGACTGCCAAACCCTTGGACGGATTCCACTTGTACTTCTTGAAGCTGAGTCAACTGATGTCCAAAAGGCGACAATTGATTGTAACGTGGACAAAATCTGGCGCACTCTCGGATTTAGTCCCCAAGTTGTTAGAGCGACGTACAGACCGCCAAGCTGCAGCTGATATGTGCGAGTTTACACCCCTTCTCGAGGGTGCGTACAGCGTTTTGTTCAAGGGCCCTGTTGCCATACCAGGATATGTGCACCCAGACCTGGTAGTGGATTTGCCAGCGCTGGAGTGCACGTGCGGCAATTGGCAAGACCAAATGTTCCCTTGTGTCCACGCAATTTGCGCTTCTTCAAAGGATGGCCGACGAATCGAAGACTTGTATGACGCCAAGCGTATGTCGATCGAGCACTTCCGCGATACATACACATTCAAATTTCTCCCTTGGCCGACAACAGCAACCTTACAGCGGGACGACACAATTCTTCCTCCACAACTTGAACCCACTCCTGAACGGATTGGTAAAAGAGGGTTGAAGCCGGGGAAGAGGCCACAACACAAGCGAAAGATTGTGAAAAACGCGCTGTGGGGACAAGAATAAGCTTCGTCGGGCAAAGCCAATTTATACTTTATCGATCTGTTTTTTTGACAAACAACACTTCATAATTAATAGATATTGTGCTTTCCGACAATTCTAACCAAATATGCAAGTGTTGCTGAGTCATATTTGGGTAAGGTATATTAAAAATCTAAACCGATAGATCTCTAGTGTTGTGCCCTAAGAACACGCGAGTAAAATATTTCGTGAAAACCTCTTAAACTCTAGAAAGAGTAGGAACTCTACGAATGTACCACTCCATGGTACACCCTTTTTGTACAATTTAAGCCGCAATGGTGCAATATGCTACGTTGATCTGCAATCTGAATTTTGCAATTTAACTACGTTAAATTTAGCCAAATCACAACCTGACCTCCGGGTTGAAGTCTACTGTATTTATTTTAAGGCAACACTTAGAATAGAAATAGACTGCGAACTACATTTTCAGCGCTTCAGCAAGCCCCATTCTGCTTTGTGCTCAATGCCACGCCTTAACCCACGACAGTGCCACGCCCGGAACATCCAGCGCCGCCTGGACGGCTCGTTTTACTGTCTCCGACTGAATCCCGGTATTTCCGCTCATGACGTCAGCGACGAAGACACCGACGAGCAGGAAGAGGAAGAATCATCAGTCGGGGGTGGACTCCGAGAAGAACGACGTAGGGGGGTGGCCTCTTCGCAAGCAATCGAAGGGCCCAGAGAGGCGTGGATGGGCAGCTATATGAGGTAGAGCGAATATAAGCGAAAAGGTGGATCAACGTAAGAGTATATTATCTCATTCAATGGGTTGGGTACTGGGAGCTTACATGGGAACCGAGAAGCCACGTTCCGATGCGCCTGAAGCTACGGTTCGAACGCGAATCGATCGACATCATCTGGGTCTACCAATCGACAAGAGGGAGACGTCGGACTCGCCATCGACGACCGATACGACGCAGCGCAAGAATCCAGTCTCGCAGAAGTAGGTAGATACGTCTTGATAAATACGCATCACGAACTTAGCAAATACTGTGACAGTAGTTTGTTTTTCGGTCGGCCTGGGGGGCGATCCAGTACTTTTCTACTGGATCATGGTAATTCCTCAGCGGGAGGTCCTCGACACTATCCAGAGGAGGAGATGGAAAAACCGCTGTTTGGAGCAGCTGCACTAAAAAATAACGTACAGCACTAATCAGTCGGACATCATCACCAAAACGCCGATCCACAGCACTCACGGTTCATTCAGCAATACGCACCCCAGCGATGGAGATAATCACTAAAGAACCGGGTTCGGTCACTCATACGACAATTCTTTTTTACTAAAGGTAACGTAGGCATATTTCCACGTATACTGTACATGCCCGCTCGTTATGCCTTTCAGACATAGCGACCATCTTCGAGTTTTTAATTTTAATACTACGCCGGCATCTTGTAAATCATTACTGTAGAAATACTTGTTGGTGGGCTGCAGAAAATAAAGCGTGGTGAGCGCCCACATAATCATCAATTCGATGTACATGTAATAACATCAATTCTCAGTCAGTTGCATTCTAGGTGATATGGACTTGCGATCAGCAAAAGCAAGTCAACGCACTTGGCAACATCAAGAAAAAAGGTTTCATATACTTATATAGTATCACTGTGGGTTCTTGCTAGCACGTTCACGAGCGGGTCCGTCGCAAGCGCGTTCTTGTACTCGTCCAGAATCGCAACCACCTCGGCGACGTTGAACTCGTGGGCAGCCGTGGGCTCCTCCGACACCGCCTTCTTGAAGGTCTGGAGCTTGTCCGTGATCTTGGCGAACACGTCGAGCGGGATGCGGCCGGCCAGCGGCGACATGGCCTCCTTGATCTCCTCCACGGGCAGGAGCGGCTCGTTGAGCGCCTGGAACAGGTCGACCAGCGCCTTCTGCGTGAGGTCCGCCGGGGCAAAGTAACCCTGCAGCACGCTCGTGAGGACGGCCAGTGACTTGCGCATCTTGTGGACCGACTTGGGGCTGTTTCCGTTCGCGTTCTCGGCCGACGGGAGCTTGCCCATGTACACGTCCGACTTCTTGACGCACGACGGGTCATCGAGCTCCATGGTGGCAATGCAGTTACCAGGGGCCAGAACGGCGCCCTCGGACTTGAGCAGACGGATGACACCGGCCTCCGGGATCAGCAGCGGCATGTACATCTTCATGACCTCGATCTCAGCGTACGACATGCCACGACGCAGGCTGGCGCCATCGTCCACCAGGTAGCGGGCGAGCTTACCGGCCGTGTTGGTCACCAGGCGCGTGGGGTCGTACTCCTTGGTGAACTCACACGTGTGGCTGTCCACCACAAGACGCAGGCCCTGCGCCTCCTTGGTAGCGTACGCGTCGGTCCTTGTACGTCAGCGCGCCATCTTTAGGAAGCCGTCGCAGTCGCGTTCTTGAGGAAGCCGCGCACTCCATTCAGGAGTTAAGGGGGGTTCACGAGTGGAGCATCGAATGAATTGGTATGTATTACTACCTCTGTGCTGAAAATAATGCACCTTCAAAAAATATTTGCGCATAGCTCCGCCTCGTTTTTTCACCGATATAGGATTTGCAGAGGTTTAATGAAGTGCCCTACAAAAGAAAAGGATCCAGGTCTGAAGTCTCAAATGCAGAGGGTAGTAGCGAGGGCTTGTGCTGGGGTATCAGCTGCGGTGGGGAGGGACGTTGCCCAGCACAACTAACCGGACGAGGTTGGGCAGCACGAAGCTGCTCTGCGTAGATCTGCTCTACAGAGAGCATTGCGATTGCTGAGTGAGCGCTGAAGAGGATCTCGGCATCACACATCAGAGTGGTGGGGAGTTGGCCAGCATTGATCAGCTTGTCCTTGTGCATGTGCGTGAGCCGGTAGTTGTTGCGCCCTTCGTCGGTCATGATCTCCTTCATGACAAGTTGCAGCGTTAAGAATGTCTTGTTGAGAGTCTCTGCCGTAGTCTCTGCAAACGCGAGCTCAACTTCCTTGATGAGATCCTCCGTGGTCCGTGGGCTGGTGTGAGATTGGAGAGACTGCATGCTGCAGAAGTAGCCGAGATCCAGGCAATTGAGATCTGGGCTTTGGGCAGGTTGGTTCTTGAGTCGGATATTCAATCCGTCGGCGTGTCCAGCAGCGAGCACTTCAGCGTCCTCCTCAAGCACATGTGGCCATGCGTTGTCTTGTTGAATGCGAATGAGAGTGGCCTTCTGATCTTGAGGCCACTTCGCCTTGATGGCAGGAATGACGTCGGTCACGAGCATTCGGCGCGCCAAGGTACGGTTCATAGAGACTGGTTTTATCTCCTCGACACCTGCGGGGCGGTTGACACTCCAGCGTTGTGTAATGTAGGTTTCCACGACAGACCAAAGCCCTATCTTGCCGTCCCAGTCGCCGCGTGGCCGCGCCACGGCGCACAGGAATATCATCTTCTTGATGTGACGCTTGCTTTGAACGTACTGCACGGGAGCTTCTTCCAGGGGTGTGCCGTCCTTGCCCGTCAGCACGTACCCACGCTGGCCGATCTTTTTGACGGAGAACCACTTCTCGTCAATGTGGACTACGTCGAACATTGGGTCGAAATAGTACTGCCCGTCTCCGTTTAGCTTCACGTGGTTCACGGCGAACTTCAGGCGCGCCACCCTATGCGATGCCGTAAGCAGGGGGCGTATTTGCCTCAGGGCCCGCCGTATGTAGCCCTCCTTGATCAACTGATGGACAAGGTAGGAACTTGTATTCGACGCCTGTTGGATCTTGCGGTGGTTCCCACGCTCGTTGACGGGCACGGCTGACACATGCTCGCAGAGGACTGCTCGGTCTAGCTTCTTTCTGCCACGCGCACTCTTTCTTGACTTGACAACTGCAGCGCCGCGGTCGCCCATCGAACTAATCCCTCTCTCCCAAATGCGCGCGACGACGAAACGGCTTAAGTGAAAGTGTGCTGCAGTCTGGGCAATGTCCCCAGGGCTCAGCACACCTCTGGTGCTGCGAAGGAGCAGCGTCTCCCAAACGGCTTGCCGTTCTTCATCGGTTGCTTGCTTCATGGCCAGGAGAGTGCGTCTTGAGCAGGAGGCTGCGTCTTGAGCGGGAGGCTGTAGATCTTCGAATGAGCACTAGAGGAAGTTGTGCGGTCCAGAAAAATGGGCGGGAGATTCGCAATTCAAACGATCGGATTTACAAGGGTATCGTTCTGAACAGGATGCAATCTGATTGGCTAGGTGCGTTATTTTCCGCTCAGAGGTAGTAATCGGGTTTATGTGGAACCATATGCAATCCCTATTATTGAAGTACAGTACCGTACCTTTACTGACATATCCATATGCCAGTCGCATGTTGCAGCAGTTCACGGCCGGTGACGCTTATTTAGCGCGTAGGACTCGCGCGCTCGCTGTGATGTTTTCCTCCGCCTAGCTGAGCGCCGTGGGCCACCACTGTTATCGATACCAGTAGTACGCTGTACGGGCAGCTGTAGCGAAGCGCCAGCCTGTGAAATTGTCGAGTCACTCCGCGCAACTGGAGATCCGGATCCAGCGCCTGTAGCTGCACTATCCAGTACGGACGCTCCTGGCTGATTACCAGCTACCATAACTTCGGTGATCCGCTCGACGTCAGGTGCATCAGCGCTGATCAACGTAGATTCATCAACAGCGGCTCTTGTGGGCTACAAGTGCAAACTGGAGCGACCTCGTTAGAAGCTGCATTTTGCACAGCTGAGGTAGGAGGACCGAACACGAGATCACCCGGCTCGATATGCTGGGGTTGAGGCGGGGTGGAATGGTGGGGAGTAGAGGTGCGTGCAGATCGCGCTTTGGTCTGGGATACCGACCTTACAAATCTAAGCTCGGGATCTGGTATCCCCGGGCACGGAAGCTGCGCGAACTGGGCGGCCTTAACGACATGAAAGCACATGGCTGCTTTCTTCCATACTGGGCACATGCACGACCGCCCTGTAGCGTCCACCACCCAGCCCCCCGCAGGCATCCCGACCCACATGATGCGGGAAAAGTTGACGGAGTTATAAGACCTCCCTGCATCCGACGGCCGTGTAGCTGCAGCGGAAGCGGCTTCGATTTCGTCTTCAACATCGACCGATCCAGGTCCCGGTGAAACCCGGACAAGCACCAAATTACTTCCGGCTACACGATGCACTATCTACGCACACAGTACCTTCTTTTTGTCAGCTGCAACAAAAGAAGCTTTCAGACGCTTAGAAACTTTGGAAGCCCGCTGAAATGGCACCATTGAGGATTCGTATCCAATCCTCGACAAATCCAATCGAGAAATAAGTTCGGTCGGAGTAGCGTTCTTACTGTTGTTGACTAGCTTGAGCGTGTAGTGGTAAGTCTCTAGTGGATTGTTTGTCGCCGCGTACCCGGACGGCGTGTGGTATGCTTGCCAGCGTGAAAATCTCGGGTTTAATAGCCACATTTTAATCACGTGATTGGCAACACGCCTAAATCGCGGACACAAAGTACTGGCGCCCTCCCAGGACGCGATGACAAAAGCGCGCTTCCGCAGATTAGCTGCCTCGTCAGCGGCAAAGTGCAAATCGTACAAATTGCGAAAAATCAGCTGGACCGACACCCCATCCAGCCTTGCTTCGTGTGCATGTTTAATCACATTCTGAGTGACATGGAACCAGCACATTAAGATGACGCTGTCTGGTAGTTCGCTCACGCATGCTTTGTATTGCGCTTTGTCTGCGTCCATCATCACGAAAGCAGGACAAAACACGACGCGAAATTCTTGAAGGACCACACGTTTTAGAAAGGCTAGTATCCACGAAATGTCAACACCTGTGCGTTGTGAGGTATAGCAGTATACGATAGGGTGGAATCCACCACTTAGATCCGATATACCTAGTACAAAGACTGGATATTTCTGCTTCACAATGCTGTGCGTGCTGTCCAGATGCAGCATGGCACGCAAACCAGGATCTCGCTGGATATCCACATAGCGCTCCAGCCGTTGCATGCTTGTCAAGCCAATTCGAAAAGGGCGAGCGACAGATCCAGTACCTAGCACTGGCTGGGTCACATCATTCTCAACCTTGGAGTCACAAAAACCACCAAAGCCTCGGGGCCCCGATCAGCATCGATCAAGTCGTACGTAGATTCCCTGCAAATCTCTAGGACTGGAGCCATCGAGTCCGGCTTGTTTTTCTGTCTCCACGACTTCACAAAGTTCTGCACCTTCTCCAGCTCAGCAACAGCCCCCGGAATGCGCCGATTTCTAATCTCACGACACAAAAACGAGTACGCAAGCTGAGCCATCATCGAAGGCGTGTCCTCTAGTTTGGCCTCAATGTAAGCTTTCATAGCCTGAGTCAGCTTCGCCTCTACAGGAGAGGGTGGTGCATCAGCAGTCATCGTGTGCTCTCCTTGCCCATACACGATCTTAAAAGGAACGCTTTGGCACTTCAAAGTCTTGTAGTGCGCACGGCAGCACTCTCCGGAGGTTTGGCAGCGCTGAGAAGTACATCTTGTCATTTTACACCTCATGCCGTGCTTGATAGTAGCCAGCTCGTCCTCTTACCGGTCGACGTGATTCATCGTACAGTTCACCAGATCGTTTTAAGTTGTAATACATCGTGGGCGCCCCTCCTTCAATTCGCGATACGAAATCGCATCCCCTGTTCTCCACAGCTCTTGCCACGGAAGCCGCACTCGGCGACCTTCGTCGTTCTCGTGCATATCGAAGACTTAACAGGGATATCTAGAAGAAGGAAGGGCGAGTTGTATTTTTACGTTCTTGTTAGCGGTGGTTTTATCCTCCTTTAGAATGGAGAAGATTCTCCTTCGTGTTGGTATTATAATCCCTCTCTTTGGTGATCCCAACCCTTTTTGCGTTAAGTGTACATACGTATTTTTTTAGTGAACCTCTCTGTTTTTATAGTGATTAAATCCTGGTGGCAAGTTTTTGCTCCTAACTCGACAGTATTCAAAGCGGTCCTCCACTATCCATACCGTCAAAATTCCAACGGGGTTGGACTGCTTCCAACCAAAACCGGTCTAGCAACGGTATTAGGTTTTTGGCTCAGCTGATATTTAACCTCACGACCGCCGATTGGATTCCCAGCCAACAGTCCTGAAGCTTCCAGGTTAGTGCAGCGAGTCGAGCAACGCTGCTTGTGCTACCTGTGCTGACCGTGCTGCTGTTGTATCTGCGTGTACACAGGCGCTGCTGGCCGCTGTGCCGTGTGTGCTGCTGAGCCGCTTGCTGCTGGGCCCTGTGTACCGCTGTGTCGCGTGTGCTGCAGTGCCGCCTGTGCTGCTGGGCCCTGTGTGCTGCTGGGCCGTGTGTGCTACTGACGCCGGGCCACTTGCTGCTGGGCTATGTGCGCTGCTGGGACGTGTATTGGGTTGCGCCTCTCGTGGCGTGTGGCTCAAGTGGCCGAGGGTTTGGACGAGTATGGTGCTGTTGATGGATGCGACTTACCCGCGCCCATGGAGCTCGTGAGGTTGAGCGCCAGGCCTTCGGGCCTGGAGGATCGGGTTCAAACCCCGACATGGGCATCAAGTATTATGTGTTTTTGCTTTCTTTTTGGGCAGGTCGGCTAAGAGAGTGCGTGCTACTCCTGTTGTACGCATTGTGTATCTTATTGACTGTTTAGTGTGCTGCGTGTGCATTTAGGTGAAGCGCAGGAATGGCGGAAGGGCGGAATTGGGTGTCGGGTCGACGACTTCGCCTTCGCAGTAGCGCTCGCGAAACTGGTCAAGGAGGACGGAAAGGTGGCCTGCTTTGTGAAGCGCACGCATGGCTTTGACGACCGAGCTAACGACTACAGCCTGTGAGCCTTGTGCAGCCAAGTATTCAAGCGTCTTTATCTCGGCTTCGACTCCAACAGCGTGGACCTCCGCCTTGTACGCTGGCGAGGCCGGGTCCAGCTTGAACCCAGAAGGTAAGCAGAGCATCCTGAATGCAACTGCGTGTCGTGACTCGTGAAGGATGGCTTTGCTTACTGTTGTTGATTCGTACATGCGTGGTACAGCAGTGAACCACTCGAACCACACTGTCGATAGCGCTTTGGAGGCACGTTTGCGCGCGCGCTTTGGCGGCGACTGCTCAACGTCTTCGTGCTGCTGCTCGGTAGTGTTTGTTTCTTGTCAATAGATTCTGCGTTCGCCCCCAAAACAGCCAGCCTTTCCTCTACGCGTGTTTGGCGGAGCAATAGCTCGTCGAGCTGCTGCGACAGCTTTTCGAGATCACGGATCATGTTTTGAGAGGACTCGGCCACTGTTTCTTGTTTCTCTTCTGCAGGTGGATTGAATGCAGCTCGGAGGGTGATCGACCATGCCAACAGCTCGGAGGCCTGTATGTTGAGGACACCAAGGGCTTCATGAATGTGACGGACGTACGGCTATCCAAGCGATGGCGTTCCATCTCGGGGAAGTGAAGGATCAAGGTCGCCATCAACACTTTGAGCACCTGAGGATCCAAGTTCTAAGACACTGTCGGGAAACCAGTGACAGCAGCGAAGCGGAGATCCTGCAGCTTCTCCACATGCGCTCGGACGACTCCGTCCAGGGCGGTAAGGTCTGGAAGTCGGGCGCCCGCTTGCGGGTTCCACCCGCTCAATTGGCGCGCAACTTGTTGATCTTCGTGTGTTGTGTTCAGCATGTAGGAAAACGCCTTGCTCACGCGCGACATATTCCAGCCCCCGCGTTCAACAACCCAGTTCGGGCCAATGCGACTGTCGGCGTTGGCGTGCATGGCCCCACCTCTTCTGAAGGAGTGCAAGGTAAGTCCCTTCGTGAGTCCACTCTCCTTTGCTGCTGGCAGTCCACTAACCGTGACTAGTAGTCTATTGATATAAGCTTTGGCACCAGGGGCCCAGTTGGCTCGACATGGCTGTGGAGTCTTGCATGTAGGTGCTTCCGCAAGCTCGCGGTCTAGCTGCGCAATCAGCCCCAACTCGCCATCGTCGTCTTGGTCGTCGGACGCGGACAGTGCAGGTACGGCAGCAAATTGCGGGAAGGTGCGAGTTCCTGGAGCGTGTTGAAGGGCGAGAGCGACAGCTAGCACGTGTAACGGGCACGTGAAGGGATCGTTAGGATCCTTAAACAGGGAGGTTCACTGTTGCGAAGCAGTCTTCACACGCTTAAAGCGGAGATATATCATACCGCCTAGCATATACGCACAGAATTGTCAGCATAATTCGTGGGGTTAATTAATACAAAAATTCAAAATCCTGCACGATTCGTGCCGGGGTATACACACAGCTGGGCTTTCTCCAATTGCTCAGCCTCAGAACCACGACCGTAGAGGTACCACATCAACGCCACTAGCGCCGCATCCAGGTAGTCGGAGCTGGCGGAAGCGTGCATGTAGAGAGCCGAGATGATAGTCTTTATATATTTCTTAGTACATGGTGGCGCTTGTTTCGTGACACCTTGCTCCGGCTTCTTTTCACAGTACCGATCTAGAGTTGATAGCATCTTTTGCAGCTTCTTAGCTACACATTGGCTCTGTTGCGGGTACAGATCCGCCAGCCAGTTCTTAACATTGCCAAAATAAGATAGCACAGTGTTCTTGGACAGAGCTACTCCTTGTCTTCCTACATTTTTCACTAAGAACCACCCATACTTATCCAGAATGACAAACAAACTCTTACCTGTGCTGTCCTTAGAAATACGATCATGCACTTCTGTGAGCGTCACCTCCTTCTTCGCAAGGAAGTCTTCGAAGGACTTCACAGCCGTCGCTCTGCTTCTCTGGCTGTTCGCAGGAACTTGCGATGCCACCGACATGCCTGTGTGCGTCGGAACGCAGAATGGAGTCGGAGATGAGCTGGCAGGGGTTGGAAACCTATGAATATTTATTCTATTTGTAGTTCACTTGATATTTGTATGGCATGCTCGATATCAAATCGCGTTTCCAACCATATATCGTTGGAATGTTCAGATCAGCGGTTGGCAGTCATTCCCTCGATTTAATTAGTCGAAATTTTAAGCAACGGTAGTGTCTATTGGGTGTAAATGCTAAGAATCGCAGACGACACACTCCTATTGGCCGGAAGCACCATACAAACTTTAAGGTATTTTTCAGGGGTTAGAATCGCAGCGATATGCTACCATATCAAGGCCCAAGGTCAGGTGAGATGGCTACGCACTGTTTTTCAGCCAATGAGCAGCGAGCATTGACCAGCTCCGTTAGCACACGTCACATATTCTGAGAACCGAAGGTAGGTCGATGCTGGGGTCGCCGGGCATCGCTTCGAGCGGCGTGGGCGTGGGCGTCGTCGGAGCAGGAACAGGAACAGGAACAGGAACAGGAGGAGGAGGAGGCAGTGGCGGCTGGAAGGAGCACCTGCTGGACGAGGTGCCCGTGGCCGCCGAGGACGTGGGCGACGCCGTGACGTGCCTGCTGCACACGATCCTCTTCACGCGCGCGCCGGGGCCCGTGCGGCCGAGCGAGGCCACGTGCCAGGCCTTCCCCAACATCACGTACGCGCTGTGCGCCGTGGGGGACGTGAGTCGCAAGGTGGACCAGGCCGTGCGCAGCTTCGAGGAGGCGGTGGCGCAGCTGGGCGGCAGTCTGGCCTCGGCGGGCAGCAGCTACGTGCTGGGGGGCGGCAGCAGCGTCATGACGCCGTACGGCCAGCCGGCCTCTGTGCACTCCATAGGAGGCGTCGGCAGCAGCAGCAGCAGCAACGTGCGCGGCGCCAACAGTGGCTGCATCGTGGTCACGTTCTTCGAGCGCAAGGTGAAGAAGGCGCTGTTCGGCCTCATGTCCAACGAGGAGAAGGCCGTGTTCGAGAAGTGGATCCTACCCGTCACGGTCACGTCGTCGCCCGCTGCGTCACAAGGTGCGGCGACTTTTGGCCCTTGTAGAAGGGAAAGAGAGATGTACTGACGCTACTGTTGTGGCTGCTGCTGCTGTTGCAGAGGAGCGGGAGCTGTGTGCGGGGGAGACGGAGGCGGCGCTGCAGAACGCGCTGCTGCACATTCTGACGGCGGTGCAGAGCATCGAGCACATCCCGATCGCCATGTACGACTTCGAGATCAGGACGTACAATACTCTGGAAGAGGCGCAGGTCGGCAGCAGCTACGGCGGCGGACTGGGCAGTGCCAGCGTGCGGCTCATGCCGTAGATGAGAAGTACTGCATCACTTTCATACATATATTTATCATACTCGCTACGTTTCGATGTTTGATCAGCTTCTACTTGGCTTGTGGTAGGTTATTCACCTGGCGCTCAACGAGACGGAGAACAGTAAGCCCCGCGATGTGTTCAAGCGGTGGCGTGACATCGTCCTTCATGGCACCACGAAGGTACTTGATGATCATTTGATGGGTTGGCTGGACGCTCGCGAGTTTGAGACTCGCCATCTCGGTAAGTTGCAGCGGATTCATCTTCCGGTTGTCCATAATTATGAGCGAGGCCCCTGCAGCGACCAGAAGCCGAGTCGTCTTGATATGTCCATAGAACGCTGCGTAGTGAAGCGCAGTCAGTCCGTCCAGAGTGTCCTGCTGGTCGATGGAGGCGCCATTCCTTAGCAGTAGAGACAAAACCTCGTCCGACCCCGACAGCGCGGCCCAGTGCAGCGCCGTTCTCCCGAGATGGTCCACTTCATCCACGTTCTGCTCACTCCCCAGACACAATTGCGCCGTTCGTACGTCCCCCGACCTCGCAGCGTGAAGGAAGAGCGAGAACCGACCGGGAAAGTTGCTGCTCTGCTGCTTCTGGCCAGTAGTCACGGCGATCTTCATCTGCTGGTTCCGAGTGTTCAAGTAGAGGTGCGCTGCTTGAGCGTTGTCCGCGTCCAGACACACTTGCGTGCAGTACGCCAGGATCACCGTGGACATGGAGAGAAAAATGTATATAGCGGGCGGAACGATGGCCAAAATGAGGAAAACGCGCCGTGTACCGGTAGCTGTACTCGATGGGAGAATCCCAAACACCAGCAAGAAGACCAAACACGGAAGAACCACACAAGTTCCACGAAGACAGCGGTTCCGCAGACAGCACAGCAAGCCCGAAATCGTCTTAGAAGGCGCCTCGCCAGTTATTTGTTTCTCGTGGAATACTGCGTTCTCCAGCTCGTCGTTGTCGAGGTCATCTACTGCTGCTCCTGGGAGGGAGGAAGCCATTTCATCTCTTTTCTGTCTAGTCCTGAGTGGATGGTTAGTTTTCTACAAGAACGAAATCGCTATCTACCAAGAATAGCGAGCCGAGCCCAGTCGAGTGCCATATTCAAGAGCTATTCCAAGAGAAACAAATAGCGATTGTCTGCTATCAGGAAACACGGAGCACGACTCATGAGGTGGGGCCTCCTTTAGCTTCCGACTCGTCCGGGGGCCTTCCATCAACGCGGTTGTATCATGACGAAACTCCGTTGAAATCTGCGCGTGGGTCAACTTCCGTTCACTCGCATCGCCACCTTCGTCATGAATTATCGTACCCTGCCACGACGCAATGGGCCTTTTTGACGTCCACGCCTCACCCCATTGATAATCGCCGACAACACCGCTCGCTTCACCCTTCGCGACCAGCAACTGCTCGACAAGTGTCCACAACTGAAAGCACAAAGTTGCCCAAACGCCCTGCTACGGGCCGAAACCTCAAGAGTGAACTTCGCCAGCATGATAACATGGAGCTTCTCACTCCGAGAACCGCCACAGTCGCCATTCAAGAGGCAATCCGACGTGAACGGACCCAGGAACACTATGTGGACCCGCTGATCGGCCGAAGTGTGGAGCCGCGAGGACACCTTGGACGCGAGAGGAAGACCAGCGGCGTGCTCGAGACCAACACTATCGCCATGTTATCGCGAGCGCGGGTAGTCACGACCGCTGCGATGAACGCTACTGAACGGCTACGAATCCGAGCCTTCCAGGCTCGCGCAAACGGCGAATACGACGGAGCTATCAATTTCTACAAGCGTTTATCCACTGCGAGACCGAGCGAAATCGAGGCGAAGTTCCACCTAGCTGTGTGTTTGGAGAGAACAGGACAATACGCCCAAGCGCTGGCTGCCTATAAACAAGTGCAGAGGCTTTCCGGGGACCAGCACGCGCTCGCGTACTACAACATGGGCAACTTGTGCATGCGCGCCGACAAAATACCAAAAGCCATCGACTACTTCTCGCGTGCTATCGCTGTCACAAAAGATAAAGACGCCCTGAGTGTTCCCACTTCAGCTACGGATAGCACTCAATGTTCAGGTTCCAGTATCGGATCAACACCCATAGCTTTCTATCGACAGCGAGCGGCAGCATACCGCAAGAATGGGGACTTCGAGAACGCGGCGCAAGATTACGTCCTAGTCCAGAAATGCACGGAGACAGCGTCATCTGCAGCCTTGGCGGAGGAAAACGCCATGTTCACTGCAGAACATTTGTACCAGACTGTTAAACGTGCAGCGTCCCCCAAGAAATTATTCCCAAGACAGGAACATATCAGCGACGATGAGGACGAAGTACCGAAGGAACTTGAAATCGACGAGTATGATCGCAACCAGGATGACGCGAATGGCCCGGAGGAGGAGGAAGAAGAAGTGGAAGATGCGCTGACCGCTTGGACAATTCAGCGCTGTTTGGCTATTGCGAGACTGTCACCATACGAAAGAAGTGAAAGCGACCTCCAGTATTTTATCGACTTTATGCAGAAGAGATTCACTGTGTGCGCTGCATTGCACCCGGACGTGTGCAAGTTGCTGTGTCGTGAGCTCGTGATAAGTCCTGAAGGGCGTTTACCCGCGAGGACGCCCATCTTCATGGAGCAGGGCGAGGACACTGAAGCTCGGCATGACCGCGCTCTCTACTTTATTTTACAAGGTCGTGTCTCCATCTCTAAAACGTCGGGTAGAATGTTTCAGCCATCACCACAACAACCCGAAAAACTGGCTGAAGATGATGGAAGATGCGAACAGGATGACGCGTGGGAGTCGCCGTGGAATACTACAAAATCTCTAGTGACTACGGAGTGGGAGAAATCGCAATTAGAACTGTGCGAGCTTGAGCATGGCGATGTCTTCGGGCACCAGGGAAGGTTCACTTACGAGCCACGGTAAGGAAATCAAGAATTCGCTAAAACGCACTGGTAACTCGCTCACCCGGGTTGTACTAATGCCATCTAGACCATACTCAGCGGTAACGACGACGAAGTGCGTGATTGGAGCCTTGTCGTGGCACCAGTGGCAAAGAATTGAGCGAGCGCAACATGAAGCGGAGGTGAGAAATGATGGTATGTTTTCAGCCTGTTACAGTGGGTCTCACTTCATTAAATTTTCTTCAACTTTTAGCGAGAGCGAGCTGCTCGTTTCCTGACTATGACCCCAGCCTTCAGTGGCATCAGCTCTGCAGAAATCCGGAACCTTGCGCTTCGGGTACGTTCATGAAGTACATTTCTAGTCGAGCGCAAAACTATATTATTTCAGCTTACCGTTGTTCATTTCTGTGTAGGCCACGTTCATCAAGGTTGTAGGCTCTAAGGCTGTGTGTTGTGAAGGGCAATCTGTGGACGGTTTGCTCGTTGTGCGAGAGGGGGAGCTCTGCCAGTTCTCCCCAGGAGGTCTGCGCTCACCTCCAGATACGTCCGTATCATTTGCACTTAGCGGTTCTCTGTCAGAACCACAAAGCGCGCGTGCATTCTTCACCCAACTCGAGACGGCCGGCGATCCGCTGAGCTTTTTACGCGTCAACGAGGCTTTCCATGGGTTTCTGCCGCAAAACTACGTGTCTCGCAAGCAACGCGAGCTTTTACGTCTCGCTCTGGCAAGAAAGAAGACCAGCAGGGTCAGACGGACAAGCGTCATGATCAACTGTATGGGGACTGGCAGAGGTGCGTCGACGTCGGAGCCAGTGGCGACAGCGCTGCGGCGTGGCGAATGTTTTTGCATCTCCTCGTCATGGGTCCCCCCGCGCCAATCTCGACAAGACAAACAACCCCCTAGGGGTATCGCCTGCGCGAAGGCGACTTTGGTGTCCGTGGCCACAGCAGAACTGATCTTCCTGTCGTCAGCAGACCTCGTCCAGGGGCTATCAGCCGAGAGCCGCACGCTGCTGCACCGCAACTTGCAAGACATTGCGTTGATGGAGAATAAACGGAAGTACAAGACGGACCTGACACAGGTGTCACGCTATAATGGACCCCCGGTTGGAAGGCGCAGCTCGAATCTGCTCGAGCAGTTTGTGCGCGACACGCACTGGAGCAAATTTAAAGAAGAGCTGGTGGAAAATGTGCTCCGAGGACGCACTTGAGTATCCCGCTATAGACTAGGTAGTGCCATTTTGTATTGACTACGTATTAGTGTTTAGCTGGGCATCCCTCACTGCAGCTGGGCGCCTCTCAAGAATGAGCTGGACGAGCTGAGGGTAGCCACTAAAGTACGCCATCGACAGAGGCGTCCACTTGCTATTGTCCTCCAAATCGACATCCGCCCCACGGTCCAACAAGATGCGAAGTGGCTCCAAGCGGTTGTACATCGCAGCCATGATTAACGCCGTGCAACCTGTGTTCGACTGGATGTCAGGGTCAGCGCCTCGACTCATCAGTAATTGCACGATGCTGCCATGATCGTTCCTCGCCGCGATGTAGAGTGGAGTAGTGCCGTCCTCGTTCGCTTCGTCCATTTGAGCTTTAGCGTCGACCAGGGCACGTACGACGCCCAAATGCCCCTTCTCGGATGCGATTCGCAGCGCCGTCGCCTGTCGAGGACCTTTAGCGTCTATATTCGCACCGTGTGCGAGCAGAAGATTGGCGATATCGGCGTGGCCGCCGAGGGCGGCGCAAATGAGAGGACTCCACCCGGCATGATCCATCACATTCACTGAAGCTCCAGCCCTTAACAGGGTAGTCGCGATCTCCATCATGCCGTGCTCGCAGGCAATGCCCAATGCAGTGCTGCCTTCATGAGCCCGCGCGTCGACGTTTGGCTTGTACTTTACGAGAAGTACAACCATGCCCGCGAACCCCTTCTTGGCGGCGATGAGCAGTGGCGTGAATTCGTCATGACCAGCGATATCGACTGATGCACCGGCCTCCAGCAGCACTCGAGCCACGGTCAGATGTCCTCTCCCCGCCGCAACTTTCAAGGCTGTCGATCCTTTTGGTGTCGTCGCGTCCACATTGGCACCGTGGGCTAGCAACACGCCCGCAACATCTTCGCGATCCAGCCTAGCAGCAACTATCAACGGAGTCCACCCCTCTTCATTCACCGCGTCGACACTGCCACCCTTCTGCAGAGCGCTTAGCACATCGGATTGATTCCCGTATACACAAGCATCGTGGAGATCCATTCTCGAAATGATACGCGCAACCCATAGCGACCGAAACGTGCAGGGTGCAGGGCCAGTTTGGATCTCCTTTATCGAAACGTTTAGAAGACAAGAGCCCTGTCGCCGCTGGGTACTTCCCGGACGTTGCTTTTGTGATTCAGGACAGGACTGGATGCAAACCTAGTGCGACGCAAGTTCAGCTAACCTATCGCTACAGAAATGGCAGAAAAGTCGGTAAACTACGTGACGTGCGTTGAATCAGAGTATCTCCTCCCCGCCAACCGGTCCGAGGCTGCCCAACCGTCGGTTGGAAACCGAGTTTGTGGGTGGAAGCCTACCGGGTAGGTAGTGGAAGTGGATCGTACCAAACGTGTACTTGGTCCTCAGTGCGATCAGTTCGCATTCTTCTATCTCGAGCTCATTTGTCGACGTTCTTCGGCAATGTTGCGGCTGCACGTAAGTGTCAAGACGTTGGCCAACCGAGCCACTACCAAAACTATTCTGTGCAATGGGCACAGAATCAACGTGCCTGTTGACCGGTTTGGAAGGTTTCCCCAAGGTACATTTAACTGCGAGCAACTATTCCGGCTTGCACACAAGACTCCAATCAACCATGAGCAGGAGGATGCCGAGGAGGAGACGGAGTCCGATGAAGGCGCAGACGACACGTCACTCACACCGGTCGAACTTCGCTACGCCATTCCAGCGGACTGTGGTTGTGCCAACATCGAGTTCGTTGACGGGGACGGCGAGGAGGAAGACTGCAATGAAAGCGTCGCTGGGTCCAAGTATCAAGTCACCTACTCCGATTCGAGCTGTATCCAAGGAACCTTCGACCCCAGCGCCTACCTAAACTGTGGTGCAGCCTCTGACACCTACACGACTTGCAGCGTCACCTTTGAAGCCGATTCGTCCGACTCCAGTTTCCCAGACGATCAAGACGATTTTGAGTCGGAAAGTGCTCGCACGGAATCGACGACCGAAGACGAAGAGGAGCCATCGACGCGTCTGCTTGCTCAAGAGACTGCGGCTTCATCGAGCGCGATTTCACCTCGTTTTACCACCCGCTCGTTGCTCACGCTGGCGATCGTGGCGGCACTCGCTCTTCAGTAAACAGCGGCAAGGTAAAACCAGGGTGTCTGTGTTGCTTTAATTGACGTACGATCACTGTCGAAACCATGACTAGAGTTCGTACGACTGCATGATAATGAAGGTCAAGTTGAGATTGTATTCGTCGTATTCTTTTTCAGTGAAGGGAGCCATTAGACTGGCGATTGCGACAGTAGTGAAGTGCTGTATCGCCTATCTTCGCCTTAACTTCGGCCCCTGCACAGCATCAAAACGCGGCCGAAGATAGTGGTTACATTTGGCGGCTCGTGTACACTTGGATAAACTATAGTTGGATATTCGTACCCCCAGTAACTTGGTCCCGAAGCTGGGATTGGCTGAAAAAGAAAATAGGAAGGGACAGACCACAGCAAGGACGAGGAGGCGGCTCACACAGTGGGGACACTCGCGGACTCGCAGACTCGGTGGCGCTCGAGGAGATGGTGGGTGGCTTTATTGTTGGTGTGCTCGTGGGCTCGTGGCGCTCATGTTCTTGTTGGTGCTCGCAGACTCGCTGGTAGTGCTCATATAGCTGGTGATGCGTTCGGAGCTGGCGTTTTTGCGGGGCTCGCGGACGTGGTGGTGCTCGTGGAGTTGGTGACGCTGGTGGGGTCGTAGTGCTCGTGGACTCGGTGGCACTCGCGGACGCAGTGATGCTCTCGTACTCAGTGGTGCTCGTGGTGATCTCGAAGCTCACTCGTGGTGTACACAGAGCTGGAGAGGCTCATGGAGATGATCGTGGGTGTGAACTCGGTGGTGCTCGTGGACTCTGTGGTGCTCGCGAACTCGTCGGTGCTCTCGGACTCTGGGAGATCAAGGTACACTCGGAGCTGGTGGGGCTCATGTAGCTGGTGGTGGCCATGGGCTCGGTCGTGCTCGCGGTCTCAGTGGTACTCGCGGATTGGTTCTCGCGGACTTGTTGGTGCTCACGGGGCGTGTGATGCTCTTGGAGCTTGTAGTGCTCGTGGCCTCGGTGGTTCTTGTGTAGCTCATGTCGCACTCGGAGCTAGTGGTACACTCAGAGCTCGTGCTGCCCTCGAAGCTCATGGCGCACTTAGGGCTCGTGCTGCTCATGTAGTTCGTGGCGCACTTGGAGCTCGTGCTGCTCCTGGTGATCGCTGCTCTCAGACCTCTCCTGCTCTCGGACTTAGTCGTGATTTCAGCTTTAGTGGTGTACTCTCAGAGCTCGTGGTGCTCTCGGGAGCAAGTGGTGCATCGAAGGTGGCATGACGTGTATTCAGTTATATATGCATTGCGTAATCTCAGCTTGACCAAGAGGTCTGTTTGACCAAGAGGTCTACAACTAGTTATCCCTCTCATGCTGCTAAGAACCGGATACGCGGTAGTGAGCGAAAAGCCGCCCGAGTACACAGTGGCCGAGAAGTAGTGTCATCCCAGCGTTCTCGACGTCGGCGGCGTCGATCTAAACAAGAACAGGCACTGGAGGTACATGTCCACCGTGGTTTGGGAAGGACCACTTCAACTTCCAATCCTTGGCCTTCTGAACAAAATCAAGCCGATGCGGTCCACAAGTAGGCACCTTGTGCAACCTGTTCTGAAATGACTGACCCACAACTTGTGGCACAGTGCACAAGTTGTGGGTCAGTCATTTCAAGTTTGGAGTTCTTCGACACACCGCGCTTACTTTTCGCCGAGCCATCATGCCTGCACCGAAGATTGCAGCAAGAACAAACGCGCAGACCAAGCCAACGACGAAGGAGCAGGAGACAGACCAGCGAGCGCTCACTTTCAAGCGCGAAATGGCAAGCGAAACCTTGGTCATGGGTGTCGTCTCGGGGGTAGTTGCTGGTGGTGTAGCCTGCAGCAGTTTTGGAGTCCACGACCGCTCTGCACTTCGGAGCAGCGGGACTAAATCCACTCAAAAGGACAATTCGTGGCAGTTTACAACAAGGGAACAGCGTGACCAAAATCAATCGTAATGCTCTTGTTGTACCTGAGCCTCAGGTACAGTACCTCACATTATTGCGTGTGCTTGGATGGTGCTGATTTACAGGGTTGGGTCGATCATTGACGCGGGTCTTCTCTCCAGAATCAACTGAACGAGCTCAGGATCCGCTGAAATACGCCATGGACAGCACTGTCCAGCCTCCAAAGTCCTCTAAATCTACGTCCGCGTCAGTGTCCAGCAGAATCCGGAGCGGCTCGACGTGGTTGTACATGGCCGCCATGATCAACGGTGTGCAGCCCGTTTGGGATTGTCGGTTCGGGTCGGCCCCTCTGTTGATCAAGAGCTGCACGATCTTGCCGTATCTTTGCTTGGCGGCGATGTATAGTGGAGTGGTGCCGTCGTCACTAGGCTCATCCATTGACGCTCCAGCGTCCAGTAGGTCCTGTACAACTCGCAAATGCCCCCTTTCAGCCGCAATTCGCAGCGCTGTGGCTTGTCGAGGCCCCTTGGCGTTGATGTCTGCGCCCCATTGCAGAAGAAGTCGAACAACATCCTCGTGTCGTCCATTGAGCGCTGCGGCCATGAGCGGGCTCCAGCCGTCGTTGTCCGCTACGTTCGCCATAGCGCCGCGTGCGAGAAGTAGAGCCACACTCTCTAAATTTCCCAACATGCGGGCAAAACCGAGCGCGGTAATTCCATCCCGCGATCGCACGTCAATCTGCGGGTTGTAGTCAAGAAGGAGCTTCAGCACCGCTGTGAGACGGTTCTTGGAGGCGAGAAGCAGCGGCGTGTAGTCGTCGTGCCTCGCGATGTGAAGATCCGCCCCAGCTTCTAGCAGCATCCGGGCAATGTCTTCATGGCCTCCATCGGCTGCCAGTTTCAAGGGCGTCGAGCCGTTTGGTGTCCGCGCATCGACGTTTGCTGCGTGACGCAGCAGCACCTTTACAATAACATTGTGGCCGAAGTACGCGGCTGCAATTAACGGAGTCCAGCCGCTAGCATTCCTCGCTTCCACGTCGATACCAGTCTTCAGCAGTCTCTCCACGTTGGTAGCATCCCCCCGGAGACACGCATCGTGAAGATCCATGTTGGCCCTGCCAAAGCGCGCTTGCTCAAAATGATTTTCACAGAAAAATCGGACGCGACCTCGCTCACAGTCAAGTCATAAGTCGAAATTGGCACAATAGACTTCCGAACATTCTCGTCGTCCCGCGTTTCGTACGGGTGTGTATTAGACAACACGGGCACTTAGTAGAGCAACAATCCCATTCCACAACTATTCGTGAATCGCGCTGCAGTACGTTGAAGTTTTGGTGCTGAAATTCACATCTGAGTTCTTGATGTGGCTCACACAATTATTGTGGGATTCAAGTGTGATGGTGACAGTGAGTGGTTCTCGTACTGAAGTGGGAAGTGTCGAGTCCGGAAGGACAGACGGGAGTGAGCCGCGGACGCGTGATGCTGGCGAGTTCGGGGTCCAATTACTGAAGGAAGTGAAGCTGAATATGCTGGATTTCGTTACCGTGGTGAACCGTCGGTGGAGGTCGATTAAGGACGCTGCTCATTCATCGTGGCCAGACCCAGGGAAATCGGATGAAATCCGAGCACTGACGACTGATGTTCATGAATCTCGACAAGATCTCAATCGCGAAATCCAGGACGTCGTGCAGTGGATGAGGACCTACTCGTCTTCGTCTGTACCACTTGCAGCACCGAATATTCGGCTTCCACAATTCGAATCCGGCAGCAATGAGTTGCCGCAGCTCTTGAGAGGGATCAAATTGTTCATGCGGCAGCTTGTGGTGGTCGTGCGGCGTTATCGTCGGTCTCTTTGTGCTGCCAGAGACTAAGCAGCTACCCACCCAACAAATCGAGTTGATCGACTGGAAGAGTTGGAGGGTATGGCGTCAACCATTGCTGTGCTTCAGGATGATCTTCGAGACGGGTTGAATGAGATGACTGCTACTGCGGTGCTGGTAAGCATCCCGTACTCGTGCCAAAGAGCAGGAAAAGCTGACGAAAACTGTTTTGTCCACCCATTTCTGCCCGTAGGTATCTTACGACAGCGAGATGACCGACACGGATGATGAGACGTAAGAAGCTGTGGGAGCTTATGCGTTCGCTTTGGTTGGGTAGTTGTACGCACGCTTGCGAACTGCACAGCAGAATAGATTATCCGAGGAATGAGTAGTGTTGTGGTTCGTAATCTCGTACGAAGTACTTAAGTGTTGGTAGCACTCAGCCGTTCATGTGTTTTTGTTTTGCACCGTGATGAGGGTATGGATCGGAAGATCAATGCACCATAATCGTTTACTTATGCCGTTCGCTACATCACCTCAACAGCCCGGGAATGGCACTGTGAACCCAAGCTCATTCTGCATTTTGCAACCCAAGCGCATTCCCTCTCTCCACCCTGCTCTACTACGCAGCGCTCATGAAACGAAAATGAACACCAAGTTTTGCGTGACGGCCCTGCTCAGTGTCATCGCTGCTGCTGCTTTGACGTCAGTCGACGCACAGCAGTACTGCCAGCCACAGCACTGCGGTGATACATTCAACGCCAAGAACATGGACGGCTCGAAGTGCTGCGATGGTCAGCGCTACTTCGATGAGTGCTGCGAGTCCAGTTGCCGCACCGGTAGCCCCTGCAAATACTAATGAGTATTGTTACAGAGTAACTCATGGACAACTGCTCTATTCGAACAAACTGAGGCAATACAACAGGTTCGTTTGTTTTGCGATTAGCTGTATTCTTCCCACGTCTGTGCTGCTGTCAAAGCAGCTTCCTTGTAGCGACAGCTACCACCACACCTTTGCGATAAATGGTAAATACATGAAAGTGATACTCTACGTGGTAAAACATCATCAGCCGGCTACGGCATGAGCCGCACGCTGGCACTGCCCAGTCCGCCGCCGTAGCTGCTGCCGACCTGCGCCTCTTCCAGAGTATTGTACGTCCTGATCTCGAAGTCGTACATGGCGATCGGGATGTGCTCGATGCTCTGCACCGCCGTCAGAATGTGCAGCAGCGCGTTCTGCAGCGCCGCCTCCGTCTCCCCCGCACACAGCTCCCGCTCCTCTGCAACAGCAGCAGCAGCCACAACAGTAGCGTCAGTACATCTCTCTTTCCCTTCTACAAGGGCCAAAAGTCGCCGCACCTTGTGACGCAGCGGGCGACGACGTGACCGTGACGGGTAGGATCCACTTCTCGAACACGGCCTTCTCCTCGTTGGACATGAGGCCGAACAGCGCCTTCTTCACCTTGCGCTCGAAGAACGTGACCACGATGCAGCCACTGTTGGCGCCGCGCACGTTGCTGCTGCTGCTGCTGCCGACGCCTCCTATGGAGTGCACAGAGGCCGGCTGGCCGTACGGCGTCATGACGCTGCTGCCGCCCCCCAGCACGTAGCTGCTGCCCGCCGAGGCCAGACTGCCGCCCAGCTGCGCCACCGCCTCCTCGAAGCTGCGCACGGCCTGGTCCACCTTGCGACTCACGTCCCCCACGGCGCACAGCGCGTACGTGATGTTGGGGAAGGCCTGGCACGTGGCCTCGCTCGGCCGCACGGGCCCCGGCGCGCGCGTGAAGAGGATCGTGTGCAGCAGGCACGTCACGGCGTCGCCCACGTCCTCGGCGGCCACGGGCACCTCGTCCAGCAGGTGCTCCTTCCAGCCGCCACTGCCTCCTCCTCCTCCTGTTCCTGTTCCTGTTCCTGTTCCTGTTCCTGTTCCTGCTCCGACGACGCCCACGCCCACGCCGCTCGAAGCGATGCCCGGCGACCCCAGCATCGACCTACCTTCGGTTCTCAGAATATGTGACGTGTGCTAACGGAGCTGGTCAATGCTCGCTGCTCATTGGCTGAAAAACAGTGCGTAGCCATCTCACCTGACCTTGGCGACATATGGATAGTGTCGAGGACCTCCCGCTGCTCACCGCTGCACGACTCGTTGCTCGGTTCTGCTTGGGTGACGACGATCTTCCCCATGTTGCGAGACTTTTGGACGCCTTTTTGGACCCTTTCTCGTCGAAATGGACGCTGGCACGCAGCTACAAGCGCACGGGCAGTCTGAGGCTGATGCGGTACATCGCTGCGCGGCAACCGGCCGAGACGATCGACCCGTTCTACCGCCGCTGGATGCTCAATGCTACGTCGTGGTTCGTTGCTGGTAGAGGGGATCTACCGGCACTTCGGTGGTTGGTGGAGAGCTGCCTCCCTGACGACCGGCTGAGTGCGGCGGTGTACGCAGCGGCGGCGAATGGGCACGTGGAGATCCTCCAGTGGCTGCACACGTTCCATCGCGAGCGGATCTACTGGAACTGCATCGAGATGTGCGGGGCGCTGGACTACGGACATGCGGAGGTGGTCAAGTGGCTGCAGAAGCACTCGCCGCCTCGTCCGGAGTGTCTGAAGCTGGTGATGCAGTCCGCGGCCAAGACGGGGAATCTATCGGCCGTGCGTTGGTTGGTTAATGAATGCCATGCACGAGCGGAGGACGCGCTGGTGCTCGCCCAGAAGGAGGGGCATTGGGAGACTGCGTGGTGGATCCTTGTGAATTGCGAGCTCGCAGTGCGTCACATCAAGTGGGACGGAGCTGCTGCCAATGGCGCGCTGTCCTTCTTGAAGTACGCGTACTCCCAGGGTCTAGGAGAGCCGCGACCGTCAACACTCGTGGCTGCAGCTGCAAATGGGCACTTGGATGTTGTGAAGTGGCTTCACGATGAGGTGCATCTTCCTTTGACACTGGGGGCTATGAGACGAGCAGCCGAAAACGGACATCTAGACACTGTGAAGTGGCTCCACGACTTGAACTGCGAGCGAGGTGACGTCTGGACGATGGACAGTGCCGCTAAGAACGGTCATCTCGATGTGGTGAAGTGGCTTCATGCTAACCGCGACGAGGGCTGCAGCTCCAAGGCCATGTCTTGGGCTGCTGGCCACGGTCATCTCGACGTCGTGCAGTGGCTCCACGAGCATCGAAGTGAAGGGTGCACAGAGCTGGCGATGGACATGGCTGCTGAAAACGGACACCTCGAAGTCGTTCAGTGGCTCCACGAACAGCGCAGTGAAGGGTGCACGTCCAAGGCCATGGATGGCGCTGCTCGTGAAGGTCACTTGGAAATTGTGAAATGGCTACACTCTCATCGCGTAGAAGGCTGCACAACGATCGCGATGGATGCTGCAGCGAGGGCTGGCCATCTGGACGTCGTGAAATGGCTCGATGCGAACAGACAGGAAGGGTGCACCGCGTGGGCTATGGATTTTGCTGCCACTCACGGCCATTTAGACGTTGTGCAGTGGCTGGATGCGAATCGAACCGAAGGTTGCACGGCTGAAGCCATGACTGCTGCTGCAGCCAGGGGTCACATGGACGTGGTGAAGTGGCTACACGCAAATCGAGACGAAGGGTGCGACCCAGCTACTCTGTCGAAGGTGGCGGTCTCTGGTAACCTGGAAGCAGTCATTTGGCTGTACGAGAATCGAAGTGAAGTCGACCCCCACCTCGCCATAATGAAGGCCATCCAGCACGGCCGATTTGATGCTGTGAAGTTCTTGCACTCGAAAGGAGTCGAGGTCCCCGTGTTTGAGGCAAACACCATGTTCAACCGCACCAGTCGGGAACTCAGCCAGTGGCTATTTACTAATTATCCGGACAGGTTCGTCGGCTGCAGCTTACAAGTCCCCACGTGGGACTATCGATTCAACGATTGGTGTCGAGAGTCTTCCCTGCAGCGCATTAGACGTGACGAGGATGTTACAATATGGCTACACGATTCAAGTGTAGCTATGAAGCAGTAGTGAAGTGTGTGTTAAATTGAAGAATGACGTCGGTACTAAACGGAATTCTTCGATCGCGTAGCTACCAGTGCTGAACTTTGTCCAGTAGTCGCATTTCCTTCTCGTACTTCCGCTGGGATCGGCACAAACTGTCTTGCAGTCTTGCATTCCTACCACAAAGACGCACAGCATTGGCCGTTTGTTAGGAATAGGATTCAAACACAATCTACACATGACATCAAGCACGTACTGATACAGAAATGGCGGGACGCAATCAGGGTATTGAGCGTCGAACTTCTTGAGTTCTCGGAACATCGATTTCATTCTCTTGGACTCGCTCGCGCTCAGTGAGGTTGAGCTCCCGATCCAGTCTGCAAGCACTTCTCCAACCTCGGCAAATCTCGTCAGAACGAGGGGAAGCTCCACGCGCGTCGCCCCCGAAACGACCGCATTTCCTCTTCATAGTCCTCCAGAAGGGTCTTCAACGGGCCTCGTCTCTGCTGGCTCTGGAAAGTCTTCACATACTGTTGCATCATGAGTAACCTGTCGTCGCCGTGTCCATCGACGTAGGTTTTAAAGTCCAGCCAAGTAGACATTAACACTGTGTCCGACAGAGTTAGCGGGAGATCCGTCCTAGCGCTGGATACCTGGGCCACCTTGCCAAGCCCGTCCATCAGCTTCATCACGGCCTTCAACTGCAACTTGCTAACCGCTCGCCCGTCCGACAGGAGTGTCCCCAACCGAGCGGAGGTGTCTCGATACAGACAAGCGGTGGACTCGTCGATACTCCCACCGCTTTGAACCAGCTCCAGCACCTTGTTTGTCACGAGTCCACCGCCCCGGAACGCTGCCGCTGAGGCTTTGTGCACCGGTTTACACGATCTGCTTTCCAGCAATTCAACAACTTTCTCGGTGGCAGACACAAAATGGTACAGTCCCTTCAACTTATCGTTAAATGGTGCCGCCTTCGTCTTCTGCTTCTTCGGCATACTTCGTCCTTGCCACCGGTGGCATCACTTGCGGTCTCTGACTGGCGTCCCAAGCACGCTTCTCAGCGGCATCGTGCGCCGCCATCTGCGCCAGTTCCTCATCCGTTCTCCGTTTCCGCTTTGGGGTCCATTGCAACTGCGGCATCATGGAGCCTCTGAAAATGTTTTTTTGTTTTTTACTTTTTGCCGCCGATTTGTACGGTACCAAATGAGGAGCTAGAGTGAACTGATGCTGTCCTCGAACGCAATCGGGTAAAATGTTCTTGAATGCATGAGATCGCAGTCAACTGCCTGCAGTATCACGTCTCGGTTGGCCTCGGATGCATCCATCAGCATCGGTGAGTATTCTCCCGACGGCAGCACGCTGAAAGTATCCGTGTTTCCATGTATGACATTTTCGACGTCGAAGCAGTACGTGGACCCACCCATTTTGAGTGGAGCTTCTCCTCCGCCTAGCGCTCGCTGGATCAGTGGATCTATCCAAGCCCAGAAGAACGACACGTCTGTGTTGGTGAAGTGGATAAATGACAGCAGTGGCGAGAGATTCGTGACATTGCGAGGCAGTTGAGCAATGCTGGTGTTGCCGAGCCCTAAGTGAAACATGTCCGGTACTTCGAACAGTTCGGGCGGGAGTTCAGTGATTGGGTTGCCCGTAAGCGCCAAGTAGTACGGGTCCAACCGAGTGAGAACTAGAGGCACAGTCGTGAGCTGGCAGTATTCCATGTAGATTGCAGTTCCGATGAGCCACTTCGAGTCCAAATCATCAGGAAGCTCGCGGAGGTTCGTGTAGCAAAACTCGATATCGTACAGTTTTGCAGGGAAATCCAACGACTGGGCCCCTTGAGGTAAAACCCCGTCCGTCAAGTTGACACGGACCAAGTAGAACCAGATCAGCTCGGGATGGTTCGTATTGGTGATAGCTGCCGATGCTTCCCAGCTCTGAATTGTCGAGTTGTACACTTTGATACCGGTAGTCAAGTGAAAATCGGCCAGCATATCTGGAATCTCAAGATTTGGACAGTGACGCATAACCAACGTCACAACAGTAGACCGATCAAACTCGCTCCAGTGGTCTTCAACTTCTGCCAATTTTCCGGATATGCCCAGACGATAGCAGTCGAGAACAGCCAGGTAGCAGGATGGATTCGATTCAGCCCATGGGAAAACCTGCAAGACGCATTGAGCCGCTTTTGGCCGCACCGAGGCTTGAATGTGAAGACTGAGCACCACTACACCCCAGACTGCAAACAAGAAGTGGACTAAGTGCAGCAGAACTTGTCTGCCTCGAGCTCGTAGTGCTCCTCCTCTACAACAACCTCCAACTTTCACGGGCTGTGGGCCGCGCGCCAGCTCGATTTCTGATGCTACTGGACCAATGGATTTGAGACTTGGCATTTTGTCCGGAATTCTGATGCTGTTCGCCGTAGAAGCAATGCGTCGTCGATATTTGCGTAAGAGTTCTTTCAGATTGGTAGTCGTGAAAATCAGTCCCAAGGATAAGAAAGCTCGACTCGCCAAGTCAGACCACGATACCACTACGATCATCTGAAATTCATTCAGGGCATGAGCGGACCATACGTCGTCGTACCATTTTTCCATGTCAAAACCAGTTAGGCCAGCATCGTAGTCGCCTAGATAGCTGAATAGCATTATGAGCGGTACTCCGACGCACGATACCAGGTCCAGAATACAGTCGCACAGAAGACAAGTGAAGCGTCTTTGGGCCTCGATCCGATGCCGTAGCAGAGAATATATGAGGACGGACGACCAGCAGTTCAGTACGAGTAAGCACACGTAGAAGCGGTTAAGAAGCACTCGAGGTAATAGTCGACTCATCCGATAGGCTTGGACGGTTTGAAGCGCCGTCTCTATGAATTCACGGACGACAAGAATCACGTGGAACTTGTTCCCGTTTACCCCCAACACGCCCTGTCGACCCCAAACCAGCGAGTACAAGTAGACTGTCTGGGTTCGTGCGGAGGTGATCCGCGACGAAAATCTGTCATCGGCCGTCGGTACCACTGCTTTATTGAACAGTCCCCGCTTACTACTTGGTTCAGGCCACGGCGAGAACGCCAACTCCCGTCGCCACAGTGAAGCTCCAACCATGGAGAGCAGGCAGACGCCATGCAGTCCAGCCAGAACAGCGTTAACTATCGCGATAGTAGAGTGAGCATCCGCAGGCATACCGATTCCTGAGTAGTCGAGGCACAAGTAGAGGTACGTGTTTTGAAGCTCCCAATAGAACATCGCGTACGCCGCATTGTAGCCGCCCGTGATCACGTGTACCACGAACAAAACCATCCACCACAAGGCGAACGCCCAGGGTGACAGGTCAACATACTGGGAGGCAGGAGATTGTTTCGATGCTCTTGGCGACATTTCCGGCATTTATTCCTGGATGCCCTAGAGAATCGAGAATGACTTGATTGTCAGGAGAGCGACAGCTCGCGAAGACTCGTCAAGAATATATTTTGGGCGATCAACTTCGAAAACTTATCGCAATTTTAGGATTCTAAAATTAGTACCGTAACATGCTTCCAAATTTACGACATATTATATACTTAATGTTTCAAAAAGTAATAATATGAGTATAGTACTCCTGCATTTGGGCGAGAGTAAACTGTACTTGGCTGGCTGGGATTTGATGGACGCCCTGCAGGACGCGGAACTCCAACTCCTGCGTCTCGTGGCTACTCTGCAGCAGAAACTCCTGGTCGGAAAGGATTTCCCTGCCGGGGACTGCCGTAGCTCTGCTGCTTCAGTTCACAAAGTCCTAACTAACATCGAGAGACTCCAAGACAAGCTTCGAGACTGCGCGCACCTGATTGCAGCTCGAGCTACCGAACCGAATGAAAACCGCCACGAAAATGCATCGACAGTTGGTGCTGGAGAAAACGCTGGTTCCGATACTGACACTGAAGATGAAGAAGACCTACCTTGTCACCAAGATACTGCAATTTGCGACCAGTTGAAGTCCAAAACGAGCTCGATGGAGACTGCAGACGAAGGCGATGACAATGAGCCCGGCCTCCGACCAAACCAACAAGATGAACTCAAAATTACCATCGCAAAATACGCCCAGAGTGCTGCGTGTGTTGCTGCAATGGACGAACATGCAAACGACGTGGTATCCAGCTTTGAACGGAGCTCTGGTGTGGCGATGACTGCATTTGTCAGGTTCATCAAGGAAGGCGGGGTGCCCAGTGAGGAGACTGCGGCATCTTTCCGCGATGCAACGGTCTTGCTGCCGGGCGTCGTGTCAAGGTTGCACACACAGAAATGTTGGGGGATCCAGTGGTTAACGAGGACAATTGCGAACATTGAGTGTGTGTTCAATCTTGCTAAAGACAACCAAGACCTGCCTCGGTCTCTGGTCGATCCCCAATTGGAAGCTACCAGCTCTGCATTGAGTGAACTCAAGAAAGGCTTCTACCCGGGTCGTTTCCAGCGGATGGAGAATATCATTCATGCCACGAAGTCCAATCCAGAAGCATTAAAACCGCATCACATCGCAGATGCGCTCAACTTGCTACTGATCAATTATCAACGGGCATTTAGAGAGTATTCTCAACAGCAGAGAACGGGCAAGTACACTCCTTGGACGGAAAAGCAGTGGTGGCGCTTTGCTACCATCAGCGAGATGCTGGGGCGATGGATTCACCGGGCTGGGCGAGCCTCACCGAAGCCAAAGCTCCGTGGGATTTTTTGCAATTTTGACAAGCAGCTGGGCGGGTTTGCTAACAACTGTCCCGGACGTGTTCCTCCCTCACTCCTCGAGTACGTAACATTGCATATCCGCACGGAGTGTTTATTTCGCCAACGCTAACAAACGTGATTGTATGGTTTGATTTTCAGAGCATTACCTGTAGTGAAGAAGTTAGCACAGCTCAAGAGAAGCAACAAACGTTATCCACGCGTTTGGCGGTGAAAAACATGTCTTCTAAAACAAATTAAATATTGACCCAAGATATTTCCTAAACGTATACTGGGGTATTATTCAATCGGTGTAAAGAAAGAAATAATAACACTCATTTACCCTGAAATATCCTCGATACAAAACTCAAGAAGAGCCGCAACTTGAAGCTCCTCACGGTATATACATGTAGTAGTCACAAACATGTTTCTGGAAATATCTCGCCATTATGTGAACTGTAAGCACGATTGCGTGTTTTCGGCGGTGCATATCGCAGAAAAGTTTGCTAATATTGGTTGTCTGGCTCGGGCTGGAAGTGAAGAAGGCGATATCCATTTCAGTGTTTCCGATTCCAAGAAGCACGTCTTGATATTTTTCCGACTGATAAACTGTTGTACCACCCCCACAATATACACCTTCAATCACTTTGAGCTAGGCACAAACACTAGCGTCAAGTAGCCCAAAACTCGCCTTACGTCGCCATTTCTGTCTCAACACTTGCAAGATTAAATGCTGCTCTACAACCAACGGGAAAAGTTTAGGCCGGCACTTCGAAGTCTCGCGCAAGTTTCTTCTTCCACGGGTGGAGTTTTAATGCGAAGGCTTCGACGGGATGGAGGCCATGACTTGCACTCCTTGTTGGAGGACACTAAAAAGTTCGTTTGGACGTCAGCTCACCTCGTAGAGAGCAATCAAATCGACGAGTTTGGCATTGAAACGTACTATTCATCACATGTCATGCGCCGTATAACAAGCCAAGATCAAATACTTCAGAGGCTATTCATTCATTTTATCCCCCAAAGATTTACAATCTGGGCACCACGGATACAATGCCTGCTAAAGTGGCAAGCTCAGCTACCGATCCGAGTAAGAATTTGCTGTGTTTCTGGCGTTTGTTTGGAGCACGCAGCCCGTGAGCGCATGGAGCTGCTCACCAAGCCTGACTAGATCGATAAACCTGATCACGTTGCGCTCATTTTTTACAGTTCCAGAAGCGCTTTTATTCAGTTCTAACGCCAGCATATTATCCTGGTGGGCACACAGGACAGTACTAGCGTCAGACCAACAGTGATATGCTGCCGCTGGATCGAGATGCATATAGGTAAAGGCAAACCAGTACGCACAAATTCCCGCCCTTTTATCGATCGAAATGACCGAGGCGCGGTTTTGGAATGTTCGGAGGTCATCGAATCTGTTGGCATCAATGACTCGGTAGCCCACGATTGCCCAGTATGCCTGCTCCCTGAATTAGCTTTCGAAGATTTCAAAGTTTTCATGACTCCTTAACTGGCTATGCTAAACGAAGTAATAGAGAGATAGTTTTACGCCTATAAAGCCAGGATGCTATTACACAGTCTTTTGACTTGGGGCTCTCTGAAAAACAAAAATGGTCAGCATCTCTAAAAAATCTCCTTTGACCAAACGATGCCGCTATTTGTTCGGGTTTCTCACATTATATTTTTTTCCACTTCGATAAGGGAGAAAACGCATGGGTCAGTTTAAAGACATTTACTTCAGTTTTTACGCAAAAAAAAACTTTCCCGTTCCACGATCCGTGACCACTTTCGTTACCTCTCAGGACTGAAGCTTTCAATTCTCACTGAAGGGCTAGCATTGCCATGAACACAACCGTGAAAATGTAGACAAGACCTTGTCGTGGGCGCGACGAGCTGGTTGACCCAAAAGTTGAAGCGGACGGTGTCTCGTGCGCAGTATCCGTCGCAGTTGCGTTTGACGCAGTGGAGTTAGTGGGCGAGTCATCTTCAACGGAGCTCGCTGCGGCCTGGCTCGACGATGAACTGCCATCAGTAAGCGAACTTGCCGTGGACTGCTGAATCGAGGGTGACGGCGTATCATCCGTAGATGTCGACGGTGCATCGTCAAAAACATCGGATACCGTGTTAGCACCTAACGCCGTGGTTGGATTATGAATTGATGGTCTGCCGATGCCGGTGTTGCTCGTTTCGCAATTGAATGGGATCTGCATCTCTGCATACGCCAACCCGCCGTTTAGCCGATTAAACTCGTAGGCGACTTGCGCATCCTTGCACCGGGGTATGTTGAGGACTGGCATGCCAAAAGACGCGGTGCCCAGGTGATGCGAAAATGCAAAATGAACAGCGGTCCCAAAGCTGCAGCCAAGTAGTGGAAAAGACCTTCCGCTAACCTATTTCGTTTTTCGTTTTCGTACGTTGTAGACGACGGACCCAATAGTAGTGATACTTCGGTTTGGATGACTATGAATTCTAGTTCATTCTGGACAGTTTCAACACGGTTATACAATAGAAAAACGTTGTAAAAGTGTAGCCGAGCTCATCGACAAAATGAGTCCAGCAAACTTGGGCCATTGGGTTCGTTACCGAATCCTATTGTACTCTCTCACGGCTAGAACTAGCACTTGAACCCTGTCGTCAGGCTGCATATCATGGTCAATGCTCACTCTTCCTTCGTTTGTTTGTTCATGATAATTATCAAACTCGCCGACATGGAGCTACCCGATGCGTGCGCTTGCGGGGATACTGTTCGTGTGAAGAATCTACTCGAAAGTAACAGCGACGTGGAAGCACGAGATGATTCTGGGTGGACCCCGCTAATTGTGGCAGCGAACAGCGGCTATGAAGGTATTGTGAACCTTCTTTTGGAGTATGGAGCGAACGTCAATGCGAGGACGCGACGCGGATCCACCGCACTGAAAGCTGCAGCAAATGAAGGGCATGTGGAGGCAGCGCGGGCGCTTCTGGATGCTGGAGCGCCGGTCGACACTCCTGGATTTGACAGCTACACACCACTTCACGTTGCCACGATAAAGAACCATCCGCGTATGGTGAAGCTTCTCGTTGAGTGCGGGGCATCCCTTGACATTCCAGCAGAACAGAATGGCAGCACAGCCCTGGGGCTAGCGTGTCAGTTGGGTTTAAATGAAATAGCAGCCACGCTTGTCCGGGGAGGGGCGATGGTGAATGTGGCCGACTTCGAGGGCTGGAGCCCCCTCATGCGCGCAGTCGTGAGCGGACATACGAGAACTGTCCGCCTTCTACTTGAGTGCGAAGCTGAGATTGATACTCGGGGGCCACAAAAGGCTACTGCGTTGCGAATTGCGGCGGAATACGGACACTTGGAGGTTGTGAAAGTGCTAGTCGAAGCTGGGGCACAGATTGATGAACCGAGTGAGGACCTCACTACACCATTGTTCATTGCTGCGAAGAAGGGCTACAACAAGATCGTGCAGTTCTTAGTCTACAAAGGCGCCGACCCAAACAAGCAGTCCGACCTCGGCTCGACAGCTCTGATCATAGCGGCAATGTACAACCGCCTCGAGCCACTTCGAATCCTTTTAGACCATGGGGCGAACGTGGACGTGGTTGATTATTTCGGCTGGACCGTGCTCTCGATGGCATACTTCAGTGGATATCCGCAGCTCGTTCAGCTGATACTTGAAAAACACCCCGCTCAAATGCAGGAAAACGCTTCGTAGGCTTACGGTGGTCACCAGCAAGAACACATATCAATTTGTGCAATTCTACAAAACTGTTGTTGTCGTATTAGCCCACAACTTTCCATTGCCAGTCTAATGACTGTAGCCCTGCAACAACTATAAATCTCTCCACAGACATGACCCTCTCAGACGCTAAGATCCGTCGCGAAACTATCATGACGTCATGCGTCGATAGTGCAACACAAGCGGTTCTTTCTGGTTCTGATGCTGCCAGATTGTTCGCTGAATGAAATGTACCGAGAGCTCAGGCCCCACAGTGGCACCCATGCACGCCATCTCCAGTTGTACCTCGTCTGGTAGCTTCAAACGCCTCCGAATTAGCTTGCGCAGCTCAAACATCTGTGGCCCAATGCAACAAACACGATCAGCAAAACGTACTATGTAGACTTCAGCTGCACGTAACTCACCTTAAAATTGCCGTTGACCTGCATAAAGGGGAATTTCAGCGCCGGTAGTGCTCGTGCATTGCTGCGATTGCCACCAGCAGAACATAACGTTAGAAACATCCTCCCACGTCAATCCCAGCGAAACCTACGTTTCCTGCGGGTAGACTTCAATCGTGAACTGCCTGTTGCATGTTAGGATCCCTCCGTTGCTGACAGCTTTGGCGCCGTGTGACTTCTTCGTGGGAGTATTCGCGTTGGAGCGGCCACGTGATGAAGCCATCGGGGAAGATGAGGACCCATTGGCTCCATCCATCGGCTCGGCAGAATTGGCCTCCCTCAGCTTGAAGTTGTTCTTGGCGTAAAACTCCTTCTCCAGTATCACCTCCTGCTCTTTAAACTCTGGGAAAATGCGGTCCACCACTTCCTGCAGCTTTTGGTCCGTGCTGGTAATAGCAACACAGCAGCACAAATCAGCTCCTCCCCAACTTGTGCTCTCTTCAGCGACAATTGCAGCTCACATTAGCGTGGTAATTGGTCGCGGACTCAGCGTCTTGTTGCATTTGGGACAGACGCAGCTGCCCTTCACCAGGAAATGCCGATAGATGCAGCTCTTGCAGACTGCATCGGCGTAGCATCCGACCAAAAGTATGTGAGACGGTGTAAATTATAGTCCGCAGCAGTACCGGACGCACAGGAGTGGAGGCAGTCGGGGATGGTGTGCGCGTCTCGCAGAATGCCGTGGCACAGCGCGCAGCCCAAGTGCTCCGTCAGCTCCGCGAGCTTCACTGTCACCTGCGACACCACAGTCAGCCCCATGAAGCGCGCAAACAGCGTGGAAACTCGGCGTCGTACTGTGCGCGCATCCAATGCCATCGCTCTCGCGCGCCAAAAACTATCTGAGACCGAGCCTTTCAATCAAATTATAGTCCTTTATAATAGTCTGGACCTTTTCTCAAATCACATATTTTTGGTCCCAATCACTGAGAGACTTGCGACGAGAGTGGACGATGATCAAGGGGCTATTCTACAGCGAGTTCGACAACGTGGCGGGGCCCGTGATCCTCTTCCAGGCGCCCGAGAAGTGAGCCAGCCGCCGTCCTTCATGCCTATTATAGCAGCTACTATACACAGACGGAGGCTGACGCTGTCGTGCTGGCTGTAGTGTGCTGAGCAACGAGGTGTTCGACAGCGTGTCCGGCTACATCATCATCGACAAGGCGCTCTGTGGGAAGATCATCACGGGTGCGTGGCTGGCTTCAAGGGGAGGAGAAATATAATAATAATAATAATAATAATAATAATAATAATAATGTGAAATAACCATTGTGCTGCGGCTTCCAGTTCGCGCCCAGCAGATGAAGATCGTGGGGTATCCGATGTGCATCGAGGACGACAAGTACCACCGCAACGCGCTGCTGTTCAATATCGGTGGGGATATGTTTGAATTATTTATTTTTACTTATTGTTGAAGAGGAGTGGGCTTACGGGTCGTTGACTGGCGGGTGGGAGCAGGCTTTGTGTTTGACGAGCATGTGGAGACCGCACCGTACCGACCGATTCTACGAAAGGTTGGTCGCTTGCAGTCGGTGAAGCCGTCGTTGAGTGGAGGATAATTGGTTTTATGTGGTTTTGTGTTGTACTTCGTAGTTGGGTGCTCTGGTAGAGGGGATGGAGAAGGAGAGCGGCTTCCTTTACAATTCGGACAAAAAGGAGCTGCTGGGCTCGATCTTGCCGCAGATTTTGCGCGACCTGACGCTGCATGGCGAGTGCACTATCCCGGTGGACACGGCCAACATCATCAATTTGAAGTTGTTCCCAACGCTGCAAGATCCGGCGCCTGTGTTCGAGTACCAGGTGCCAGTTGCGATTCGCGACCTGCGCGCTCTGCTCGAGAACAGCGGTGCGTTATTTGAGCATTTCGAGGATTTATGGTGTTGTGTTCATGAACTGAGAGGCGCAATGGTTATGTTGTGCAATAGCTGAATGGGATTTAGCGCTGCAGCAGATCGTGCCGTTCATCGACGGCGTCCGGTACGTGAAGCGGATCAGTCTGGAGGCAGAGGTCGAAATAGCTATTGTGAAGAAATGCGTTCGACAGCTTCTCTACTACGGCTGCGTCACGCTGATCGACATTTTCCTGCACTCGAACATTTACGCCAACACGCCGAAGATCGCAGTACTCGCGAACGACCCCAAGCTCCAAGCAGAGTGTGCCGTGTACATCGCCAAATCTGGCCATGCGCCCCCGTCGTTTGCTCGTATCTTCGCCCTGTATTGCTCCGTCCAGCCCAGTTTGCGCATGAGCGATTTCTGCGTCGTGTATTCCGAGTCCCTCTCGCTTATCGACGTGCGGCGATTCATCACCTTTGGTCTCATCCATGGTTTCCTGAGGCGCGTGCATCGGTACCCCATCTGCATCGAACGCAACCTGCCCGGGTCCAGTCCGCAGCAGCAGCAGCCGAACCAAGCACCACAGCAGCCGCAGCAGCAACAAGGAGGCCAGCAGAAGGGTCGTCCGTATGCGTTGTCGACAAACTCCCCGTCGTTGTCTGGAATGAATCCCATCAGCGCAGCGCCATCATCGACTCAACCTGGTGGAGGAAGTGGAGCGCCAGGCGGGGGAACCGGAAATGGCGCAGGCTCCAACGGCGCTGGAGGCAACGTGTCCTCGATATCGTCCACTAAGCGTGCAATGGCGAGCAAGGCGAATCAGCTAGAAAAGGACGTGCTCCGGATGATGGACGGTGGCCACCACACGGACGAAATCTGCAGCAAGTTCTTGCTGCGCTTCACCGACGTCGAGTCGACCATTCAAATGACTCCGAACTGCTTTGCGGTGCACAAGTGAATGTTGTATCCGGACCCGGAACGCGACAACAAGAAAAAGAATCGACGTCATATTTAAACTTCTTCCTCTTTCGTTCACAACTGAGCGAAGCTCTAGTCACCACAGACCTCGCATTGATACCATGCGTCTGGTATCCAAAACCGACTTGGGGTCCTGCTGTCACAGTATCTGTCGTTCTTGGTGTCCATCGTATGGTCCAATATATATCCACAGCTATTTACACGTAGGTATACACCACCTCGAACTTGCGCCGGATCTCCGAGTTTAAGATGGATAACAGAGTGGCCGAGCTGACGCTTGCTCACCAGCTTCTTGTCCATTATTCCAAGTCAAGGTCTACAACATCAAGCGGCAATACAATTTACAAATAGATTCAACACTACTGTTGTATTTGAACGCTGCATATCTTGGCACTAAAAATGCACCTTGCAGAAGTAGATCGTAATTAACCCTCAACATTTAGTCTGTAGTGCTCCCCGACTCCCCCGCTGCAACCGGAGCATCCGCGCAAACAGAGGCTGTTAGACCCCATTCCTGGCCTCAATACTGCAGAAGAAAAGGCTCCGATTGAAGAGAAACCCGCTGTGCCGGCATCACCGGCGGAGGAATCTACACCAAACACTTCACCCACCGGCAGTGCCATTGGTGGTTCAATACGTTGGCGAGAAGTTCTGCGTGCGCGACTGCTACGAAGTGTATTTCCAGACACGAAACTCTTGGCAGAAAACAAGAGATGCGTGACGATAACAGGAACACCAGGAATCGGCAAGTCTGTCTTCTACGCGTACTGCTATGACCGATTTCGAGTTGACACACGGGTAGTCGCCGCGGCCTTCGAGAACTTCAGCTTCCGCAGAGGAATTCTCTCCGAAGATGGCACCAAGACGAAGCTGTATAAGTTTTCCCAATACGAAGAGCTGGAGGTAAGCCAAGAAGAAGCTTCTATACCTGTGCGATGACTACGCGACACCAGATGATTGTGTTTACAGTACAAGTCCAAACGAAGGCTGGCAAAAGATTTCCAGAAAGCATGTTTGCGATTATTACATGCCACTTTGGACGCTTGAGGAGCTTCAAGAAGCTGCAGCTCTTCTCGACCTCCGTATGGACGATGCCGTTATTGCGGAAAGATTCAATAAGTTTGGGGTGTAGCTCGCGAGTGTTTGTGCCTGGAGGCGGGGACGCTGGACGTGATTGAACGTGATATTTTACAACAGTTTTCCAGTCCGGAAGATGTTCGAAACATCCTTCTGGAAATCGGAAATGCTAAAATGTGGCATCGTCTTCTCCACTTCCAGCCCGATCAACAGAATAAGCAAGCAGCTCAAGGCAACGCTCCTTGCTTCGCCATTTCTGTCCCAACAACTGGAGAAGAAAATGATGCAATTACGGGGGTATAAGTCGACAATTTGGGGTTTCAGGGAGGCAGCTACTGTACGGGGGTGAGCTTCTCAGCAAGCTATAGCTACGCGAGTCTTTTGAACCGTATGATCTTGCGTAGTCACAATTGGCCACGGACTGGTCTGTAGTGGACCATAACACTGCAGTTGGCAGCACACGGAAGCCTGCAAAAAAATCGACATCATATTTAAATTTCTTCCCTCTTCGCACTGACTGACTCACTCACAGATAAGAGCCTGGCGTACTAAAGTCTACTCCATCCAGAAGCCCGAGATCTCCATGTTCATCACAAGCGTCAGATAGTTGATCATCTCTTCCTTGGTGTGGTAGAGCGGCAGGTCGATGCGGTTGAAGCACGTGTGGCCCTTCGGCATGAGACCCGTGGGCGGTGCTCCACGCTGCACGAACTGAATAGTGAATCGACGGACACGGCCGTCACTGCTCATGAGCGCCTTGAAACCCTGAACCGGGACTCGAGACGTGCCGGTGGCGAACTGCAGCAGGCGAGCGCGCTCCTCGCTCGTGAACTCGTTCATGCATTCCCAGAACCACTTGAGTACGCGATGCTCGACAGGAGTCGGCTTCTCAAGCTTTATCCAGCGAACCTCGCTGTGAGTATGCCAGTCGTTGACATCAAGCTCCGGAACACCAGACAACAGCAAGTCGAACTCCTGGTAATCGAACACCGTGATGAGGAACTGCGGCATAACGTCGTAGAAACCCATGAGCAACGCGCCCAACTGCTCCGAAATGCTCTCGAACATATAGTGCTTGAGCAGCAGCTCCAGATACTCCTTCTTGTTCTCATCGGTCACGTCGCGTCCAGCGCCGTCTGGAACCAGCTCCACCGTGTGGGACTTGCCCTCGGAAGTGATAACCTGAACCGTAAAATCGATAGCGAGAAGCTCAGCGTGGTCATTCTGCTTCATCCACATTGCGTTCTTGTGCAGATCTTCATCGAGGAACTCCAGGTCCGAAAACGAAATGGGCACGCCAAGAATGTGCTTGATAAGAGGCAGCGCCAGCGACATCTTCATGTTGTAGCCCTCAATCAACGCCTTGGCCAGCAACCGGCCAACAAACTCGTAGTACTCCAGGTGGTTCGGCACCTTGGAGGCGGATGTGGGGTTGATCCAGTAGCCCATGTTTTCACCCTTCGTCGAGATAAACAGACCAAAATCGTCGTTGAACAGCGAGTCACTCAAAATCTCGTACCACTCGCGAATCAGACCACCAGCGTCCAGTCCAGGCTCGTTCTCGAAGTAAATACGCAGCCGCTCCCAGAAACGACTAGGCGGACACTTGAGCATCTGCTCCAGCGAGTCACTCACCACGAACTCACGTCTTACGACGAACTGGATATGGCCCTCTTCATAGCTGCGCCAGCGCTTCTGCACCTGCTCGAGGAACCAGCGGTTCTTGTCGTGGAAAGTCAGCGACGCAATCTCCTCCAGGTCGTCCTCGCAGTCCATGCGGCGACTGGTGTCGGTGTAGGCGATCACCGTTCCTGCAGGGGTCCACTCGTATCCTCCAGCGCCGTCCTCATGTCGTACATATCCAGTAGAAACAGTGGAGATCGCCGTGTCGTTCAACTCGTTAAAGCGCCGGTCCTCCCCTGGACCAACGGGGCCGCCGATTTCCGGGACCGGTCCCTCACCGATAGTGCCCTCCCTGTCCTCGTCAATGTGGTTCAAGCCTCGCGAGCTCGCCAGACCACGCGTACTGGCGAACGGGTTCACTGTGCTACCGGCGAAAGGATTCCTGCTACTCCCACTGGCGTTGAACGGGTTGGCGCCGCTGTTGGCCGGGTTGAACGGGTTCTGCTGCGAGTAGAATGCCATGGTGGGGCGCTCCTCCGCCTCCTCCAGCCGCTTGAGCGCCGTCGCGCGCAGCGGCTGGAAGGACGGACGCCCCAGGTCGTTCTCCGTGGACAGGAAGGAGCTGTCCGGGTGTCGCCCCTCCGTCTCCGAGACGCCAAAGTCCCTCAATGCCAGTGCAATGTGCTCGTTGTCCTCCCTGAGCGACGAGGACGACGACGAGCGGCTGCTGGTGCGCGGGAACTCGTCTCCTCCGAGGATGGCCGTGCCGTTGGGCGGCGTGCTGAGGCCACTGTACATGGTCTCGCTCCTGTTCTCCTTGTTGAGCTGCGTGGCGTCCTCGACGGGGGGCGGCGCGTTGTCCTCGTCGCGGTGCTGCGCGTCGATGCGCACCCAGCGCATGACGCCGTCCTTGCCGCGCTTGCGCTTCCAGAGGTGGCGCCGCACCGCCGCCTTCTGCCTCGAGGTCAGGTCCATCTGCTTGAGCCTGCGCACGTGGAAGCTGCGCACCCGGGACTGCTGGTTGAGCAAGCTCTGGCTGAAGTCGCGCTTGTGCAGCCCCGAGGCGCGCGCCAGGTTGGACGGCGTCGTGGCCGTGACGATGCGCGGCGTGCCGCACATGACGCAGCTCGTCTTGTCCGGGTGGTTATCGTGGAAGCAGATGGAGCAGGGCCACTCCTCCTCGCCGCGCTGCAGGAACGAGTCCACGAGGTGGTGCCGCATCATGTTGTTGTTCTGGTTGTCGCGCGCCAGGAAGCGCTCGATCTTGCGCGCGTAGCTCCAGTAGTACCAGATGGAGCCGCACAGCACCAGCAGCGCGAGCACCAGGAACACGTACACCAGCGCCGCCATGCCGGGGCTCAGCTCCTGCCCGAAGATGGTCGTCATAGTGGCGGGCGCTCAGTCGGTCAGTCGGCACTGTGTGCGCCCCAACGCCCAATTGGCAGAATGGGCAACAGAGAGAGAGCAGGCACCGACTGGACTGACTCTTGGCAGTTGGCGGCGAAGGGGTTTTGACCAATGAGGGAATTTAGAGGGGATTTTGGACCAATGCGAAGGCGAGACAAGGGGCCGCATCAGGGCACGGTAGCCGGAGGGCTAGGCTTGATAGGCATGCCCCCCGTGCGAGCAGACACTCCCAAATTCATGGACTGCGTCTGGCGCCCACCAAGCATCCAGGCGAATGGTATGCACACCATGTTACTGCACTCCCGGGACACGTACTTGCGTACGTGCGCCAGCGCTGTGCTCTGTGCCGGTCGTTTCGGATCAGGTGCAAAAGTTTTCTGGACGGACCGGCACCAAGCAGCGAGCGCTGCAGGACGGAAGCCAGGAGAAGCGTGGCGGAATAGCTCTGCCCAATAGGATTTCAGCGTCCGGCGTTGATTTGCGCCTCAAGCCAGGCGTTTATGCCTGGATCCGCGTGTGCAACCTGCGCAAAAATCGAAGTGTGCAACCTCCGCTGCCGGTTGCTTGGCGAAATTTCGTCTTGGCGACCGAGCCTTCATAACGGCAATGCGGCAGGGCCATCAACTTGCAGTGCGAGCTCCGTCTAGAGGTCGAGAACGCATCGTTGGCTTTGACTACAAACGCAGGTAGATTGCAGTCACTGCGGCAGCAGCGCGAGTGGGTCGAGTCCTTTTTGACGCTACTGTGCCAGCCCCTTCTCACGGTTATCAGGCGAAACGATGTTACCCGCACACACACTTAACGGAGACTCACGAACCGAGTGCGCTCGTGACTTTACACATGCACTATCGATACAAAACGCACGCCGTTCTCGGAGAAAGCGCCGCAGCAGTGCGCAAAGGAACAAGGCGCCTGAAGTTTCCCTCGTCTTCCGTGATGCCGGCCCGGTTCTGGCCGTCACTTTCGCGCCGTTCCAATTTGTCGATTGAAGATGCTGCGTGCCCAGCCTGGCTCGCGGCGAGCTGCATGCTACATGTACCAGGGCTTGCCGTGCGTGTGCGTGATATGAATACTGCACAATGCATTCAATCCTGGGTTCCTCCAGGACAGACCCGCACTCTTGCGTTCCCACCGAGCAGACGTACTCGCGAGGTTGTGCGGGGGTTCGATTCCTTCTTCAGAAACCTCACAATTTCACGTCCACGAATTCCCTGTCGATCCACAAGCAGGCCTGTCCTACTACATGTACTGTAACTTAGGACAGTCCTGCAAGGACAAGCTGAGCGCCCAGGAAACTTGTCCTTGGTTGCTCCGAATGTACTCCATAGGATACTGTACCTGATGAAATCGGCAGCATTTCGCGGCTTGCACACCAACTACACACCATAATATGTGAGCGTCCACATTGTGCATCATCCACCACAAAACTCGTCACCACCAGCACGCAGCCATGACCGTCGTGCGGCGACTGCAGGCGCGCGCGCAGCGCTGGCACCTGCTGGGGCGCTACTACGTGAACAAGTGGCACTACGACGGCTCCAAGTGGGCGGAGCGCGTGTGGTACGGCCAGGGAAGCACGGGCAACGGGCCGCAGGTGGCGTCCGTGGCCTTCATGATCACGCGCAGCATGCGCCAGCAGCTCGTGGACGCCGGATTCCCTCCCTCAGCCATCTCGACGCTGCAGCCGGCGGTGGCGCAGAAGATCATCGCGGACAAGCTCACGTTCGCGCAGTTTGAGGAGCAGCAGAAACAGCAGCAGGTCCAGGGGGCAGCGGAGAGAGCCAAGCAGGCGCTCAAGCAGCAGGAGGAGGAAGAGCAGCAGCAGCAGCAAAGCATTGCTCTGGTGGCTGCACAGGAGACGCAGGCCGCACAAGAGAAGCAGGAACAGAAGCAGGTGCAGGTGCAGGTGCAGGTGCAGGTGCAGGTGCAGGTGCCGTCGGCGGCGCTGGTTGTACAGCAGGAAGACGTCGCAGCGAATGATGAGGACCTGAAAAAGACGCAGAGCTGATAATTGAAATGGAGCAGTAGCAACGTCGTCCACAGCACTGGTTCGTGAACAGATTGAAGTGGGGAGTAGATTCTGCTGTATGGCGAATGACTGCGCACTTTGCCGGGAAGTGGGTGGGTAGTTTAGTGTACTCTGGTGCTTGGAGTTTGTCGACGCAGGCTGTCAAGTCCCCTGGATCCTTGCCTGCGATGCCGCCTCGGCCACCTACATCTCTATTAACTTCTGTTTCTGTCCGCAGCCTCACCACTTGATCGCCGCCTTGATCTTGTTGAGCACTTCGTCGAGGGGCGTGAGCGCCACGACCAGCGCCAACTGGACGCCCCACCACAGCGCGCAGAACACTGCGCCGTACACGACCCTGGCGCCCGTCCTCTCCGTGAAGTAGATCCACAGCGCCGACCCCGCCACGTAGAGCAGAGTGAGCAGCCAGTAGCCGCGGTAGAAGTCGCGCCGTAGGTCGTCGTAGCTGCTCGCCTTGTGCCACTTGGAGCGGTGCATGGACGCCAGCACGCCGTGCTCCAGCGCCTGCGCCGTCATGGCCGACACCAGCACGATGGCAGTCACGGTCGTGAGGGACGCAGCCAACGGAGCGAGCTGCAGCGACAGCGCCACGAGGTGCAGCGCAAGCCATGAGAGCCACTGTACCGCCGACCACAGCAGCGTCATCTTGGAACAATCGATTCAAATTTGGTCATACAGTTATTTTAGTCCAACTTCTAGTCGGATCATATATATATAAAGCACAAATCACTGATTTGTGCGACACAGATTATGTCCATTTTCGAGATCGTCTTCAAGTTCCTCCTGGGCTCGGCGATGATGGATCCCGCGCCTCCGTCTTCGCTAGCCCAAGAGGACGCCCCCCGAGTGGATGACGCCTTTGCAGAGTCGATGGGCTATGTGACGACCTATCTTCGAGCTGTGGAGAGCGCTCGCGACGGCCGCATCGTCAACGACCCCTTCGCGGGATCATTGACAAAAAAACACTCCGACGAGATCACAAAATCCATGAAGGCGCTATCGAGCAAGGGTCAACTGCACTCTCGCGCGGAGGACTTTATCGCATTCCGGACCCGATACCTGGACGAGGCAATTGGTCGGCGCAATCCTCACATCCTGCAAATTGTGATTCTAGGGGCGGGGCTGGACGCTCGAGCCTACCGCTTGGAGTCGCTGCGCGGGTGCCACGTTCTTGAAGTTGATCAAGCCCAGGACCTATTTGATCACAAGACTAAGGTGATGGGAGCTGGAAGCTCCGTTGATCGCTCACAAAGTGGACTATATTGTGGCTGATTTGGCTCAGTCGGGACTAGAAAATAGTCTCGTGAACTGTGGTTTCGACCCGACCGTGCCAACGTTTTGGGCGCTGGAGGGTTTGGTCCCGTATATTGAACGTGCCAGGATCGTCGAGCTGCTAAAGGTTATGGACCACCTGTCGGTTCCTGGGAGCGAACTGTGGGCGGATATACCTGGCCAGTTCGTAGCCGACACAGAAGAGTGGGGCAAATGCGCGATGAAATATGGCGAAGATGATCCATTGGATGGTGTGCTGAGCGAGATTAAGTGGGGCTTGGAGGTGCAGGCATCGCTGGGTATTGCTGGGACCCATTTCGGACGACAGTGGATGCCGATGTTTTCCCCCAAGACGAAGCAGGAGGTCCCGTTCTTCTTGGTCGTCGGAACTAAGCCCACCTCGAACCAGTGAAAAGGCAACAATCTCCGTTCGCATGTCATGATACTGCGTGGACTTACTTGGATCGAAATGTTTATTACCTTGGTGTTATGTTATCGGACTGAAGTTTTAGCTGATCACTTCTTCGCTTGTGCTGCCTATTGTCAGTGATGACAACAACAACTAAAATGTTTTTATGACGATAACTGGCACCTGTGGCTATCAATTTACTTAGTAGTGCTATCATTGATAGCTTATCAATGGGATCGAGTTAACTACGCCGCTACAGGGTACTCTTGAGTACTTGAAGCAGCAGTTGCGTGAATCATTAGACTGCTGCGTGTACCTCTGAAGTGTGTTTTGAGCAGGGGTCAAGTGACATCGCTCCTTCTCAACGCTGTGCCAATCTTATACCCTGACGCTACTAAAAGAGAGGTCTTTGTTGGGCTCTTAGGCAAGAACCAATTCCCTTCCGATTTTCACGGCACAGAAGACGATGATCTTGCCTTACACGACACAGTCTGGGCATTTCTGCGGCGCCTAGGAGTTCGTGAAGGATAACGAGGCCAGACAAGTGCGCAGGGGTAAGCCGACGGGTATTTGCTTGTAATATTCAAGCCAGTCTATCACGATCTGAAGTAACAGAACCATACCGTGTGGTAGGAATCTAAACAATTGAGCCGCACCAGCAAGACTTCGGCGGCTTTCACGTACTGCAAGAATGGTTTGGCCTCATACGTGGTGGTCCACCCCTGGTGGAGCAACGAGTTGTTACGCCGAAGAAACCATCAGCCGAACTCTCGCAGAGCCTACGACCTGCAAATCCTAGTCGGTGGGGAATCGTCGTGAGGCGTAGCGGTCAGACGTGTTTCGGTCAGGAAATTGCAATCGTTGAGAATCTCATTATTGTGTCATGATGTGCTCAGGGTGACCAGGCTACCTTGCAGCATCAGTGGCGAGCTTACGTGGATATAGCAGATAAAGGATGCAGCCGCAAAGTTCTTTCAACTGCCAAGAGTTGTTGGAAGAATCCATCGGGTAAAGCAAAAAATGATGTGACTACTACAGAAGTATGCCTTGCTTCCAACACAATCCGCAGTTCGTAAGAACTGTCGTTTGCGCCCCTGCGGGTGTTTGAGATAATGCAACATAAGGTTTTATGTTGCATTATCGGTTAAAGAGCTATTTGAAACAACAGCAATGACAGTTGTACAGCAATTGTATTGACAGTTGTACAGCAATTGTATTACAGCACAGCAGCGCAAACTCCGATTCATTATTACAGCTCAAAGCATGCTTTCGGCGACAAGCTAACCAGGCAGCAGCAATAATAAAGAGGGGTGATCAGTCAGTCAATGCAATTTGTGAGGAATCGACCGAATCGGGGCAGCAAGCGAGCAATAGGTAGGTCGCCGTCGTATCGGCTAAGTTAGTTTAGGCATGTGGCTGTCATTTCTAAGATACGATATCTGTATGTACATGTCGGACGCCACAGCAGCAGCAACTATTTACCGTCGTTGAGTAAAACAAAATTATCGCTATTGATTAATGGTCGTGGGTGCAGACTGTTTGTTGAGAGTCGACTTTGAAGTGAGGAGACCTAAACGGCATTGAAATCAGTATAGCAATTCTACAAAATCAAGTTGCAGGCGTCAAATTTGGACATATACACCGAATAACCCCAGAAAATAAACACATTATATATTCAATATGAACCGAAGCTCAGTCTGGCAGCTTGAAGCTGTGCAGTATGTACCATGAATAGCAGTAACGCTAGTGTGAGTTCATGCAATGAAATGAAATTTGCGGTTATGACGGCTGACTACGCCCGTCGCCGCGCACTGCTGCAGCGCCGCATACGGGGACTCCCGCGGTAGCAGCCCAATAGTGTGAGCTCACTTAGATCCGCCACGGCAGATTGAGCAGCGTAAGCCATCCAGCAAATGGACGCATGATATTTCACAGTACAAAAATAAGAGCAAGCGCTAAAATTCAAGAACGTCTTCACGCAACTCTCTCCTGCGGCAAGCATAGCGCTATTACTGCATAGTACTACTAGTACAGTGCCTACAGTAATTAGTCTGGGCTCAAAATTAGTCTGGGCCAGACTAATTCGTGTCAAGCAAAAATTGACGTCTTCATTAATAGTCTGGCTAAAAATGTTCATAATTAGTCTGTCGTGGTGACCACGATTCTAGTCAATATCTACCTACTTTACGGCACTGCTTTTTGAAAAAGCACTTGACAGCAGCCAATTTACCAGATCTCGCACACACAGAACCTGATATCTGGAAAATACAATAGATAAGTACCTGAGTGAACGTGGCATCGAACCCATTGAATAGCCTTCTCTAACCGTTAGAGAAGCAGCATCTGCGATGATTTAGTCTTTATTTCTCCTTAAAGCCACGATAAATATAGTATACTATAAAAAATATTTGAAAATACGTATAAACATACCATTTCACAAAAATAATGTTTTTTCTTACTGGAAAACGGATATTTTTAGATATTCATAATTAGTCTGAATTCAAAATTAGTCTGTCACTGTTGGGGCCAGACTAATAATTGTGGGCAATGAAAAATCTGCTATTCAGATTTAGTCTGGGGTAGACTAATTACTGTAATTAGTAGTAAATAAAGCTTTCTACTGTGCAGGTTTTGGAATACAGTGAAAAAAAGACCAAACTGCGAACACCGCTGGCCAAAGCCCGCAAACCAGTTGAAGACAAATGCAGAAGTTGTTTGCGATACAGACCATGCTCGTCTCAGCAGCAGACAGGATTTGTCTCCTTGCGAAGCTAAAATCTGACCGCATCCAGAGCGTGGATGACGTCTTCTATTACTATACTTCAATTTATACCGTACTACCGTAGTATATGATCCAACAATAAATAATAGTACTTCGAAGTACAGTAATAATGTAGCTATTGGACCACTTGATTACTACAAAGAAATGGCCCATGGCGTTGTGGTAATCGGCGGCAATGCGTTTTTGCATGGTGGAGGGACTTACACTCTCCTCAGGGGCGTTCTTAACAGAGGTAGATTGGTATCACCGTACAACCAAGGTCCAAGTGTGCTAGAGACGTGCGGGTATCACCGTGCAACATGTACCTTGCTGATAAGAATGAAATGTATCCGTTCATCTAATTTTTCAATAGTCAACTTTCGCCTCTACTTTTTATTTTTTATTTTACCGAGGCGGATGCCGCAGAGAGCGCTAGAAACCGCGTTAAAAGAGGACAAGACGACACGGGGTGTGGAGCCGCCACTTTACGCCCCCTCTTCCAGTCACTGCAGCGGTTAAGGTAGGTGGCATTTAAGCACAACTAGCACGGGGGCAGTGAAGCTAGTGAAGAGTACATCTGATCTGCTGTTAGAGATGCTGTTTTAGCGACGTTTTTGCGCGGAAATTTGCAGAGAAAACTGCTCGCATACAAAACGCTAGTGAGGTTCGGGAAGTGCTATAGATAGCAGAGTCACGATGTGTTTCCCTCGTGACTCTTGATTGGACAGTTTGTTCTGTATCCCTAATCATGTACTATTTCATAGCTAACGTTCCGCGGTACCGCGGTACGAGGGAATTCAACTGCAAAATTTCGACTTTCCCCTCCGTACAACCGTGAACTCTTTCAACTTTGACAAAGTTCATATGCTACCTCCCGTGCAACCTCGTGATACCTTGCGCCTTTCTACGTCAGGGACGATTACGCTCGAAAGTTGTACGAGGTTGCACGGATACAACCAAAATCTACCAATCTACCTCTGTTAAGAACGGCCCTGAGGTGCGTAGCCTCACTGCTTAGTCCATCCTGATAAATCGCCCACTTGTAAATTCTAGCGTCGCCGACCAAGGAAGCATCTACAAGCTAGAGTTCTTGCGAACAAACGCTTGTTCGAGACCCTAACGATGGAGCTGTAACGGGTCTGCTAACCCCAGCTCGCCAGCGGGTCGTCGCTCGTTGTGCGTCCTCGCCAAGGCCCGTTGTGGTAAGGATCTCGATACTGCAACTTCAACGCATGTTGGCCGACAGGACCTCCACTTGAGTCCTGTGCCGGAACGCGTCCGTTCCTACTTTTTGTATTACAGTAAAGTGCCTCGATAAAGAACGGGCTACATTTTATACTCTGCAGGAAGTCATCATCCCCCTTTTGTATCCACTTTCTGTGTGATGTACTGTTTTAGGGAGCTAACGCCACACATCTTCCACCCATCCTCTCGCTTCTGAAAATTTCCGCCAATCCGAGCTCAGGAACCGAGCCTCGTGGCTAACTCAAAGGTCGCGGAGGAATCCTCCGCTACATCTTTTAGCTTGACGCTTGCCCGTTAACTATTTGGTTAGCCATGATGGCGGCCTGATCAATTCGAAGTCCACACAGGCATGCGAAAGAACATCGACTCGATGTCACATGATCTAGTGGTTTCCTCCCGTGTGCGTAGCAAGATATGTCGTGCTTTCGCCACGCTCCAACCCATCACGTGCCGGTAAATCAGTACATAGGGGAATTTGATGTGACGAGACAAACCTTCAATCATGCATATACCTTCTTCTTTCTATCCATATCAGGCGTTCCTTATCGAGACACTTTACTGTACTACTCGTTCGTCAGTTAGTACTCGTACAACTCGTACAACACGTTCGACTCGTTCACCTTGCCTAGATCCGACGCCAGCCGTAGCTAGCCTCACCCCGCACACTCATGCGTTATCAGTCTGTTGGCTGGCGCTGACACGCAGGTCTTAGCCCGCCTCACCCCGCACTCATGCACGTTCTGGTCTGTTGGTGGCTCCGCCATAGCGTCGTCACTAGCCGCACTTCACTCGTCGATTCGTCAGCTGGGCTGTTGACAGCATCTCGCCCGCCTCACCCACTCGTCAGTCGTTCGTTGTCGGCGACAACCCGCGAAGGTCGCCCCTTGCTCAGTCGTCTGCGAAGGTCGTCACTCCTCGCTCGTCTCTCATCGTCACCGGCTACTCGTGCTCGCCAGTACTCGTCTTCTCGTCGTCTGTGGCCCGCGAGGTAGGTTCT